GTCATACCCTTCCTGCTTTAACCTGCTGCTGACTTTCCGCCATGCACGCACCCGCGCTGTCACCCTCGTATGACTTCGAACGACCCAGGGGTCAGGTTGACTTGGTGTGAGGGACACAGCCATGAGGCGGAGGTGGAGCTGCCCATCCACTCCTCCATCGCATGCAAGCTGGTCGTACTCAACAGCAACGGCGTTGGCAATGGCAGCAATAGCAACATCAGCAACAGCAACGGCACCAACAGTGGTGGTAGCAGCAATGCTGCTGTTGTCATGTGGGAGCCAGGTGAGGAGGGTCGGGGTGTGGGTTGCTGAAGTTGGCTGCTGCCTGCAGCTGTCTGGACCGGGTTGGACACGCTGACGTCGTACAACACTGCATCATGCAGCACAGAATTGAAGCAGATCCATGACGGTTAACCACCTCGGGGGGATCACGGCAAACACGGCATGCATAGCTCGCAACAGACTCTTCGCTCCTATCCAGTGCACCCGTGTGCATGCTTCGATTGCCCCTTCACCAAGCATGCATGCACCCCTTTGCAGAGCAAGACCGTCAGCTGCTTCTGGCGCCCACCTCCCTGGCCGCCCGAGCCGCCGGCTACACACTTCTGCTGCACTGGGGATTCCCCGACTGCCCCCAGCTGCTGCCAAACTCCCTGCGGCGGGGCGGCGGCAGCTCCACAGCAGGAGCAGCGGCAGCAGGCGGCAAGCCAGCCACCAAGTATGCAGCAGCTGCCGGCATCGCTTCGTCGAAACGCAGCAGCAGCAGCAGCAGCAGTGATGGAAGCAGCAAGGCGTCCAAAACAGCAGATGGAGCTGCTGCCGTCGATGCCAGCAGGGATGGCATCAGGAGCAGCGGCGGCGGCAGCTCTCTGCTGGCTGGGATGAAAAGGGTGCTGGCGAAAGCCGCTTTCAAGGGTGAGCCCGCCGGGAATGGTTACTGTGGCTGCCGGTGTCGGTAGCTTGCAGCGTCTTAATGCTTGCAGCCACAACCTGGATCTTTCTCTCGCCCAGGCCCGCCCTCCAGACTGTTGTTTACTGGTGTCCTTTCACAAAAATGCACTTTGTGCGTGTTTTACGTTTTTCTCCGACCCTTCGCAGATCGCCCCTCGGTCATCCCCAGCAGCCTCTCCATCATGAGGGGTGAGAAGCGGGAAGAGGACCCCCTCTACGCAACGACACACGACCATGTCGGAGCGGACAGGACCGATGACGACGAGGAAGAGGAAGAGGTTGTCAGCATGGCTGAATGCCAGGTGGGTTACTGCACGACGTCGGTACTGTTGATTTTCCGTCCCTTATTACCGCAAACTCACACATTATTGCGTTGTTGCTGCGCTCTACGTCGGCTTGCTTTATCGCGACCGTCCACCCCGCCCGCTGTCCCCACTTAGCTCGTGTAGGGGCCTTCCTCTACAATCACCGCGCCTCATACATGCCTCCTACCCATCCTTGCAGGGATATCATTAGGTTCATTACCAACTTGCTCTTGCTCTTGCTCATTACCCCATGCATGCAGGTGACGGTGCTGCTGCCGCGGGGTGCCCCCCAGCCGGGTCCCGACCAGGGCCTGGTGCTGGTGGGCAGCCATGCAGCACTGGGCAGCTGGGATCCCGCGGGAGGGCTGCCTCTGGAGCGCTGCGGCGGCAGCAGCGGGGAGGACTCGCCCATGTGGAGTGCGCGAGCAGAGCTGCCGCTGGGGGAGGGTGTGCAGGCCAAGGTGGGCTGATGATCCATGGGTTGGCTGGAATTGTAGGGGAAGGCGTGTGATGTGCTGGGGGCTAGGTAGACGGGACGGTTCGTGCTAGGGAAGTTGGAAGGGATCCGGAACACGAGTTCCTAGCAAACAGCCCCAACCGAGAACCGACCGCTGTCTTTGCACCCCCAATTGGTCTTAACCCGCTCAGGTGGTCTTAGTGGACTCCCTGACCGGCAAGGCACAGCTCTGGGAGCCGTGCGAAAACCGATGCCTGGCACCTCGGCGCCCGCAACAGCAACACGACAACGACAACGGTGACAGTAACAGCTACCGCAACCACCTCAACCACCTCAACCACCTCGACGGCTCCCGGCCGCTCATGGTAACCGCCTACTGGGGTCTCGCGGTCACCCACATGCTCGAGGTGGACCGACTGGGCGTGTCCCCTGCGGCCGCATCTGCTGGCAACCCACAGGTTAGTTGGTGACCCATGGGTCCACTGCAGCTGCGATGCTGTCGTGTGTACATACGGTAGATAGATGGCCCGCGCTCGCAATGTCAACGAGGAATGAGCATGTCTATTTCAACGTGCATTGTTCTGCACCAGGTGGTGCAGCAGTTGCGGGACCAGCTGGCTGCTACATCCTCACAGCTGGAGGGATTGCGACGGGAGCGCGATGACGCACGCAAAGTCCTGGTGGCCAGTGGAGGCCAAGTACGACGGGGCTTGGATTCGGATGCCGAGGTGGGTCAGCAACCGCTTGCTAACCCTGTTGGCCTTTAACTGAAAGGAAAGCCAGAGACCGGATTGGCTGGCGACGGGTTTTTCCGTGTCCCTGCAGGGTCCCTGGGATTATTTCCACCGTAATAGTTTCCTTGACTTGCTGTTTGAGCTACCGGTATGTGGCGGCCCTTTCTCTGCAGGCGGCGGCGGACGGCGGCTCGGGTCGATTGGAGCTGGTTCAGTTGGCTCAGCAGCTGCAGATCACCCGGCGGCTGTACGACACCACCCAGCAGGAGGCCGCTGAGCTGGGCGGCGCTGTGGGGGTCACCCGGCAGGTGGGGACTGGCTAGGGTGACCCGTGGGTCGGTCCAATCCCAAGAGCAGATCAAGGTGTATCCTCGGGGCAAACTAGCAAGCATGTGCGCTGTGTATGTACAGTAAGGCGGGACGAGCAGGCAGGACGGGTATCCGCCCGCCAAAGTGTCGAGAGGCTGGGGAAGCGCCAATTTGCACCCAGCTTGCCAAAACTTGCATCGCCTTTTTATGCATGCTTCCGAGGAGCAGCCATGACCTTGCTGCTTCCCACCTCCCATTATTGCCGCAACCCACCCCCCCTCCTTTCCAGCTCTGCGACGCCGCCAAGCGCGAGATGGCCAGCCTGGCAGCTCAGCTGGAGGCTGCCCGGCGGGCGTACGAGGCACTGGCTCCCGAGGTACGTACGGCAATCGCTTCCCTCTCAACAATTTCAAGCACTTTTAACTCTCTTTTCAAAGTTCTTTTCATCTTTCCCTCACGGTACTTGTTCGCTATCGGTCTCTCAGCAGTATTTAGCCTTAGAAGGGATTTACCTCCAAATTAGGGCTGCATTCCCAAACAACCCGACTCGTGGAAAGCACCTCGTGGAAGGACTGGGCAGGAACCGACGGGGTTATCACCCTCTCTGACGCGGCATTCGATCCGACTTGAGCTCCGCCAGTCCATGAGGGCGCTTCTATAGACTACAATTTTCCAAAGGGAGATTTTCAAGTTGGGCTATTCCCGGTTCGCTCGCCGTTACTAGGGGAATCCTTGTTAGTTTCTTTTCCTCCGCTTAGTGATATGCTTAAGTTCAGCGGGTAATCTTGCCTGAGCTCAGGTCGAGAAAATAGAGGGTTTGCTCAAGGGTAACCTTGAGTTCCTGGTTTGGGTTGAAACCACAGGCCCAAGACCATCTACTAAAGCATTAGCAAAATGATTTGCCTACCCAGTAGAGGCCCTATGTACGGGTCCATGCAGCAACCTCTAAACACTTCAGCAATTGGAGGCCTAGCTTGGAGGTAGGGGCATGTATGGCAGTCCTTGCGTTCACTCGTCTTAAATGCATGGTAAACGACGTCAAATGCATCGGGGCCATGCATGCGTGTCTCATCGAGTCATTGGTGTGCGCCATTTACCGGCACACCACATGCTGGTTGCCAAGTGTCCAGCAGATCTTAGAGATGGAGGGGTTAAGACGTACGTCTTATGATGTTGCGAATGCAGGTGGATAGGATGGAGCGGAAGTTGGCCTCCACCAGCCGAGCTTACGAGGCCACACAGCCCGAGCTGGCAGCACTTGGGACGCAGCTGGAGCGTGCAAGGTGAGGCCGGCATTACCAGTAGTACCGGAACTGCTGTCGACCAACGATGCTTAACCGTTACCGGTAATGCATAACCGGGGGGGGGTCCAGCCCATTATCTGTCCTGGCTGTAGGGTTGGTGCGAGCTTATCTGTTTTTGGTGTGTCTGGATGCTTGCACGCAGGAGCTTGTTCGACCGCACGCTCGAGAAGATTGAGGCCGCGAAGTCGCTGGCGGCAAGTGGTGGCAAGTACGACACGGCTGCTGTACGGCGCCTTGGGGAGAACGGTGACACACGAATTCAGTTTGCAAAGTTTTAGTGCTTCAGGAAAGGCACTGAAAGGCATGCAAGGGACGAATGCGCGCGGCGAGGGAATGCGTCCGCAATGGAGCGCCTTTGACGCATGCCACCATGTACCCCACGTTAGGTTTGTTGGTCCTACTGGATCGTGTCTCGTTGGCTTCCAATTGCATAGATTGCAGTTGTCTTGGATGATGGGTCGCCTGAGCTCACACATTGATTGGCTGGTTTCAAATCCTGCATTCCTGCTGCTAGTTAGCTGTGGAGTTCTGCCGGGGACAGCTGTGGAGATGTCCAGTATTGTATTGAGCTACCCCGTAGCAGTAGGGCACCTCACTAGGGGGTTTTGAAGAGCCATGACGATGAGGATAAGGCGCACGACGTTCCAGTCATGCATGCATTGTTTCACGTCTGCACGTCACCGATAGTGGATGTAGCATTGCTGTGCGGGACATCTTCGTCTTTGCTCTTAAGCCATGTGTTTGTACGACACGAATGAACAAAGCCAAGCCAGCGTCACGAGCTAATGACCCAAGGGTCAATTAATGTATGGTAATGGCACCGGTATTGGTTATTGTGTAATGGTAGGTCTGAAGTTGTAGAGTTACCTACTACGGTTTCCAATGTGGGCCGCTTTAATTGTTGCTGGGTTTTGCAGTACTGACCGGCGCTGTATTGGGACACAGGGCATCATGCTTACATTCCCTTATCGCGTTGGCATAGGGATGTACCTGTTGCATGGAAACCCCCACAATGCGAGCTCAAACCAATGGCATGACGACACATACCAGGTCATAAATGCAAGCCTCCCCGCACACAAGTGAAGCTGGGCCGGATTGGAATCAGTAGCGCAGCAGTCGGGAGCCGACAACAAGTGCCAGCAAACCCAACTCCGAGAAAACAACCGTTAACCAGACGGACAAGACACACGGAAAAGCCCCAACAGAGGACGCACGCAAGCGGCCTGTACCCTGCTGTGCTTCACTGACTGAAGCGCACTGGCCTTTCACCACTGCACGTGCAAGCCAACACACCTACAACTCCTGCGTAGCATGCAAGGCAACTTTACGTAGCACGATAACAACACGCGAACCACGCAACACCAAAACACCCGGCTATGGCTATTAGCGCTGTACCCCAATTCACGCTTGAGAGGCTCGCGCCCGAATACCCGAAGCTCTCAGCACCAGTACTTTTGCACTTCACAACCCAGCACTCAAAGCGAGAGGAAAAGCGGCACCTACGACGTCCAGCAATCACCGCCGCCGCAAACGCAGCAAAAACCAGCAGAAACCCTGTTAGGGCCCCCCGGCTGCATCGGTAACCTGCCAACCATGCAGCTGCAGCGCACAGCTCTGCTTCCGGGCCGCTTGCACAGCAATGGCGACGGAAACCAAGGCCTCCGGCACAGCCCTTCGGCCCCAAGACACCCTCACGTCGGGTCACGCTGGAAGCCTACGGACTGACCAAACACGGACCTTTCACGGTAGCCATCTGCCACCACCGCACAACCACCCCCGTACCACAGCAACACCGTTGACTAACACTGCAGCCCCCCAACAACGCAGCAACTGCTGCCCGCTTACTGAACCAGGCCGAACCACTTGAAGATCAGGCCCTGGCCGTGCGCGCAGTTGTAGAAGAAGGGCGCGAACACCAGCGACTCGACGGCCATGAGCTTGATCAGGATGTTGAGCGACGGGCCCGAGGTGTCCTTGAGCGGGTCGCCCACGGTGTCGCCGATGACGGCGGCCTTGTGGCAGTCGCTGCCCTTGCCACCCAGGTCGCGGGCGTGCTCGGTGGCGCCAGCCTGCAGGGATGGGGGTGCGGGGTGCGATGATGATGATGATGATGATGAGAAGGGGCAGGGCAGCGCTTGTGTACCAGCATTTGTACGATTTGCACTGGGCTCCGCATCATGCATGACTCTTATCAACAAGTAACAAGCTGGGATCTTGGGACATCCATTCAAGCCTAATGACGTGACCCACACCTCCAAGCTACAGACCGCTATACCGGTACACCTTCATTCGCCCCACCTCAATGTACTTCTTGGCGTTGTCCCAGGCGCCGCCGGTGTTGGACATGGACACGGCCAGCTGCACGCCGCTGACCAGAGCGCCCGCCAGCACGCCAGCCAGGCACTGGGTGCCGAACAGCGCGCCCACCACGACGGGGGTGAACATGACCAGCGCGCCGGGGGCAATCATCTCGCTGATGGCGGCCTGGGTGGAGATGGCGACGCAGCGCTTGTAGTCGGGGCGGGTGGTGCCCTCCATGATGCCTGCGCAAGCGGCGGGGAAGCGCAGGGTTCGCAAGATAAGTTGTCAGGGCGTGGGTATCTTAGGGGCGGAACGCAGTCAAGGAAGCGAGCCCCTCAGGCACATGGCACAAAGCGGCACCTTGGGCGTGTGCACCAAACAGCGCTCCTCACACGCGAGATCCTAATAAACGCGATCCGGCATAAAAAGTGAGTTCTGCAATTCAAGATCCGAGATCCGCGCTGCACTTACCGGCAATGGTGTTGAACTGGCGGCGGACCTCGTGCACCATGGCCAGCGCAGCCTTGCCCACCGACTTCATGGTCATGGCGCTGAACCAGTACGGCAGCATAGCGCCCAGCAGCAGGCCGGAGAAGACCCGTGGGTCCAGGATGGAGGAGTGGATCATGTCGATCTTGGCGCGGGTCACGTAGGCACCGAACAGGGCCAGGGAGACAAGCGCGGCGGAGCCGATGGCGAAGCCCTTGCCGATGGCGGCGGTGGTGTTGCCGGCGGCGTCCAGGGCGTCGGTGCGCTCGCGGATGTCCTCACCCATGCCGGCCATCTCGGCAATGCCACCGGCGTTGTCGGAGATGGGGCCGTAGGCATCGATGGCCAGACCTGGATGTGCGGATTGTGTACAAGAGCACATCGACAGGCACAGCACGAGTCAAAAACACAGAAAACGAGACCGTTACGACAGGGTTTTTCCCTACGGACGGACTTGTACTTGTACCCCACAGGTGTCCACACTAGTCCCGAAGACCAGCTCACCGGTAGCCAGGGTGGACAGCATGCCCAGCGCGCAGCAGGCGATGCCGAACATGCCGGCCAGCGTGTTGCCCACGTAGATGGCCACACCGATCACGATGGTGGGGATGATGCAGGACTTGTAGCCCAGCGCCAGGCCGAAGATAATGTCGGTGGCGGCGCCGGTGCGGCAGGCATCAGCGACGTCCTGCGGGGGGGGGGGGAGAGCATGATGAGGGACGGGGATGATGAGGAAGGAGGATGGCGTTGATGATAGGCGGGGTGACAATGGGGGCGAAGGTCAGTCAGCTGCTACATTGGTAGTGTACGCCGCCTGCTGAAGCATACACACACTGCAGCTCACACCCCGCAGCACACCTGCACGGGCTTGTAGCGGTTGGAGGTGAAGTACTCGGTCTGCAGGCCCACCAGCAGGCCGCCCCACAGGCCGGTGGCGATGCACACGAACATGTACCAGTTCTTGACGGTCTGCAGGCGCGGGAAAACACACATATGGGACATGGCATTGGGACAAGAAAAAACGGAAGGGGCAGCACAACCAGGGTCAAAACATCAGAAACTACCAAGGCAAGGGTAGCGAGCTGCTGTTATTTTCGCATCTTACACAGACGAAAGGACACATGGCCTTCGCCTTCGCATGGTTACACAGACCCTGCTGCCTGCTGCCGCTCACCTTCTCATCGAAGGCCTTGTCCGTGGAGCTGGAGGGCACGGAGAGGGTGAACTCGGCGGGCAGGGCGGTCATGGCCACACCCAGCGCGACGGGGGTCATGAGCAGGGTGGAGATGATGAGCTGCATCTTCAGGGTGTGCTCGATCTCGGAGATCACCTTGGCGGGCTTCAGGTCGGTGGCGATGAAGGTGGTGAGCAGGCACACGATGATGCCTGCAGGAGCGGGGGCGGGTGCGGGCAATGTGTCAGCATGCGCACCTCCTCCAAATCCCCCTCCACATCCCCCTCCCTCGCATTACGTGGCATGGCATGGTCTTCTCCTTCATCCCATCCTCCATCTCAACCACAACGCAAACGCACCGGCGGCGGACACCACCCCCTTGCTGCTTGCCATCCCAGCACGCTAACAAACTATAATCAATCCTCGCGACCGGCATTAAGGACACGCCAAACCCCCTCCCTGCCCCGCGGGCCGCATCACGCACCCCTGGCAACCCTCCACACCTCAACCCAACCCGCACCACGCACCCGTGGCGGACACCAGCAGCGGGAACATCATGCCGCTGTAGTCGTGGTCGCGGCCCAGCGAGGACACGGCGGAGATGACCAGCGCGGCGCAGGTGGACTCGGCGAAGGAGCCGAACAGGTCAGCGCCCATGCCGGCAATGTCACCCACGTTGTCGCCCACGTTGTCTGCAGGAGTGGAGGGGAGGGGAGCGCAAGCGGAGGCAGGGTCATTAGCCACGAGAACAGCCGGGGGAGGAGCAGCGGGCGCGTCTTAAGAGGGATGTGCCAGGCAGTGGGAGGGGCGGATGTCATGATCAGGATCTTGGAGATCTTAAATTGAAGGATTTACAGATCTCTCAACTTACCGGCAATCACGGCGGGGTTGCGGGGGTCATCCTCGGGGATGTCCTTCTCCACCTTGCCCACCAGGTCAGCACCCACATCGGCGGCCTTGGTGTAGATGCCGCCGCCCACACGGCCGAACAGAGCGATGGAGGAGCCGCCCAGACCGTAGCCGGTGATGGCCTCGAACAGACCCTTCCAGTCGTCCTTGTAGAACTGCGAGCGGGAAGTGCAGGAGGAGCAGGAGGGGGCGGGCGGGAGAGGATGAGATAGGGGCAATAGGGGCTGGGAAGCTCATGCGGGGCAGAGGGTTTGGATGGGCGGCTTCAGGGTTGTGAATTCTAGGTTGCGCCAGCCATGGGATGGAGTGTAAGGTCATGGGCTGACAGATTCGGCTGGATGGGGAAGAAGCTTGCCATCAGTAACCGAGCAGCCTCAAACAACGGTCACACACCGAGTACAAGCGACCGTGATAATGCGAAGGGACGGTATACCGGGCGACAAGTGTACGCATTCTTAGTATCGCACCTTGGCGAAGACGCTGATGGCGAGGAAGAGGTTCAGGAGGCCGAAGCCCGACAGCAGGAAGCCCATGACAGCGCCGGAGCGGAAAGCTGTGCGAAATACACGAAATAAATATAGTTTGTATTAATGGCACAAGCTTGGAGTGCATTTCCCGTGACAGGCTCACAGCAGGCCGAGCAAATCCCGTGCAGCACTCGCAGCATGTTCAGCAATTGGCAACATCCCCTTGGACCTACCGCACATGAAAGCAGGGGCAATGCCCTTGCGAGCCTCAACAGCAGTGCGGGCGTTAGCATAGGTAGCAATCTGCATGCCCAGGTAGCCGGACAGAATCGAGGTAGCAGCGCCCAGAGCGAAGGCGACCGTCGAAAAGATGCCGTTCCGGACCTCATCGTCACGAGTGCGGCCCTCCTCGGGGGTAACAATGCTCAGAAGCGAGAAGATGACAGCAGCCATAATGACCTACAATTTGCAAAAAAGGAACGTCACCGGGAGTGATCTATGCCTGAAAATGTGGACGTCGCGTGTCGCAGCACCGCAGGCTATAAATACAGTTTAACGGTAGATAGCAACAGTTATAGCACCTAAACATGGCGCTCCTACATCTCACGCCACGTGACCCATAACGAAAAGTGCCCATGCGCACCATGAAGATACCGAGATAGTAATATTCGGTGGCCAGGAACGACGAGGCACCCTCAGAAATGGATTTCTGAATGTCAGCAGCCCTGGAAACAACCTGAAGCGCAGGGAACGCGGGAGGCAACACCTCAGTGTAAAAGATCATGGCAGTTCCCGACGGGTGGACTTGCGCAGATCCAGAGAAGCATGCTCCCATCATATCTTGCACCCAAAATCGCGCGCACCTCCTCCTCGCCCCCGCGCTGCTCCTCTTCCAGGAGATACTCGCGGCCATTCTGGCTGGAGATGAGACGACCGCCAGTCATCTGGACAGCGGACACGCGCTTCCATAGGAAAATAGCGAAGAGGATACCGATCACGGCAGCCGCCGGGATCAGGCTGGCGACAAGCGCGTCGGGCAGCATTTTTTCGCCCACTCCGACACCACCAATTAATGAGGTTCTTCACCTCCCTGACAATCGAGGGAAAAGGTAGAGTCTACACTCCAATATATGGTGAAGTTCTAAAGATCTTTTTCCAGCATTCCGTCAAATGCCGTACACGAGGCCTTACTTGTACCGGCTGCTGACAATGAAAGGGTTTGCGGATGCTTGGTTGTGCAAACCTAGGGCCTTCACTCTGGTTACATTTATAGGTGATAATTTGGCAAAAGCCAAGAAAGGGTTTCGTATCCAGCATCCGTTTGCACACAAGTTTGCAACACCCTGCTTCTCCTGAAAAGTGACTAGCGCTTAATCTACGCTGCCTGTAAATGATGCAGGCCAAAGCCTACGGTATGTTGTGGCTAGGTTTCTAGGGTCCACTGGTGCGGAGACCGCTCTTTATCAGCGCCGACGCTAATGAATTATGAATGTAATATTTATTTAGTAGAGGCAATCCTGAGCCTGGCCGCGGCTCCGTGCGCCTTACGCATAGGGTTTCCTGCCTGCCACGTGGCCACCTAAACAGGTGACGTGCTGCTCCTATGTGGCCCACAAACTTCTTGACGCTAGACTGGTGAAGACCCACACAAGCTTGTCTTGATAGAGGGCTATCCCTTAGCCAATGCGAGTTCAGGGGCTGGTTTGTTGATACCGCAATACCTTCAACGCAGGTTTACTAGTAGCGCCGATAACCGTGTGGGCTGTTGCATGTGCACGCTCGCTCCTCCCCTCTTGATCCCACGCTTTGTATCACAGGCGCAAAAGACGACCCCTCAAACATGTAGATCAACCCTTTACGGCTTCTAGCGACTAGAGCAGAGATGACTGCAATTGGGAAGCCACCAGTGGGCACACCCGCAACGGGATCTTCCCCCCCCCCAAATCACTTGATACGGATCGGGGCAGGTTCACCCCTTGGCCAACGGATGTTCTCTAGGGGGCTTGGCCATGGAAGCAGCAGGATGACTGTCCATCACCACGCGTCTGTGTAGGTCTAGGCCATGTTGAACCTGTCGTAAACCAAGCCTATCTACGTCGACTCTCATCTCGTGTTTACATGAAATCAACCCAGACAACAGGTAAGATTCTGGTGGCCGCCCCTTCGCCCGTTCGCTTGTGGACCCCTCACTCCAAACATCGTCGACAACCCGATATTCTGTTACCAAATTCGATGCTCTTGTAGTATATCGTCTTCCGCATTGCAGCCGCACGAATTGCCCTGAGGCAACCGAATTCTTTGCAGGAAGGGAGATCTTGCGACTACTGTAGGACGGCATGCGATGCTGAAGGCTTTATCCCGGCGACTGTGTAAACCATGTGAAAACATCACAGCAGCATCGGAAACTTTATCGTCATGGGTAGCATGCCGCAATAACACAACTACAAAACACGGACGCTGGAATCCGTCCTCGGGATGTTGCGACCTGTAAAGTTACCCTGCACGGCAGGTTCCAAGGATACCAGATAGTATACTTGACCTGTTTATAGACCTAAGGAACACGCTCGTTGTTGTTGTCTTTGTGTACAGCAAGCGGTGTACGGCGTCGTCATATTGGGCTTTTCCCTTAAAGAAGTAAGCAAGACTGTATAAGTGTATACCACGAGCGAATAGTGTGTGAAGCTTCTGTACTGCTTTCATTTATGTGGGTGTGCCTACTGCGGACTTTCCAGAACGACTTTTAGGAAAGGCGGACACGCCAGTCTGTATTGTCTCTGATAGCTCAAGGATAAGTCCGCAAGATAACTCCATTGTAATCAGGAGCGTATAAGCGAAGTTAGCGCGCCGCCAAGAATACTCCGCCGCCGTCTTCACAGGCTTTAGCTTCAACAGATTACGTGGCTATGGGTAAACCACAGCGTCGGCCTGCGCCAAAAGGTCCACCCCCAAAGAGCGAGAAAGAGCTGTTTGAGGATGACTTCCCACAAAGCGACGACGATGAAGACGCCTTCAAGGCTAAGAAGGACAAAATCAGCTTGGACATGTCAGACGATGTGGATGACGATGACAACAGCCTTGACATGGAGGGCGTCTATGACTTAGACGAGGAGGATGAGGAAGAGGATGAGGATGAGGATGAGGGTGCTGACGAGGACGAGGACGACGATGAGGACGAGGACGCCATTATTGAACAAGCCATTAAGCAAGGCGGCCGCATGGCAGAAAGTGGGTGTCTGGTTATCCCTGACTTGGCTGCAAGGGGTTTGTGACATCAAGGGATACCTACCGGGGTATTAAAAAAGTATTGTTTGCTGGGGGGTGGGAGAGTTTGAACGGGCGCAGGGCGCAGTCTAATGGGTGGCCGAGGATCCATGTCAACGCTACCGCTGCCCCAACTCGTGCGCCATACGGGTTATCTTCATAGCCCTTCCACCCCCAACACCGCCTCAAGCCGCCTAGACGTCCCTTTACCCCAGCGGAAGGCCGCTCTCCCAACGGGCCTCAGACATAACTAGCCCGTCACCAAACCACTCACTCCTGCGCCCCGCTCCATGCTCCTTCCCACCCACGCGCTGCTAACCCGCAGTTGCCAAGCAAGCCAAGGCGCTAGGCCAGAAGCTCAAGCTCATGGCGGGTGCGGAGGAGGAGGAGGAGGAGGACGAGGAGGAGCCCGCTGGTAAGCAGCGCGGCGGCAAGGAGGTCGACCTGACGGAGGGGCTCTGGGGCGCCAACAAGCGCGCGTACTACGATGCCGACACGGGCGAGGTGCGTGCCGAGGGTTAACGGAGAGAGCGGAGGGCGTAGACCACGCCAGGGTGCCAACGTGGTTTGGGGGATCAGCGAGTCCGCACCATGGACTAGTGCCACAGGGTACGTGCGCACATGCACAGAGGCAGTTGCGGTATGTGCGCACATGTGCCATGTTAACACAACATGCCCCATTTGCCCGCAGGCCGCCAGTGACGAGGAGGCGCTGAAGGAGGAGGAGCAGGAAGCGCTAGCCCTGCAGCGCGCCCGGGCAGCGAAGCTAGCAGCTGCGGATTTCGGCCTTGACGAGGATGACCAAGACGAGGAGGACGAGGATGAGGAGGACAGCGAGGAGGACGAGGAGGAGGGTGCGACAATGGGTAGCCTGGCGGCGAAGGGGCCCGCTCGCAAGGAGGACAAGCAGCAGCAACAGGATCAGGATAGGAAGCAGCAGAAGAAGCAGGGGTCCAAGGCAGCTCAGGTGCAGGTGGAGGCAGTAGAGCGGGACTTGGCAGCGCTGGGTGACGAGGCGCGAATGTCGGCGCTGCTGGCGGATGCGCCCGAGCTGCTGAGCCTGTTGCAGGACCTGCAGGAGAGCCTGTCGGAGGTGAGGGGGAGGGTGGTGAGGGGCGAGAGGAGGGGATGCGTGCATGGGTATAAGGGATTGGAGGGAGGGGTTAGGTGTCGATCATCAGTGTTCATCATGAGAGGTGGCGAGGGGTGCTGCTCCGGGTCTGCGGGGGGTGAGGGCTAAGGCAGGGGTGCATGGGAAGCTAGCTAATGCAGGAGGCAAGATTACTGAGCGGGCTTGCAAGCTCACTACCGCCCTGTACCCAAAGCACAACATGGCTGCGACTAGGAACGTTCTGTGATGTCCGGAAGTTGATGTCCCAGAGCTTGTGCATGTAAACAAACTAGCCGCGAGTAGGAACGTACTGTCACTGCCGGAAGATGAAACGTGTGTGTGTGCGTACCAAACCCCATCCAGGTGCGCCACCGCGTGTCGCCGCTGCTGTCGGAGCTGCGTGACGGCGGGCTGGGCACCTCGGAGGGTCTGTCGTACCTGGAGGCCAAGCACCTGCTGCTGCTCAGCTACTGCATGCACATCGTGTTCTACCTGCTGCTCAAGGCGGAGGGCAGGCCGGTGCGGGACCACCCGGTGATTGCAAGGTGAGCGGCTTCTGCCTTGCAGAAGGGTGTGATGGTGGTTGGGGGTCCCGATAAACCCAATTAGGATGGCCAGTCAAAACATCCCACCGAGTCTGAACCAAATGAGGCAGAAGGGTGATGGTTGGGATTGGGAGGAGGTAACTGTTGGTTGGGGTGGGAGAAAAGGCGGGGAAGAAAAGGGACGTGCGGCTTCGGTCTGGTGACTTGGTTCTTTGGGGGGTTTGGGGTCACGGCGGCTAGCATGTCAAGTGTCAGTGGCATGCCGGTGCTTGCGCTTGCCAAGAGTTGACGGAAACGGCACGTATCCGCACCAAAGCCGTGCCAAGATTTTGTTGGGACGCTGGGCGGTGTACATGTACACTTCAAAACATACATGGCATGCAGTTTTTTACAACAAGGCTGCTTGTTAGGAAGGGCGGGCGACGTTCATTCATGACAAAACGTGCAGCAACCTTGTTCGTGCAAAGCAACTAGTAGTACCCCACGTAGCTGCGCTCCTGGAAAGGCGGCTAGAGTCACTAACACGTCAAGTTCAGTGGCGCGTCGGTGCTTGCGCTTGCCTACAGAAACCTGTCCGCGGGGGTTCCCTCGTGGTTGCCGGGACGCTCATGAGTCATGATCCCTTGTTGAGGTCATGCAGGGCGTCACGTGCGCACATCCGTATCTACCCTCCATAACTACCACGTTCTTTACCACATTCGATTATCATTTTACCGTATTCGACTATCTATGCGACATTCACTCGCATGGCAACCTAGACTACCGTACCGTGTTTGATGATGTGACCGAAGCGAATGGCGGCTAGAGTCACTAACACGTCAAGTTCAGTGGCGTGTCGGTGCTTGCGCTTGCCGACAGTGATACCTCCGCGGGGTTCGCCTCGTGGCAGCCGGGACGCTCATCAGTCATGCCCCTACAAGTGGTGGCTATGCAGGGCGTCACGTGCGCACATCCACCTCTATCCTTCATAGCTTACACCTATCTCTTACCACATTCGAGCACCCTTGCATCATTCAATCGCATAGCAACCTAGACTTTCGTACCTTGTTTGGTGATGTGATTGAAGCGAATGGCGGCTAGAGTCACTAATGCGTCGCTGTCAGTGGCGCATCGGTGCTTGCGCTTGCCGACAGTGATACCTCCGCGGGGTTCGCCTCTTGGCAGCCGGGACGCTCATCAGTCATGCCCCTACAAGTGGTGGCTATGCAGGGCGTCACGTGCTTACACCTTGTACCTGTTGTATTACAACCCTTTGCACGCTACCTCGCATTTTAGCATCCAGAAAGCATGGCGGCTAGAGTCACTAATGCGTCGCTGTCAGTGGCGCATCGGTGCTTGCGCTTGCCGACAGTGATACCTCCGCGGGGTTCGCCTCTTGGCAGCCGGGACGCTCATCAGTCATGCCCCTACAAGTGGTGGCTATGCAGGGCGTCACGTGCATACACCTTGTACCTGTTGTATTACAACCCTTGGCACCTTGCACGCTACCCCGCATTTTTAGCACCCCAAAAACATGGCGGCTAGAGTCACTAATGCGTCGCTGTCAGTGGCGCATCGGTGCTTGCGCTTGCCGACATGAACGCCAGGGCGCACTTTGTGTGTCTTGCACGGTCGCCCGCTAGTCATGCCGCATGCTACTGCGGTATTGCTGTGCGTCCGTTGCGTACAATCACTCATATTTCTTAAGATGGCTGCTGTTGTAGTTGCGTACTATGTCAGCGCATTCTGCTGCGGGGACTGAGTCAGCTTGTATACGACAAAGTAGGGTTGCGGCGCGCCGCCGATCTCCCAGGAAAGGCGGCTAGAGTCACTAGTGCGTCGCCGTCAGTGGCGTGCCGGTGCTTGCGCTTGCCTAGAGCAATCATGGGCGTTAGTGCCTCGCTTGGACGTCCATCAGTCATGCCGGACTACTATTGCCGGCATGCTGGGCTTCCTTGCTAACATACCATGCATGCGGGCATAATCCCAACCCAACGGGGTCGGTGTTCTGCACCAGCTTGCGAATTCGCTCACACTAAGGAATACTGGTACTTCATGACTTGCTGACCTTTTCAGCGACTTGTTTGATAGCGGAAATGGGCGGCTAGAATACACTCGACATGCCCCCGCCAGTGGCGTGTCGGTGCTTTGTGCTTTGCCCACAGCGAACCACCCAGCGTCTGTGTACTAGGAGCTCCACTCCGCAACCCACATGGGGGGCGCTCCGCCGCACAGATCGCACATTACCACTCTCTTCAGAGCCGCTTGGAGATCGGCCATGCCCTGCGCTGCTGCTGCGGTGCCTTCTTGTCCTCTCTGTTTTGGTCACATGTTGTGGTCGGTGGTGGTGTTGCTCGAGGCATTGTAACCCGCTCACGGCTTCTGTCCTGGATGCCCTGCCATGTTGCCTCGAAACACAGGCTAGTGGAGCTGCGCGCTTACCTCGAGAAGATCCGCCCCATCGACAAGCACCTCTCCTACCAGATCGACAAGCTCCTCAAGGCCGCGCAGCTCGCCTCCGCCGCGCCAACCGCCGCCAACGGCCGGAGCGCCGCCGCCCGCGACGACGACGAAGCCGCAGCGGCGGGCCCCGGTCCCGGCTCGGAAGCAGACGCCCTGCAGTACGGGCCGCGGCCGGATGCGCTGGTGCCCAAGATCAAGAGTGCGGCGGGTGTGGATGGCGGGGCTGCGGACGAGGCGGCGGGAGTGTACCGGCCGCCCAAGATCAACCCTGTATCCATGGAGTTGGATGAGCGGCGGGCTGCGGGAGGAGAGGAGCGACTCACCACGCAAGACCGGCGGCGACTCAAGGAGCTTAAAGCCAAGTGAGTGCGCGGGACACCTGGGATGCTTGCGGAGGTGCACCGGTTCATAGGTAGAGCGATACATATAGTGTCGCTTTACACGTAACACGTGTTCCGAAACAGCCCATCATACTCCTGCTTCTTCCTTGCACCCTCCGCATGCAGCCTCTAAACTAACGCGATTTCCTCCCAAACCCCACTCCCTCCCTCCCTGGCGTGCAGGGCTAAACGCAGTGACACGCTGCGCGCCCTGGCTGCTGAGCTGGCGGGTGCGCCCGAGGAGGAGCGGACGGCGGTGGCGGGTCTGGACTCGGTGGCCGCGCTGCGCACACGCGCCAAGCTGGAGGCCCGGGCGGCGGTGGAGGAGGACATGTTCATCCGCGTGCCGCTCTCCAAGGACGAGGCCAAGCGGCTGCGGCAACAGCGGCGTGCGGGCATGAGCGGCGCAGGGCTGCTGGAGGACTTTGGCGACGAGGTGGCGGACCTGGTAGACATGACCCGTGGGTCGGCCGGGGCAGCCGGCGCCATTGCGCAGCGCGGCAATGCCCTTAACGACCTGTTCGCGCGGCAAAAGGTGTCGCAGAAGTTCGGTACGGACCATCCTTCGCTGTCCAAGCGGCCCCATGGTGGCGATGAGGACCTGCCCCTGCGCGAGCCGCTGCACGAACGGAGAGCCAAGTTCGATGCGGCGGCGGCCCGGCGGTCAGTGCGGGCTGACGAGGAGGGCTTTGGCGACGAGGAGTACGACCTTAGCGGCGGGAAGAAGAAGCGGAGAGCGGCGGGCGAGGAGGACGACTTCTACGCGCAAGCCAAGGTACGTGTGGTGTTGCTGTTGCCGCCTGTACTGATTGCACAACCGGACGGATGGTTACTGCTTACAACACGCGCATGTTTTGACACGCTTCTAGTACCGGTACAACGCATATCTGATACACGTCCACACCGCATGCATGGTCTCAAGCGCTTGGGCGTAACCCCTGGCGTTACGCCCATTGAACCTTCGCTGTTTCTCACATTCACTCCATTGGTGACACCCCCGCCAACCCACCCCCCTCAGGCGGATGCTGCTACCCGGAAAAAGGCGCGCGCGGAGGCCCACCGCGCCCCGGCTCTGGCACCGCCCGCACCCGACCCGAAGACCGACGCTGCTCGCGGCATTACGGACGAGATCCAGCGCAACCGCGGCCTGACCCCACACCGCCGGCGGGACCAGAAGAACCCGCGCAAGAAGAACAGGTGCGCCGGAGGACTGGGCATATGGGGTTGTTGCGGATCAGTGGGACTTTGTGTTGCGCCCTCCCGCCCCATATGCATGTCACGTGCCCATGTACCCATGCCAGCACGTAATTATGCATTGGTGGTGCATTGCTTTGGTTATAGTCATGCGCTCATCACTGGCGCATATAACAGGATACCCAGGCGTAAAACTATGCAGTCACAGCACCGTTACTGACGCGTCAATCCTTTGGTGCATACCCTACGCAGGATGAAGTTCGAGAAGGCCATGGTGCGCGTCAAGGGTGCCGTACAGCCTGTACGGCAACCAGAGGCGGTGGCGTACGGCGGCGAGGCTACAGGTATCAAGACCAAGGTGGCCAAGAGCAGGCGCCTATGAGGGCGCTGCTGGTTGCTCGGCTAGCGGGCTTCGGCGGCGGGGGTGCAGGTTGGACTTGTACAGTAGCATGCAGGGTAGGCAGTGGTGCGAGGAAGGCTGTCTGGGGTCTCACCTTTATGGGGTGCGTCGCAAACTATGGCATGTGACAATTGTTGGGCAAAGCTGGTGGAGTTTTGTTCACGTCGGTGGCGCATAGGCAGTGCGGATGGAGGTTTACGGCTCGCCTGGCCACGCCTCTTAGTTGTTTTGAGGCCGGACAAGCCGAGTATGCATCGTTCCTGTTCAACTAAACAAAGCTATTGCAGTAAACGATTGCTGGCTGGAATGATGCTACCTCTGTAAGACTCGTCACAGGACCTTGCGACTTAGTGAGGATCTCCAGATGACATATGTTGGCCAACATAGAATCCAAACTGTGGCATACTTTGTCCCCGAGTTGGGTAGGGAGCCAAGACACTTCGCACCGAAGGCGTCGGCCGATTTGACAAAGCTTGCAAGCTCCTTGTCTCTATGCTGACAGGCTAGCCTTTTATTTACGGGGGGACTGAAAGGTATTGAAATGCATCCGAAACAACGTCCCTCTCCACTGAAAGCAAGTAGCTAAAGGCGAACGTTTGTACACCGGTGCGCTGGTCTCTTGTACGGCTTTCAGGACATCTGGTCCCCCTTGTAACTTTCGCATTCTACCCCAAAAACCACAAACGACGCAAGTGCTAACGAGTACAACGTTGATGGACGGAAACGGTGATGGCGTGTACACCACTAGGGCGGCAGTATTCATTTAACTGTGGGAAAGGACTAAGACGTGATCCGGAGCATAACGTTTTCCGGTGCAAGGTTTATGCTACATGAAATACTGGATGGCCGTGTGGAGGATGCCGACTGAGCGGCATCAGAAAAGGGTGTTGCAACGAAGACGGTGGTTGCGCAAAGGAAGTACTGCGTGTAACCTCCCAAACGACTGATGCTTGACGACACTCCAGCGCTACCATCGCGATGCAGCTTGCTACGACGGAAGCGTAAACCTGCTCGTCTCCTTCGTAAACGATTAGAAGTTGTGCTCGTCCTACTGTAGGTCCGCGACTACAGGTATCCTTGCAGGCTAGGATACATGCGCAAATGCTACGTTGTTACCCTTAAAGACATAAATCCTATTCACATAGTCTTTTGGCCGCGGGGAAGCAATGGAAGTTCACGTAATCCGGCCCATAAGGGTCTAACCCGTCTAAACAATAGGGACCTATAATATTGCAATCACAGTATACATTCAATGAACAATTCGAAATGACGACATGTTGATAACTAATGATGGCAGCGTATAGTAACCCGGTGTACGACTTACTTGCAAGTTACGCTTGGGATTTGGTGAAGCTAGAGATTATCGCGCGGTATCTCCATACACAGTAGCGTGAAATGGAGCTGCTCCTCTGCATAGTAGAAGCCAACTCGGCTGCCAAAGCCCTCGCAAACGCTGGCGTGCGGAGCCTGCACGTCGTCCATGACTGTGGGCATCTTGTCGATGCTTGTAACAAGGCAAGCCAAAGGGCTGGGCTCGTATTAAGTCTGAACGCCAAAGTACATTGAGTAGCGGGTTGCTTCCATGCCGGGGTATGCCCTCGTTCGCCATAGAGTTCTCAGGGATATGACATATGCATATGTCAAAATAGGAAACATACGCAGAGCTACATTCATGGCTGGCAGCGCGTTTCGTAAGGTCTGCGCCTGTTCGTATGACGGCATCGCCCCGTTATTCTGTCGCTCCAGGTAATCCCGGCTGCACTTTCGGCCCTGGAATGTGCTGCCAGTGGATCGGCGGATGTGGCTGGGCAGGCCGTGGAATGCGTCCAGGTGAGGGTCGCTACGCGCTATCTACCGTGCTGACCGTTAGAATTCTGACGTCATCATGCTTTGTTTCGTAGGGATTGACGTCAAACATGGTCCAGCTTCAAGCAGCTCTTGAGGCCTTGAGCGAGCATGACAGCGAGGGTTTGCTCGGAGTGCTCATGGAGCATCCCTCCGCCTGGCTGGACACGTATCGGGCATTCCGCGGCCTGACACAGCAGCTTGTTGCACTTCGTTGCCTTATCAGGTGGGGGCTTGCGCCCAAAGTTTGTAACACGTCAGCTCCTTAAAGGTTGCAATGAGCGTAGCTGATCACTATTCAAAATTTGTCTTCCAACAGGGCCTCCCCACAGCGCTGCAAAATCGAAAGCGCCGACGAGGCTATCCAAGCATCGGTGAAGACCCTGCAGGCAATCTGTGCGCGCGCACGCGAGGCCGCCAACCTCCTCGGTAGCGACCTACCCGAGTTTGCTCGCGCAGCAGCAGCAGCCGGCTGGTCGCCTGAGCGCTTACGGCAGGCGCTTAGAGTCGCAACAGAGATGGCCTGCCCTCGCTGCGGCAACGGGTGCCCAGGCAGCTGCGGCCCGCAGCCATCCACATCAGCCGCGTCCCCAGACCCCTCGGAAACCTTAGCCCCCCCTACCGCGACCGTATCCGTACCCACTTCACCGTCAGGCACGCACACGCACCTGCATCACCACCCGCACCGGAGTCCTGGCGTTGGCACATGGGCACTGCTTAGGATCATTGGCAAGGCCGCTAGCAGTGGCGGGGCCAACCCGGCCACCAAGGCCCGGGGCTCCACCGCCAGCTCCTTTCCCGGTTCGACATGCGGCGCCTCGCCAACCTACTCCTCTACTGGCCTGGCGGGTTGCGGCTCGCTTGACGACGCCATTAGCGTGCTCGTATCGCGGATCCAAGAGATCATTTTGTACGACAGTGAGGTGGACCAGCTGGAGCAGGACCGAGCCTACCTCCAACATCGAGTCGCTCATCTGCGGGAGGCTCCTGCTCCGCACGCCGCGGCGGCAGCAGCGCCCGCAGGCTGCACCCAAGCAGCTGCGGCCGCAGCGGCCACAGCGGAGGCAGCACGGTCCGAAGCAGCAGCGACGGAGTCCCTCGTCCAAAGCAAAATCCTCTTGGCGGCCGTAAATGCGCGCCTGCAAGCGGTTAACGAAGCGGAGGGCAGCGGTGCTTCTAGCGGCGGCCGCCTCAGCCCAGGTGAAAACCCTGTGCCTAGACCGGGTAACAAGCGGCGAGGGATGGAAGAGGCGTCGGGGGCGGCAGCCAAAGCTGGCGCTCCCGGGCTCTGCGGCGCGACATCCCTCCGCCGCGTTGCCGCCAGCTCGATACGGCTCGCGGCAGCTGAGCAGGACAGTAACGTGTACGATGATGTCCGGAAGCGGCGCTCGGGTTTGCGCTGGCTGCCCACCTGTTTTGTCGGAGCGTAAATGGCTGGTGCATGCATGCATGCTTGGGGCTTTTTGCCTGCTTCCGAACATGCAGTCCTCGGGTCGAGTCCACAGGGCTAGCAACACTTGGTTAGTAGTCGTGGTCGTGGTTCGCTCGGCATGGACATGAGTTTTGGATCATGCGCCATGCTTTTGGGTATCGCGGGGTTACACAATAAGCCCCTTGGCCGTTTTTCGTACGCTCGTATCGCGCGTATCCTATACATAGGCCGTTGCGTGAAAGTGCGGTGAGTTTTGGCTCCACGCCTTTTGGTTTGCAACTGGCAGCTTAATGAGAGTGTCAACGCAACAGAATCCCCTCATGAGGGGAAGCGTCAGCATGCAACTGCAGCGGTGCTCGCTGGTACGGCAAGTCGTTGTTTGCGAAGTGTGAGAGAGTGACTGATTGAGAGCGAGCACAGTCGATACACCTCGAGAAGAAGCGGAAGATCTACCATCCCTGTTGGACGGATTGCGGCCTCCTAAGGCGTTTTGTTTAGCTGTCAAGCCTACACCTTTTGAGGTTTATTGCACCGTTGTAGGGTATGGGTCTTCTTAACGTTTTGTGTGGAGTCCCGCTGAATAGGGGCCATTTTCCTGACTAATGATTATGGGGGTCGGAAAATGCGTTTTGCAACTGCTACCATGAACACTTACTTCGGTACCGCGGCCTATCTGCTTGTCGTCCAGAGCCGGCTGCGTGTTCCGGCCCTAGACTTTACGTTTAATGCTAGTCTCATTACTGGCCATTTTTTTGCGGATTGCCCTGAGTGTATGTACTTGTAGGTTGCATGAGGGTGGTTGTGAAAGTGGTAACTGGGCTGGCAGGCTGTAAAGGTAGCAGACCTTGGAAAGAAGAGTTGTGTTAAGAACTGTCATAGACTATGTCTGAGAGGTGCTTCCTAACTTGTTGCTGCTACATGCATGCAGGCATATATTGCTGATCTGAATCTGTTGTGGTTTGGGGTGTTGTGTTTGGGGGTTGGGGCGCTTTGCTTGATTGGGTGTTTGGGAGGATAGCGGGCTGTGCTTGGAACTGATGGCCGGGGGTGCGTGTGATGCGGTTGTCAGGTTGAAGCAGAAGAGAATCTGTTTTCATACAATTATGCGTATGGTTTATAAAAACCTTCGACATGCAGACTTCTGCAGTTGGGGTCATGTAACAAGGGCTGTTGGCGTTGAAATGGTGAAGGCACTTGGCGCTGTCTCAGCTGTAGAAATGTTGTTCTGAACTTTACCTAGACCAGCTTATCTGCTTGCAACTATCAGCGGTACTAGGGGGGCTTTCTGTGCAGCTAGGGCAGCCCGGTCTCCCCCGTGTTGACAGAACGTGAGGGTAAAGAAAATCAAACCGAAATCAAACACCAGCCCATGAACGGCATTGCAGTTGATAGATGCAGCTTGGCTGGCCCCTTGCGAGCCTAGGGTGCGTCCAATGACCGTCGATACCGTCGTGTCCCGTTGGGAGGGTTGCACCACAGGCCACCAGTACAACATACCGCGAACCGCGTATCCCGCTCAACTTAACAACGTAAACAATACAGCGTCTTCACCAACATGAGAACGGGAAACTTTTTAGGCCTTCAGAGAAGCTTTCTGCACTTCCAGACCTGACAACATTGTGAAACCATCAAGCCGCAATCCGAGTTGCCCGTGCGCCAGTCAATCTCTAATCGCAGCGGCCTTTCCCTCCGCCGCTGCCTGCTGTGCCGCCATGACCTCACTCCGCCAGCTGATGAGCTGCACCTCGGGACAGTCGCCGGAAGCCATCAGCTCGTCCCAAACCGCCGTACATTGGCAGTACAGCTGCTCAAGCGCCGACCTCGCAGCGCGCCGCCGTACAAACCCCTCGGCCATAACGGGGTCAGCAGCCACTGCCGGCGCAGCTGCTGCTGCTGCAGCGCCCGCTGGACATCCGCTCGAGGCGCGCAGCTGGAATAGTTTGAGGGCTCGGCTTCGCAGCTGGCTCATGTTTCCAATGTTGCCGTGGGGCTGTTCTGTTTCGAGCTGAAGCAGAAGGGCGTTTAGCTGGTCTGCCAGCCTCTCGCGCGCCTGGGGACCCAACAAGTGCCCCGCAGAGCTGACCCATGGGTCAACATAAGCCAGCAGCGACAGCGCTTCCTGCAGTTCTGCCCAGGGCGCTGCTTCCGCAGCTTGCACGGAGCTCCCGCTGCCCTTGCTGTCGTGACTCTTGTCGCCGCCTTGTCCGCTGCGGCTGCTTTCAAGGCACCTGCAGCGGTGCAAGTCATGATACCTTCGCGCACTGGCAAGGAAGCCATCCTTGGCATCGTCCTCCAGCCCCTCAGCCTTCTTCACACCAGCGTCTCCGTCGTACAATCGCCGTACGACATGCGCTCCGGTAAGTCCCTCCAGCCCTCCACCCGGGCGTCCCGGCGGAGAGGGAGTCCAGGGCGCGGAAGACCAAGCCGGGCAGCCAGGGCCTGCTGACGCCGCCGCTCCGCCCACTGCAGCGGCTTCAGTCCCTGACGGCGCCATCGTCACCCGGGGCACCTTGGGTCGCCGCTCTTGAGGTGACGACGGCTCCAGATGGCTCATCGCCGCCGCCGTTGTCGTCGCATCCTGAATACGGCAGGCATGGTTGTACGGCACGGCGATGTCGCCGTTGGCGGCGGCTGTGAATGCTGCGGTCACAGGCGTGGCGGCAGATCGCTCCCCGATGTGGAGCCGCCACAGCTGCACAGTGGGACCGCCGCCGCCGCCGCCAACACCGGCGCCGCTGCTGCTGCCGCCGGCAGAACCACTGCCGCCGCCGCCGCCGCTGGGTCCGTACATCACGCCAGGAAAGTCACTCGTCCGCAGGTCTCTCCAGGTGCCGAGAGGCGTGACTGGACTCATGCCACTGTCTGCGGGGGGACCGATCCCTGCTGTTCCTCCTCCTCCGCCTGCTGCTGCTGCTGTCGCTGACGCAGACAGCGGAAACCCTAGCGGCAAGAAACGTTCGTCCAGCCTCGAAGCCAACGAACTACCACGGACCACACCCCTTTGGCCACCGGCGCTAGCGGCGGCCGAGGCAGCAGGACGCTTGCTCCGTACAACTGCTGATCCGACCGCCGCATCTTCTGGCGCCGCCGCCGCCGCCTCCGTCGTCGCTGCGGGTGTCGGCGGAGGAGTGCCCGGAGGGCTCCAGCCTTCAGAGTCGGAGTCAACATCCATGGCATCCACTGCTCCCGCCGCCGCCGCCAAGCCGCTGCTGCAGCCGCCGCCGCCAAGTCCCAACCCGTCGTCGTCGAAGCCCGTTCCTTCGGCACCGTCGCTCTCACTCCCATCAACAACCCCGCTGCTCAGGCTGCCACTGCTGCCACTACCTTGGCTTCTTCCCAGCTGGTAACAGCCGTCCCTGGCCGTTGCCGCCTTGTGCCTCCCCAGGTCCCACCCCATGTCCTCCACGACGGCAACCTCAGGATGGCCCGCATCCCCTCCGCAAGTGACTCGCATGGCGGCGTGAGAGACTCCCTCACAGCCACTGCCACCGCCACCGCCGCCACCAGTGGTGAGCAGCAGCAGCCCTGGCGGCGGCGCCTCGCTGTTGCGCCGCAACGCCGCCGTCACGTCGCAATGCAATCCCCATGCGGTACATTGCTGCGGCGGTGTTAGTCTCATGAGGTGCCGTCGCGCAAAGTCTAGCGCTGAGTGTGGAGCTCCGTGGCCCACCAGCGATAAGAAGATGTGAAGCCGGAGACGCCAGTGCGCCAGCGCGGCTGCTGAGTGCCTGCAGTCGCCGTTGCCGTCGACGTCGCCGCCGTCGATGTCCCTGCCGCTGCCGCTGGCGCCACCAAAGGCGGCTTCTGCCGCCGATCCTGCATGCATGCCATTTAGCGGGCCAGGGACGAGGACGCTGCTGCAGCCGCCACCGCTGCCGCCGCTGCCTTCACCTCCGCCGGCACCACACCAGAGGCAGCTCTGGCCGCAGTACCCGCTCTCAATCCGGTGAAGCGCCGCAAGCAGTCTCCCTGCGGCATAGCGGCAGTAGGCAGGCGGGCACACACCGCGTCAGGTTAACGAGGAAGAGAACGCAGCACCGCACACACGGCAACTGATTGCAACTGATCCACAGCTGCCGTACACCGGGACATCATGGCCTTGTCGTAGCCACCGCTACCACCGACGCCACCGCAGCTGCAGCAGCAAAACCGATTGAACGAAGCTACAACACCCGCCACAGCCACGTGTCCCCCCCATTCCTCACATCTTTTTCCCACCTTAACAAACCGGTATGTTGTCCACACGACACCTCCCCCCTCACAACTACTACCACATAGCCTCAAACCCCAACCCTCAGACCACCGTACTCCACCCTCTCCCCTCTCCACCGTGAAGGTAACCATCTCCGTCTCACTCACTCACCCGCGCGCACGTCGCCGCCCACCGCTCTCCGCACCCGTGCTGACCTCAGCTGAGCCTCCGTCGGCTGCCCCGCCGCGCCGCCAGCCTCCGCCGCCAGCACCGCCGCCGTACCCGCCATCCCCGTCTTCAACAGGTGTTCCAGCACCAAATGCGGCACCAACCGCACGGCACCACCCGACCCCCCGCCGCTGTTGCCGTCACTGTTGCAGTCGAACCCTGCCTCCCCCGTTTGGGCCGCCTTCGTAGGTGCCAGCACGCCGCAGCAGACGGCGGCATGAGGGACGGCCGCGGATGCTGGTGCCACCGCCGCTGGCGCTGCTGGCGCTGGCGCGGAGGCCGGCCCCGGCGGCCAACCGTCCTCTGCTTCCGGCAATCGTTGCGACAACCGCTCAAGTGGAGGCGGAGGCAGAAACGGAGGCTGCTGCTGCTGCTGCTGCGGGCCGGGAGGCGTGTCAGGCGGCTGTTGCATGGCTGGAGGGAGCTGCCCTGCAGGAGCCCGGTCCGCAGCTTGCTGCAGCTGCAGTGGCGGCTGCGGTGGCGGCTGCGGCTGCGGGATTTGGTGGTAATACGGCCAGGGCAGGAGGTGAGTGAGCGGCTGCAGAAGCTGCTGTGCCTCCGCTGGCGGAGGCGGAGGCGGTGACGGAGGTGGCCGCCTTCCCCCGGTGCCTCGCTCCTCCTGACCCGGGTCCCTAGGCGGTGCCTGGGGAGAGCGGGCGCCCGGCAGCTCCCCGCCCTCACCACCACCACCACCGCCACCACCGCCACCGCCACCACCACCACCACCCGCTTCCTGCTCACGTCCCGCCTCCAAAGCCTCCACTCGCATGCCCCACACCGGCGCCAGGGCGGCCTGGGGAGCGGGAAGCAACGGACGGGGGGGTTCAAACTGAGGGAAACTGACCAACTGTATTACGAGGCTTTAGCAGCGGGGGGAGTGGGCGGAGGAGGAGGTCGGCGGAGGTAACAGCGGACGCATGGGGACAGCTGCAAGCATGCAGCAGGGGCAGCCGGCCGCATCCAGTGCATTGCGCCAGCTCTAAGCAGCGGCGTGCGTGCTACTCCGACTTTAGCGCCCTATCTGTACACCCCTGGTATGACAGCCTTCATGGCTGAGCCTACGTCCCGCCGCCACGTACCTCTCGGCCCCGATCACTGCAACCATTCCTCCTCCACCCGCACCGCCTCCAGTGCCCTCCTCACCTGCACCGCCCGCTGCTGCCAGGGCGCCAGATCCACACTGAAGGGCCTGCCGGGGGTGGGGCGGGGGGAGGGGGGGAGGATGAGGCGCGCAAAGGGGGCGGGTGCAGCGGCACGCGAACAGGATCAGGCAGGCGACCCATGACAATCCAATGCGGGGGGAAGGGGAAGGGGACGGAGGAGGAGGAGGAGAGTACAGGGTTCGTACCCCTGTGGGTCACCCTGTGGCTCCTTCTACCGTCGCCACTGCCCCTTCCTGCCTGGTACCTCCCCCGCACCCCCCGCCTGCCCTCCCCCGCACCTGCCCCTCGGGGCGTGTGGCCCCAGGTTGAGTGCCACACGGGCTCCCCGAGTGCGCAGCCCCACGGTGGGGTACAGCGCCTGGAGCAAGGCAGGGGGCGGAGGCGGGTGGAGGCGGCAGCAGCAGGGGATGATGCGGGGTGGGGACATTCAACGGGAGTCATAGGACTGAAACACGGGGATGGCACACAGAGGAAGGGATTGAGGCAGTACATGGCAGCGGAATGAGTGGGAAGAGAGGCGCAAGCAAGGGAGCTACGTAGATCCTCGCGTGTCCCCCAAACCCCGGTGCCAGTGCCCCAGTCAAGACGATGGCCCACCGTTCCTTCCCTTCCCCCTTTACGGTACTGGGCGGCGCATCCCGACCCCTACCGGTGAGTTGGGGACGTGTGTGAAGGCCACTCCCAGGCTCTCTCCGTTTCGGAAGAACTCAATCACGTGCCGGACCCTGCGGGGGGCCATGCGCGCACCGTGGTTGGTGTTGGGGATGGGTGGGCCGCAACCGCGGCTGCATACCACCTGCTGGCTACCCATGCAGTAGAACGTACGACGCCGTACGAAGGCAAACGCCCTCGCAATCCTGGCAGGACCCTCCAAATCCTACTCTCACCGCCTGGACAGCTTCACGTCCCCTCCCTGTCACCCCCTCTCCACTCCAGCCTACTACTTTCCTCCTCCTCCCCACGCCACGCCACCTCCGCGCACCCCACCTGTCCCACAGCGCTCCCACCACATCCCCCCCGCTGTACTGCGGCCCGTAGCGGCTGCCGCGCCCGTTGCTTGCGAACTTGTTGCCGTCGTCGCCGTGGTAGCCGTACGAGTCGCCGTCCCAGCCGGGCAGCCGACTGAGCGGCACGGAGGCGGCGGTGAAGCCCATGCCTGCGGTTGGCGGCATGTAGCAGGGCATGGGGTGGCGGCAGTGCATGGGGTGCATGGGGTCCGTAGGCAGCAGTGTACGGTACGGTGGTAGGGGCAGGAGGAGCGCAGCGCAGGTGGAGGGGCGGTTAGAGAGGAAGGAGGTACATGCACGCGTGAAGGTATGGCAGGGGACAGGGTATGAATGGCGAATGCGATGTAGGCTTGTAGAGGAGGCTTCTTAGAATGATGCTTGGAGGCGATAAAATGGACCCCGAAAGACCCATGGGTCGATCGGCTGTGGCGCTCAAGGCCAGACAGTTCATGTTTCACGCAATAGCAAATAGCGGTAGCCGCCAGCAGAGCAGGACAGCGGGGGTGCGGGGCAGGGTGTGCAGCATTGGCTGCTGCTGCTGCTGAGGATCAGGAGGAGGAGGGGGAAAGAAGAAGGAAGGAGGTGGGGGAGGCGGATCTCACCCATGGAGCTGTCATCTCCGCCGTGCTGTACGACCATCTCAAAGTAGAACAGCGGGCAGTCAGCGGGTACCGGCACGTCAGTGCGCACGGCGGCAGCTTGCCTGCGGGGGCAGCAGCAGGAGGTGGGGATTTGCGGTAAGACGGGATAGATTGTCCGACCTGGGAAGAGGAGGTGGGAAGTGGAAAGGGTAACAGGGAGGGAGGGAGGTTCGGGTAGAGGGAAATCTGCGGCGCGTTCTACTCTAGGGCTGTCCTTTCCGCGGCAAAACGCGAACTTGTCCCGGCTTCTTTAACAGTTATGGTCAAGCGGCGCCGCAGTTCTTCGTTCACTGGTGTAGTCATTAAACACTCACAGTCGCAGAGGATGGTGCCGCCAGGAGTCTGCTGAGTCGGCTGAGAAGGCTTGGCCCTAGGCTCTAAGCACACCAGCCGCGGGCCTGTCCCTATTTACCCAATAGACACTTTCCAAATTTCATCGTATTACCGCAAGACCTCTTGAAGGAAGCGCCGCATAGCTCTACACGTTGCGCCCCAGTCATGCCAGGTGAAGCAATTTCTTTCCGAAATCCACACTACTCACCTGTAGTAATAGCCCAGCCCGTTTCCAACGTAGCGCACCACCGGGCCTGTTGCCGCGTCTGGGTCCACTTCCAAACATGCTGACAGAGAGGGCGGCGATGCGCTGCCGCCCGGCCGAACTGTGGGCGAGCCCGAGGTATCTAGCCGCGACGGCAACGCCGCCGCAGACCTAAACGGGCAAGGACAGAGCCCTGCCATGTCCTGTTTGCTCCTGATCTATTTGATTTCCGGTTACCTAACTCTGGGATAGCATACTACATTAGAGAACCTAAAACGGGCAGTTCGCAGAAAAGGTTTCAGAAATGGTCAGGGCAATCCTCTAAAGTGCCAAGCCGCATGGAAAGCTTGAGCAAAACAGAAGGCATGGGCGGGAAGGTTTATGACGCCCATTGGACCGCCCCGGCCCATGGGTCGGTTACGGCACGCATTTAGCAAACGTGGCAAAATGATGCAAGGGCTCATCGCCCGCAATCGTTTCTGATTTAGGGCCAGAAAGGCTTTTCTCGACTGTCTGCGGGCTCCTGTGTTTTGTATGCCGACTATCCATGCTTCCTCGGACGCCAGCCAGCCGCAAACCGTCCAACAATGCGAAAGTCCTTGGCAAAAAATGGGCCAGGATAGCCGTCTTGTACCATTTTGAATTATGTTATTAGGATTATTTTCTTACAGGAGTTGTAACAAGTTGCGCCGCTAACAAAGTTCCGAATGTTGCGATCACAGCGGGCGCAACAGGAACCCCGAGAAAGAAGCCTCTACAACAGGCAGCATCTTACATCATGCGAGTAAATGCTTTAAGTCAACACTTGGAAACATTATATGGTATCCAAGTCTGCATAAGCCTTCGCATCCAATCGCTTGATGTCCGCGCCACCAAGCGCTTCCTTCGCACACAATCCTCACACCTCCTCACCCGCCAACCTCCTATCGAGCAATTCTCTAGCTCGTGTAACCCACATCGCCGCGGCGCTCAAAGTCCCTCCAGCAGCCCCGATCCTCCTGCCGCCTCAGCCCCCTGAGCAGCCCCCGCTTCCCCTGCTGCCGCCGCCGCCGCTGCTGCTGCCGCCGCGCGTGCCGCCGCCTCCATCGCCGCCTCCTGCGCCAGTACCGCAGCTTCCTGCTGGTACGGCATCAGCCCGAACCACCACATGACCGCGAACCCCAACAAAGTGATGAGCAGCGCACGGAAGGTGTGCTGCAGGGACAGCGCGGCCTGCGGCAGGGGGAGGAGAGAGGTGGGGAGGAGGATGGGGCAGGAGGACAGAAGGGTCAACAAACCGGTAGTCAAGAGGACAGCTGTCTTCACGCATACCTCCCACCATGGCCCTGGACAGCATACCCCCGGTGCCCCACCCCCCAGGGCCCCCCCTGGCCCCGCCCGCAAAGCGCAGTCTCTCCCCCTCACCTCCTCCCCAACGTAATCCGCCAGCCGTTTGCGGCGCTGGGCACCCCCCTTGCGAGCCCGCGCCTTCATGTCTCGCTCCAACCTGCGTGCACGGCATCGGCGCGGAGGGGTGTCCACGGCAAAAGCAGTCCGTAAGGGGCCCGGGGGAGTGTGTGCAGAGGGGCCCAAACACAGCCCTTTCCAGACAGCCCCTTGTAGCGGTAGCGAGTTGCTGAGGTGGCTGCCCTTGGAGGCGATGCGAGGCTGCGAAACACAGGCGTGCACGCAACACGTACGCTGTCCTAGCCTCTCCCTCCCAGCAGCCTGAGCACACCACCCGCTAGCACTCCTCCCAAGCCCTCTCCCTTCTCTCGCCAACAACCAGGTCCCCCCCGATGCCCCCAGCGCCCGTTACGAGTAACCCCATGCAACCACACTAACCCCCGCCCCGTGCCCCCCACCTGTCCACGTATCCCACCGCGTCGTCCGCCTTGTCCCCGCCGCTCCAGGCCGAGGTGGCGGCCGCCCTCAACCTGTCCATGCGGGCCCTGTGGGCGAGACGAGCTGCCACCGCGTGACAGGGGGGGGGGCGGGCAGCCAGGAAGCGTTAAGAGGAGGTTAACGGGAGGGGGACGGAGGGGGGTATTGCATGTGGCACGTACAAACACCGACTCGCGGCCAGTAACGCAGGCCGGGTACAGCAGCTGTCAGCTCACGACCCGGCTAGGCTGAGTCGGAACACACAAGGTGGAATGGTTACCACAGCTGGTTTACTGCACTGGATACTATGACATATCAACTATGACAAACCGGCTGGTTGTGGAATTCCAGGTGCGGCATCTGGGCCTGTATAACCCACAACATTGCATCCAACATGCATCGCCAACCACGCCAGCTGCTCCTCCCCCCTACTCCTCGATATACAGCGCAGCTTGCAGCACCAGCACAGCACAGGGACGCATGCCTGCCTTCAGTTCGCTCGTCGTGCCGCCTTCTTGTGTCTCATGGACGCTTTTCGCTCCCTATTAACGAAATTTGGTACGTCTTCGTTGCACAATTTTCCCTTGCTACGCAGGTTAGTCGGGGTTCGCACTAGTGGGTGGGCTGGGCTTTGTTAGACCCATGGGTCATTTGCGAGGGTCGGGTAGGGTGGGATGCTTTGGTGCACACAGCCGCATGACAGCCCCAGCTAAGCAGTGGAGCTTACATACGTTATGCAGCTGACAGCACTGCAGCACAGACATCAGGTCTAGCGCATTGGCGCCGGGTATCACAGGAGCAGCCGCCTTTTATTCGGCAATGCAGAGTGATCCCAGATCACCCCAGCCGCCATGGAGCTTACAATACGGTTTGTTATTGATTGATGCTACTAACTATACAACAACCAGGGGGGGGGGGGTAAAAAAGTCTTTGCCAAACCCCATGCTAAAAAAAACAAGAAAGGGGTGCCGGACCCACCCACCCACCCTGTCGTACGGTTTTCGCTGTACGACAACGCTGTAAACTTCGCAAAATCGCCCCAAAAAAGCACCCTTCGACTCCATTGCACATGATCTTCGTCGTTCTCACGTTAGGCGTACCATTTGGCAACATGTCCGAGTCGCTCGCCACACGGGGGGGGGGGAGGCAGGCTGCCAGACTCAATGCTCTCTGGTATGCAGCCGATACACATCTCTTTTAAACCTCACATGCATTGCTGTGATGCTTGAGTGCACGGTTGCGTTGGTAAGTGTGCTCCAGCCCACCTGCCACTGCGTCCCTCACATCACCCCGCCATCGGTACGACTGCGCCCCCTCCCCCGGGTAGCAGGTTGGGCTTGCACCCCATCGCCCTCAGCACCAGATGCAGATCCACGCATGTTTCCACCTGCCACGGGTGTGTCGTCAGTACGCCTGTTGCGTGCCCTCCCCATTTAACCTTGCCCTAACTTTGTGATATTATTCGTTTGGTTCCTCTATGGGCCCCTTCCACCTTAGCCCCTGTCCCTGCTGCTTGCTTTGCCTCTGGAGAAGCCATACCGTGTATGTTTGGCCAGCTAGGGTGTTCCATGGGGACATGCCACCCGCAAACTCCACACAAAGGCTCTAATATTAACATAATATGCATACACTATAACAGGAATACTAAATCTGCTATCCGTTTGGCGAAACGATACCTAGGAAAAAAGTTTTGGAGGTCAAAGAAAAAAGTCATTGGGGCTCCGGACCCACCTACCCACCCCTGCCGTACGACCAACTTTGCGAGCCTATAACTTTTTCCGTACAACTCCGATTACAATTCTGAAAGCGGAATTGAAATGCTCTCGTTGAGTTCTTTAATATTGAAGCATGGGGTCATTTTGCGGCGAAACTACCCCCCCCCTGCAACAACTACAATTATTTGCCATCCCAACTATCCAGCGTAATGCGGATTCTGTTTCCAAATTAACCCCCTACTCCTGTCCTACCTTGCCGCTCCCGCCGCTCCTCCTCCGTCAGCTCCCGGCCCTCCTCCTCCTCCTGCTCCTCCTCCACCTCCTCCACCTGCGCAACCCCACTGCCCTGCTGCTGCTTGCGTGTCTGGGCACCGTCCCGCTCGCCCGCAGCACCGCTGCTGCTGCCGCTGCCACCACTGCTTTCAACCGCAGCAGCACCCGCACCGGCGGGCCCCCGGGCGGTATCATCACCGCCACCATCGCCACCTCCAGGGGGGGTGGCCAGGCGGCTGCGCAGACGCTCGGGCAGGGCGGCGGTGACGCTGTTGAGAACAGCCTGAGGGTTGTGAGGTGAAGAGGCAATCGCCGTAACAGAACGTTAGCAGGCGTTAGCTATAGCAGGGTTCCCCGGCGACAGGCCTGACCTCCCTCCAGCTCTGCGAGCCCTAGACAGACAGCCCCGAATTACCCGCAGTACCATGCCCGTGGGCGGGTCGGGCTGGCTCACATGTTGCAAACCATGATGACGCCTTATCACACGGTCAGCTAGTTGTTTCCTCTTCACACTCGCTACCCACCTGCACCGCATTCCCCGCGCACGTGCGCAGCATGGCCCGCATTTCGCCCATCTTGGCTGCCGTACTCGCGGGGTCGTTGTCGGGCAGCTCGGCGCGGAGGTCGTCAATGACAACCTGGGCGGGGGGCATGACCCGTGGGTCGCGGACCCGCGGTCAGAACCTCTCTGCGCTTTTGCTATAAGACTAGTGTTTAAGCTTGGTATAAGCGTCGGAGGTCCTACCTGCAAGCCGTCTGTCTTGCGGGAGATGGCGTGTAACCGCTTGAACTTGGCGGCAACCGACATAACCGCCGGTTGGTCCTCGTAACTGCGCACAGGGTTTTTTCCGGCCGGTTACGGGCTCTCGTGAGTCCGGGACTATATGCTATCAAGATCCGCGTTGGGCTGATGTGCAGGGTGTGAAGAAGTGGTGTATGGATGAAGCAGGGTAAGTTTTGAGGATACTGTGGATAAGCATATGGCCGTCGTGATATGTTGGCGCATGGCCAACCACAGACCTACTCATCCCACGTCCCTAGCGCTCACCGCTCCAGGTTGTTGGTGCGCTTCGCCTCCGCCAGCGCATCCCTGACCCGTGGGTCGCGGATGTCCGACTGGAAGTCCTCATCGGCTCGCAGGGCAGCCACGGCGCTGCGAGCAACGGGCGGAGGGCGGCACGTATGGTGCGTAGTTACGTGGCAGAGGGGTGCACACACATTTTTGAAGAGGGGTTCACACAGCATTCAGCACGTGCTCATGTGCCTCCATGCACGCCCTCACAGCACAACACAGCACAGCACAGTAGATCCTCAGGCCGACTTGCTACCGTCAGAAGGGGGCCTGGAGGGCGATGTGCGCTGTGCTGCTGCGGACCACCCTGCCACCCAGCACACCCCATGGCAGAGACTTGTCACACGGTTAGCTTGATCCTTCAACTCTACCCCAGCATTCCCGAACCCCCAACCACCCACCCAAACAGCTCCACCATGTGCATGGCCTGCCGGAGCGCCGTGATCGCCACGTGTGCATCTTGATCCAAGTACGGCAGCTCCTGCAGTTGCCGCTCGTCCATTCGAGCGTACGACTCAACCTGAGGCCGTACCGGTATCGGTGGGGTCGCGGGAGGGTGATAAATGGTGAAGGCGGGCCCGAACTCACCATTTGTGGTGTCACACGAAGCCGCAACTGACGGAGGTACAGACAGGGTAGCGGACTATAAAGGGCGGTATGGCGTATGCTCCTTGCTTGGATTCACCCCCGCCCCACAAGAACCCCGGTATCCATGCTTCACTGTCTAATTTCCAACTTCCAAACCCCCTCCACACTCCCTCTTGTCGTACCTTCGCCACCTGTCCTTCGTGCGACAAGCTGGTAAACTGCCGGAACAACAACACGGCGGGACTCTCCTCTTCCTCCTCCTCCTCTTCCCTCCCACCTCCATCCTCCTCTGCCTTCCCCTCCCCCCTCTCCGCCACCGCCGCCGCCTCCGCATCCCTGCGGCACCTCCGCCGCGCTTTACCCCAATCCTCCACACCGCTCATCTTCGCAGCCGCCCGTGCAAGCGCTTTAAACGCCCGCCGTGCGGACCGCACCAGGGCAGGGTCGGGAGCAGCACCTGCAGCGCTGCCCTCCATAGGGCCCTCCGGCAGCGGCAGCCGGGCATCAGCTGGCGGCGGCGGCGCCTTGCATGGAGCCACTCGGGGCACCAGCTCGAAGGGCAGCTGACCGTCCTGGGTCTGACTCAGCGGGTCGGCGCCTGGGCAGGAGCAGGCGGCCGAGGAAAGGGCCGGGACGCGTGAAACACGGGAGATGTGGGGTCAGAGAGAATCTAAATCACGCCGCAAGTTGGGGCAAAGCAATGGGGATGGGAGAGATAGAGGGCAAGCGTATGAAGGGGCTTGGGTCCTGTGACGGTTACAAGCGGAAACTCGCGGACCAGTCATCAGACGGAAGACATGTCAGGTGGGAGGGGTTGTGTGCCTGTAGCGAGCGACTCAGCAGGCTCCTCAACGACCCTACGCCGTCTCCCAAACCTTGTAGCCTTGAACCCATGCACTTGCCATGCAGTACGCAACCATCCCGATAACCCCTTGCATCCACAAGGAGTCCACAGCCGCACCCACTCCTAGCAGCCACAGCGCCCACCCACCCACCCACGCACCCAGCTTCAGCAGCGTCTGCACCGTCTCCTCGTCCCCCGACAGCGCCGCCGCATGCAGGCAGGTGAGCTGCTGGGGGGTGGCGGCGCCCGTCACGGGGTCGCAGCCGCCGCGGGGCTGCCGTACGAGCCACTCCACGGCAGCCGCCTGCAAGGTGAGGAAGAGGAGGGGGAGACACGGGCGGAAGGCGAGTCGTCGGCATCGGCATCGCCAGCATGCGAGAAGAAGGGGCAACGGATCGCAAGAACTTTCTTGCCCTTCTTTGCCCCACCACTTGCCCAGCCCCCACACCCCCCCCTCCCCACCTGCCCCAGTCCCGCCGCCAGGTGCAGCAGCGGCACCCCCCGGTAGCGGCCCGCCAGCGCCCCCGCCAGCCCGCCCTCCGCCCGCCCGCCCAGGTACTCGGCAGCGACCAGGCGGCCGGCCAGCACGGCCTCCGCGAAGGGGGTGAGCGAGCGCTTGTTGGGCAGGAAGAGCTGGGCAGGGCGGGGAGGGAGGGGAGAGGGGGAGGAGGATCGCAGGTGGGCGAGTGGCTGAGTGGGTGAGGATGAGGACATGGGTGCAAGAGGTAGGCAAACCAAGATCGGGAGGAGCGTTGCATGACAATATTCGCGGAACCGCAATACGGTGGCACAGGTAGAACCTGCAGTTCAGGTGCGTGCACACACCGCTCCTCCATAATCAGTGTCCACACCGGTATCGACATAAACACTGAACACCGCTTACCTTGGCCCCCGCCTCTGCTAGCGCTTTGACAGCCCCCAGGCTGCCGCTGCGAGCCGCCAGGTGCAGCGGCGAGTCATCGGCGCCATCGGGGGCGTCTCGCCAGCAGCCCTTTGCCAGCAGCAGGGCCACACAGCGCTCGTGGCCGCCTGGGGGGTGGGTTGAATGTGAAGAAGCAGCCGAGGGGTTCAGCGAGAAACCAACCCGTTCAGATGGAAACAACTGGGTGGGGACGGGAAGCCGAGGCAGGATAGAATGGGACTGAGCAATTGCGGCCATATGTGATGGACTGCAGGTTTAAGGTTTAAGGAGCTAGTGGCTCCTGTAACTCGTTTTTGGAGGACCGTAGGGCTTTGTGTTCGAGGCTACAAGTGGGAGGATGGGACTGGGATGTTGCACGGGACATGCTTCAAAACAAACGCCGGTGTGGGTGAGCTGGTATTAATCGCTTCTAGTTAATACTCACCGGCTGCAGCGTAGTGCAGTGCGCCGCGGCCAACGTTATCCTCCGCATCGAGATCGACGCCTTTGGTGGAGAGGAATTCTATTATCTCCTCGTGTCCATGGGACGCTGCATAATGCACTGCTTGGCGACCATGCTTATCTTTTGAGCTAGGGTCGGCGCCCGTCCGAACGAGTTCCTCGACCTGCAGCCTCGATGCTTCGGTTAGGAATGTGCACTCCCTTTGTGCATTTCATAAGCGAAACAAGGCTTACATCGCCAAGTAATCCCCTCGCTGCTGCCCAGAAAAGCAGCTCTCCCTTGTCAGCGTCTCTTTTAAGCTGTTCGGTTGACGGGATGGAGGAAGACCAAGTATCTTAGACTTAAGAAGTAGAAGCATTCGGTAATGACTTATCTATACCAGCAGTATACCTCGTCAATCAACTCGTTTGCTGTCTGTGAGCTCATCTTTCTGGAAGGACGTGCTGTCTGCTGTGGTTAGCCTATTCCGCTAAAAGACTTCCTTGTATGTCGCAAACAACAAATCGTACGGGTAAAGAGAAGGGTAGACTCAAGAGCCGGAAGCTCTGACAAGTAGTGTAGGTTTCACGTGGGGGTCTCTTGGATAAGCCCAGTTATTAGCCAATCAACGCAAAGTGCCCAATACAGCGCACCAGCCAGGCATACTGTTGTGAAGCACCCAGGGATGCAGCCGTCAAGTAACAACCGACCCTCGGGGCAGGAACCCTTCAATTGGATATCTCGTACATATGACACGCCTGGCGACATTGCGAGCACTCTCCGTGCTAACCTGGCGCGGCATACCCTCTAACCGATGTCACTTGCAATATATCAGAGAGTCGAAGTTGTGCGGGTCCGCAGAACCAACAAGTGCCTGGGTAGCCTGCCGTGTAAAATACCAGAGCACTCCCCTGCACTACCAGACATTAAGCCCCAGTCACCAGAAAGGGGATTTCCAGGACAATGACCAAAGACACTCACAAGATGAATTTAGATAAGGGCAGGGCCCGCAGTGGGAAACAATAGTCGCTGAGGATTGTAAACAAGGGTGGTGGTGTAAACTGGCCTGGCACGCTGTAGGACTCGCTGTAGGACTCTAATCCGCTAATTGCATCTCGCCAACGTTTCCGTGAACGCGAGGTGTGAATGCGTGTGGGCTTGTGTATTCCTGACAGGCAAGTTAACCAAAGCGTTTAACAATTTGCAGCCACCCTAGCCCCGTCCTCAACCATTCGGCACGCGGGCGCCAATGTCAGCAACATCGACCTTTACAACAACTGCCCTGACCAGCACTTCTTCATGTGATACCGGTACGGCACGTGACGCAACTACAGCAGATTACTAGCACTAAATCTAAGAGCACTCTTTGCGCCAGACTTGGCGCGGCCAACCCTCCAGTTTAGTTTCTCCTTCTTCACTCCCCAACCCGCATGACGGTTGCTCACGCCTGCCCTCCGCATTGGTGACTTCACGCCTGCTCCCCAGTAGCCGTACGTGAGCAGCTGAGCACTCGTGCTTGCCAATGGGCACAAAGAAGAGGACCTTGCGCCCGGTGCTGCACAGCGGGTCCACCGACAAAAACAACAGGTGCGCAGGCAACACCCATACCCACCGCCCAACCCTGAGGCCATTAGGAGCAAAACACGATGGTCCAAATGCAACAGGGTTACCGGTGGCCCTTGCCTCGTTGCTAGCCGTTACATACCTGGCTTCATTCCTCCTCGCTAGACGTTGTGGCTGGGTGCCTTAGTTGTACCCCTCGCTAAGCAATGCCACCCGCAATGTCATCCATGCGTCCATTAGGTGTGCTGCAATGCTACCACACCCGCGGCAACGGGCCACCGCAACCACGTCATTTCTTGTACGCCAGCATGCCTGAGGCGCTGAGGGAGAGGAGTCCATGCTCCTGTGCCGGCTACGCTGCCCCAGACACTGCTGTCGTGGCAAAACACCACCCAGTGGCGTCTTGCGTTTCAAATCAGTGCCAATTGCCCAGTGTCGATACTAACCATGTCCAACAGCGCATCAGCTGCAAGCATACCCACAAGTGCTCCAGTACATACTTGCCAATGCCTGCCTACAAGTATCGCTGGCCCTGCCACGACCCCTGACCCCACGACCTGACATGAATCCGACCGATGCGTACCTCATCAACCTACTCTTTGCAGTGCATTAAATACACGCTCCTACCCGCCCACTACGCCCTACTCCCGCCACTCCAGTCCCTCCCCCCCACACACGCTCCCCTCCACAACCCAAAATCGGGCGCCCTCATCAACCCTTACAACCCCAGCAACACCAACGCGCATCCCCATCAGCGCCCAAGCTGCCCGTCCACAGCATACGTACTACCAACCCCACATACATGCACAGCCCCATCCCTCCACCTCCTGCTGCCTCCACATACGTGTGTTTCCATTATTACAATGCCAGGTCCTACAAAAAGCAGTGCATCCTCCATTCTTCTACGCATTGCTGCTGTCCGCGTCCGCGCTCTCCGCCACGGTCGCCGTGAGCGCTGTTGCGTCCGGGAACCAGGGGTAGGAGTACACGGCCGCCTTGACGAACTGCAGCGTGGACAGCGTGCGCCCGAACAGGAAGCCGCGCAGCAGCAGGTGAGCCGACTTCTCCCGCCGCATGTTGCGCTGCAGGGACTGCAGGCGGAGGGGGGGGGTGGCGGGGTGGTAAGACAACTGGTGGTGAGCAGACACGTGGGGTGGTTTGTTAACTGGCCGCGAGTCGGAACGTCCTATGGTTGCTGGAGGATGAGGTCCCCCACAGCGGTGGCGCCCACCTCCCAGGCTCCACACAGATACAGCCCGGTGCGGATGGTCCTAACCGCAACTCCCCCACCGCCCCCACTGCAAGGTTCCCAACCCAGCCCTCCAGCCCCCCAGCCCCCCCACCTTGAACACCTCGCACTCGGGCGCCACTGTGAGGTGCTCCATGGCGGTCTGCACGCTGGCATGCGGCCCATGCAGCCCCGTGGCCAGGTGCGCGTTGATGTCCCGCCGCTCTGCCAGGATGCCGCGCATGATGCCGGAGAAGAGCTGGAACACGGCGCGCAGGTCGCGGATCTGCTCGGGGTTGAGCTCCAAGGTGCGCAGTACGGCATGCCAGTGGGCGGGGTCGGGGGAGCAGACCTGCTCCGTCTCCAGGTGCGTCTGGAAGGGGGTGGGGGAGGTGGCAGCCGGGGGGGTGGGGCGAGGGGCGCGGGTGGGGGATGGCGGGCTGATGAGGTGGATGGGGTTAGCGCGGGCTTGGCTCCGGGCTCGCGCAAGAGATTAACTATTAAAAGGAGATGCGCATGGGACCCGGTGAGGTTAAAAGGAAGGGTGCAGTGGCATTTCATGGATAAAAGGGGAAGGTGAATGGAAGGAAAGGAAGGCCCTCAAGGATGGCGACAAGGGCGTGCCGTCGGCCTGCACCCTGCCAACTATGTTGCATGCATGCACGCACGCACGGCTGGCAAGATAACCCCCGCCACACACCCACCTGCTGTGCCATCATGAAGGTATCCGGTGCGAAGAAGCTGGTGTGCTTGAACAGGTAGGTCGCCTCCGCCGCCAGCTGCCGCAGCTGCACCGCCGCCGCCTCGTCAGCCGGGTTGCACTCCAGCGCCAGCAGCGGCGTGGCGACCTCCGACAGGAAGTGCTTCCAGCCCTCCATCAGCTGCAGCTTGCCCATGGAGCGGAACCTGAGGTAAATGGGGTAGGAGGGCGCTTGTGTTGGATAGCGCATTGCAGCTTCGACTGCACCTTGGGTTGCTGGTAATGGGTAACAACCAGCCGCACACACAGCGGCAGCTTTGCCGCCTCGAGCCCCCCCACCAAGGCGGGGCCAGAAGTGCCCTTTGTGCGAAACATTCCCGAGCTTGCTCTTGAGCCCCGCACGACACCTTTCCCGTCTGCAGCGCAAGAACAATTGCATCATTCACATCAGCCTCCCCACATCCAACGCGGGTCAGTGTTCGTGGCCGGGACTGTGACAACCGCGCCTTCCCATGACGAGGCCCAGGGCCCGTTGCCTACCACAGCACATGCTGCACACAGCACACACTCCTCGGACGTCATGCGAGAGCACTTTCACCTTCACCTGCTCCGTTCCCAACCCCGCCCTACATGAGCCTCAACACCGCCCCGGCAGCACCCACAAGCACCGCCCCGGCAGCAGCCCCACCTCTCTCGGTCCACAGGCGGCAGTTTGACGCAGGGGCTGGTCAGCAGGCAGGCAGCGCCCGGAACGCGCAACGCAGCAGCTACCGAGCGGCCGCTACCGCAGCCGCCGCTGCTGGTGCTGCTCCCGCTGCTGCCGGCTGGTTGGCAGGGCCCCGCCTCTGCCAACTGCGAGCAGGCCTCGTTTTGTGCCGTACACCAGGGCATCGGCAGTTCGTGCTGGCCCCGCAGCACCCGCAATTGGCAGTCGCGCAGCTGTCGCGAGGGTGGAAATGAGCAGGGGGGATTAAGGTATTTGCCATTAACGACATGTGCCAAGAGTGCTTCAAACCCTGGTAACTCCTTCCCCAAGTGTAAGCGGGGAACGGCTTCATCCCTGTCTGGAAGGGCGGCCAACGCACCTGCACCACCTTCTCCAGCAGCTCCTGGCGGTACTTGAGCTCGTTGTTTTCCCGCACCAGCCGTTCCAAGTCCGCGATCTTCTGGGCCGCTAGGGCCTCAAGCTCTTTCACCTGGTTCTGCTGCTGGGGGCAAACAGACAACCATGGACCGGGTTACGGCTTGGTGGTGCGTGACAGCGTGAGGCTACCTGCGCCAGCGGCATATAAGGAGCTGTACCCCAGCGGTCCACCGTTACGATGGGTTGGGAAAGATCGCTTATGCGGGCAGAGTGGGGTACAGAAAGGGTAGGGTACCCAGTCGTCGTGCTGGCCTGGTTTTGCGCACCTTGTTTTTGCTTGTATTGGCATCGCCTCGCACACGCTTGGAGACCGCGTCGCGATTAGCCTTTGTGTCAGCTTTCTTCGGCTGTGGATTGGGAGCCTCAGCCCGGTGTTGCGCTGGAACGGGCGGCAGTTGGTGGGACAACACGGGCGAGCGTTCTGTAAGGGCTGGCTGTGCAACTACATCGCCCGAATCTGGTGCGCGGTCGGATACCGCAACTCCGCTTGAGGAGCCCCCATCGGTGAGAAAAGCGAAGAGGTCGTCATAATCAAGAGCATGTTCGTCGCCAACAGGAAGTAAAAAGTTATTTGTGTTGAAGTTAAAAGCTTGCTGGATTGCAGCCGCGTTGTGAGGGACAGGGAGAACTGACATGGTCTCCCTTCGGCCTATGGCCAACGGCGCTGACGGCTTTCAGTGCACATAAACTTAAATTTCCGAGAGCCAATACACGGCTAACTGCGTTACGCAAATGTCTACAACGAAACCTCGCAATGAAGCAAAAAGCGACCTTCACACCGATAACTGCGGGGGAACTTGCCAGGTAGTCAATGCAGCTACGTAGACGGCGAGGTGTTGCATGTGCAGATCAGCCATGGCGTTGAGGAAAATTGGCGTCAGGTAATCGTTTGTACGGGCTATGTAACCTGAAGTTTCCGCAGGATGTTTGGGCAGCTTCTTAAACAGACACACAGAGTATGCTGGTGTGTTCATGATGTAGAGCGTGCAAACCTCGGACTTGCAAAAGGCGCGAGCCTGCCTTAGGAAGCGAGGATTACACTGGAGGTCCAGTAAGAAGTCCGTACTGCCTGCCTGCCTTAGTAAGACAAGTGTCGGTCATGTGAAGTACGACGGTATATGTATTCGCGAAGGGCCCGCACCCTCTACGCCGCTACCCGAATGCTTGTTGACAACGCAGGACCGCCCTTGTGCACGCACGTGTGACTGGTCATGGGCCCAAGTGCCCGTCCAGGTACCCGCCTTACCGCAACCAAGCAACGCCCTTCGTTTCCAGACGTTGCACCTCCCAATCTTAGCAGCCACGTCCACCAACCACAGCTTCACAGCCCTCTCACCTCCACCACCACATGCCTCCTCCCCAGGTCCCCACCCACCCCAAACTCCTCTTTTCCTGACCGCTCGGCCCCACTCACTCCCCCCGTACCTCCTCGTCTCCTCCCTTTCCATCCCTTTCCCGCCCTACTCCTCCTCCCCACTACCCGTTCTTCTCAGCCTGCATCTCTGCTTCTTGCCGCGCTCTGAAGGCATCCCGGTGCCGGCTGAGCTCCTCAACCAGCTGCTGCATCTCCCAGGCGTCACCCACTCGGTAGCCTCCGATGGCCTCCCGCCGCAGAGCTACCAGGTGAGCCGCGCTGCCCAGCGCCCGACCCAGATCGTGGGCCAGGGAGCGGATGTAGGTGCCCTGCATTGGGAGCAGGGTACCGGTAACAGGTGAAGGGCGTTTGGATGGAGGCTGTGTGGCTTGTGGTTGAGGAGGTGTTTGTTTGGGGCTGACCCAAATCAGGACGCATGCCCGGGACGCATGCTGGAGGGATGCGGGTATAGTCATTGTAAGCCAGCGTAAGCCATGTTGCATGGGTCCATGGATACAGGGCTGTGGATGAGGCCACCTTCTCGTGTACGAAGCCCCCACGCTAAGACCTTGCCGTGGCTAATCCAAGGCCAACGGCTGCCATGCACCGCTTGCTGAAGATTCGTCACACCTCACACGCATGAGCGCACGGACACCTCACCTTGCTACACGCGACGTAGAAGTGCACGTCTTGTTGATTGGTTTCACTGCGCCACACACGCAGGCTGTTGACCGTGACTGACCGCGGCTCGAGCTGCTTGACTTGCCCCTCACGAGCCAGCTTGTACATTTTCTGCCCGCCAACCTGTACACGTATTGAGGCCCGATGTACGGCGGTGTTCACAGGGGTGATTCATGGGGACAAGTGCTAAACCACCCATGCTGTTGGTTCCACAGCTCCCTAGTCCCCACCTTGATGGCCGAGTACATGGGAGGCACTTGCTGGATGTCTCCCACAAAGCGCAGTGCAGCGGCCTCCACATCCGCGTCTGAAACCCAAATTTGCATCAGTGATTCGGCACACGTTTATATCCAGCGAGGGGTTAGGACTCAGGAGCATAGCGTATCAGCGTTGCTGGGGCTGCCATCCCCGATGGCCAGGGTACGGCTACCGGCGTATCGGGCACCATGTTTTCAGGCTTATGGTATCCACGAAGTTTGCCCAGAGCATCCCTTGCACCAGACCGTCCAGAGCCTTTCAGGCAAGCCCTGTGCCCTTGGCATCTCCTCACCCGTTATGTGTTCCCAGGGCAGCCGCTCCGAAACCTCGGTCTCTGCATCGTACGATGCCGTACCCTCGCCCAACCGCAGCGTCCCCGAGTACTCCTTATCCTGCAGTCGCGGTGGGAGTCCACACGCACAGGCGGTTCTTGAACCTTACAACGCACATGCGGGCATGCATGCTGCAGCCTTGCCCTCGCTTCTTTCGAGCATGCTGCAGCCTCGCCCTCCCCACCTGAGCCATGAAGTCGTCGCAGAACTTGGTGCCGCGGCCTGTGCAGACGATTAGCAGTCCAGAGGCTTTAGGATCCAGCGTTCCTGCATGGCCCACCTGTCATGCGCACGCAGGGAGGATGGCGATATAACGGTGCAAGTAATGGTAAATGGTTTCGCCCTAACAAAAGGTCAAAGGCGAGCAGCAAGGCGGCGAAGAGGTGTCGCCGCCCTTCACCGGCTGCTTGAAAGGACGTCGGCACTGCGGCCGGCTGAAAGGTACATGGCTGTTGCTTGGGACAGCACGGGTGGCTTTCCGGCATTCCTACCTTTCTGATTTCGAGGAACTTGAGCAAGTTTCGAATTTTCCCACAGACGTCGAAGCTGGAATATAAGTCATAGAGGGAAACGTGGGGAGGCGTGGCAATATGTTGGCGGAGTGGATAGCCACATGCAGCCAGCCTACTGGGTTACGACACACACACACACCCATACCTTGTCCATCCAAGCGGCTTATCTACGAGGAGGACGCCGTTCTGCAAAACAGAAAGGTCCTCGATGGCGCCAGGCCTGATAGCTGTTGGCCCCACACGATTTGCCTTGCCGCTAGGGCACGAGGCGCCCGCAAACGAGGTTGTCGCCTCCGCCGTGCGGTCGCGAACTGCAGAAGAGGACCTGATATGGAACTCCTTTAGCTCCGCTACCATAGGTTGGCCAGAATCTGCTTCTGTCGTGAGGTTTGCAAGGATAGGCGATGCCATGAGCCGACCGCGTCGTGCGCGGAGGCAACCGCACGGACGGCATTTCGTACTAAATGATCGTAAGGCAGACATCGCTGCGGGGAGTTGGTAGCAAGGTGCGGTGGGAAATGACGAGACCAATTTCCTGCAAGCTAGGACATAAAGTAGACAGTTGCCACAAGGAATACGCCGTAGAACCGATATGAGGCTATGTTTATACAGGTATTATTTAAAATTCTGCTCAATTGCATCGAAGGGGGCCGGTCGCCGCGACCCGGCTACGGCACGTACCGTACAAGCTCCACCGGAAGGAGGCCACGGGAGAACGGCAGCTGCGGTATCTTACTGTCTGTTGCGTTGGTAACGTGGTTAACGGTATAACCTAGGCTGAAGCACAATTTCGCACTGGGCCCGTTTTCCAGGACTAGGGGAACCTACCTGCCTGACTGAGATTGCGCAGCAATCTCTCTTAGGCTACCGGTTCGCAGCGCAAACACCCGTGCGGGGCCAGATGTGACTAAAACGCCAATCCAAGCACAGCCCGCACTTCAGGGCGGATAATGAGTGAGGCCGTCAGGACGCTAGCACCCGTCAGAGCGTCATCGTGCCTTTACAGAAGTCATGCGTCCATGACGCCCACAAATGAGGCACAAACACTGCGATTACTAGTATCCAGAACTTGTACGTCTCGGAGATGTGCCTTTCATGTTAATGACTGTAGCATGCTCGCCAGCGGCCGAGCTTACTAGCAGAAGCGACAATAACAAGCCACATAGGCACGCGTGCCGCCTGCTCCTCCTTTGCCGTGCAATTGAGTACCAAAATCACGTGCTAATGGTCTTTACCACACAGCCGTTGTAGCGGAAACAGTTGATCGTGCTTACTGCCCCCTTCTCCTACATACACGTGACACATCTAAGTTACAAGTGCGCCCCTCAATTACGCCCTCCATCAGACCTCGGCCGAAGTATCGGGCCTAAACCAAGCGCACCAAGCTATGTATATATACCTGACACCGGATTCCCCATGACCCCCATACTGTCTTCCTCCAAACAGCATTGCGTTGACACCCAAAGCATCCCGAGCAGCTCACCAGGCAACTCATCTTCGACTCACTGCCTATGCTACAACCCCAGGCTAACAAGCACGCGTGCAGCCATTCGCCTTCCGGCGACAGTACCATGCGCTATGCACGCGCAGCGCTGAACACGATCCCGCCCTGCGCTGCTTAGTACGCGGTGGTGGTGGCGGCCATGCTTTCCAGCTTCTCCAGCAGCTGCTGGCTGTAGCTGGGGCTGTAGTACTTGACGATCTCCTCGGGATAGCAGCTGTTGATGATCTCCACCGCCTCCTTGAGCTTGCTGCCGGGCGCCTCCGCCATCTGTTGTACAGCTGCCAGGCCGCCGCTGTGCACGAATTGCGCGCGGCCCGCAGCGTCGTTGGCAAGCACCTTGCCCACCTGCGGAAAGCAAGCCAAGGGTCAGTGGACGTTTGTGAGCAGGTACAGAGCCATACACCACCAGCCACATGCCATCCAGGCTAGCTTCGATGCTGGGACGCCAATGCGTCCCCATTGCACTCCGTCGCCATGCAAAAACGGAAATATGTTGTAGTTTAAATTGCAAAGCGCTCACCTGCTCCAGGACCATTTTCATAACGCTCTCCGGCAGCGCACGGTGTACCAGGGCATCGAGCGCTGGCAGGTGCGTGAGCTTGGCGATCACGGACTTGAGCGCGCGGCGGCACTTGGTTTTAAGGTCCTCTGAAGAGGCCGCATCGCTCTCCAGCGACACCAGCGTCGCCAGGCAGCCCGTGTCCGCCACCGCCTTTGCGTGGTCTGGCGTGTGGCGCCCAATCTGCGGATACGGCAGTAGCGGGATATGGCACCAGTTGGCATGCATGGCGTACGTAACGGATCTGGCTTCACGCACAGTAAGCAGATACCGCCGCATGTCACAAGGAGCATGCTTCTAGAAACCTTCATACCCGGCTCTGTTCCCACCTGCCCCAGTGTCCATGCTGTCGCGCTCTTTAGGTGGTCTTCCGGCTCCTCGTTCAGCGCCGAAACCAGCGGCGGCAGGGCCTTCTCCGCGATGACTGACAATGCCAACGTTTCCGAGAACGCGGCGATATAGCCCAGGGCCATGATACCCGGCAGGCGGTTGTTGCCGGTCGAGTCGCCTGAAAACACGGGTCGCAGGTCGCGAAAGGAGGACAGGGGTCAATGCGGAGGCTCCATGCAAGATTCAGGGCACTTTCGCCAGGCAAAGCCTCCAGCGAAACACCGGTCGCGGTGTCTACTCCGCATGGCAACAATCCTGCCGGTCCCCCACACAACCACCCTAACAAGAACCCAATTCCGGCGGAACAGCCCCACTTACTTATGTAATCCACCAGCGCGCCAACGCCGCCGTTGCCGACCACCAGCTGCGCCAGCTCCGGCGTGTGCTTTGCGACTTCGCGCACCACCGTGGCACTGTGCTTCTTGACGAACTCGTCGGGGAATTTGAGGCAGGTGAGGATTTTGGGGAAGATCTCCGCGCCCACCACCACCTCCGCCAAATCCACACTGTGCTTGGCGATCTGGCTAAGAGCGCAGCAAACCTGTCAGGGGATGCGGGGCACATGTGGGACGGGCATATAGAACAGGCAGTTGGGGCTAGACGGAGCGGTGCACGACGGCTCCGTGAGACCCTGGCGCCCCGTCGTGATGCGGTGGTAATGAGCATCCCGGCGCATGTGAAACACCTATGACAGTGACATATCAATGCATGCCCTGCCCAGAGTTCCTGCAGGAAGCCCTTCTTAACGTTGCATGCTCAACACTGGCGTGCCCGAAACCCACTGAAATAGGATAAACCCCGCCATCCCAAATGGTATCCCTCGGTCAGCTGCGCGTGTGTCTCTCGACCCAAGTTGTTGCGATGCTGCAGTCGCTCGGCGCCAACTGTTCAGTCTTACAAGCTACTGTTGTCCCCAGGACCCACATGACCGCCCCACAGTGCTGCTGCATCTGACCCTCATGCGCTCAGCCATGTGTACACCGCCAGCATGCAGCGGTGCAGGTGTCGAACATGCGAGGACAGACCCTGTCTGTCGAGATCGCTACATGTACGGAATCCACGCACCTGCCGCTTAAGCTTTGCGTCCTGGTTGATCACCAGCGGCGCCAGGTACTGCACAGCACCAGCATCCACCACGGCCTGGGCCAGCTCTGGCGTATGCTTTGCGATATCTGACAGAGCTGACGCTGCGATGCGCTTCAGACTGAGCTCCGGCTCCTGCACGCATAGGACCAGGAGCGGCACTGCGCCCGCGTCGACCACCTGCTGCGCCAGCTCCGCATTGTGGCCTGCAATGTAGCCGAGGGTCCACGCCGACGCCTCCTTCACGCCGGGGTCGAACTCCTCCAGGCATGTTACTAGCGAGTCTAACGCTCCGCTGTCAATGACTGACTGTGCCAACTCTGGCGAGTGGCGCGCGACGGCGCGCAGGCAGAAAGCCGCGGCCTGCTTGTAGAAGCGATTCTGCTCGCTGAGCGAGTACACCTACGCGACAGCGACGACTGGGTTTGCACGAGTTGCGCGTCACACCACGGCGACCTGCCTACCAAGAAAGTGAGCGGCAGAAGTAGGCGAAGAAGGTTCCCTACCCGCAACCTACCAGCTGGGGCAAGATTTCATTTTGCACAACAGCCTCTGCCAGGTCGTCACTGTAATTGGCAAGCCGCCCCAAGGCTAGCGCAGCTGACTGCTGTATACTGCGGTGTCGATGAGGCAAAATGGAGGGTCAAGCCCCCATGGTGATATGAATGGAGCAAACCGAGGAACAAACCTGGGAACGTTGTCCAGAAGAAGTGGTCGTAGCAAAGCCATGGCACCAGCTTGCTGGAGCGCCTCGATGTTCTGCATGCAATTGCCCCAGTTTAATACGCGCCCCGCAAGACAGTGTGGGTCCATTTAACGCACTTGTGGGTTCTTAGCCATCTCTGCCACGGCTGTGACAAAGGCCACTCGCTCCTTCTGGTACCTCTCAAACGTCTGGAGCACCGCGCGGGTCGCCATGTTGCTGGCTGCACCCCAACGGTGCGTGTGATGTTTTTGCTAAGACTATATAATAGTAGAAAACTGGGCTCTGCTTTGACAAGTGATACGTACGTAAGTTTCGCGCTAAAGAACGGCTCAGACCTCCTAGGACAACAGTAACGGCTCCAGGATAAAGAAGTGGTCCTACAGCAGCAAGTCGATGTCACAATGCAAGCAAAAACCTTGTGTAGCGGCCGGGCCACTTAGATTGTCGGTCGTACGACAACTCGACTATGCAAGCTAGCTTGCATGTTAGCAAACGAATGAGAACAGAGTTTCTTGCTCGAGCCTGTCTTTTGGGATAGGCAATACGGGGCTCAGGAGTTTAGCCCTTTATCATTCCTCTACCTTGCCAGATCGGAGGAGCCCTGTTTGTGCGGCGCCATTACCTATATACAAATATATCGCGTGAATATACCTTCCAACTCATTGCAAATATCATGCAGAGGAAGGAATAAACATCAGGCTTTATAACCTGGATGGGCCGACATGTCGGACGTTAAAAGCCGTGATCCGCGTGGGCCGTTACATTGTATGCATTGCATGGTACATGATACCCGGGGTATGAGGAAGGGGAGGTGACGTAGCAAGAAAAGCACTGTAGTATGGATGTCTGGCGTCTACCGTGTGCTCTTAAGCTGCCCCATCGCTTTCCCAGGCTTTCCCAGCATTCCCCATTGACATTTCTTCGCACCAGCATCCCAGCAAACCAGTCCACCAACTGTTTGCCATGTGACAGGGCAAGCAGTTACGAATTCTGTCAGTGGAACGTACCCTAGCCGTGCACAATACACGAAGGACAGCGCTTGGTACTTCTGAGGCCAGGAGGGATACAGATATTGTCTGGAGCTTCGGGGTGCACGAAGGCTGCCAGGTCGGTTGCTAGCTGCTAAGGACTGGCACGTCATTGACACCAGCTACACATCGAAGTTTGTCAAGCCTCGTGCCCTCGTCTACCATGGTAAGGGTGCTTCATGCCCCCTGCTCCCTTTTGTACTCCCTCTATACACCTATAGCCATCATCCCGAGAATGCTGTAAAATACTGACGTACTTCAGCGAAGAGTTGCCTAGTTCCTTTTGCGTGCCCCACGGGACATCCGATGACAACCGGTCGCCGGAGGGACCAGTGGGTCCACGGCTAAGTCGTTGGATTGGAGTAAACCTAAAGACCAATGCAACTTTGAAGCGGCAAGTCCGCTCGACCGATCCTAGCTTGCCCAACTGACCCTATGCAGTTTGCGTTCTTTGCATTTGGCGCAGAAAGCAACAGAAGGCACAAGTGTATGGGATGCTCGTCGATCGACTATGTGTACGTGTGTGGGCGATGCTGGCCAGTTTTGGATGCAGCGTTGCAAGGTGGACTAAGTTGTGTCGTTGTCCGTACATGGTCCAACTGGACAGCGGCATTCAGGCCACAATGCCGTTGAATAATGTGCTGCTTGCGCCTTCACTACAGTTCATTGATCGCGACAGTATTGCAAAAGCCCAACTGACTTTTGGTGGGAATATTTACTGAAACTTTTCCAAGGCTTGCGCACGTTGCTAAATCAGAACAAGGTCTGTAATGTATGTATTAAAGAGCGGTAGAAAACTGGCTCGCTGTCTAGACAGTTTGTGACTGGTTACCTGCCCAGCGGGTCCATTACTTCGCCGGTGAGACAAGAATTCCTCAGCGACATTCATAAGCAGCCATGGCGGATGCTTCGGACTTTGCTCTGGAGCCACCCTTCGCCCAAAAGTGCGTCGTATTGCTCCCCATGGTACTATGCGTGGAGATGAAGAACATGTATCCAACTGCCTGCAGGTTTAAGGCATCACGAGCAAAAGAGATCATTGGTGGTGTTCTTGTAGCGCGGTTGTCAGGCCAGCAGTATCACGCGGACAACACGTCGTCGTGGGCCCGGGAGATAGCCGACGAGATTAAGAACAAGCTCAAGGGTAAGTGGCAGGGACCTGGCGGGATCCCAGCACCGGGGGGACCCCGTCGCATTACAAAGGGGGGGGCCGTTGCCCTACAACACGAGCGATGGGATTGTACCTACAACCCGCAGCACAACCCGCAGTACGGTTTGTTATAGATGCCCACGCCCCTGCTGTTCCCTTCCACAGAGGAGAACTGGAGCCGTTACAAGTTTGTGGTGCAAGTCTTCATCGCCGAGCAGCGAGGGGAAGGGGTTAGGTAAGCAGCCGCAAGCTGCCTGCCCTGCTGCCTGTGTCCCTGTGTTTTTGCCGTACAACAAGAACCCTCCTGTGCTCACAGGCTGGCGTGCCGTGGCTTTTGGGACCCCAACACCGACAACTATGCACATGACACGTTCTCAAACGTAAGTCTAGCATCCTCTTGCGCTTTCAATTCAGGCAAGCATTCCGTCTATAACCATCCAGGTCCTCTTCCATGCAGGAGAGCCTGTTCTGCGTTGCTACAGCATTTGGAGTATACCTCTACTAAAGAAGCATCAGGCCTGGGCATCGGCGTCAGGCTTTCGGGGGCTACTTGTCCTCGCCGAACTGGCCGTGGTATCAGGCTTCGCCCTCTCCTGCTTTGAGGGATCCGTGCTAAGGCTTAGCCGCGTGTCCGGGCTTGCGAATGCAGACGAATGCGGCTGTCCATTTGCGCGGCTGCTGGCGGTGTGTTGGCCCCAACAACCAAGACTGCGCAATGTGATGTCCTGGGATGTTAGTAGGGTGCAGTCAGCGGACCGGCGAGCGCAGGACCCCATACATACAGCGCTACAAGGATAGGCCTGAAGCCGATGCCGTTCTGGCGCGCTGAGGGCCCTTGTTCTCTGCCATAAGCGATTATCCGGCTTAGATCCCCAGCTGTACGCCGTTGCGTGTTAGTATTATCTTGTTTGCGGGAAGCAGTGTGTATGGGGTTGATTACGCGATCGCTATCATTGGCAGAACGGCGTGTTCACGAGTTTCCATTGCACGTTCCTGCGGCATGGCCGCTCTGTTAGTAGCGTGCAAACAGTGCGTCGTCGTAACGGTTGTTGCAAGCGTCGCTAATACGAGCGCGCAGGACGCAGGGCGGGCGGCTCGACGTTTTTTCATTGTGGTCACGAGGGTTATAGGATCTGCTGCAGGGCCCCCTCCTGATGAACTAAACTTGCTCGTTGCTGGCGTGTAAGATCAAAGATCCATCCATGCAGTGGCAGAGCTGCCAATGGCCTGTCGGGGCTACCGGATAGGTCGGTGGGTAATTTTGCGTAATGAAAAAAGTCTTTTGCGGGCTAGTCGCAGCATGTCGTCGCTTGGGGCTATGTTGTGCAGATATTCGTGTGGTAATCGATTGTGACCACTAGGGGTTCAGGTCCACTGCCTATTTTAGGTAGTAAAGGCGGGCTGCATGTTATACGACAGACGCCGACAGCGTAACGAGTAATTGCCGTTGGGCTTAAGAAGGCTGGCTGGAATGCGCTTGCATGGGGGCGAAGCTGATGTCAGACTGGCAGCCCCATGTCAGCGGCCCAGTATGTTCCATTTAGTAAGGTTTCCATTCGTACAACATAAGGAGGGTCACAGCGGGAGGCAGGGAAACATGAAGGGCTGGTCGAAGGTCTGCTAGTGAACAGGTAAGGACCGAACGGTGGGGCGCTGCGATCATGCACAGCGGGGAAGTTGACACATGCTTCCATGCAAGTAACGTGGATCAGCATTCATGCCGACATGGCGCTGTCTCCTTGAGCCTACGCCTCCTAAGTTGTGAGTCCGCAACAGCGCATGCGACTGCGCCATAGCACCACGCCACACCATACTACTTCGCCGGATGCACGCAATATTCGGCCTGAGTTTGGGTGGGGGCGTGTGAGAGGGCATGCCCACAGATGTCCAAGGTCACAAGGTGATACTAAACAACCTAGACATAAATTCCCCCGCAACATGACATCAGTCGACCACAATCTTACAATTCACGAAAGCAAAGTTGCGTTCGTGATATGTGCGACAGATGCGTTTGGGAGCATCGCTCGCAGACGTTGCCGCTTTCCTTGTTACGCAAGTTGCGTAATGGATTACACTATGCACATCAGATCTATCGAAGGAGCAAAACGGCTGTTCTACGAGTACCACGCATTTAACAAACATAAAGCGGACATGGGGGATATCTGGGACATGTCGCGAAGCCCAACATCCTTGAAGGGGCCCTTCGTGACAAAACAAGCGCGTATTGGCTTGCAAGTAAAGCGAGAGTTGGCGCTAAACCCTTTTTGTTAGTTAGTAATTTGCGGAAGCCTTGTGCCCAGCGCCGATGGGCAGAGATGGCCTCAGCGGGACGATCAGGAGGGGCCTCAATTAGTCTCCGATATTGGCGCCGTTCACAATTGTAGCTGTCCGATCGGCATGCGCAGGGCCAACATTCGGGCCTTGCACTTTCGTAATTTCGTTGGATCCTGTCCACGACACCTTTTCGGCAGGGCAATTTAAGGAGTCAAGCATCGAACCTAATATCATTCCCTCTTCTGACGTTATCCAACAACAACAAACAATACATTAACCTTCGCTTTTCCCAGAAGCTCGCTTCCTTCGACTTCTTCCTTATCAACCAAAATGAACAGCGCCGAGGTGGACGCTCTCCTGAAGCCCCTGACCATCAAGGATCTGCGCGTGCAATGCCGTGCTCGTGGTCTAAGCCCGGCTGGTAAGCAGATTGCCACAACATTGTGGTAGGTGGCAAGTTCCCGCCACCGCTTGTCTCTGTCAGAACTTTTATTATAATTCCAAGAGATCTAGGAAATGCTGCAGTTTAATTGTCATTCATGCTTGCCACCTTCGGACTTCACGGCCTTACATTGCCCGCCATTTTGACGACGTAGGTGGCATCGAGGCTCTTCGCGAGCGCCTCAAGGAAGCCATGGTTGAGACCAAGGATTTTGCCCTGAAGAACGAGTCTGGGGAGGACCTGGCGGTCGTCCAGGTCACCGCTGGGCAAGCATCCAAGGATATCGCAGCGGGCAAGGGCCAGAACAACTACGTCAGGTAAGCAAGAAGTTATACAAGGTCATAATGTGTCGAGACTATGGTGCTGGTGTAGCTTGTAGCAATATGTGCGCTTGCTAACCCATGACTGCTCAACTGCTACGCAGGCCCGCAGGGCAAAATGTCGGCAACTTCATCACCGACCGCCCGAGCAGCCGTGTGATCCACGCCCCAGGTGGAGCGTCCCAGATCGTTTTTGGCGAGTCTGATGCCCCCAAGGTACTTTACCTGCAAGGTTCAAAATAGCAAATGCTGCCGTTACTGATTTTTTACGCCCGTCCTGCAGGCCGGCAACAATTACGCGCGACCTGGTGGCCAGAACGTCGGCAACTTCCTTACGGACAAGCCGTCGTCCAAGGTGTCTGCACCGGTGAGTCCGTTTGGGGGGGCTTTCCGGGCCGCTGTAATGGGCCCTTTTCGGTGTAAGGGGTTGGCAGGCAAGAACACGCTTCTCAGATGACTTGTGCGTGTTTTTGACACCCCCTGTTTTGTTGATGCCACTGCAGCCCGGTGGCGCTTCCCAGATCATCTTCGGCTAGATTACTGGCTGCATGCTGCTGCTGCCTTGACGAGAGGACTGATATTCGATGACGCCTATCTATGACCAAGGATCTATGCAACACATTAGACGTTTGAGCGTGTATGACGGTTATGTTTGTATGTCGTTAGTCGCCAAGCCGTTTGCACTTGCTTACAGCTGACACACTCGGTGTTGTTGGCTTCTCATCCTGGCCTGCTACGTAGGGCAATTTCAATGGTTGTTTCGTCTGATGCCGTTGGATGCTGTGCTAGATGCTGTGTGGCTTGATCCCGCATGACTAGGATCTCGAATTCAGGTTCGGATTCATTTTACAGTTTTTGACATGACCCTGTTAACGACAGGAGACGCAAGGGGTGACATCGTGACATTGCACTGAACGCATTACGCAGGTAGACGCAGCTGTTGTGCTTGTTTGGGCCTTTTACTTTTGTAGCTGTACATAGCCAATTACATCATGCACAGTTCATTGGATGTGCAGCCTGCTAAGATCAGGCAGCAATGTAATGTAAGCCGATGTGGCATTGTATGAACGCAACCCAAACTGCGATGTTGTGCACGAACCCGCCTTCAAAGCTCTACTGTTCGCATGTAGACTTAGACGATAGTATGACCCCGAAACCCTGGATTCGTCAAACACGTATGATCTCGAGCTAAGCAGTTTAAGCGTCTTCTATCCGTCCTTGGCGTGCAAATCTTCTACAGGATATCAGCCGAATTTAACAACGTAACAAGGTTCTGTAAGACATGATGCTCAACCATAATGCTTTCCAATATAACAAAAAGCGACCCGGATATTAGCCCGGATAGGTGTGTTCAAGTCGGGTATGCATCTTCGACAGCACTCTTTGGAGTTAACCAGTGGTTATTAACCAACAGTACGACGCAGCTTATGTAAAAAGCTAATGACTATATGGCGGTAACCTTTATCATTATTGCCGTCGAGCTCTTGTTTTGTAAAGCATTCTTTGACAAATGGGAGCTGAGCAGAGCGTACCTGCTGGAGTTGAGGTACAGCCGGCCACAGCTCCTGCCCAGTCCGAAGTCGGTGCTGGCAATGGGGCCAACGCAACGCAGCAGGCAACCTCCAATCCATCAGCTCTAGTTCTGATTGGCCCGTCGGGCGTTGGTAAAGGAACTTTGGCGAAGCGGCTTACTCAAGACTCTGAGCAATATGGCTTCAGCGTGAGCCATACAACGCGTTCTCCTCGGCCGAACGAGCAGGTGCGAGCTGTTTTGGGGCCTGAAGGTCGTCAACGAATGCGCAACTGCCCTTTGGTTTTTTTACATGTTAATGACGTCTTTCTTGCTATTGCCAACTATAGAACTGTTACATTATCGGTTCTGGCCCGGTTGTCTAACGTTACCTTTCCCTTGTTACTGATCGCTGTGATCCTCTTGCGCAACCCATATCCCTCTATATGCCGGACAGCATGGCGTGCATTATTTCTTCACCACGAAAGAACAATTTGCCAAGGACGTTGGTGAGGGCAAGTTTTTGGAATACGCGGAGGTAGGTGCCCTAGTCTAGTCACAATGTCCAGGATTCTGTATCCTTGCCCAGTGGCCTAGTTGCCATGTTGCCAGAAGTGTCTTGTTAGTATAAGTGGCTGCATGTGAGTTGCCGCAAGCTGCCGCATGCATGAATTTCCCGTTGTGTTGTGCCTCCCCTAGTCATGCTGCCCACGTTAACTTGCGTGATCTTCCAATAGAGCTTGCCACCACCGTTGTGAGCAGAGCAGCGGGGCCATGCGGTTTCCCTGAATCGTCCCGTCGTTGTTCCCACTCCAGGTACATGGTAACATGTACGGCACTAGCATTAGCGCAGTACAGTCTGTGCTCGAGTCCGGCCGCGTCTGCATCCTGGACATTGACGTTCAGGCAGGTGCCTCATTGGGCAGGAAGCTGCAGCAGCGTCTAGCATGAGCAACATGTCATTCACAGCTTGCTGGCTGCGGGGCTCGAACTCAACGGGAGCCCTGGAGAAAAGACGCCATGGGAATTTGTTGCCCTTTCATAATATGCGCGGGGTCTCTTCTCTTTGCAGACCGCCCGGCATTTTCACCCAGACGTAACCCCCGTTCGCAGGGTGCCCGTGCTATGCGGAGGAGCGGGTTAAAGGGCATTTACGTATTTATTGCGCCACCATCTCTAGAAGACTTGGCGAACCGGCTAGCAGGGCGGGGCACTGAAAGCGTCGAGCAGATCACTCGGCGCCTAAACAATGCCAAGATGGAAATCGAAAGGTAAGACGGCGGCGCTTGCTTTGCGTCCCATTCCTCTTTCTTAGGATCCAGTCGTCGGGAACCCCCTCATGTGTCACCCCCATGAACTCCAACGCGTTGACCCAAATGCCGTGCCGTGCAGCATCAACGAGAAGGGCTTGTACGACTACTTGCTCATTAACGATGACCTTGAGGAGGCCGTCAAGCGCCTGAAGGCCATTGCTGAGCGCGCTGCGGCAGGGCTGGAACCCGAGCCTGGCATGGTGCCCGAGAGGGTCGTGCTCGAAGACGTAAGGCAGTAGCTTGCCGCAAATGAATGCAACAATACCGCTTAGGCGTCTGCGTACAGTTTCAGCATGTTGGGAGATATGCAGCTGAGCTAGGGGGGATGCCATCGGCATTTGCCAAACCCAGGCCATGCTCGCTCCTGGTGGGGTTGGTAGAGTTTGCGGGTTATGCGGGTACCGCCTTGTACCCTTACCCTTTTCCATTATGCGCCATGCTTTGCACCGCAGGCCCCTTTACCTGACATCCAGGCTTTGACGGAGCAGCAAGCAGCAGCAAGCGACACGGTTCCCGCCCCACCCCAGGAGCTGCCGACGGAGCCCGCCCCTGAGGAGCCCGCCCCAGAGGCCGCTCCTGCTCAGGATGCACCTGCTCCTCAGGAGCCACCAGCAGCGCCTTCCATGCCGGCTGCAGTTGCCGCCCCGCAGGCTCCGGTGGCTGACGGGCCTGCCACGTCAGCAGCAGCAGCGCCGCCGCCGCCTCAGCAGCAGCAGCAGCCACAAGGGCAGCTCCCTATGGACGGAGTCCCGCCGGGCTTTGAGAAGTGGCACGGCAAGGTTGCGCTGGTGACGGGCGCGTCCTCTGGCATCGGCTGGGCGACGTGTGAGGCATTGGCGCTTGCGGGTGAGTTTGGACGCGGACGCGGGTTTAGTCCAAACTCGGCGTAGCGTGAAGCATTCAACAGCGTCATCTGCAAACGCCTGCATGGCAAGCCACGGTACCTGCTGCGATGGCTGATCCTAACATGCGCCTGCGTGCAGGCATGCGTGTGGTGGCTGTGGCTCGGCGCAAGGACCGTCTGGAGGAGCTGCAGCGGCACATGCACGCGCTGGGGATCCCGCTGGTGAACTTCCTGCCGGTGGTGTGCGACATCACCAAGGAGGCGGAGGTGAGAGGCAGGGCCGCAGGGCAGGGCTGGTGGGGTGGTGAGGCCGGGAGTGGGGGCTGGTGGTCGTGCCAGCTCTGTGCTGGGCCCGTGCCACCGCTGGTGCAAATCTAGCAGATGCGCGTCAGGCGGCGCCAAGCACCAAGGGGTGTATGCGGGGTTGGGAATGACAGCCGTGGGTGACCCGGACAGCTTGGACATGGTCCACATGGAAGACGGCTGCCGTCTGGCTGCTAGGGTCGCAGTGCCTAACGACGACCTCGCTTGACTGTGTAGCCTTGTTAGTCTGCGTCTGCAGCCTCTCACCTTCCGCTCGCTCTTGGCCGCGCCCTGCATAGGTGGCGACGCTGCCCAAGATTGTGGCCAAGCGCTGGCCGGAGTGCGGAGTGGATGTGCTGGTTAACAACGGTGGGTCGGTTTGGACTTGTGAGCCTTGCAATATCGCGCTTGCCGCTTGTCGGCATACTCGCTGCCAATTATTGACACACGTACATCCGGGAGGGGATCTCACGTTGTGCCCGTTCATGCGATCATGCCTTTTTTAACTGACCGCTTCCCGCTTCCCCCGGCTGCAGCTGGCATGAGCCGCAACGACGCCTCACTCTTTGACGGCAACATCGGCAGCTGGGTTGAGATGCTGAGCACCAACGTGCTGGGCACCTGCATGATGACGCGCGCTGTCGTACAGGTACGAACACAACACCTGGCAGGGATGCATGGAGCGATCCATGTCTTTGCACACGTCCCAAAGGGGCTGTGGTGCATCTCTTGACTGCGAGCGCCACCCGCGCATGACGTCCCTGTGTGACCATTCTCCACGCAGGACATGAGGCGTCGCAACAGCTACGGCCACATCATCAACATGATTGGCCTCAGCGGCCACCGCATCCCGGACGGGCCGCAGGGCGGCGGCTTCTACTGCGCCACCAAGGCAGCCGTCAAGACGATCACGGAGGGCCTGCGACAGGAGGTGGGCACGCATGCCGGTTACTAGGTTCTGGCCCGCGAATGGTCCAGGTAGTTCCTAGGTCTGGCACCGTAAGAGCGAATGAGTTGAAAACATTGCAAACTGCAAGCCACGTGCTTCCAACAGTGCTTCCAACGTGTAATCATTTGCGGCTTGATTGCCACCTCACTTCACTGTGCACCCGTGCACAGGCTCGCGGTGAGCGCCTGCCGCTGCGTGTGTCCGGCATCTCCCCGGGCATCGTGGAGACGGAGTTCTTTGCCGTACGGGCGTTTGGCGACCCGGAGGCGGCGCGCAAGGCCACCTCCCAGTTCAAGTGCTTGCAGCCGGTGGATGTGGCGGATGCGGTGATGTGGTGCCTGAGCTGCCCCGAGCACATGGAGGTGAACGACATCGTGGTGCGCCCCACCGAGCAGCTGATCTGAGGGGTGGGATTGGAGGAAAGCCGTGGCGCATGGGAGACCCGTGGGTCGGGAGGGGTGAAGGCGGTGATGAAGCTGTCCTTTGTGGGTCATGTGGGTCGAAGGTGCGTACGCTCCGTCCCATGAAATTAATAGTGTTCGGCAAGCGGTGCATGGCGTGCATGGGTGTATGGGTGGTATTGGGCACAGTAGGGTGCACGGTGTATGAGGGAGCAAATGCATTTCTGCGCTGGATTACGTTGCGTGTTTTACTAAAATGTTAGGGGTTTGGGGAGGAGGGGCGCGAAGCCCAACTGGTACCCTGTATTAGCTAACGACATCTGCAAAGACGTCTTGCCCTGGTGCAGTGCAGGTGCCCTACCGCGTACTGCAGACCTGTACATCTTTGCATAGTTCTGCCTTGAGGTTCTGTACTCACTGTATCCTGGGACAACAAAATAATGCAGAAACACGACAGAACGGCGGAATGGCCGGCATCTGTAATGATGCATTATCACCGCCGTGTTCCTGGTCGTCCCAGATGCCCCTCGAGCGTGGCTCTCAGCAAGAACATTCAAGCAAGCCTGTTAGCGCCTGTTAGTATTGTAGGTTCAACTATAATCACCCTTCTCTAGGTGATCCTATTCATACTTTCCTTGATTTGCTGCCGCTTTTGCTAAACGCTAATCGCGGCAATGTGCGCACCACGGCCAGCCATGAAGCCATGCTACTCTTAGGCCGCCTGATCAGCCAACGACGTGTAGTTTGGACAACCTTTTTTGAAAAGCGTTAAGGAGAGCAGCTGACGAAAGCGCGCGGCCTGATCAGCCAACGACGTGTAGTTTGGACAACCTTTTTTGAAAAGCGTTAAGGAGAGCAGCTGACGAAAGCGCGCGGCCATAATGTTGTTGCGACCGCTTGTGACCTTCGGCACCCTGCCCAACCGCCCAACGGGCATCTGGGCCGACCGACCAGACCCGTCATGTCTTCCGCAGAAACACGCATGCACTAGCTATTCAAACTATAACTGTTACACAGTTTTCCGATTAATCCTTTGATGCTGCACTTGGTATGAATGTCGAGGCACCGGCCTGCGTAGGGCTTATCCTCTCGCCTTGTTAGCGTATCCAGGGACAGATTGTAGCTTTTGTCCGACTAACATGTTTTCATCGTTATCATAGCTCTACGTTGCTTGATCGGCTGCCCAACCGTTGCGGCAGAAGCCACAAACAACCTATTACCATTTCTAAACAAAGTTAAACTAAGCAATCCTATAAGGCGTTCTTATTGTATCTAAGGAAAGTCATGGAGGAGGAGGAGTTTAGCTTGGATGAAGCGCGCGAGACCTTGTTTATGCTTCAGCGTGCATGCGAGCGCCACGCTGCTGCTCTGGGGAATGCTGTTGACTCACTAAACCGGTGAGGATTGCAGACAGTATGCGCTGCAATTATGGGTGGCACTTTTGCGCGGGGGATTTGAGTCATGGTTGTTTCTCTGCTTGCGCCCACGTCCTTGGCAGCAAACAGCCCGAGGACGCGTGGCTTCAGGACGTGTTGGATGAAGCGGTCAAGGGGGTCGCCTTCCACCAGCAGCAGCTAGCTTCGTTCACTACCTTCCACTCGCGCGTGAGTGCTTACGTGGAGGCAGTACGATCCGAAGCAAATGAGCTAGCCATTCAAGGTGGGCAACGGGTTGCGCTCAAATGGAGATGCAAAACCCATAGGCAGCTAGTCGCTGTGTTTCCCCACCTGAGCGAGTTTTAGTCCTGATTTTCAGCCTACCTGGGTTAGACCGCAGCGCTTGGGACATACACCCCTGCGACTAACGCGCACCGATGCCTTTCCGCATCTCGCAGACGAGCGACATGGCCAATGTATTACTGGGTCGATATCTCCTTTGCCTATTCGCACGATGCAAATTAGCAATGCCGCATACACAAACACGCCTCTCCCTTAATGGATTGCCGCGCATCGGTATCTCCCTGCCTTCCCGTCCCCCAACTCCACCACCACCTTTCGCCGCCACATACCTCGTTGTGCTGCATGCTGGCAACATGTGCGCTGCCGCTCCCCGTGTGCCTGCCGCTCGTTGACACGGGCTGCCCCCACCACATGACGACTTCCTTCCCCGCCTCCAGAGCTGTCCGGACGCCCCGACACCATTGATGAGGTGAGGCGGGGCCCAGGTGGTTGCAGCGCCGTAGAGCTAGATAATGCACTCGGGGGAACCTACACTGGTGACCCGAACGACCAAATCGTGGCCGGTTTGCCGAAGTCGGTTGGGTCATGTAGGGATGACCTTGCAGGGGTGGTTTCGCAGCACAGTGCAGCGGCCAATGGGGCATGTGACGTAGTTGTGAGCTGACCTGGGGTGCTTGTGTGGGGGACATGGGGTACAGCGACAGGCCTGATACTTTCTTGGTACCGGGTGCATGCATGCGTGGCTGATCCTGTACGGCGCCCCAGCTGTAGTTCAGAGCGAACATGGCAGATATGACAGCTACTTGAGCGTCAAATTGTAGTATGACCAACTCGGGTACTCGCCTATCATCCACCCCCTTCTAATGGGTTTTCTGCCGCTTGTACCGCCGTGTCTGCCCGGTGGCTTGCCGTGGTGTCGTTCCCACAGCTGCAGGAGGATGCGGGGCGGAATCCGGGGGCAGCAGCCGAAGCGGCTGGAGCAGCAGATGACGCGGCAGCCGCCTCCTCCTCCGGCGCCGCCCCCTCCCGTCCCTCTGCGGCCGCCTCCCGCCGGCAGTCCAGCAAGATGGTCCACCCGGAGCTGCAGAAGTTCAAACTGGAGAAGCAAGCCAAGTGGGTGTGCGGTATCGCGGTAGGAGGGCTGCTGTGAAAGCTGTTGAGCCAGGGGTGTGGGGCGGCCTAACAGCCTCCTTAGCTTTAGCTGCACGGCAAGGACCCACACCCATGATTGTGCGGTCAGGGGCATGCTGCCCTGTCATCCGCGTTGATCCGCACGGGGCCTTCTTCGGCCGTTCCAAGCGCACGATTTCGGCCCTCGCAGCCCTTGCTTAGGCGTCAACACTGGTGCGGGCTTTCATGTGCAGGATTCTCGGCAAGTACGGCGGCGTTCCGGCCCTGGGTGCGGGGCTCGTGCTCCCGCGGTTACAGCGAGACTCCATCCTCAAGGTGGGCTGGGGGGTGGGGCGGGGTAGTGTGGGGTAGTGTGGGGTGGGAGGCTTCTGGGACTCAGCTAGGAGGCGAACGGACCCGTCTCCGCATGGCGTCATGCCTCGTCGATGTGCGCCCACCTGTTGCCCGGTGTGCCCGCAGGCGACTGCCAGTCCGGCGGCCCGCGAGATCCACTACAGCAAGGTCGAGAACAAGGACGCAACGAACCTGGCGGAGGTGGGGGGGAGGGGTCGGGGGGTCGCATGGGACGTAATGAGATGAGGGTGGCAGCTAGGCATGCGCCCGCGGTGGCGGAGCATGCCCACCTGTTGAGCAACGGTTTGCAATAGGTACCGCTAGCAACCGCCGTTGCTTTGTCCGCGTCGGCATACAGCGCTGTGTACCGGTTTGCCTGTTGAGGCCGCATGAGACACAGGAAGGCGACTAAGGAGGAGAGCGGCCTCGTGTTTTCCACTCCTTCACGACGTGGCGGACTCTCCATTCCTCCTGCTCTCCCCTCTGCCAGGTGTTCCGGTTCAAGTCGCGCAAGAAGGAGGAGGGCGACAGCAGCCCCGAGTCCGGCCCAAGCCCCTGGCAGTCGGAGCTGAGCTCGAAGAAGGTGCGGCGCGTGGGGTCGAAATAAGGAAACTGGTGGGGTGGCGGCGGTCGATACAGAAGCTCTCTAAAGCGGTCTTACCAAGGCAACGAGATTCCAGCCGCCATCTTTGCTGTTGTCGTAATACCCACTTGTCGTGGCGACCGGGGCAACGCGCGTAATCGACTGCGTCCTATGGCTCCGTATGTGCGCGTCCAAACTGGTACGCCACCACCTCCCTGCCGTCGTCCTGCCGCACGCCTCCTCGCACTACCTGTGGCCACTGTCCTCACGCGCCCCCTCCCTTGCATGCCCCTCCCTTCAGGGCAAGAAGGCGCTAGACGGTACGGACGAGAAGGACCAGGTCACCCCCTCCACCCGCACCCACACCATATACGCGGAGGAGCTGGGAGGTGGGTGGGTGGGTGCTAAGCGAGGGGCGGCAGGAGTGCACGGACGCATACGAGTGCACAGCGGCCAGTTTTCTTAACACATGGACACAAGAAGTGCTTGACGAGACTACTACCGGGATCCGCTGGTGGTGGTGGCCCACGCACACTCCTTGGGGTGCCGCTGCGCCTCGCCAGTTGGTTTGCCGCTGTGCGGGTCCACCTCGGGTCCCGCCACGGACCTGTCACGTAATGCTGCTGCGCCTTGCACTCGGACCCTGTGCAACCGGCCCAGTTCCTTTACCTTGACGCACGAACACCCTATCCTGCCCGCGCGCGCGAACTAATAAAGTATTTCACCCTATTGCATACGCAGTACGCTAATATCGTTTCCGACAATCACAGTACCTTTAACACGCACACATGCGCCCCGCAGGTGTGCTGCAGGAGCGGCAGGCGGCGCTGCAGCAGGCGCTGGAGGCGGAGCGAGTGGCCTCGGCCGGCGGGGGCGAGCAGGCGGGGCCGCACATCTCCGCGGCCGCCCTGGGTGAGCTGGCGGCGAAGCTCAAGCAGCGGCAGACCGCGGCAAAGCAGGTGGGGGCGGGTGGTCACGTGTGCTGGGTCATGCTAGCCACTTGGGAGTCCGAGGGAGCCAGGTCGCTGTAGGAAGAGCCCGTGCAAAGCGTTCATTAACTTCTTCTCAGTGTGGTTGATAAGCGGCTCGGTATGCCTCCTTGAGTGCGTTCAACGTGACCCATGCATGCAGATGGAGGCTGCAGCTGCTGCCGCGGAGGCAGAGGCCCTGGAGGCTGCCGCCACGCCCGCCACCCCCTCCTGGAGCAATGCGGCGGCGCCGTTTGGCGGCGAGCTGGCAGCGGCGCTGCAGCGGCGCGCGGAGCAGCAGCGGCAGGCGGGCAGCGGAGCCTCACCGCCTTTGCAGCAACAACAACAGCAACAGCAGCAGAAAGCCAACGGTAGCAGCGAAGGAGGTTCTGGGCAACCGCAGGTAAGGACAGGGCTCGTTTATCCCACAGGCTTACAGCATTACTCGCTGTGAAGGCATGCCTTGGTGGCATTGACTGACTGGTTCAGTTGGGCTGGGGTGGCAGGGGATTTTGGATTATGGTTGTCTGCGTGCCGGCATTCCGGGCAAGCTGGCTACTCCGCAGCTCCCGGTGGAAAGTATGTTGTGATCCGGTGTGTCCTTTCCCTGACCTTGCAGGCACAGTCCGTCCGGCGTTCTGCGCCGCCCGGGCTGGAGGCGATGCTGGCAACACCGCCCGGAGCCGCACAGTCGAATGAGTTGCAGGAGAAGCTGCGCCGCCGGCTGTCAACCGTGGATGCGCAAGCGCCCCCACCAGTGGCGTCGGAGGCCCGTTAGGACCAATGAGGGAGTTTGAAGTGGCTCTGTATCTTAGGTTCGGCGGTAGACGTTAGCTGACCGTTGGTTGACGTAGCCGACAGGTAGATGTTAGCTGACAGAATGCATTTGATTTTTCGTCCGAGCTGTTGCTCGCAGTTTTGGTGGGATGAGTTCTTGGGAGGTTGCAGACAGTAAGGAGGTCAGCAGGCTGGAAATGCAAGGCATGCAGCGGCTGTTTAGGTTACATGGTTTCACAGTGAGAATCCAGATGAGGTTGCTGAGGAGGTATAGGGGTTGCGTGGAATGCGAAAATCCGTGCCGATTTTAACTACCGTAATTTGCCGTAGCATGCCAACTCTCCGCGGCTCCCATGGCGAACTCGCCTTCACTGCCGCAACTACTAGACCGCACGACAAGACAGATCCCCTCCGTGCAGCCGATCATAACCCGAAGCACGCGCTAGCCGGCAACACTATGTGCAGGCTGTAAACATTTCTAATCCACTTAACACCTATTTATTTATGAATACCCCGCTTGGGTTCGGCCATGTTCGGATGGTGCTGTCAGAACGTCAAGTGGGCGTACTGGGCGCGCTCGTCAATGCAAGTCTAATATTGTGCGATGGGAGAACGGCCAACGTGACTACTGTACCGCAGCTGGAAAGGACCACAGCGGATGAGGCTGTTGTGAGGGTGGAGGTGCCTACGTCTAACTTCCCAACACGATAATCCATGCACCAACGCGTCTGCCAAAGCTACGCTGACTAAATCCGGTCCTCCGCACTGCAGCCACCTCCAAGCAGCTAAAAATGCCAAATGCCCTCTTCGACAACACGCAGTCTACGACCCATGGGTCGTCCAGACACATCCACGCTGAAATCACTCGTAGTTAAGTTCCAGATCCCTCAATCGGCAGCTCTTGGTCCACCGTAACCCGGTCCATGCCTTGGAAATGCAGGTAGAGATGCCCAACGAGCTGTTAAGAAGCGCCCACTCCACATTCTTCGTAACCTTCTGCCTCCGGCTCTACCTCTGCCACAGCCTCCATGACGCTTCCGGGGCGGCTCAGGCGCAAGGCAGGGGATGACAGCTCACGTACCAGGCCCCCTGCTGCCGCATCCACACCGCTTCCGCCGCCGCCCGCAACCATCCCTGCCACGTCCGAAGCCTTTGGGAGTCCAGGCGGCCGAATAATGCTCAGACTTCGGCTGCGTCGCTTTTCCATGCCGAAACGCGCACCGCTGCCCCCAGTGCCCAAAAGTCCATCTGCGATGCTAGCATGCTCCCCACTCTCACTTGCGCTGTGGGCAAAAGCAGGTGGCCAGGCTTCATCCGATGGGCCATGCTCACCCAAGCCTGGATAGCTGTCGCGACCGAGGCCAAGCTGGCCTCTGCCGTAACTCGCACTGTGCTGTTCGGAAGTGCACCGCTGCTGCATGTGTAGTCGCTCGTTAAAGCTACTGCCTGAGAGCTGGCTGGAGCAGGATTGCCGGCTGGAGCGATCCGCGGCCCACCGGTCGGCGGTAGAGCTCATTGAGAAGCCCGACATGCGCTCACTGTACGTCACGGTCGCGTGTGAGGGACGATCCGCGTCATCACCCATGTCCGCGGTATCTCCGAAGCTGCTTATGCGTGTCTGCAGGCGCGGAGGCAGCGGCGGTTTCGCCGCTCCCGCCGTATCCGTCACCATGGCAGGCTCGTCGGAAGAAGTTGGAAGTGGCCACAAAGCCTGTAACTCCTGCTGCGGCTGCTGTTGGGGCGGCGGCGGTTGCTGCTGCAGTTGTAAGACATTCTCTTGCAAAAGCAGGCCATCGCCACCGTTCCAACCCTCGTCCCGGGTTTCACAATCCGGCGAGCTAGCAGCAAATGCAGTAGCAGCAGCAGCAGGGTCATACACCTCCCCTGCCACATGCGGCTCCCGACCAGCGCTGTCAGGGCCCTCATCCTTGGCCGCCGCCGCCACCATGACCTCCCCAGAAGCTGACACGGACACATCGCACGCACTACGGCGCAGACGTGTGCTAGAGCCGCTGGTCGCCCCCATTGGGCCGCCGCCAGCGCTACACGTGTGCACCCGCCGCAGCACAGGACCCCTCAGGGAGCCGGGTCTGGAGCCAGGGGAGGCGCCGGCGCTGCCGCTGCTGCACACCAAACGGTCCGCGCCCAGACTGGACCTCAGCAGCAAGCTCCCGCTGTGGTGCGAGCCCACGATGCCGTTCACAAGCGACACTGTGATCATGGAGTCGGCAACGCTAGAGCTGCCACAGGAGCTGCCGCCCGCACCGCCACCACCACCGCCACCGCCGGCGCCCGCCGGCCTCAGGTTTGCGGCCAGCCGCGACATCGGTGATGCAAGTGAGCCAGCACCCGAGGAATGCAAGGAGGAGGAGCCGGCGCCGATGGCTGCCAGATGGTGGTGGTGGTGATGGTGGGACAGTGTGGGAGCTGCCAGCAGCTGCATGGGGCCTGTGAGAGTGCCGGTGCCGATGCTGCCGATGATGGCTCCACCCAGGGACGGACGGTCTTGGAGGTTGCTGCTTGAGGAAACCTCAAATGAGGGTACGGGCGACCCAAAGCCATCGTCATGCTCTAGAAGCAGCAGGCCAATGGGGGAGCCCAAGGCGCCGCTGGGTGCCGTGCCGCCGCCTGTGCTGTTGTCCCGCCGTGACCCACGGGACGGCAGCTGAACCATGCGAATGGTAAATTCGTCTAATGGCGGATGCGCCACAGCGCAGCAGCTGTCATCGTTAGCAGCCGTGACGTTAGCGGATGCACTCATTAGTTGGTCGCCGCCTGAGGCGGGCCCCGGCTTCTGTGAGGGCAACACCTGATGCCCTGGCGGCGCCGATGCCCAGGGCTGTTGTGATGTGGGAGCGGACGTAGCAGCTTCAAGCATGCGGAGCTCTGTCAGGGCCGGAGCGCTCTCCTGCTCGGCCCCGTGCGACACCTCCGCTACCCCGAGCTCCTTGTTTTCCGTTACCAGTCCCTCCATGCCAGCCTCAGAAGCGCACCGGGGTGCTCTGCTCACAGCTTCGGCAGCCCCAGCCAAGGGTGATGTGTCGCCAGTTTCTTCGTTCGGCATGCCGCCGATCCCTGGACTCGTCGGCTCGGGTGAGCTCGGCCCCTCAGCCGACAGGTCTGCTGGGTGCTGGGCTGGCAGCAGCAACCTGCAGCATCGGGCAACCAGCGCGTGAAAAACACATGCAGCGGCGCCATGCTAATACGGTACTGGTACTCATGGTGCCCTTTGTGACATCGCATGTTTCTCCATGCACAGAACTCTTTGTGAGTCCAGCAAGAGAGTAGCCCTAGCTGCCGTCCTAAAGGCTTTCAGAATGCTACGCAAATCCCCTTGGTGGCCAGTTTACTACATGCATACAATGCGCTCGTATCGCACCGGGTGGTTGCCTCGCCATGCTGCGGAAGGGGTGCTGAAGCAGCGTTGGGCGAGCCTCCCGCGGCGGCCGATGTCGTGGGCGACTGAGAGGGGCTGCCAGACCCGTGGGTCGGCCCGTCACGGGAGCGGCGAATCTGCTGTAGGATGTGCTCAATCTCGCTGGCTTCCTGTTTGTCCAATCCGGGGGCAAGCCATGAGAAGCCAAGAGTGATGCCACAGCACGTTAGATAGTTTCGTCTTGGAAATACCGGTATCAGCAACCAATCCGCATAGTAGTTGTACATAGGAGGTGCCATGAAGTTCCCCTCGAACCGGCCAGCTACCCAAGGTTTCAGCTCACCTCCGGAGTTACTGCGCGTTCCAGCTGCGCCACAAGGTCCCTCTCGGTGCGCGTCAGGATGGCGCGCAGGGCCTGTCACGTGGACGAAAGGAAGGGACAGCAGGTGTGCTTTCATGGCTAATGCCCGTTGAAAGCATGCATGCACGTTGCAAGCACGCCCGCATCATAGAGGCAGTAGACAAGCAACCCGCGTTTGGACACGCACCTGTGTTTCCTCTGATGCCACATGGGCCGTCGCTCCAGTCGTCGCGGAAGCATCTGGGCTTGCTGCGGCGTGCTCCCATCCCTGCAGCGGCGGGCCATGAAGAACTGGCGGCTGCCTCGGGGACAAGGGCCAGGGCTCAATTTTGCCCAGCGAAAAGGACTGCCGCATGACTCCTGGGGTATTGAGCGCCGGAGATGGGTGCTGTGCATGTGACGTCGTGCCTTGGAAAGACGAAACATGGGTGAGCCGAGCAGCAGCCGTGGCAGCTGAATTTGCTGCCGGGTGCTGTGAAAGCAGGTGCGCATGTTGGCCCCACTGATGGTACCGGTCGTAACCGGGGCCTTGCAGCCCTTGAGTCCAAGAGTCATTGACCCGTGGGTCACCAGCCTGGAACTCGAACTGTGGCATGTAAGCCGAATATTCCACAGCGCCGAACGCTCCCGATTGATGCCCGTGATGATGCCATGTTGTGGCAGTAGCTGAGTCGCTTGCTGCTGAGGCTGCCTCAGCCCCGGCTGCAGCCTCCAACCGCCCGCCTTGCTCCCAGTCATGGCTGGAAAGGCCGGGCTCCATTTGAGGTCGCCAGTGCGCGCCATGGTGCTGCTGTTGGTGATGATGAGGCTGGTGGTAAAGGTGCTGCGCGCTGGAGATGTCCCTCGGACACGAGAGATCAGAATTGAAGAGGTGTTGCTGCGGCTGCTGCTGCTGCTGCGCGTGAGGCTGTCGCCGAGGTGATAAATCTGGCTGCTGCTGCTGTTGCTGTTGCGCCCAGAACGACGGCCCCTGCGTGGCATGCCGGCTGGGAAGCGGCGCAGAGTTACGCTGGCCTTGGCGACCGGTGGGCCCCCCACCTGGGCTAGGAGGAGGGCCCAAAGAAGGATCCTGCTGCTGTGCGGGAGCCTGCTGCGCCTGCTGCTGCTGGTGGTGGGGCTGTCGATGCACGTGCAGCAACCTAGTACTCTTCCGAACCAGTCCAGGTATGCGCCGGGTGGCCCCGGACCCGCTGAGGACATTGCCGGAGGCTGCCGCCGCCGCCGCAGCGGTCACAGCCGCCACGGCCTCCGGTTCCGCCCACTCGCTCATGGGCGCGTTGTAGTACAGCGGGTGACTAGGACCGGCCAGCGCGGCCTGAATGACCCGTGGGCCACTCTGCAAGCTGTTAGAACGCTGGTGGCTGGCAGGATGGGCAGCCGTGGGATGCAAACCCAGGCCACCGTCCGCAGTGAGGGGCAGCACTGATGGGCGTCGTGACTTGGGCAGCTCTGCCCGCTGCAGCAGCATGCAGCTGGGCTGGGGGCCGGGCGCCCCTCCTGACGCGGCGGCGGAGGATGACGGTACCACAGCGCTAGCCTCAAAGCAGCTGCCCCCGCGTGGCGAACAGAGAATGGTGCTCCCCGTGATATGGAGATGCGCGTGAGGGTGGACCACCTGGCCTCGTGGTGACACCATGGCGGCTGACGTAGCCATTGAAGTGGAGGCAGCTGAGGCTGCCGATGCTGCTGAGAGAGGCGCCGCCCGCAGGCCTTGATTCTGGCCCCCCCAGCCGTCTGAGGAGCCCGTAAGGATAGGGACTGTGGCAGCAGCAGCAGCAGCCTGAGTAGCAGGGCAGTCAGGTCCGGAGGCAGCAGCAGCAGCATCCCAGTGGGCTAGGGAGGACACCTGAGGAATCTCTACGGCAGTCCTGTCACTTGGGCTCTTATGCAAGGACCATGGCTGGAGGACGCCGCCACCACCGCCGCCGCAGCGTAGCATTCGTCCGTGGGCCTCTGAGGATTGGGGGCTGTCTGGAGCTGAATGGAATGCGGCGGCAGCGGCGGCGGCCGCCGCAGCATATGCGGAGCTAGGTGGTGACATTGAGGGGCTCATGGACTGAGCTGAAGCAGCAGCCTGGGGGCTGGCGAATCGCGCAGCTGGTGCACCGTGAGGGACGCCGGGAGTGGCGGAATGCAGCACGTCTAGGTAGGCAGCGCTAGGCACCTTGCCCAAGCCTCGCCCAGTGTGTCGTTGCTCGCAGCGCGCAGGGGGCTGGCGTCGCTGGCGGGCTTGTACAGGCGACACCTGAGCAACGGCCGTGGGGGAAGGTTGCTGGCAATACGACAGAAGCAAGTCCTGTTGTGAAGAGTAACCAGTTTGCTGTTGCTGCAGTTGCAGCTGCATGCTATCACTGCCGTGCGACGACAGGGCGGGGGACCTCAATGCGCCCGGCGGCAATGCCGCGGTTGTTGGTGCGCAGGGGCTTCCTCCTGCATGCCAGCTGGGAAGCTGCTTTTGGGCTGCAGCCGCCTCAAAAGGGCTAGAAAGGGCCGCCGCAGCAGCAGCTGCTGCTACCGCCGCCGCAGCACTGCATGAGCTCATGAGGGCATTCTCCCCGCCTACCGCGCCAGAGCGACTCAGCGTGCTGGCGCGGGACAGCCGCGTGTAGAAGCCGGGGTATTGCTGCTGCTGCTGAGCGGTTGCAGAACTATCAGCATCCCAAGGCGTGTCACAGGCTAAAGAGGGGTACCTCTGCAGTAATCCTGCGGGCAACAAGCTAGGAGTCGCTGTAGCGCTTGTGGATCCATCCTTGTTCGTCATAACAGCGCCGCCACAGCCACCGCCGGTGGCACCCGTAGGGCCTTGAATGTACGGCAGTACCTCAAAAGCAGCAGAGCTGCCGTCGCCAACTGAACGAAGCTGATCAGGTGTGGCCGCCTGGTATTCCTGGCTGAGCGGGGCGGTATGGAGGGAGCGGCCGGATCCAAGTGCGCTCACGGTGCTCGAAGGAGCAGCCATAGCCATGGCCAGGGCGGTCTGAGACACAGAGGAAAGCGAGTCGGAGGGCGGGGCGATGGCGTTCATGTTGTGGTTGCTGGTGCCGTGGATGCCATACATTGCGTGTATACCACGTCGGGCGTACGCCAGCGGGCCATTGTCGTTGTTGTTGCTGCTGTTAGCGTTCTTGTCCGCGAGGGGGTTGTTCGAGGGCGCAGCGGGGCTGCCGCTGCCCTCGCCGCCACAGAAGTCCGCAGGCAGGGTGCTGAGAGCAGCGGCGACGGGACTGACGGGCACTCCTTGGTGCGGGTGCGGGTGCAGGCACTGCGGGTCGCCGCTCCACAGACTCCCGCTCGTGGCGGCGGTTGGAGATCTGGAACACGGCGGCGCCTGGGATTGGGGCGCTTGGGCTTCGGTGGCAAGGCCGAAGGACTCCCTGGGACAGGTAACGCCTGCAGAAGGGGGCACACGATGAGGTAGAGAATGGGCTTATGAGTTTGAATTGGATGCATCGAGCCATTCAGACCGGGGCCTAGAGAGGCCATCCCGTTAGGCCGGAGGTTGGTTCCTGTTAGGCAGCCAGCAGTTGGGTCAAGAACAGTCCCCTTCCGCGCAATCCGTGATAGCACGGGAAGATATTGAGGAGTGGCACACACTTGGCGTCGCCAGGAGCTCACCTGACTCCTCTCCCAGCGACCACCCCAGGCCAAAACTGTCCTTCATGACATTGCCGCTGCCGTCACGAGTGTTGGATATGCACATGCTGACGCCGGCGCTGTGTAGCTCCTGGTGTTGCTGCTGCCGGCGGTGCTGCACATACGTGAGCGCTACAGCGGCTGCGAAGGAGTGGGAGCCGCTGTCCGCAGCGTCGCCTGCGTCCGCCTCCGGAGAGGCTGAAGGTGCCACTGCTGACCTCTGCAACAGCTCCTGTGGGCGGACAGAGGGGCGGCACACAATGGGTTGCTACCCTCGTGCCACACAAGCATGGGTCGTAAGAGACCATCTTCATTAACCCCATTCCCGTTTCCAACACCCAACATGCCTACTACACCTGGATTGTGCACGTTAGTGTACACAGTTACCGGTGAAGCAAGCGAAAGCCTGGATACACCGGTAATGACCCACCATACGAGCGGCGTCGTTCATGAAGATGTGTGTGCTGCGGCGACGGAAGCGCGCGTGCCGGCGGCGTGCGTGCTGTCCGCGGCCAAACACGGCGGCCAGCAGACTCGTCATGCGGTTCGTCTGCAGTTCGGGGAAAACAAAACAAAACAGCGGAGCGGCACAGTAGAAGGTTGGAATATGCAGGCATGTGAGACACAGAGCCAGTCTCGTCTCTTGGCTTTATACGACATTGCATCCTCATTGTACGCTCGTGAGCACTAGCTAACCTAGACTGGACTGGGGTAACACTCCTCATAACACAGCGTTGGCCTCTCTGGGCACAGCGTTAGCCGCACGCCACCGCTCCGTCCCTACCGTTCCAGGCTCCACACCACCAGACGTAACCCGCGGACTGGCGGTGCCGCTGTAGAGGCTGGAGCCACTGCTGCTCCCACTGAACCGCGGCACCGGCGACCCATGCCGCTGCTGGGTGTGGCTGCGGGCGCTCCCGGGTGGGCTGTACACGGACGCAACGGACGCACCGCCCAGGGTGCTCACACCCCGACCCAGCCGCACGCCGCGCAGCAGAGAGGCCACTGCACGTTCCGCCCGGCCGCCACGGGCACCGGGGTCGCCGGGGTTGTTGACGACACCGCCGCTTGCATCAGTGTGGATTTCGCTAACGCGATGCGACAGGGCTATGCGTGCTACGTTAGTGGGGAGCAGCGAGTGGGCTGCTGCCGTACACATGCCGGCTGAGGTCAACTGGGGCTGCTGTTGCAGGGCCTCCTGGGCCGCGTCGGCACGGGGGGTGCTGTTGTTGTCGCAGTACAACTCCTCGTGAGTACCTAGCTCGGCCGTCTCGTCTAAAGTGCGTCCTCGGCTTAGACGCGTGTGACGTTGCTCCTGCTCGTGGTGCTGCTGGTGATGGTCACGGCTGTGCTGGTACATGCAGCGCAGACGTTGCCAAACGGTTTGTGATTGCGACAGGGATTGCTGTGGTGGTGAGGAAGGTGATTGGAGTTGTGGTGGCGATGGCGGTTGCGGCTGCTGCTCGACTTCTTCTCCCTCAGCCGGCGTGCGTGTGCAGGTAGCGAGCCGGGAGGTGGTGGTGGCGGTGTTGGTGGCGGGGGTAGCGGGGGTGTGTTGGTGCTGGCGGTGCAGGGAGGGCTCATCAGCGCCGCGACCGGGGGAACGCAGGGCGGCGCCGCCGATCGAGGGGCGGCTGCCTCCCGCGGATTCGCCTGCATGCAGCGCAGCAGTGCAATTTGGGAACCATTTGTAAAACGCGCAAGTCACCACCGTTTCCAAGTCACCATGTCACCAACGCCATCAGCCACATCCCCGCACCTGCTGCATCGCCAGCGCTGCTGGGATCGCGGCTGCCGCCTGCATCAGTGGGCGCAGCAACAGCTTGTGCGGAGGCGGCACGCAGCACCGCCCTCACCCGCAGATCCGACAGCAGCCCCCCCGGGTGGCCCGAGGTGGCCTGTGGAGGCAACGCTGGCAGCGGCGGCGGCGGCGGCGTTGGTGACGTGGATGCAAACACGACGCTGTTACCGCCATCGCCATCTCCGGTAAGACCAAAATCAGTTGTAATCATGGTAATAGGGTTGAAGGGAGCGGCGGCTGAGGCTGCAACCGAGGTACCGCTGCTGGAGCTAATGCCCTGCTGTGTGCGAGAGCGCTTGCCACCGGGAAACAGTGTTGGTTTCTGGGTCCAGGCAGCTAGGGAATCTAGGAAGAGGTGTTTAAGCGACGCAGTGCTGCCGTGGTGTCGCATCTCAAGAGGAGCAGCGGGGATCGCACCAGCAGCAAGGGAGCCTGTGGTGGGTGGAAAGAAAGATGAATGTCTCATGGGTCAGTGATAGCTCACGACGTTAATCACGTGCTAGCACAGCGATGGGGGTGGCACAGAGTGAAGGAAAGCACTAAAAACGTTGCCCCATATATTAACTGTATTGGCTCCCAAATTGCAGCAAGAATGGTCGCAAACAATCATCCGTACCTATAATGCCGGTCGGACTGCTAGGCTCTGTGCCCATGTCCCCTTCACTCCCAGAGCGGCTGACGGGCAGCCGAGCCGTAATGCTTGGCATTTCATAGATCGGGTTCACGGCCTCAATCTCGGGAACGGTTGCCCCAGCTGCTGCGGCAAGCGGCGCAGCAGCAGCCGACCCATGGGTCTCTGCTGCGGTCCCACCGCCTGCCAACACGGCAGTGACGACGGAGCCGCCGCCGAGGGGCGACGGCGCTCGCATCCAATCTCGAGGAAGACTTCCAGGCCGGCTAAGCGCTGGGACCGAGCGTGGACTGGTGCTGCTGAGATGTAACGCACCCGCAGCTTCCATCGATGCCCGCGACAGGCCCAACGTCGGGAGCCCCTCCCTGCTGCCTGGACCCGCGTCCGCTGTTGCCCCGCTACCCGTGTTCCCCACGTCGCTTCCAATTTCATGCACGCCCGCCACGTGGGCCGGGCCTGCAGTCGCACTCCCCCCGCGTTGCTGTCCCTGCGTCTGGGAAGCGCTGCATGTGCTGCTGTTGACGGACAGCTGCGGCTGCAGGACGAAGTACTGCCCGTCCAGCGAGCTGCGGCTGCCGGCCCCGGCCATCGCCGTCATGGCCACCGCTGCCATTGCGCCGGGCGACACGGTTGCATCCCTAGGAGTCGTGAAGGCGGAGGTCAGCGGGTTCATGAAGACTAGCTGCATGGCTTCATCGCTCAGCGGGTTGTTGCTATTGCTGTGCTGGAAGGCAGACGTCGTTGCGTCCGGGCCGCGGCAGGGGGTGGTTCCGCTGGAACCTCGTGCAAGCCGCAGGGGGGGGACACGGCCCCCCGGGACTGCCGTACAGCTTGGGCTGTACGGCGAAGTCCCTGGCGGGCTGTACGGGCTGTAGGGGTTGACGCTGCCTGATGTACAGGACACCGGCGGCTGCGGCTCCAGGGGCTGGTCCGCCTGTTGGGGTTCATGGGATGGTTGAGTATCGGTGTAGGACCAGCTGTTACCTAGTTAATCCCTAAGGGGGAAGCGCGCAAGCTTGCATTGCAGGTGCTAAGGAGGACCAAGGAGACATAGCAGATATGCAAAGCACTCTCAAGCAGCTTTTAGTAGGGGGACCAGGTCACGCCTTCCGCCGTGCAAGGCGAGTAGCGCAGCCGCACCTTTCCCGGGGTTGCAACCTCGGAGCGCTGGCCACTGCTGCCCAGCCTTGCCCGTGCGCCTAGCGGCCTCAGGGCTTCATCTGCTGCTGCTGCTGCGACATGGCCAGGTGAGGAGCGCCGCAGCTGCCGTGAAGGCGAGGTCGACGATGTGGGCTGGTCGCCCATCTCTCCAGAAAACCCTCCTGCCGTGCTCGGACGGGAAGCACTCTCCTGCAGCTCTGCTGCGTCCTCATACGCCCCGTCACCAGGGCTGCGGTGCTGCTGCTGATGATGATGATAGTGATGCAGCATGGAGGGGAAGCGGGAGAGGTCGACGGAGGAGCGCCGGGGAAAAGGCGGCATGTCCTCCAGGCCGCGCCGAGGGGAGGTGGCACTCCGCAGCAGCGGAACGTGCCCCAATTTACACCTGAGGGGGTTACATTTTTGGTTTGGCGCCGTTAATGTTGTTGTTTACTTCCTGCCATGTTACAGCCAGCCCCGGAACAAACAAAAGCAGCTTTTAGGTCCATTGTTAGTTACTTAGTTTGTTACACGCTTGGTTACAGTGCACGTTCATTATCGGGCACTCTGTGGATCTTGCCCAACCGGGAACGCACGCGGACCCACCTTTCCAGCGATGTGCTGTGTGAGGACGCCAGCAGCCCGCCGCGGCCCTGGCGTCCGGACTTGCCGCTGCCCGAGGCCCTCATCTTGACGTCGCCCTGTCCCCCGCGCGGGCTGCTGCTACCGGGCAGGAAGCTGCTGGGGAAGCGAGTGGCCGTGCGCGGGAACATGGAGGTGTGACGGCGGGAGGTGAGGGCGGAGACGTCCGAGCGCCGGCGGGAGCCGCCTCTGAGGGAGGGCAGGTAAGGGGGTATGAGTTCACCGGAGGGCGTGTGCTAGGTAGCGGTTCGACATCATCAACCCCCCGCCCCCTAGGGTCCCTCCCCACATACACACACGGTTATTTTAACACACGGTTTCATAACACACGTGTGTCGCACACCGCACCTGGGACTTCGGGCCCCCAACAGCGCCTCGTCCATCACAGCGCCCGGGAGGGTCTTCCGGCTCTGAAGCGCCAGCGCTGAAGGCACCGTTGCCCCCCTGGCTCCTGCACCTGCCACAGCCCCCCGCAGCTGAACTGCGCCTCCTCCGCCTGCTACTGCTGTCCTGCCACGTACGGCTGCTAGCGCTCCACGAGTGGCGCCGCCCGCCACCAGCTCCCCCACCTGCCACACGAGCCGCATCACATCACACCGCGTTCATTTATAGTAGTTGTCATGCTATGGCGTTTGCAACAAGAGCGGCACCTTGCCATGTACTTGCTGCTAAACAAACATGCCCCATGCGGTCCCCGCCCCTCCCCACCTCCCCACCTGTCCCGCGGTGCGCCACAGCAGAGCCAGCAGCCCCACCCGCCGCGGCATCTCAGCCCGCATCGTGAGGGAGGCATCCGGCATGCTGACCAGAGCCTCCGTGGGGATGGGGAAGGTGCGTTCGAGGAGGGACTCTGGGAGGGCCTGCGGAGGTAGGGCGGGTGGGTAGAGCTAGGTGGGTAAGGTTGCGAAGACTGTGCATGCTGGTATTGGAAGAAAGTGGGGGAAGAAGAACGGCAATCGAATAGTTCTAGGCTTGCAGATTCTCCTGGGACGATACAACAGCAGGCGGCGACCTACAAAGCCAGTCCCAACCCGCCACGCCGTTGCCTGAGCACCGGTAAATACCTGGAACAGCAGTTTGGGGTTATCCAAGCCGCGCAGCAGGAACTTGCCCAGGGCCCGCAGCTCAATGTACTCCACTCGCATGTCGCTGGGCCCGTCAACCTGGCACCCTGCAGGCACATGTGAGGAGCGTGGAGGGCCAGGAAAGTTGCAGCGACGGTCCCGTCCCGAATGAGCCATGAATCCATACCGCATACGGTATCTCTGCTGAAAAGACAAAGCGGCTAAATGCAACCGGTCCCGACCCATGGGCCACGAGCCCGTGAGCCCGGCCTTCTCTTCCACAGCAGCACCAGTCACACAGCAGCACAACACCAGCAATCACCGTTCTCGCTCAGTCCGATCCTTCACCGCACCTACCTGAGCCGTGCCTCAGGTCCATCCCCCCTCCGTCCGTCCTGGACTTCCTCCTCGCCGCCAACAGGTGCTGTGCGCCGGTGCTCAGGGAGCGGGCGGTGACGTCCAGAAGCGAGATGCGCCGCCGGCTCTGAAGCGTCATCAGCGCGGCTAGGGGGGTGGCGGGCGAGGCGGCGGGCTCGGGGACTCCGTTACCAACGGACCTGTGGGGGGGTGTCAGAGGGAGGACATGTAGTCTCGAGTGCGCGTAGGAAAAGTAGAAGAGAGCCTGGTGTGTGAGGCGTGTGTTGTACCCAGGGGTTGTGTCGGCAGCTCGCCCCTGACACGAGCAGCGCCCACCCTGTCTGCTGTCCAAGCCAGCTCGCCACGCTGCAGGGCAGCATCCAGGTCAGCAACCCCCCTCACAGCTCACATCTCAGCTACCGCTTATCTCACCTGGGCACTCTTTGGAAGGGTGTGGCCAGCGGCAGATCGTGCAATGCATCACCAAGCGTGTCCATCTGCCCGGCGCCGTAGCTCGCACGGCGAATACGGTCACTACCATACCCACGGCGGCTCCCGGCTGCTCCGGAACCCGCATTCCAATACCCCAGCAGCGCTCCGCCGTCGGTCACGGCCTCGTGCCGGCGCGCAAGGACCGCGGCGCGGGGCTCGTCGTTGGCTGCGGCCCAATTGACGGGCAGGTAGGTGGGGTAGGACCCCGACAGCAGGTGGGTGCCGTCAGGCATGAACACAACGACCTGCGAGGGGGGCGGGAGGCGGTGCGGTGGCGGGGCGGCCCGGGTTGCCCGGAGGCGCTGTTCAGGAAGGAGCACATGGGCCGGTGTAACGCTGTTCGCTGTACACATCCTTATAGCATGGCGTCAAGTGTGTGCATCCAGGCCAGCCATGTACAGCGCCTAGGTACGAAGGTTTCAAGCCGAACAACGCCCGCCCAGCGACTCCATGTTAGGACATGTATGCCCCCAAGGCCCCTAGCAGCAGCAGGAGCAGTCCCCTGCCCCCCCCAGCAGGCTCCTGTCTCTCCCCCCGCTCAGCCGCGCCCCGCACCTGCGAGGACTCCACCAGGATCTGCCCCGGGGCGGCCAGAGCGGCCACACGCGCCGCAGTGTTAGCCAGCTCGCCAAAGTAGTCCGCACGCCCTGCACCGCACCGGTAGCAGCACATGCAGCTGATGATGGCAGTCATGCAAGGTTACGAGTGCATGTGGGGGTTGGATGGCCCACAGGACACCATCGCAGGCGTAACAGCTTGTGACAGCTGGCCGGCGGCCTTGCATCGGGCATGCATGCATGCATCAGCAGCTGCACCCACCGGCATCCCCGCAACCCGCCTGCTTCCGGCCACAAGCACTGCTGTAACCCTCCCCAACTACCGGTATTGCACCTTACACCCCAAGCCAGCCCCCAACAGCAGCTGCCCTCACCCACCCGTGTTCATCGGCTTCTTCACGTTGATGTAGCCATGCGCCATGCCCACCCGCACCCGCAGGCCGCACCACAGCCGCTGCCCGCCGCCCCCCAGCACCTCCTCACACCCAGGCATCTGCAGCAGCGCCGGCGGCCAGGGCAGGTGCAGCAGCTCTTTTTGCAGGTGGCAGGCCCACGCAATGGCGTCCTTCAGGCATCTGCGTGAGTGACCGACGAAGACACATGCAGCGGGGAGGCGCCGTTAGCATGCCGGTCACTTAGTTCGAGAATCCTGCACAAAGACGTACCGATAGTTTTTGGTGGTAAGCGCGAGGAATATGACCGTGGGTCGGTGACAAGCAACGCCAGCCGCCCTCGAGATACCCAATACCCCACCTCGGCCCCCGCACAATCAGTCGCTGCTGCAGCCCCTGCTCACTTCCTACCTCAACGCCGCTCCCCCGGACTCCCTGTCCACAACACACACTGTAGCCACCACACACCGGCACCTACCCACCCCAGCAGCACCCAACCACCCACCCGAAAGCCATTGTGAACTTCCCCGGCTCCGGCTCCTTGCACTCGTAGCCGCCATACGGCGCCAGCAGGCTGCGAGCCAGCGCCGAGTACTGCCCCACTGCCAGCTGGTAGGCGGTGATGGCGGACAACACCTGCACCTCACCCAGGTCGCCGGCAGAGGCCTCCGCGCGGGAGACGGCGGCGGGCTTGGCAACCTTTGGGGGGCGGGAAGGGAGGGAAGGGTGCCCGAAGATAGGGATGCAGGGTTTCGCGAAAAGCTAGACAGGAGGTTGTGTATAGGGGAGGGGTTGGCGTGGTTGACGTTCGGCAGTGGTGGTGGTTTGCCGTACCTTTACGAACACCATGGTCATGGGCTCGTGCACGCTGGGCGCCTCCCGGTAGCCCAGCTCCAGCTGCTGCTGAGTGGCGGGCGGCTTGAAGGAGCGGCCGCACAGCAGCGTGGGCATCACCTGCGACCCATGGGTCGGGGCGGGACATGGGTCGGGACGTGGGTGTAGGAAGTGTCGGCAACAGCGGCATTAGCCTGACCTCTGTCCAATGACAATCAGTCGTGCTCAAGCTACGTTACCACTTAGGCAGCGACCTACTTGAACTTATCCTATCCAACAACCCAGCTTGACGGATACACCAGCAAAGCCCTCAGAGCGAGCCACATACGGAATGGAAAGCTCCAGCCATGTCTTTGCTGTATGAATGGTTGCATGCTCTCCAACCCCGGCATGTGCTGCATGCTTTGAAGCGCACTGCGCTTTGTTCTGCTGTCAGGTTTTCAGGTGGAGTCCGTGCCAAGGTGTAAGGTCCGAGGTGTTACGCCCTCCCTCCAAAGGGCCCCCTCACCTCCAGCAGGTATCTGGGCCGCCTGAACTCGGGTGCCACCAGATGTAGACCCAGGTTGATGGTGTAGGTGGCGCTGGGGAAGGCCTGCAGGCGGGGGAGGGAGGGAGGGAACAGGGAACAGGACCCAGGGGGCATGACCCAAACAACGGGGGAGTTAGGAGCAGGGGAACCGCGTGTCGAGGCCACCCAGGAAGCAACAGCATACAGCTGCGGGTAGCTGCTGGCGGCCGGTGACCCCAGCCCCGGTGCGACAAGGCAACAACGCATGCGAGACCTCCACACAACCCCCCGCTGCTCTCCGTTCTTTATTCACTGTGTATGCGCACAGGCTTGACGCCCACCTCCCCCGCCCCCCCACCTGCAGCAGGTCCTGCACCCCCTGCCACGCCTCCTCCGTCAGCAGCACCTGCCCCCCGTGCGCCGCGTCCGCCAGTGCCCGCGCCAGCGCCACCTCGGGGCCCCGGTAATCGGCACCGGGGGCTTCAGGGGGTTGCGGCGGGGTGCGGGTGCAGGGTGCGGCAGCAGGGCGCAGAGGAAGGTTAGCAGGCGGGCAGGGGGGAAAGCGATGGAGGTGAGGAGGGCAAGGAGTATACACCCGCCTGGCGCGGACTCTCTCCCCCTCCTGGCAAAGGCATGCACTGCATCATGCTAAGATTACTAACCAAACAGCCGCGTCTATCCCACCTGCAGTTGGGTGGTAGGATGCGATGGGTACGATGTCGTAATTGCGGCCGCAGTGGATGGACGCAGCGACCCGCGGGCCCTTGAACACCAGCCGCCCGTCGATTCCCACCACCGTCTGGCCGAAGTACTCGGCTGCTGCGTCCGGCCAGCTGCTGTACATGAGGCCCACCTGGTATGATGGCGGGGTGCGCGGCAGGTGGGGTTGCACATGGTTGCGAGATGGGGTGACATTGCATGGGCGCATGGTCGGCATGGACAGGCTGCAGGATGAAAGCACAAAGGATGAAGGACGCAGCACAAAGGATGAAGGACGCAGAGCACTAGCAGTTGTTTTACCTGCACGGTGTGGCAGAAGCGCAGGGCATTGCTGGGCGTCGCGAAGGCGAAGCTGAAATAGCCTCGCCGGTCCGTCAGCGCGTCCGAGCCGAACATGTAGCCCTCGAACTGCTGCGCCTGCTTCACAAAGAGCTGCTGCAGGGCCAGCAGCACGCTGCAGGGGACCTGCGGGGCAGGGGGGCAGCATGCGCAGCAGAAGCCACAACAGGTCAGCACGCATGCGTGGACCCTCTTTCCTTTCTTCCGCTACACTCACGTGTATGTAAACTGTAAACTGCAATACCTGTACACGTTTCTTCCTGCCTGCACACAGGGAGGCCCCCACCCCACCTGGTGCTCCTCGGGCTGCTGCTGCGCCGCGCTGGTGTGGCCGGTGCTGCAGCGGGGCCGGGAGCTGCGTTTCCCCGGCGGCAGCCGCAGCCGCAGCGACACAAAGGTGAGCTCCTCGGACCCGCCACGCACCGGCACCGGCGGGTCCGTCACGTAGAGGCCCCAGTCACTCGCCATGGCCGCACCTGGCGGGGTGGGGGCACACATGCGGGAGGCAGAGGGACACACATATTGACATAAGCGGGTACACAGCAGCAGCGCGATGAGGCAGCCCACAGGAGGAGAAAACGACGATAGCGCCCGAACAATCTCATGTTCTCAGCTCAGACCCCCAAGAGCCCCAACCAACCCCTCCTCGGCTAACATAGCCCGAGACCATGACGGCAAGAAGCTCAGAACCAAGAGGGAAAGCCACAGTCTTAAACAACGAGCACAAGCCACCCTACACACCCCACAAAAACCTCACCTGGCGGCGGCCACACGGGCACCAGCTTACGCGGCGGCGGCAGCCCCTCCCGCCGCACCGGCCGCAGCAGCGACCCATCCACCGAGTACAACCAGGCGGGGCTGCCCTCCAGACTGCGCAGCTGGAACAGCCCCAGCCGCCGCACCACGGGGAAGCCCGCGCGCGGCATGCTGCCCCGCAGCTGCGCCCAGGCCTCCTGCGACATCAGGATCTGGCCGCCATGCGCCGCGTCGCTGATCTGCGGGGAGCAGCAGGCGCAAGGTGGAAAGGTGGGGGGGAAGGGTGGGCGGTCACTGCTATGCCCATGTTCATGGCCGGCCGGGAACCGCATATGACCTCCATGCAGTCACGAACGCCTGCAGGCCACTGCACGCTGTCATGGGTCTCTTCCGCCCCTGGGCCCCACCTCCCTCCCAGCCCCATCCCACCCCTGGGCCCCACCTCACTCCCAGCCCTCCCTCTCCCTCGCCTCCCAGCCTAATGCGGAATATGTATGCCTACTCATCCCCTTCCCCCGCCCCACCACTGCCCCTCCCACCTCCTGCGCAATGGACACCGCGATGCCCACCATCATGGGTGCCCGCGTGAGGGCGTGCGGGCGGCAGGCCACCAGCCCCGGCAGCGCCCAGTGCACTCCCATGCGCACGCGGGGACCCTGGGGGGGGGGGTGGGATGAGGGGAGAGTACGATTACGGGTGGAGAGGGGAAGGATACAAGGAGGGCGACAGGGCAGGGGAAGGGGAGTCACTTGACGAGCTGCACGGCATACAATGCAGCTCCCCTCTCACCCACCCATCACCACTGCTTCGCCCTAACTTGTGTTTTCCTAGGATGTAGCGTACCGTAACCTTAACCCACAGCCCCCGCCCCCCCCCCCACCTGCATCACCAGCTCCCCCTCCGCATTGGCCACCCGCTGGCAGCCCGGCAGCCGCAGCACCGCCCGCGGCCAGGGGGTGTCCAGCAGCTTGCACTGCAGGTCCTGGCAGAACGCCACCGCCTCCGCAACTCCGTGGAAGGCAACCAGGAAGCTGTCGCCCTCCGTCACGATCTGGGTGCTGCGGGGGGGAGGGGGGTAACGTGTGCGTTTGGGTGTGTGTGTGTGGGTTGGGGGGCGGTGGAGGTGGGTGAGTTGGAAAGGGGGTGCGAAATGACCTCGGCTAGATAAGTGCGAGGGTGGGCGGGGCGGTGGGTACGCTGGTTTGATACAATTGCGGCACTTGAATCAGCCGGTGTTGCCAATGCAGCATGTACCAGCCCAGTTTCTATCTTCTCCCGTTGCTTCTTCCCTCCCCCTTCTTCCCCGCTGGGAGCCCTCTTACCCGTTGAATTTGGCAATACCCTCACGCATGAGCTGGTCGTGAATGGCCAGCAGCTGTCCGTACACCGTACGACCGGCGACAGAGAGCTGCGTGGAGCCCTCAATATCTGCGGAGGGCGCGGCAGTGGGAGCGGCGGCGGGAGTTAAGCGGAAAAGAGAGAGGGAGGAGCTTAAGGGCCGAGGCACACCGGGGCTCTAGGTAGTGCAATGCAAGCAAGCGAGCGGTAAAGGTGAACACAAGCTTGACCTCGAGATTGGTTAGTATGTGGTACGCAATGGCCGTATCCGTACCTGTTACAACGAAGGCCATTTCCTTTGAGTCCGCAATACTCTTGGTGGGCCGAGTTGTGGTCGCTGATGCCGCCGGTTCCAATGTGTAAGCTGACTGGTAGATTAGGTTCTTCATATCCTTTCCGGCCTCCTGGCCTGCTTTCTGACGCAGCGCATGGGCCCGGCTGCGCCACAACCACCAAGCGAGGGCTGATAGTAAGACACATCCCAAGCCGAGGATGGCGATTGTCACAGCCGCCGCAAGCATCACGGACGGCGTCACGTTTGTATTCCAGTTATAGCTTGTATGGAGCTATACGATGCAGGATACTGTTGGGCTTGCACCTCCGCTCCTGCCGCGGACGGTCGAATGCCATCCGCGTACACCTAGTGCTGGCTCGTTCCCTTTGCCGCACGTAAACAATAACAACAGCGACGAATTGCATTTAGCATCATTACTTCTCCTTATCCAGTGCTAGCGGCTTGTTCCAGCCAGGATTCTGCGAGTTACGTCGCGCCTTGGTCAACGGCCGGCTCCAAGCTGTTGCCCCGGGCAAGCGCCACTGATCGAAAGCGTGTAGAGTACAAATCTCCAATAATTCCAGAAATTGCTCCTTAGGTTATGGCCTCCAGCTGGCGCTGTTGGTGGGTTTGCATTCAAACGATGGAAGCTGCAGCTGACGTTAACGCCTGCTGGCCCTTCGCTCTGACTGCCTAGGATTTAATAGAAGACTCATTCTTAAGCAGACTGCTAATTATGGCCTCGATGGTCAACCTGTACAGGGCCTGTCAGCAAGGTGGTGTGTCGAAGCTTGTATCTAGACTAGTATGACTATTCAGGAATGTCTCCTAATGTTATAGTTAAGGTATACTCTCTACGCATAATGCGGCTTTGTGCTATAGCGTGCCATGCAAGGTCACCTCGCAACGACACCTGTCAGGGATGCCGTTAACCGTTCCCTATCTACTCGATAGTGATCTAGCTGCAAATAACCTATCCACTTTATCAAGAAACTCTTGAATTTAAAGTGGGGTTACACGGGATCAGTCAGCAGTAGCACGGCGTAACCGCAGTACAGAACCTTCGGTCCCCTTGAACCATGACGAATCAGGGAAGTAGCAACGGGCTACTGAAAGCGTACCGTTAGAGTAACTGAAGACGCTAAAATCAGCGCAACTGTTGAGCTCCTCAGTGCGGTCATCCTTGGCTGTTGGGTTACAACTGGTTACAGGCGGTGACGTTCCACCGCTTCATTCTGTGGCTCCAACGCCTCCCAAATCATGTACCGGACTACAAATCATGTACCGGACACATACTAGATTGCCGTTGTCAAAGCGAGCGAGGGGTTACAGCCGCTGTTGTGGCGATCCGGTCTGACGGGGCAACTATCACCGCACACTGCCCACACCAAACGTCTGTGCACCATTTCGTGCTATTCTTGACCTTCAGATGAACTTTGTTTCCTGTGGTTGCATACGTGCCATCTCGCTATATTCGGTCTGCTACGGCCAGCTGCTCGCCTATCCGGTGGATAGAAAATCCAGTCGCCTGTCGCCTATGTAACCTTTCCTCCTTTCTATTTGGTCTCTTACTTCCTCCCTCTCGTTCACTCGCTCTGGTGTTGGGTACCCGGTTCTTACAGCGCTCCACACTCTCATCTCCCTACCTGCCTCCACGAGCCGTCTACGCTGCTCTCCTCTCCTACCACAGCCCACTTCAGCCCGAAACATCAACAGCATGCTGCTTCTAGCCGCGCTGGGAAACGATACCGAAACGCTGCCGAAACCGCCCCAGCGCTGCACACAGCCATCCAACTCCTCCCCATCTCCCCTTCCCCTTCCTCAGCTGCCTGCCCCTGCACCTGCCCCTCCCGCTGCCCCTCCCGCTCCCTCGCTGCCTCCGAACCGCACCAGCAGCACGCTGCAGTTGTCCTTGCAGCGCTTCTCCCGCACCGCGATGTTGAGAAGTCGGTTGGTGACGGCCTTGACGGCCTGTCCCTCACCCAGCAGCGCAGCAGCCGTGTCAACAGCCTCCTGAGCGCCGAACACCTGCAGGGGCAGGGAGGACCAGTGGGGCAGCATGGTGGGGGCAGCAGTGGGGCGACAGGGCGGGGCAGCATGGGAGCAGCAGACAGTGGGAGAGACATACGCGGAGCAAGACCTGACAAACCCGCTGCCTACTCCAACTCACACACCCGCACTGCCCCACCTATGCCCCCGTATGCCCCGATATGCCCTAACTTGTGCTGCTGTCAGCTGCTGCGGCGCTATCGCCGCTTTTCGCTATTGCAGGCAGGAGCTGCCACCTCCCACGGCCGCACTCACCCCCCAGAAGCCGTCGCAGCCCAGCAACAAGAAGGAGTCCCGGCGAGTGAGCGGAAAGGCCGTCACGTCCGGAGTGGAGGAGCACCCGAGCTGCGGGGGACAGCAGCAGCAGCAGGACGAGGACACACAGACCCATGGGTCATGTCTTTCTGCTGTATTCTACACAGACATGCTCCGAACCCAATCAAATGGACCCGAAACCTTGCCTCGTGCAATCCGCACTACCGAACCATTTCCACATTCTAAACATTCCTAAGCCACCCCCTTCAGCTCTTTCCCTAGTGTGCAAGCCAGGTTACGTCACCGGTACCTTTTTAAACGCGGCATCTCCGAACGACCGGGCGATTTGAATGCGGCCCGCCAGCCGGCCATTCACCACAGAGCCGCCTGCCTTCTCAATCCGCTGCCGCTCCAGAAGCGCCGTGTGCTCCTTGGTCAACACGATAGCCTTGGGCTTGGAGGCGGGGGCGGGGACGGAGGCGCCAGCAGCAGCAGCGGCGGGGGAGGTCTGCGGAGGCTGAGGTTGGGCGGCACTGCTCGCGACGGGGTTGCTGCTCGATGGCTGCGGGTGTGGAAACGTGTGGCGGGTGGGTTGTCGGTTGGGGTGTGCGTGAGGAGCGGTGGTGAGGGATGACAAGAGGGGTGCAGGCCAAGAGGTGGTGGGTGCTGGTGGTGGTGGAGGTGTTAGTGGGTGTTTGCCTGGGAGGTGGTGGGGCATGCGGCGGCAAGGCACGTGTCTCGGAATGGTCCTGGCAGGAATCGTCGTACGGATGCTGCAATGGAGTGCACGGGTTGCCAGGCTTGGGTTGGGGTGGAGGGCAGTTTTCCGTTGCTCCGCAATAGCATGCATGCCCGTCCAGCATATTGGGCGAGTCATTCCACCACATTGTGAATGGCGGGTTGCATGTGATACATGCGCCGGTGTTTGCGGTGCCAGAGCCGCCCTCACCTTATCAGGCATGCGCGCCAGCACACACTGCGGGGGGCCGCCCGGAGGACGAGGGAGAGAGTGGGGGGGTGAGAGAAAGGTTGGCTTCTTGGCTCGTTGTAGGGCTGTGCATTGTAGCATTGGACTGCTGCGGCTTCTCTGAGTCGCTGTAGCAGCGGAGGTGGGGTCCTGGGGTCTCCCTAGCGGATAGCGGCACATGGCTTGTACGGCCGATCGACATGCAGGCCGCACTCCTACCTTGGCGTCCCCCACATTGGCCACGCACACCAGGTCCTGCAGCACCCACACCGCCACCGCGCAAGCGCCGTCCTGGGGGAGACGAGCGCGACAGGCGGGGTAAACAGGGGCGGGGGGCGCAGTCGCGATTACGGCAGATAGAGCAGTACGGCAGCGCAGATCAGCGAAGAGCAACATCCGTCAATATACCTGCCAGTTCTTAGACGCGCACTCCTTGAGCAAGGCTTCGTCGGTGGTCTTGAATCCCTAAGGGACAACGGCCGACACATGATATTGTTAGGTGCGGTCAACTGCCACGTCTGCTATACGTCACTTTTTGTTCGCCAATGAATGTAATACTATCAACTAGTCACAGCCCGCAAGCTCGCGTGTCATCTCTTGCATATGCGCGTAGAGTCAGCGAACGCCGACGCACAAAAACGTGAGAACCTTCTCCTGAACATGTTTATCGACTGTGAAGTAACACAGCATAATAACTGTTATATAAGTATACGGCGATTAGCACAACAGGAACATGGTCCACAAGATTTGTCTATGTGCGCAGGCGAACGGCTGCAGCCGATCCCAGCAGCGGAGCGCTGGCCATCGCTGGTTCGCTTGGCATCGTGGGCGGTACTGCCTTAGCCGCCCTGTACGTTCTCGAGCGCCAAAGCAGGGTGAGGACCTCGACGTCCCAACGACCAACGGTTGATTGATGACCACGTCCAGGAGCAAGCACCGACCGAACAACATGCACCTTTGCTTTACTGGCAATTCATTGTGACAGCAATTTCTTCAAGAAGGCTTTAGAAAGTTAGCGCACATCCAAGCCCCGCACAAAGGGACACCCCGCAACCCTCGACAGGAGGAGCTCCAGCGTAAACTAGTGCGCCTCGAGCAAGCACTGCAGGAGCGAGAACAGCAGATCGCAACGCAACAAGAAGAGGTGAAACGAGCACAGGAGGTGAGGAGGTGCCGTACACCTGAATCCCCACCCAGCAGGGAGCTTTGGCGCGCTCACATGGGTGTGAAGATGTGGCGTCCGAAGCTGTTTCGCACATGCTCTCGCCTTACGCTTCGAACCCTAACGCATTAAACCTCCCCTAAACAGTATGCCCGGGAAAATGACATGTTCCGCACCCGGTACGCGGATGCGGCCCGTGACATATTCAAGTTGGAGAAGGCCCTAGAGCTCAAGGTGCGCAGGTGCCGCGGCGGACGAGTGAGGGCTGTGTGCCTGTGGGGCCCTCCTCCTGCCGCCGCTCTGACCTGCTGATACAAACCCCACCAGCCCCGCCCCACGCAAATGTCTACCAACTGTCGTAACCATGTCGCAGGATGGGCAGCTGGAGACCTTCATGGTGGTGGCTCAGCGGCAGATCGCGCAGCTAGAGCAGCAGGTGCGGCGGCTGCAGAAGTAGCGGAGCCGAAGAGAAGAGCAGGAGAGAGGAGCCGGGCCTTCCACTTTTGTAACTGTCCTGATGTGGCAATACCAGTTTGCCCTTCCTTCCGTATGATGCATCCACCCACCCACCCTGGTGGACTCTACCAGTCTGAACCGCGCAAACTCAGCCATGCCACTCACCCACACCTCGCAGCCCCCCCCCTTGGCCTCCATTTCCAGGTAAGTTTCCCGTAACGCGTCTCGATAACATGTATACTCGTATACCCAATATGCTTGTTGCTTTGACATTTCGTGACCGGCGTGACCCCCCCCCCTTGCCGTACCTCCGCGATGCTCGCCTTGCATGCCTTGGCATCCGCCTTGCCGCCCTGCAGACCCTGAAGCGCAGGGCAGGAGCGTCAACAGGCGTGCGAACAACACAACAACAATGCAACAAACAGGCTTCGACAATGCCCACAAAGCAGCAACAGACGGCACCAAGCGCCCGCATCCAAGCCCCCCCGACCTTGCACGCTTCCTCAGCAGGGCGCCTCTCCCGCCTCCAGCACCCGCCCCCTCGCACACCCCCACCTTGCGCAGCAGCCCCGCCTCCAGCACCCGGGCATGCAGGTGCTGCGCCGCGAAGGAGGCGCACGACAGGCCGCCGTGACCGTCGAAGATACCAAAGTGCGCCAACCTAGAAGGGTACCAGAAGTGGAGGAGGGAGAGCTGTGGGGGCCGTGGCATGAGCAGCAGCGACATCGGCGGCGCTGAAAGCAGCGACTCCAGCGCTATCCTCAGACTCAACGCATACTTTACGGCTCCGGAACCCGCCGAGGCCTCAGCCGCACACCTGCATGCCGCCGATGGTTCCCGTCGCGCGTCCAGCTGCAGCACACACACGTCCTCCATAGTGCTCCTGCACCCCTTGTCTTCGCTGTAGGCCGCTGTTAGCGGTGTGAACAGCGCAACGCCGCTGCTACTGGAACCTGGGCCATCAGGGCTCCGATGGGCATCCGCCTTGCTTGTTCCCACCGGAGAACCTGGCGCCGTAAAAATTGTCAGGCGCGTTCCACAGCTGTTCCATACGGTCGATGCCTATGTCCTCACCCCCACTAGCGTTTGCATCGGCGCTAAGTCGAGGCTGCTTCGCGGGGCAGGAATCCCCTTCTTCTGGACCCCGTTTCTTATGAGACAAGTTATCTGTATCTGCCATTGATCGTTTGTGCTTTTGTAAGCACCTCCTTTTTGGTAAATCAACTGCAATCTGCAAGCCTCTTGGGGATGAGTAGTTGTTGTAACGTCTACTTCGTCAGCCCCGTGACATAGCTGCAAAAATTATCGAGTAGCAATGCGAGCGATGTCGTGAAAATCAAAGCAAGTATATGTGCGTGCATTGTTTGGTGGCGTGACTGGTACGGCACCGCATGGCGAAGGAAGGGATGAAGCTTGCACCGGCCTTGTCGCGAGCAGGCGGATGGCAACTTAACCTTTGCTACGAAGGATACGTAGGCATGTCACGCGTTGCCTATAGACACTGAACTGGCCATGGGACGTCACAATGCCCGAGAGTACGTCACAGTCGCAGTTAACTTTAAGTTTCACAACTTTTAGGCAAGTAGGCAGTGTAACATTGCAGCTCGCGGCAGCGTTTCTCGACGACACGGCGGTTACATGCATGCCCCATGCGCCATCAACAGAGGTATCCAAAATGGTGGCCTACGCGGACTAAATTCTAGCCAGCACTCGCCTTAAGACGCGGCTAGTGATAGGTGAGTGATTCACTGAGCTTCTAGCTCTTTGTTTGTGCAGATGTGCACTGATTTTGCATCGGCAAGGACTTGGCCGGCTTGTGCACGGGGAACGCACTGCCTAAGTACTTTCGCATAAGTTACCGCATGCCCTTCACTTATATCTGCTAGCAACAGTGACGAACTTTGTAACTGGATCGGCTCCTTGCTGTCTTCTGGGTGCTGTGAGTTTAGGAGTTTTAATCGGTACGTCTTCCGGGCAGCATCCCAGCTCAAGTATATCCTCCTGGTAGGCCACCCGAAGCTCAACCCCGCTGTTGCGCCTTCTCTTGCAGCCTACCTATCCACCCAGCCAACCCACACCGGCAGCATTTCCCCCCCCCATGGGCGGCCTACCGCCTGGCGCCGAGCGGCTGTTGCTGCAGGCCCGGAAGCGACTGGTGGACCACACGGCGTCACGCGCTCTGGTGAGGGGGGCGGTGCGTCGGTTGGTTGGTTAATTGGCGGTTAGTCAGTTGGTTGGTTGTTGGCATGTTGGCAACGCCGCGCGCCTACCTACCGTTTAATGAGCCGAAGGAAACCGTGGGTGTGCAGTTCGCAGTCTCTAATCACCCATGCCTCCTGCAATATCCAGTAGGCAGCAAGTAGGCAGCAAACAAGGTCGCGACCCTGGTTTCTGGCAACGGTTCCATGGTGCGCTCTAACCCTAGTCCTCGATTGTAACCTCCCTCGCTTTCTCCCTCGCGAACCCCAACCACCTTTCTCCACACACGCTACCCACCCACAGCACGACCCGCAAGTCTTCACCGACATGTCCCCCTACCTGGAGCAGCAGCAGCAGCAGCACCTGCACCACCACCACCGCAACCACCACCTGCAACAGTACCTGCAGCAGCAGCATAATGCGGCCGTCACGCTGCGAGGAGGGGGCGCCAGCTCCGGTAGCCCCCGCACAGCCCCGCAGCAGCAGCTCGCACCAGCGGGCCTCCAGAGGGGTTCGACTGGCGGCAGTGGCGGCAGTGGCGGCAGTGGTGGCAGTGGCGGCAGTGGCGGCAGTGGTGGCAGTGGTGGCCTCAGCCCTGATGGCACACGACGTCCGCCGGAGGGCGTACTTGCATCTGCTGACGCCGCGGCGGCGGCGGCGGTAGCGGCGTACAGACAAGCTCAGGCGGCTGCGGCGGCAGCGGAGGCGGCTGCCGCTGCCGCTGGGCTGCCGTATCCGCCGCCGCTGGGGCCGCCGGATGCGGCCACAGCAGCAGCAGGAGGAGGAGCAGCAATTGAACCAAGAGCAGCAGCAGCAGCAGAGGAAGTGGAGGCCCCGCCGGAGGCTCCTGACTCGCCATTGAAGGGTGTCGTACGGCCCGTGGCGGTGGCAGCGGCGGCGGCAGCGGCGACTTCCGGAGCCGTGGCGGCGGCGGAAGCCTGGCTGGCGGCGACGGTAACTGACCCTCCCTCCGGCGGCAGTAGCAGCGGCGCCGCCGCCGCACCAGACATCACCCTGCAGCCCCCGCAGCCAAAGGCAGGTGACGCGTCCCTCGCCTCCACCGCTGGCGACCCATTCCACGGCATGAGACACGACGGCGCCGCCGCCACAGCAGCAACCCAGCCCCAGCCGACGTCACCACAGCAGCAGCAGCACCTCCGACATTCCTCCGGCGGAAGCGCCTCCGCCGCCGGCGGCGCAAGCTCGGGGCTTCCCGTCATGGTCTCACCCCCGCGACCCGAGCGCGGTGGCATCGTGTACATCGACCCACGGGACACTATCACCGACCACACGCAGCAGCCTCCTGGCTCGCCGCCGTACGCTGCTACGCAACCTGGGGCGGTGCTGTCGTACAGCGACGTGGTGGAAGTTGTGGAGTCGCCCAGATACCGCCCCGGGGACTCCCTGCAGGGACCCCTGCCTGGAGGCTCAAGCCCAAGGTACGGCAGACGTAGACGTACGGCAGCGCGGCAGTAATGGGCGTCTGTGTGGATACCCTGTCTGATTAGAACACATGGTCCGTCTCACCTCATCATGGCCTAGTGCTTAGAGAACAACGCACGTAGAGGTCCTTTGCCTAAAGCCCATACCCTGGTTGCGTTTGATCTCATGACTTGCAGCTCACTTCACTTCACCTCAATCCCCAATGCCTCTTCGTCCCTTCCACCACCTCCGCTGTCCCTCAGAGTTCGCTCGGAAGGTCCCTACACGCCCGTCTCCTACCCCTCCCCAGCCTCCGCCTCCGCCTCCACCCCCCGACGCATGCTGTTCACCGCCCCACCGGGGGCAGCATCCAGCCCCAGGAGCCCCGGCACCGCCTCCGCCGCCACCCCTGCCGGCCCGGTGGCAGCCGACCTCGCCACCGCCTCCTTCCCGGGTCAGCTGCGAGTGGCTGGCGGGTCCCGGCAGCAGGCGTACGGCTACCCGCATGGAGGGAGGCGAGGCAGGCTCAGTGCGGAGGCTCTGAGGGCGCACGCGCAGGCGGCGAAGGGGCGGTCGGGGTTGCCGGCGGGACACATGCCGGTGCTAGAAGGTACGGCAGGGATGGGGTGGGAGGGCGGTGAGGGATGGGAGTGGGTTGAGGGGGCTGAGAGGTAGAGTCCATCTCGAGTTCTCGACATCTTGATACCTGTACGGCACCTTTGTGCGGGTTTATAGGCCAACTCTGCCCACTTGCCCGGGCTCTTGCCTGGGGGCGCGCAGGCGGACACTCCTCCCCGACCAGCCGCATGCGGGGTGGCGCAGGCGGCAGCGCAGGGGAAGGCGGAGGTGGGTGGTATGCCGCCGGGGAGGGCGCCGCAGCGCCGCAGCAGCCGCACGCGCCGGACCGCCCTGCCACCGCGCCGGCAGCCATCCACGGCGGTGGCGGCAGCACAGTCCTGGTAGGAAACCGGTTTGACGAAGGCCGTGGCGACCCGAACCACCCACCCGCGGCCCCGGCTCCCCCGCGGTTCCGGTACGTGCCGCCACTGCAGCTGCGCATGCAGCGGGAGGCTCAGCAGGCTCAGCAGCTGAGGAGCAGCCTGGGGGAGGTGGCTGCCGGGGTGGCGGCGCGGAGCTTCCGGGAGCAGCAGCAGGTAGGTGGGGAGAGCTGGGTTGCTGCATGCTGCATGCCCTGTCCTCACGCCGGCGCTTCTTTCCGTGCGTGCGGCTGCCCTCTCTCCGCGGCTCCGTGCACACAAGAGGCACCAGCTGCACTCGCTTACCGGCACACCAGTTGCACGGCGTGCAGCGCTGCTAGCCGCCCCACTAACCACTCCCCCTCACACCGCCTCACTCCCCACCCAGCTGCCACCCTCGCAGGCAGGGGGGCCCTGGGCGCCTGTTGCGGACGCCGGTGAGTGGCGGGGTGTGGGCGGTGACGAGTGGGGTGAGGTGTTGGCCGTTGGTCCTGATCGACAGCTTGGAATTGTCTTGTCCGATAGCTATCTTCCAATCCTCCTTAGCCTGCACTCCTCTGTCTTCTCATTCCCATATGTCTCTCGTCTTCCTGCGTTGCGTTTCTCTCCCCCCTACCTGCGTTTCCGTCCACCCTGCCTACCTTATCCCAGACCCTGACGCCCTACTGGAGGCGGTGCAGCTGGTGCGGATGAGCAGGACGCAGCAGCAGCAGCCGCGCCGGCAGCAGCCCGGCAGCGCCGACAGCAGCCTGGCACGGCAGGTGCTCCTGGGGCAGCAACAGGAGGAGGGCGGCGGCGGTGGTGCGTTCGGGAGCCCAATTGTGGTGGAGGAGGAACAGCAACCCGCTGTATCGCCGGCTAGGGGTGCCTCAGAAGGGGGAGCAGGAGGCGAGGCGGACTCATGGGGGGGCAGGCGTTCTCTGACGCCGCGTCCACTGCATTTTGGATCGACCCATGGGTCACCACAACGCACGCAGCAGCTGCAACCACAGCAACAGCAGCAGCAGCAGCAGGGAGTGCGCCCCGCGGTTGCTTTCAGGCACCCCGGCGGGGAGGGAGCGGGGACAGCGCCCTCACCCGCCCCTGCCGTCGAGGACGGACTGGAGCAGGAGCCGGCGGAGCAAGAGGAGGAGCCGCATGAGGACCAGGCAGAGGTGCAGCAGCAGCAGCAGCAGCAGGGGCGGCAGCAGGGGCGGCAAGCGAGGCAGCAGCGGCGGTTCTCCCCCGCGATGGCCCGGCTGCTGAACGCCCGGGCTGCGGGCCGCCTGGTGTCACCACGACCGCCGCCGCCCCCGCCGCCGCCGCCCATGTATCGAGGTAGGTGCGGTGCCCGGGTATGCGAGGAAGCGTGTGCAGCGCAACAGCATGTAGGGTGTTGCGACTCGGGGGCACATGCACCTGCCAACGGCCGCCATGTGGAGCAATGCGCGCGTTCGTTGAAGCTTATATGGGTTATATGGGCTATATGTGTTATAAGGTTGAAGGTTATACGGGTTATAAGCATGCCGTATCCCGGTAGTAGTTAACGGGCGAGTAGGCAACGGAGCTCGCCCCTCTTCCCGACGCACAGTGTACCCCCTGTGCCGCTGGCCCCTGTAGACCGGCCCAAGCCCACCCCAGCAGAGAAAGCGGCTGCGCAGGCGGTAGCAGGGCTTGCAGCGGGCGCACCGGGCCCCATTGTGCGAGCGTACGCCATCCTTGCGGCCATGGGCAACGGTCAGAAGATCGACCCCTCGGAGCTGCAGTATGACCCACGGGTCAGCGCAGTGGAGCAGATGCTTGAACCCACGGGTAGGCGGGGTCATGTGCTTGCTTTGCTTAGTAGCGGCTGTGTTTTAGTTTGCTTTCTGCATTTGCCTTTACAGCACTTTGGTTCCTTGGGTATGTGAATAGGGGCCCAAAGCCCTTTGGAAGCCCAATGCATGCACCCGGCGGCGGGGCCGCCATGAGGAAGGTTCAGACAGCCGACGACGCGTTTGCTACTTTGTTTACCCGAGCTCTGCTCTCACCCCCGCGCAGCCACGTCCATGCTAGCCCTGCTGTACCTGTCATGTCGGCGTCCCGTACCGCACCCCGATGACTTCCTCTGGGAGGAGGAGCCGGAGCCGGATCTCGAGACCAAGGCGGAGCCCGCCGCTCCCGCTGCTGCTGCAGCCGGCGGCGGCGCCAGCCAGGACATGGACGCGAGTCGGGAGCAGGTGGGCGGGGGGGGCGCCATGTGAGCAGGCAGGAGCAGCAGCATATGAGACACGTAGCACATGGCTGCCTGCAGTAAGTCGTGTGTGTTAAGAAAACTGGCCGCGAGTAGGAACGTACTATGTGTGTATGTATATGTGTATGTGTTCCGGGAGTCCCTAACTCCCCAACTGCCCCGCCTTAACGGGGTCACCTACATTCCCCACCTCTCCTCCCAGGCGGTCCTGTCAGGCACCGAGTCCCAATGCGAGCCCAGCGCAAACAACACCCGCAGCAGCAGCAGCAGCGGGAGCAGCAGCAGCAGCACCTCCGGCGGCAGTACCAGCAGCCCCAACACAGCCAGAGCCCATGTTGACGCTCAAGCCGGCTGCGGAGATGATGACGGTGATGACGGTGATGAAGACCACATCGCCGGTGTCATCAGCGAGCTCAGCGGCCTGACCCCCGCGGGAGACCTCTTCCTGGACGCGCAGTCGCCCCGGCGGGCGCCGTACCGCCAGACCTACCGCCACGTGGATGCCTGGAGTGTACGGGACAGCGGGCTGGTGGCGGAGGGGCGAGTACGGCAGATGAAGCTGGCGGGGCGGGAGCGGGTGCCCGCGGCGTACATCAAGGTGCGCTGCTGCTGCTGGCCTGCTGCTGCCATGTTCCCTGATGTTCCATGACGTTCTTCTCTTTATACCGGGTATAGTGTAGCGAAGTATCCTTCCCGGTCGGTGCATGTTAGGCACTGCGAGCTACGTGTGTCCGGTGCATGCAACGCGAATACCGGTATCATGTGTGCTATCACATCACTCGCATGGAGAAGCGGCGTTCCTTATTAATGGCGTCTGGGGGCTTCCCGGTGGGCTGCCCCGCCTGCCCTGCCCTGCTGTAGGCGGACAGCGCCCTCCGTGAGCCGCTCAACCTGGGGGGAGACCGGGAGCTTGAGGAGCGGGCGGATGAGCTCAGGGTGGGTGTTGGGGGCCTGCTGCTGCTGCTGCGGAATTGCTGCTGAGGTGCTGTGGTGCTTGGGGCGACCCAAGGGTCGGTCGGGTGAAGTCATGCGTGGGGCTTTGTATCTGCACACTTGTGCGAGTCGCGCGCTGGGTTACCGGTATGCTCACTGTGTTTTGTGTGTCTGCTTGCTTTGTATAACCTGCTGGCTTTGGTATTGCGCAGGAGGCTATGGCACAGCAGGAATACGAAGAACGGGTGAGCAAGGGGAGTTGCAAGGGTGCAAGGGCGTTTTGCCGAGGGGGTACGTGACAACGGCTTTCCGGCTGGGTTTCTTCGTTGATTCTTATGTAGCGCTGCGCCCTTCCGCTCATGCATTTGCAACTTTCATAGCGGCCCGTCCCTGATGCGACCTGCAGGCCAACATTGCGAGGGAGGAACTGCGTGAACGGGAGTGAATGTCGCTGAGCAGCGTATGACAGCAGGCTTCATGCGGCAATATGGAGAGAATGGTCTGTAAGCAAACATTGGACGCATAAACTGGAATTCGCGCTTCTTCATTTCGTTATCGGTGGCACGCAGGGGTTTGTTCGTTTGCGCACCTGGCCTTTGTTGTGGTTATTTAACAAGTTCGTGCTCGTTGGTCGTCTTTGCATGTATATATTTTGCTCTGTAACAAGGTAAAGCCGCTTTTGGTTATGTGAACGTAGAAAATGATCGTATACGGTTGTGCTGCCTGAGAGGTGTCAGCCTGCTGCGGCAGGGTTCCTGATAGGGCTGGTGTTTTGACGGGCAGATCGACAGGTGAACGCTGCCCTCTTGTCTGCCACATCTTATCTGCCCTTGCAAAGTGTTTTCTGTTTGTAATAAGCAACGCTACAGCAAAAGGAGACCCCTCAGACTAATTCACCCCGCTTTAAGCAACGCCGGATCTCCGCACCTTTCACCATCCCTCTGTCGCATTCCTACACCTGAATCAGCACTCTAATACAAGGCGCGTGCTTTTTAGGACACCGTTCCAGCCAATTTAGGCAAATCGCCCAGTCACAGGCTGCAGGGACGTAGCAGCAGGAACACAGACACAGCAGCCTGAGAAACACAAATACATATGCGGCGCGTTCGGCAGCGGGGCCGCATCCCCCAACACATTGCATCGCTGAATGCAAATCGAGCCGCCTCACGCACCATGAAACGGCGACTCGCACGTGCAGCCGCGGCGCTGCTGGTGCTGGCGCTGGGCGGGGCAGCTGCGGCCGCATCCTCTGTCGCAGCGGCGGCGGGAGCCGCAGCAGGAGGGACCCACGGAGGCGGGTCGGCAGCACCCACGTCTGATTCGCCGCCAACCTCACAGTTCGGTCGGGATGCAAGGTCACCTCGGCCTCCTTCACTACCACCCCCGCTGCAAACACAGCAGCAGCGGCTGCTACTGCAAACTCCCGGTAGCCGCGGCCCAGCCATCGGACCGCGCCCACCCCTAGCAACACCGCCATCGCCACCGCCGCCGCCATCCACCGCAGCAGATGCAGCAGCGAATGCGAATGCGAGCGCACCCACTCCGCACCTTGCAGCGTTTGCAGCCCCCACTGGTCTAGTACAGACATACCAGAAGATACCCCCCAGCGCCAGCCTAACGGGCGCTCCGGACCCCACAGCATTCGAGGTGTACCCGGGGTGTAGGCCCCATGCGTACGGCGTACCTGGACTTCCGAACTTCTTCGTGTACTGCGAGAGTAACTGCCAAGGTCAGTGGTTCCCGGGATTTCCTGTTTCGAAAACGGCAAACCCCATCTGTACGACAATCCACCGTACGGGGTTCCTAGTTCATTAGAGCTTACCCAGTGTGACTTTATCGCCCTTCCTCCTCCTCTGCCTTGATTTTGTAGGAGGACGGAATGTGTCGTACTGGCACGACGTCCCGCTCAACTTGACCACCGACCCACGGGACGGTTCGGTCACCTTTTGGGTCACAAATGAGATCCCCAAGGGCACCAACGCCAAGATCGAGACCCAGGTAGGTGCGGGAGTGCCTCAGCGATACCCCATCGAGGTGTCTCGCCACACAACAACAACCGTGTCGTCGCTTCAGTGTCTTGGAAGTGCTGGTTACGATACTGGTTACTGCATGCACGCTGCACGCTGCTGCTCCCACCGCACTGCCGGTACTGTTGCTGCTGCCGCTATCCATGCAGCTATACCCATGGCCAGCAGCCGCAGCAACCAGCGAGCGCTGCCGCCCTCCTCGCTGCCTCACCCCAGCTATACCCCTGTCGCACCCCCCGCGCGCCGCAGACCTCGCTGCCCTTCACCCCCATGGCCCAGTCCGCCCTGACCTCCATGCGCACACCCAACGGGTGGGTGCAGCCGTACACCCGCTGCATGCTGCCTCGCGGGGCGGGAGGGGGGTCGCTGCCCGCTGTGTTTTGTTGCTGTCGCTGCTCCTCCGCTCGCATGAGCCCCAGCCCCTCTGCCGGCGGCTCTCACACCGCCTACTCCTACCTAATTACCCTCCCTACCCACCTCCCTACCCGCTTTTGCTTAAACAATGGTATTGTTCCTTGATCCCTCTCTCCCCTTCATCCCCCTTACCCCCACATTGGACACTCTTCTTTCCCCCCTTTTAGCTCCCTCTCCGGCTCCTCCCAGCTGCGCTACTACCGTGCCGGCCCCTCGCTGGTCAACTACGGCGGGGTGCCGCGCAGCTGGGAGGCCAGTGATGCGCCCGACCCGCTCACCGGACTGCCCTCGGACAACGACCCGCTGGACTTCCTGGAGGTGGGGGGCGGAGAGGGGGACATAAGGAGGACAGGCAGGCAGGCAGGAACGCAGGGTTGGATAACGCGATGTATGGGTTGCTTGCTGCATTGGAAACCCTTTTATCAAGGACGTTACGCAGCTCCTCCTCTCCTCCTTTGCCCAGCCCTCGCAAACATATACCGGTCCTAGCCGCTTCCTGTGCGCCATCACCCTCACAAGTCTCTCACCCACCCACCAAACCACCCGCCAACCCCCGCGCCATGCGCCCAGATCGGCGGCACCCCGCTGCCAGTGGGTGCAGTGGTGCGTGTGAAGCTGCTGGGCGCGCTGTCGCTGGTGGACAACAACGAGACCGACTGGAAGGTAACGGCACGACACGGCACGCGGGCGCCGTACGCTGCTCACATACCGGTAGCACATTATGTTAGTTCCGGTCCGGTTATGTGCGACAGTAGTGCAAATACGGACACTGAGGAAGTCACAGCGCACACTTTCCCCTTCCTCTGGTTCCCTTTCCAAGCTTCTAAGTGCCCTCCGTCCCTGCCCCCTGCCACTCGGGTCCCGGCCTCCTGCCCCCTCCCCCCGGGGTACAGCTAGTGGTGCTTAGCACACGTGACCCAGCCGCTGAGAGGCTGAACGATATCACGGATGTGCCGCCGGAAGTGCGACAGGAGCTGTACGAATTCTTCAGGACGTACAAGGCAGGTGTACGGAAATGCCGTGCTGGCTGGCGGGTTGTACCAGCGTAAGACAGCAATCCGCTATCCGTACGGCACACAGCGCTCTCAATCTCGGGAACGGTTGCCCAAGCGCTCTCGTGGGGCTTACATCATCGCCCCTTCCGCATCCCTCCCTACCCCACTTGCTGCTGTGCATGTATCCTGACGCTTTCGCAACACTCGCACGCCCAAACCCCAAATCCTCAGTATGCCCCTCTTCAACCGTTCCACCAACCTTGGCCACCCCATGCCTTCTCCGCTCCCAAACCCCACCCACACGCATGCTGCAGTGCTACATCCTCCCCCTACTCCTTCCCCACCTCCCTCCCTCCCTCTTCGCTCCCCCTGCAGGTTGCTGACGGCAGGCCCCCCAACCGCTTCTTCCTGGCAGCCAGCAACACCACCTCCTCCAGGCCCCAGGACTGGCGCGCCGCCTTCCTGGGGCGCCAGGCGGCGGCAGCGGTGCTGCTACACAAGCACCGCGACTGGCAGCGGCTGGTGCGCGGCGGCTGCACCTCCCCCCGGTGCGCACCGCTGCTGGCGGCGGCGCGGGCAGGGAGGGACGCAGCGGGCGGTGGCGGCAGCAGCGGCAGCGGTGACAGCGATGACGGCAGTGGCAGCATGGGTGTTGGTTGCGAGGGGGTGACCGAAGCAGCTCCCGAGGCGGCCCACGCCAAGTAGTGCGGCGGACCCCGCGTGTGTGTGTCCGGCGCTGTGGGGTTGTTGGACGTGCAGCGCCTATCGCAACGGTCTATACGTTGCTGGCTCTAAAGTGACCACTGGGTTCAGGCGCTCGTAATACCGGCGTGATGTAACTTCGGACACCCGCAGCATCCGGACTGTTGGGAGCATTACCGGTCATATGCTCCGCAGGGCCGCATATACGCAGTACAAAACGTACGACAAGCCCCTCGTTATGCCCGGATTTCCAATCTGCCCCCACCTTCACGCCTTCTCCACAACCGCACCAGTGGACCACCATCTCATGTCGCTCCAAAAGCACACTCCACACAGCCGCTGGCAGCATCCTACAAGGATTTTTCATTATCAACATTGCCCTTTTCCTACACCTACTCAGCTTGTATCAAGGAAAACGGGGGCACAGCACACAAGCGAAACGCCCTGCCACTCCTTGCCTTGCCGCACCCCTGACATGCTCCCTCCTAGAGCCAGGTATGAGACCCATGGGTCCATCCTCCCTCAGCCAACAGCACACGTCCAATGCCCGTGCGCTCCCAATCTACTGATCAGCCAAACCCGACACTCAAACACTCTCAACATCCAGCGTTTCAGCCCCGAGTAACCAAGCGCCCTTACCAATCCAATACTACCCCCTACTACCATGCACCCACACGGCAAAAACGCACACAAACAAACAAACAAAGCAAGCTACACACGTCAATCCCAGGTAAGCCACTTGCAAGCAAACAGCTGCCCAGCAAGCAAGGGAAGGTTCCCGCAACCCCGCTGCCGCACAACACCCCGTACCTCCGCGCACCGCCCACGCCTTCACGCCATCCTGCTGTACCTACTGCAGCTAGCACTGCAACAGCTGCTGCTGCGGATGTGCATGAGGTGAGGAGGAGGATGGAAGCCGGGAGGGCGACACGGGGCTGCAAGCCACCCCGACATGCCACGTCACACCGCCGTCCGCACCCCCTCGCTCCTGCAACGATACCACCACAACCACCACAAGTGCAGCCGCCGGCAGCCTGCCGCTCCTGCTCCTGCTGGGCTGCCATGGCCCCTTACACGCTCTGCTCTTGCGCCTTGGTGACCGCAATCTCCATGTCCTGCGGCGCCGGCGGCACACACAGCAGAGGGGTCAAGGTAAACCAAGAGGGGGGTGGGACAGGGGCAGGGGGCGCGGAGCAGCTGCGACGGCACGAACCTTTCCCCACCACCACATCACATCACACCCGGGCACCATGCCTGAAACACATCTCCGCGACCTTCTTTCGTGACCTCAGCCGTGTGAATTCAACCTTGGCGCCAACCAACCAAGCCCGGAGCGAATTATCACCCAAGCAGCAGTAGCGATACACCCCCCTCTCCCGCCCCCCACCTGCGCCGTGAGCCCCCCCTCAGGGTTCTGCTCGATGCGTGAGAACATCTCCGTCATCATGATCATCAGCTCGCGCGGGGTGGACAGCTTGGCAAGGTAGGAGGAGAAGTCCTCGCCGCGGACCTGGGGGGGGTGGGTGGGGAGGGAGGAGTGAGGGGGTCAGGTAGGAGAGGAAAGAGGAGGAGTGTCGAGTTTTGCAAGCATCAGACAGTCCATAAGTTGGGGGCCAAGGCCTCCACCGCCTACTGCCTCCCGAACCGGCGGCGCACTCGCACGCACCAGCACTCGCCCTCCCCGCACCCGCCCTCCCCCCACCCGCCCCACGTCGGCGGACCGTCGGCGCGGAGGACTCCCTCTATCTCCGCTACCCGGCGTCTTCCTATCGCGAATGGCCATGGCTGCAGTAAGTCTCGTCATTCCGGTAAGACCATTTGTTGTTTTGGCTTGACTGATCCGGGTACGGTGGGATGGACCGGGTTCAATTAGCAACCCATGGAGAAGCCCCGTCTTTCAGTTCGTCAGTTTTCCTTATTTTTACCCGCCCCCCCCCCACCTTTTTGAAGAGGTCTGCGAAGCTCAGGTTAGAGGCCTCATCGGCTCCGCCCTGCCGACCAAACTCCTCACGAAGGGCCTGGGCAGGGAGTGAGATGTGGGGAGGGGGAACAAGGTGTAAGGATAGGCGGGGTGGGGGGTTGCGGGTTTCGGAGCCACAACAGCTGCCGCGAGGGCACCCAAACATGCGCGACTGCGGCACCCTCCCAGCAAACCCCCCTAACCCCCCATGGTGGGTTGGCTTGGCTAGTCATTGTAATTGGGTTTCTTCCTCTTCTTCCCCCCTCCACCTATTCCTATTCCTAGTGTTTTGCTCCAACCTGTGGTTTCCTATGGTTCGGTATGGTCTTTGACCCCTGCACACCTGAGTTCGCCATTCTCGCTCAACGCATTGGGATTTCTTCTCCTCCCCCCCCCCACCTGCTGCGCCGCCCTGAACCTCCTCTCCGCCAGCTCCTCCAGCTGGTGGCGGCTCCATACCAGGTCGCGAACAAAGTGGCGGTCGAAACGAGCCTGGGGGGGGAGGGGAAGGGAGGGAAGGGAGGGATGTATGGGGTGAGGTAGGATCTCCCGACCCACCCCACCAGGGGAGGGGGGCCGCGCACCCCCTAGGCGCTCCACAGGCTTCCCTCGCACCCCGCCTGCCACCCCTCGGCCCCCTCCCTACCCACAGTGCAACCCAAGCTGCAACCATGTCGGGAGCTTCCATGTGGTTGTCGGTATAGTTCTTCCTCCCTGCACCCCTAGCTCTAACCCCCCCGCCCTAGCTCTATTCCCCCCCTTATCTACAGCCGCGCCCCCCCAGCTACAGCCCCCCCTGCCCCCCACCTCCTTCAGCGTGCGGTCCGTGTTGAGGTCGAGCGCCATGCGCGAGTCGGGGAAGAAGAAGTGCAGCCGACCGAAGTTGAGGATGTCGTTCCTGGGGGGGGAGGGGGGGAGGAGGACCGTTAGCAAACACACACACGGGTAGCCACACACTGCTGTGCAACACGCAGCCGACTGGGCGCCTCCCACCGCTGTCATGACCCATGGCACACCCCATGGCGAGTTTGTGACACTGCCCCGGTACAAACCAGTTCCCACCCCCCCTGCCCCACCACCCCCCACCCCCACCCACCTGCACACCTCCCGCGCGAAGGCCTTGATGGCCCCGGGGAAGCGAACCGGGTCCAGCAGCGTCACCTCTGACAGGGGGGGAGGGGGGGTGGGAAGAGAGGGGGCAGTGGTGGGTGGAGTGGTGGGTGGGATGAGAGGGCGGAGGGTGTTTCGGGGGAGGCAGGGCAGCAACAACACACATGGGTTGGCGGCGGGAGGCGGACTCCCTCGATGCTGCAGTGGCGGGGTGGGAGGTTGAGGCAGTGCAGGGGCGCTGCAGGGGCGCTGGAGGGGCGCTGGAGGGGAAGAGTCATAATGCCACTCCCCTCATATCTTCCCAGTCCCCACCACCCAACTCCCCTCACCCCCTCACTGCCCCCACCCCTCGCACCCAGCCGCCCCATTCCCTCCTTGCCGCTGCCTACCCTCACCAGCCAGCTCCTCCCCTCTCCGCCCCGCCCCCCTCCAGCGATCCCAATGCTAAACCCAATCCGCTCATCCACCACCTCGTTCCCAGCGCTGCTCCTCCTCCCGCACCCCCCATGCTTTTCCCCCTACGCGGAACATGTCCCCCCCCTCCCACCATCGAAGCAGTCCCCAAACACCGCCACCGACTCGAAGCCCAGCAGCCGCACCAGCCCCGACAGCAGCTCCAGCTTCTGGTGCGCGCTAATGCCCAGAGTCAGGGAGCGAACAGTGTCCACAGAGTCCTGGGGGCGGGGGGGGAGGGGGAGGGAGGAGGAGGAGGGGAAGAAGGGAACACGTGGGGTGGCAGTACGGCAGTGCATCACAGACGAGTGGGTGCAATGATGGTTCGTACCTTCGCTTCCTCCTCCCTATCCACACCACTCAACCCCGCCGCCCCCCTCACCCACCCGCCCCGCATCCCTCCAGGCCCCCCCCACTCCCCCCACCACTCCCCCCACCACTTGCCCCTACCTGGTTAGTGAAGAGGTGCGACACGAGCGAGGCCAGCAGCTCCCGCGGCTGCGGCTTCACCACCCGCACGTTGCGCTGCAGGCAGGCGGCGCGGTCCAGAGAGCGCAGCCGCTGCCACCTGGGGGGGGAGGGGGGGGAGGGGCAGGTGAGGGGAGGGGAGGAGGATGGGGCAGGTGAGTAGCGCCCGGGGGGGCGGCAGGGGGCTGTCGGGAGCTGCGCGCTCCCGGGTCGCCAGTGGGGGCTCTGTGGGGGCTCTGTGCCCGGACCCTCATACAAGGAAGTACTCTCTCCCACCTTTCCTCACCCCTTACCCCCCCCCCACCTGTTCCAGTACCACACCCCCGCCCCCGTCGACCCCAGCAGCCCCGCCGCCACCAGCTTGGGCGCCGCCCGCAGCAGCGGCACGTGGTCGCCCAGCCACTCCCACGCCGCACCGCCGTACTCGGCCAGCGCCTCGCTGACGGCAGGCTGGCGGGCGGCGGCAACCAGGGCGCCCGTGCCGGTGATGGCGCTGACGGCTCCCACCGTGACCTGGAGGGGGGAGGAGGGGGGGGATAGATGAAAAGGGAAGCAGGGGGCAGCGGCGATACCAACCAGCAGTGACAGTCAGAAGGACAGAGAGCCAACAACCATAAAGGAGGCCAACCCATGACAACCCGCCCCTCCCCCTCCCTCTCTCCTTACCTGCGTGGGCGTGTACTTGGGCCGCATGAGCACCGCCCGCACTTGCTTGAGGGTGGCAGTGTCGGTGCGTGCGTACAGGTGGCTCAGCAGCAGGAACTGCCGGGAGGCGCGCGAGTCGCCACGCAGGGTCTCCTGCATCTGCCGCGCCACGTCGCTGTTGGGCTGCGTGAACTTTTTCTGTGAGGGGGAGGGGGGGGCAAGGGAGGAGGGAGGAGGGGTGGTGTGTGCAGTGTTGTGTTTGTGTGTTGTACGTGCAGGTCGTAGGTACTGTGTAAATGTCGTACTGCGCCCTTGGGCATACCCCGTGCCGCACTGCAGCATTGTGACGTGTCGTACACTTTGGTCCACAGACTTAGTGACTTACCACCAGCTCGGTGGCCGCGTAGCTGAGGATGCAGTCAACGAGGTCCGCTGTGGTCCAGGTTTCGGAAAAGGTGGCGTCCCAGTTATCGGTGGAGGCATCCAACGTCTCCATGAACCTGGACGGGATTGACATGTTTGGCGGGTCAGTGTTCGGGTTAGACCGCCGGAGGCCCGGTGCATGGCGTATAGGGGCCGTTTGGATGTGGTAAAGGGAACTTACGTGCTGAGGCAGGCGGTCATGTGGCCTGGCCTGCACATGTCGATGATGAAATGGCCCTTGGTTCCTTTCGCGGCGGCCTCCTCATTGTGGCGCCGGTAAGCCTCCTCAAGCTGCAACCGGATTGTGGTCTTGCCACTTCCCCGCTTGCCGAAGAAGACGTAAGTTGTGTCTGTCGGCTTTAAGCCGCGCAAATCGGAATGAATGTAGAGACTGGTTGAATCTAGGTTAGTCTTCTCGGCAGTTCGGTCCGTGAAGGGGTTACGAGATAGACCAAAAGTTTTGAGCAGGTCGGTCGTCGGCATTTTGGACAACGAGGGACAAAGTGTTCAATTGGGAGTCGGCAGTCCTGTGACCCGATGTGTTTAGCAACTACCCTGTGATAGTAACTATATTATACTAGAAGACACAGGCTTACAGGGGCTGATCGCCCAACAAAGGCGGTTTGGACGTCGGAGACTTGAATAAAAGGTGGTGCGTGGTTGTCGCTCCAGCTATATTTGCTCACAGTATAGCCAACCACACTAACCGGAAGTGTAGCGACCTATGCGTTGCGCGCCATAAATTGCATCGCCTTTTACGCGCGCGCAGTCACGGACATCGGCCCATGCAACGGCTGTCCTGTACATCCCCCAATTCGCTCCCTTAGGTACGCAGAACAACACAATTAGCAATACTCACCATGATGCATGTACACGGGACTATAGCTTTTCGGGCTGCCACAGGGTGCATACCTGTACCAACGTCATCGGGCCATAGGCCCAAGGCTGCTGCCGGCAGCTTCAGGCCTCGTAGAGCCTCTAGCATTTGTGCATCTGACCCAGGTGAAGCGACAATGGAAATTGCGCTGCGTAGGCGTTACTGCACCTAAGTCACAGCACATCCATCCAATCCAGCACAACCCTCCATGTCTCTTCCCCCTGCCCCACGCCTGCGTCTCCTTCGAGCTGCTCCGCGCGCATCCCATCACACCATGTATGCATTACGCATGTATGCACTACGCATTATATTCCGCCACACCGCGTTTTCCTTCGGTCCCCAAATCCTCATCAGCCCCGCCAAGCTCCTGCCACTCTTGTCCGTACACACTGTGCGTTACTGCAGGGCCCGCCGCCAGAGGTGCCCCAACTACCTCAACTACCACAACAGAGGGCCAACTGCCTCAACCACCAGCACCCCAGCAAAAGCAGCAGCAGCAGCAGCAACTCCGGCGCCGCCCAGAGGAACAGGATGAGGCGGGTGACGGCCGGCAACGCGACCTGTTTGTTCCCGTCATGGTGCGTCTTGCGTGGTGGCCTGGGTGGGAGCGGCGACAAGCACCTCAGAGTGGCACCCCCCCGCATGTCTAACCCCACCCCATCGCTTGCCCTGAGCCGCACGGTCGAGCCGCTTCCCTTTCGCGCACCGCCATGACAGCCTCCACGACCAACAACCGATGGCATGTTCCGCCGAGCACCCGGCCTCCGCCTCCGCCCGGCCCACCCCCATCCGGGATAAAACTCCGGGGGATGAATGACAGCTGTTGCGTGTTGTGGTGGGCTTGGGACCGCAGCAACGGTCACTCAGCTACTGGGAGCTCCATGGCCAGGCATTGATAGAGATTGCCAGGGTACCCGACTGCTCAGCCACGACGACTCATCACTCCTTAGCACCCCATGGCCTGGCGGGCAGCTCAGCCTGCAGCAATTGTGAAGATGCTGCCCTGTCGGCCTCCTGGCCCACCCACCTCCTGCAGCCCTTTCCTCCAGCAACCCTAGCCACCGCCATCGCTCCAAGCCCCGACAGCAGTGGGATTGACCACGTGGGGGTTCGTGCCTTCCTGCGGCCTGCGGGGCTCATGCATGTCCGGGGCCCCCCCCGCCCCTCACACATCAACGGCGCCCCCCCCCCACACACACAGCCCTGTTTTTTTTTAACACACACACAGCCCTGCGGCGGTTCTGTGGGGACTTCATCTTAAGCTATATCTTCTCACAGTACGTTCCTACTCGCGGCAAGTTTTCGTAACACAGCCCTACTCGCGGCCACTTTTCTCAACTACACACCCAGCGCGCGATGCAGCTCAGCCAGCAGCTCAGCACCCAGCAAGTGCCGCGCACCCCATCCCAACCCCGTAAACAACCTGGCCTTCCACACCGCACCCACCCTCTCTTTTATTTTCTTTTGTTCCCTCTTCTCACCCGCCCTCCCCCGGGGCAGGTGGCGGTGGCGCTTGCTGGCTACGCGCTGACGGCGCTGCTTGCGGTGCTGGAGCAGTGAGTGGAGCGGGAGGGGGGTCAAAGACCATACCAAACCATAGGAGACCACAAGTTAGGGCAAAACAATGGGGGTAGGAGTTGGAGCGGGAGGGGGGGGCGAGGTGGGGGGAAAAGAAGAATTTCCAATACCGGTAGGTGGGGGGTGGAATAAGATGAAGATGGAGAAGACCATTGGGAGGGCGACGACCCCCACGGGGATGGGGGCCACGGGGGAGGGGGGAGCTGTGTAAGGGGCGGAGGTACATTTTGCTGGCGGGACGGCCGCTGTGAGGCGGCGGTCAGTAGGCCAGGAGGGCAGTAGTGAGGATGCAGTGTGTATGTGTTGGGGAAACTGGCTGCGAGTCGGAATGGACTGTGATTTCCGGCAGATGAAGTCCCCGCAGAAACGCCACACGTGAAGCAGAGTCCGTTGGCTGTGTAATATTTCAGCTATCGAGTAGTGTCGTAGCGAATGAAAGGTAGTAAGAGCGTGTATGTCCACGTACGGTGCCCGGCTGGGAAGGGGAGCGGGAATGGGGCTCACTGGGAAACTAAAGGGGTATGGCAGAGGAGATGACAGGAAGTGACGGCAAGCGGCTGAGCATTAGGTGCGTGCAGTCTTGTTGCAGGGGAGGGGATAATTCTTGGGCTTATGGGCAAAGTGCGCGTCATGTTGGTCAAGTTAGGATTGAGGAGGTAGCATGGGAGCGGCAGCAACCCAGAGCTGTCTGCGGAGCTTAGGGCGTGTTCACATGTGCGCGAATCGGGGTGAATCGGGGTGGATTGGCAGTCGGATTGGCGCCAATCCGACCTGAATCCCAATCGGGGTCTGGGGGGGCCGATTCGAGTGCAAATAAATCTTGATGTCTGTCGGTCTGGAACGGTTAGAAGGGACGACGGACAAGGAATCCGTGGGTTGGTTTACTTTCCTTCGGATTCGTTGTGAACGCGATTTGGGAATCACTTGCGAAGCTAACTATGAATCCTAACACGAATCCTGTTACATGTGAACACACCCTTAAAGCCGGTATGTTTGCTAGTGGCCTGGGAGTAACATGACATGAAGCGGCCATGGAGGGCGTTGAGCGCGGTCGTTTAGATGTCACATATACGCCCTGATTTCTTGCATGTTCTAGGAATCATCCGGGCTTGTAAAGCATAGCATGTCCTTCCGCTGTAATAAAGTGTTTGGAATCCCAGTCCACGATTAGCGCCGATTGGCATGCCGTTTGCGTAGAGAGATACACGTATACCTCAAACGCCCAATAGGTTGCCCCTCAGCAAGCACGGCAGGCACCAGCGCACCACTCAATTTGACCGCAGGTTAAACCGCTAACCGTCATGCACAGTCACGATGCAAGCGGTCACTGGTACGCCGCAAGGCACACACGGGCCATCCATATGCGCAGTTTGTAGCTGACTTAACGTTCTGTCCCAAAGCCTGCTGTATAGGCTTATCCCCCTGCGAAGCTACGAAGTCGGACTCAGCGGCTTGCAAGACACAACACGCATTTCCCAATAATAACGACTTATACATTATCGACAGTGACTGAATGTTGTGCTTCTAGCTTCTCAATTTCTGGCCATGGGTGCCACTGTCAAGCTTGCTCTTGCAGCTTTATGTTTCGTGTACAGTGCCCTAGCGGGGCCACTTGGCGAAGTCTTTAAATCCAGCGAGTTACCGTTCAACGACACAGCCAAATTATCGAGGCATTTGCAGCTCGTCACGAACTCTTCAAGCGAATTGTTGCGAAAGCACACGGAGAGCAGCAGCAAGCCGAGCGCCGAGGAGCTTAGCCGTCTTATTGCAAGTCGGGACAAAAACTTCACAAATGTTCTGGTATCTTCGGCGCGGCTTGCCTCTGGAGTCAACCGACAGGTCGCCGATGGGGACCCCATCGCACCAATCCTAACAAGGAGAGCGCTCCTCGCATACATAATTGACCGTTGGATCAGCCTTGGTTCAAAACCCCTAAGCAAAGGAGCTGATCAGGCGTTAGCGTCGATTGTCAAGGAGGTAAGGGGCAATGCTTCCTTGCTGTCTTAGCACGGTTCCTTCCAAGCACCAAGCATCTCGCTCAGGGTGCCCTACCACGTTGCCACACGTTGCGAACGATGAGGGCCTACACAGCCCCTCAGCGGTTTAAAGGTCAGCTGCCTGTTTTAGGACGAGGACTGTACCCCTTTCCTCCTCCCAAGTGCATCTCCTTCCCCCCTTCCTCCCATTGCCTTGCCCTAACCTGTGGTCTCCTATGGTTTGGGGTTACTCCCTACACTTCCCCCATGCAGCTGTACGGCAGCCACCTCTCCTCCCTGCTCCGTAAGCGTGTAGTGGAGTACCTCCACATCAGCAAGAGCGGCGGGACCAGCTTCAGCTATGCAGCAAGTAAGCCCCTGACTCCCTTCCCCCTAGCCATTGGCCTGTAGGGGCGGCAGCGTGAAGCAGACCAACGCTCTAGGGGTATGACACCCGGCTCAACATGGCTCAGCACTTGTACGGCGGCTGTACGGGTGTGCCCGTTGTCTGGAGAGGGCTATCCTTTGTCACTGATGCATGCCATGCGGCTCTGCTCCCTCCCGCCCTCATCCTTCCCCATCAAAACCTGGCCTTCACTCAACTCCCCGCTGCTCCCCCCCCAGGTAGGGGCCACTAACCCTCCCTCTGCCTTGTGAATCCCTGCTTTTTTCTTTTTTGTTTTTATATGGTTTCAATTGGTCCAAAATTTGACCCCCCCCCAGGGTACAACAGGTGTTCCATGCCGGGCGGTATCGGGCAACCGCAAGACCTGGGGGACGTGCCGCGCTGGATCAACCGCACCGCATTCGGGCAGGTGGCAAATGGAGCGCGCGTCACGTGAGTGGGTGTGTGTGCGGGGAGTCAAAGACCATACCATATCATAGGGAGCCACAGGTTAGGGCAAAGCAGTGGGGATAGGAGGCTGCAGGGTGCCACGATACAGATTGTTGGATAGTAACCTCTACCAATACCGAGTCCGCGAACTGTCGACCTTCCAGCGAGCGGGCTGAATAGAGTTGGCTGTTGTTGCTGTTGTTGGCTGTTGTTGCTGTTGTTGTCGTACAAACAACGGAGGTTGGAGGAGAATCAGACAATGGGGAGAGGAATGGTCGTACGTGCTGGGGGGCCTACAGGAGAAAGAGGGAAGAGGAGGACGGAAGAGGGAGGGGGAAGAGGCGCATGGAGAGAAGAGGATGGAGAAGAGCAGGACGTACTGACCTCCGCCGAGAGATGACGTCCCCAGAGAGAACACGTGCGTGTGTGTATGTGCACCTTCTCTCACCCACGCCGCACTCTGCTGTTTACCGCACACACCCCTCCTGTACGGCACCCCCAGGTGGTCAATGTACGGCAGGGTGCAGCGCGAGGGCAAGGCCACCAGCTGCGAGGAGCGGCTGTCGTACATCGACTCCCGGCGCTACCAGTACGTGAGCAACGAGTACACACTGCACGGCGGGGAGGCGGACATGGCGCGGACGCATGTGTGCGACAACGTCATCAACATCGTGACGTTGAGGTGGGTGGGTGGGTGAAGCCTGAAGAGGGCGGGAATGCGAGGGGGGGCGAGGTAGGGGTCACCCGGCGCTAGGGGCGCTAGGAGGGCATGCCTGTGCCGGCACCCGGCCGTTCCCACGCGCCCCGCCTTACCTGGGTTATCCTGCTATACCCGGCTGATGGCTGAGTCGTAATCCGGACTTGCCCGCTGCCCCCGCACCCCGCCTCCCGCCTGCCTGCCCACCCCACCCCCCGCACCCCGCAGGGACCCCGAGAAGCGGCTTCACTCGCACCTGCACTACATGCTGGCCCACGTGAAGCGGGCGGTGCAGCGGCCGCGCTTCTCGCGCGGTGCTGACCTGTTCCACACCACCTTCTGCACCAGCAACCGCAGCGTGTGGGAGGCGGTGGTGCCGGCAATCATGGACAACTACATGGTCCGGTGGGTGCCTGCATGCGTGCCTGCCGGAGTGGCGGCATGGGGGCGTGCTGTGCATGGCTGCATGCGTACATGGCGGCATGGATATTAGATCGGGACTCCGTTGCTGCACTTATCATTCAACTTCCCCCCTGCTCGTTAGTTGCTTCGTCCGTTTCCTTATTTTTACCCCCCTTGTCCCCGCCTCCCCTGCCTCCCTCTGCCGCACAGTTCCTTTCTGGGCGAGCGCGGATTCCACACGCCCATCTGGGGTGTGGGTCCGACCCACGTGGCGGTTGCCGTACGGCTGCTGCTGCAGTTCGATCTGGTTCTGGATCTGGATGCGGGGGACGAGGCGGCGGACCTGGTGATGCAGCAGGGGCTGGGCTGGGGGAAGACACTGTCGACGGTACGTGAGGGTGAAGGAGGGCGGGTGGGTGGGTAAGAAGAGGAAACTGACGAGCTGTGGGTCGGGGTGGTGAAGGGGTGGGTGGGGGGTTGCAAACTTGCAATGTAACTTTTGTCGTCTCCTAGCCCCATTGCTTTGCCCTAACCAGTGGTTTCCTATGGTATGGTCTGGTCTTTGAACCCCCCCACTGCACCCGCCTGCCCCCCTCCTGCCCGCAGGTCCACGCCCGCTCGCTGGACAAGGTGTCCACTAACCACAACTACAGCTCGGAGGAGTGCGCCAACGAGCAGCTGCTGCGGGCGGTGCTGCCGCGGCAGGAGCCGGACAGGCAGCTGTACAGGTGGGGGGGGGAGGGCCGGGGAGGGGGGGGCCGAGAGGGGGATGCCGAGGGAGCAGCACTGACGAGGGGGAGGGGGCGGGGCGGGGGACCCGTGGGTCGGTGTGCTAAGAGGACTGGCCGCGAGTAGGAAACGTACTGGGTTGTCGGAAGGTAGGGGTCGCTGTGGGTCGGTGTTCATGTGTGTGTGTATTGGGAGGCTGGGAGGGCAGTGAACGAGCGGGGGGGGGAGCTCACACCGCCTCCCTCCTGCCCATGCGGTTGGGGTGGTTGAGTGTTGTGCACTGCTCGCATCCCTGTTGGCTTAACTCGGCGGGTTGCCTTGGGCCTGTAGTCATCACAGCTGTTTGTCTCTATGCCCCGCCCCGCCCTGACTCGCCCCGCTCCTCCTCGCCCCGCCCCCTTCAGGGTGGGCCAGACGGTGAGCTTCCTGGACCGCCTGTTGCTGGCGCTGGCGGGGCGGCTGGGGCTGCAGCCGCTGCAGCCGCCTGCTGCCGCTGGGGGTGGGGCCGGGGCGGCTAGGGTGGCGGCTAGGATTGCTAGGAGCGAGGAGGGAGCTGAAGAGGAGGAGGAGGAGGAGAAAGGCGTGCCTTGCGGGTTGTTGACGATAGCGAGGGAGATGCACGGGGCTGCGCGCGGAGGGAAGGCGACATGGGAGGAGACTGGAGGGGAGGAGGAAGAGGAGACTGGAGGGGAGGAGGAGGAGGAAGAGGAGGAGGAGGAAGAGGAGGAGGAGGGCGGGCGGAGGATGGCAAGGAGGCGTAGGGCAGCAGTATAGCAGAGGGGGAGGAGGGGGAGAGAAGGGTGCTGTAGCTGGTGGCGTGGTTCGGTTGCTTTGCTGCCGGTACGCTGCAGTCCTGCGACATCACGACAGAGGGCCTAAGGAAACCCCCAGGTGGAATATGCTTTAAACGTGCATTCTAGGAGGAAAATATCTTTTTTAAAAGTATCTGATATTGGGGCTTTTGAGGTGGCACCGCGCTTTCAGTCGCTTTCAGCGATGAAGAGCATCTGGTAAATCGGAGGAGGGGTGTACTGCAGCCCTCCGGATCCTTGGTGTTGACGTCAAAACCAACAACAATGGCGCGCGAACATTGCAAGTATTACCTGACAATGTTACCATTTGCGTGATTTTACATTTATTGTGGACGCCTGTGCTTACTTCGTTGATTTGTGTTTTTATTTCGCGTCTTCCCCACGATTATTCCCGGGCACTCCCGGGCGTGGTACGGCATGCCATTCACGAGCCATGGGCCGAGCCACCAAAACGCTGCAATTGCATATTATGAAAGGGCTTGCCGGCATGCATAATTAGTGCGTGCCAAGAGGTTTTGCGAGAGCTCTTGAAGGAGGTGAGGCGGAAGCGATGCCAGATAAGAAACGAAGATGGCTATGGTTGTGTATTGTTGCGGTATGGGGTAAGCGCCCATGGCCCGTTGCGGCCTGTCATTCATAGTGTACGTGACGGTCGTGCAAGGCGGAATGGGACATGTAACCAGAGGAGACATGTGCTTAGCAGCGTCACTTACTACCTAGGATTTGTGTTTTCTCCCCACCGTGCACCGCAACCCCCCTTTTGCACCCCTAGCAGTTCCGGCGAAGGGCGACTCCTTTGTTGGCGGATTGTCGTACAAAAGGTCAAAGCATACCTGCATACGGCACATGCCGAAGTTGCAAGCAGCGTAAATGGGTATTGTTACTAAGGTAGCTAAGGCATGCGGGAATTGCCGCGCCAAGCAACACGTTGACTAACAGCGAATCTACGAATAGCTTGGGTCGATGGGTTAGTCGCATCAATGTTGCTGGACCCCGCTAGACGGGATAACATGCCGATCATCTGTAAGGCAGCAGTAGCTGTAATCCTTGGGCTGCTTTTTATAGAATTTCAATTCACTTCAGCTGTCCAGGAGCAACGATCCCTGGGTGCGGCATTAGAACGCAGCGCGTTGTTAGCTAACACCACAACAGAATCAAAGAATGAATTATTAGGAGAGTTAGCGGTAATTGTGCGCGCTCCAGTTTACACTCGTCTACGGTTAATCCACGAGCTGCAGCATGGGCACACGCGGAGCTCAATCCGACAAATACTTGAGTCCTTCCCAACGCTTAACGAGGGGAACCTCGAGCGATGGTTTAGCAGCGTGGATACCTTCCTGACGGCGTACGCACAAGGGACGGCATCGGTTAGCCACGGGCCTGTACGGGTTGACCTGAACCAGACGGCCCTCAGCGGCCTCCCCCTTATCAGGAGGACGTTGTTAGCACAGCTCGTTACAGCATGGCTGACCAGCCTGCAGCGCAAGCTGCCTGACAAGCTTGAAGCAAAGGTGGCCAAGATGGTACAACAGGTGCGGTTCCCACAGGATCCAAATAACAACAGAGCTTGTCAACGAACCACCAGTAGTAGGCCTTCTATGCGTCCACAATCCATCAAGGCGCTGCCCTCCCTGCCCCGCATTTCTTTTGTTTGCCCCGCCTTCCTTCTGCCTTTTTGTAACACCGTTTCGCATGTGTACGACACACCACACCAGTTGTACGAATTGCACCGGGCGTCTGTCGTACAAAAGGGCGCCATGGAGTACTTCCACATCTCCAAGGCGGGCGGCACCAGCTGGAACAGTGCGGCGAGTGCGTGGCGGTGGTGGGGGCTGTGGGGCCGGAGGAGAAAAAGGGGGCTAGACAGGCTGAAGCCGCGATGAATGTTGACCGCGACCGTAGCACAGTGATGTGAATGAGATGATGATGGAGAGGGACCAGGGGAGGGCCGGGGCGCTGGTTATGGAGGCGGAGGGGAGGGGGAAGAGAAGCAGCCACCTTACCTCCTCCTTCACCCTTCCTTCCCCCGCCACCCCGACCCCACCCGACTGCAGAGCTGAACGGCTGCCAGGCGGCCCACGCGGCCGGCAGCCACGTGCGGGGTTTCGGAGACGAGTGTCGCTGGATGAACCAAACCGTGTACAAGAAGATAACGGGCGGCCGCCGAATACTGTAAGACAGGCAGGGGGTCGGGGGGGGAGGGAAGGAGGTAGAGAGACTGAGAGACGTGAGGGCATGCTGGGAAGGAGGCGTGGCTTCGGGTTTCCGCATCGAGTCTAGGTAACCGCAGCCGCCTCACTCCCTCCTTTTTACCCGCATCTCCCCCAGGTACGGCACTTCTACCGGTGACCTTCCCAACCACCATCCTGTCTCCTTTGCTTTGCCCTAACTAGTGGCTTCCTGTGGTTTGGTATGTGGTCCCTGACCCCCCCTCTCCCCCCCCTCTCCCCCTCACCCAGCTGGGGTCGGTGGGGTCGAGTGGCTCGCGACACTCACGTGCACGGCTGCGTGGCTCGCTGGGAGGTGGTGGCGGGCCGCGGCTTCAGCTACATCTCCAACGAGTACACGCTGCAGGGGGGGCTGCAAGACATGTACGACACACACACCTGCCCGCAGCTGGTGAATGTGGTGACGCTGAGGTGAGGGGGTAGCAAAAGTAAAGAGACACCGACGATGCAACTAACGGGCTGAGGTGGGTGGGGGGTTAGGGGGTGGTTGGGTTAGGCACGGGGGGGTTGGGTTAGGTAAAGTGAGCCGCGAGGAAACACTGTCCGTGACCACAGAAAGGCCCGGCGATGCTGGCATCAGCAGAGGAAATGACATTGTTTGGGTGGGCACAAGGGCTTGGGTTAGGCAGGGTGCGTTGGGCTTTGGGTGTGGTGCGATGGAGCTGCCCTCCCCCCCCAACCGGCACCTGTAGCACACACGAGCCAGTACGTTCCTACTCGCGGCCGGTTTCCTTTAACCGCACAACCCCCCACCTGCTATCCCCACCGCCCCCCCCTTCCGGCCCTGCAGGGACCCGCTCCGCCGCATGGAGTCCGCCATAAGGTGGGGCCATAAGGGAGCGGGACCGGAGGGTGGGGGAGAGCGGCCTCTAGGGGGGAGCATAGCAGGTGGAGGAGGTGGAGGGCCCATGGCAGGAAGGGAAGGGCGCCCTTTTCCTCGCCCCTTCTATCCAACTCCCTGCTTCCTCTTCCCGCCATCTTCCCGTCACCCCAATATCCCCAAACCCCACCTGCGAACCCCAAACCAACAGGTTCATCATGATGCACGTCAAACGCGCCTTCACGCATAATGACCCACGGGACGGCGAAACCACCTTCAACTCCCTCTTCTGTAACGCCAGCGTCGCCTTCTGGGAGGCCCTTGCGCCGCCCATAACCGACAACTACCTGCTGCGCTCCTTTCTTGGGGAGCTGGGGTTTCACACGCCGCTGGGAGGGCTCAACGCGACCCATGGGTCAGTAGCGCGGCACCTGCTGCTGCAGTTCGATCTGGTGCTGGATCTGGATGCTGGCGAGCGCGCGAATGACGAGATGGCGTACGGCGGACTGGGCTGGCCGTCGACACTGTCCAGGGTGAGGGCTGGGCGGTGGGGGGTTGACATGCACAGCTGCACACACATCACACCTCCTTCATCTCACACCTCCTTCCTTCCTTCATCTTCCGGCAATCACAGTACGTTTGACTCGCGGCTAGTTTTCAACACACCTCCTCCCCCACCCCTCTTTCCCTCCTCCCTGAACGTTCCTCTTCCCCGGCTCCTTCCCCGGCTCTCCCTCCCTCCGTCCCCTCACAGGCTCACGCGTTGGACGGCAGTGTGCTGGCGGGCAAGATGGATCTGGACTGGGACAGCTGTCAGCCCGCGGGGGACGCCATGCGGGAGCTGCGGGCGCGGCAGCGGCACGACGTGGCCTTCTACCGCTTCGGCCGGGTGGTGAGCCGGTTGGACGCGTTGTGGCTGGACATGGCTCGGTCACTGGGGCTGGCACCGCTGGCGAGGATGGTGACGGCGGAGGCGGAGCCGCAGGAGATAGGGTGAGGGGGGGGGGCGGGGTGGGCAGTGGGTGTGGTGAGTTGAAGAAGAATTACCAAACGGCAAGTGTGGGAAAGACAAAAGGCATAGGGGTGGTGGGTGGGGCGCCCCTGCCCCTCCTGCCATGGTGTCCCGTACCAGCCGACCCCGGTTGCTGCTTTTTCCTTTACCCTTCCCTCCCCCCACCGTTAGATTCCTGCGACCCTCCCTCCCCTTCCCCTTCCCCGCTGCGTGCTGCCAGTTGCGGGCTGCTGTGGCGCGGCAGCAACGGCAGTGCGCTGGCGGAGGCGCTGCAGCGGGCAGGCTGGGGAGCGGCGGGGGGGAAGGAGGAGGGGATGGAGAGGGTTGGGCAGGAGGGGCTGAGGTCAGCAGAGGGGTCAGCAGAGGGGTCAACTGAGGGGGCGGTGGAGGGTAACAGTGGCAGCAGTGCGGCTGGCGGCGGGGATGGGGGTGGGGGCGAAGAGGAGGACGAGGGCGCGGATGGGGCGAATCAAGGTGTTGATGGGGAGGAGGAGGAGGAAAAGGTAGGGCCGGAGGACGTGGCGGTGGGGGGGCAGAAGCGTAGCCTGTGAGGTCGGGTGGAACGCTTCCTGCTGCGCAGTTGCGGTATTAGTGGGGTGTGTGTGTTATGATGGGGGCGGACGAGGAGGGGAAGGCGGCGGGGCAGGGAGCTTCAAGGCCGGGTGCCTCAAGGGGCAGCGTGCAGGCTTGCTGGCATGCTATGGCTTCAGTCAGCGTGCAGTGTGCGTGGGGGTCAAAGACCATACCGAACCATAGGAAGCCACAGGTTGGGGCAAGACAATGGGGATAGAATCGGCAGGGTGCCACAAAAACAAGTATGGGTTAGCGGTGGGTGCGTGGAGGGGGAGGGCTGCAGCAGCGGCAACAGCAGCAGCAGCGCAACGCCTTAGTACAGCTGTGTGGGTACCTGGGCACCTGGGCAGACAGGTAGGTAGGTAGTAGGCAGGCGACTACACAGGGCTGCAGCAGCGAAGGGAAGCAAACCAAACACAGGATGGGTACCTGGGTGCAAACAGACACACAGGTCTCGTAAGGGCAGGACGGGATCACTGTACGAGGTAGCGAACATAATGCTGCCACCGTGTGTGCGCAGCCTGTGAAGGACGTAGCGAGAGGTTTGGCGCTTTGGGGGGAGCTGGAGAAGTTAGCTGTAGCGTTGGCCTGCAGGGCCTGGAAGTGACAGGTATGAACCTGGTGCCGGGCTAGGGGGGCTCATCTCGTGGTGTAGCGGTGGGGTACCGGTAGAGCTACCGTGGCTGGCCGCTGGCTGCAAACATGCAACGACACTGACGTGTGTGGGGGTGTCAGGGTAGTCAGAGTGTCAGGGTAGTCAGGATGTCGGGGTGTTAGGACAGCAGGTGGGTGCTCCGGATGGCGCTGCTGCTGCCTCTCTGCTGTGCGTGTGATACAATGCGGAACAGCTGCGATGCACATGTGCTCTGTGGATGTTTTTACATACTAGGGATGGGGAAAGGGGTGACAAAGACACGTTCCTCGGTGTCCCGTACGACATGCGCTCAACGTTGTCATCATCAATCATTATCATCAACCACCTCTGTGTTCCTCGGCACACACATGCCGCGGAAGCGCCTCTGCATGCTCGGTATGTCTTGCTCGGACCAACAGTTGGGAAACGACGCTTTCAAGGCAGCGTCAGGCAGCGTCAGCGCCAGCACCAACAGCCGTACAGCAATACAAGGATGAAGTTAAGATGGCCATAAAAGGTAGGCAGACTTATTTGCGAACAAAGAAACAATGCCATTTAGAGGGTTGTTGCTAGACAAAGAAACGGCGCCTGTTACCCGGTATTCCAACAACTTGTGGTAGAGCCCCAATCTTGGGGGATGTAACAAACGAAGCGGGACACATGAACAACACGCACAATAATACGTACCACGTACGGCCGTTCCAAGGTCAATGCATTGTGACACACGCCCCATGGCAGAATTGCACGGCGAGTTGTACGGCATGCGCCCGTATGGGGCCGTAGGATTAAGCAGCCTGTCCCCAGCTATTTGGCGCACGTGAAGCAGTAGCCCTTAATCAGCAGTACTTGGCAAGCCGCAAAAGAGAGCAGGTCACCGATCCACCCGTCATGACCTATAACCCGGAAACAAGCCGCATGCAACATGGAAATATGGGAAGCAACCCCCGGCAACAACATTTGCATCCATCCGCAAGTCCGCTGGCACGTTCCGGCAGTTCTCAGCCTCCATTCCGAATAAATTTAATGGATTAGACGTAAGATGATGCGCACAAAGGTGTAACAGCTATTTCAAAAGGGTCTCCAAGCGCCGGTGCGACCCATGGGTCGGACACCACCCTACGAGTGTAACAACAAGCTTTCGTCACGATAACCCAAAGCGCGAGCGGTGTTCAACCATAAAGCGATAAATACGGTCTTCGTAGTCCAGAAGAACGTCATCTTCGTGGAAAGTAGCATGACCCCGTAAACCCGTACACCCCGCGTACCACATCCTAAGGGCAGTGCAACCTCTAGTTTGACGGAAAGTGACGGAGCAAGCCTCATGTGATGGCCCATCACAAGCACATGCTCAATAACAATCTTCATGCATCAACTTCACTTTCGTTACATCAACCCGGTCAAAAGAAGCCCTCATGCGAACATACCCGCCAGGGGCCACCCCAACCCCTTCACCGCACCTAGTGACATGAATTGTGGGTATCAGCCAGGCAGGCCTACCGGTGCACCTGCTCCTCGGATGCTTCCGCAGCTCCTGACAAACCGCTTAAAGTCGCATTGCTCTTGAAAGCCCCACCCCAAGAACACTACCAGTCTACCACCCGTCACCAACTCACCATCGTCCCAAGCAGCACCAGTAGCCGCAGCAGCGACTAGTCTACAACCGAAAGCATCGCGCGCATTTGATTGGGCGGCAGTCCGGCGCGCAGATTGAGCAGCAGCGGCACTTCGATGTTGGCCCCCTGCCGCGCCTTGGGTGGCAGCAGCATCGTGTCACATCGCCCCTGCTGCCTGCCCCTGACCTGCACCCCACCCTCCCCTGCGCTAACCATGTCCCATGCTCCTGCTATGCCAAACGCCTGCTGGCTGATTAGCTCATGCTGCGGGGCCAGCCGCAGCTGCTGCAGCTGCTGCTGCGGTGGTTGCAGTGGCAGTAGCAGCGCTGCCGCAGAGGTAGCAGCTGCTGCTGCTGCCGCTGCTGTGCCACTGCCGCCGAATGGACTCCGTGTCATGGTAGAGGCCACCGGTGCGGACAGATCCACTACGAACGGCGGGGTTCGCAGCTGTTGCTGCTGCTGATGCTGCCGGGTGCGGCCCGCCGCTGCAGCCGCCGGGCTCGCATCCCATGTGCCTGCTGCGGCAGCCGGCCTAGAGCGGCTGCTACTAGTGCGCTGCATTCGCATGTCTGCTGCATGGTCGTCGACGTAACCCCCAGCCATGCGTCCTTCATGCTCCCGTGGCAGCGGACCCGCCGAACAGACGTCCCGGTCCAAGTCGTGAGGTGCCTCACAGCTGGGCTGCTGCAGCTGCTGAGGCAGGAGCAGCTGCTGTAGCAGCAGCGGCTGCGGCTGTAGCAGGTCTAGCTGCTCCTGCGGCAAGAACTGCAGCTGCTGGTGCTGCGGCTGCGGCTGCGGCTGCCGAAGCGATGGCGACGGCGATGGCGGCTGGCGATGCAGCCGTTGGGAGGCAGCAGGGAAAGCCAACATGTGGAGTACGTCGGCAACATCGCCCTCAACACCTAGGTTGGCGGTGCCCGAGGAGGCTCGGGCTTGCGGGGCGCCCTTGCGCCTGCTCTTGGGCTCTTCCTGCGACCCGACCGAGGTGGGGGCGGCCAAGGCAATAGGCATGCTACGCTGTCGTTGGCTGGCAGGGCCCAGCAGAGGAGCCTGCTGCAGGCTGCTAGGAGCTCGACTACTCCCATTACCGCTACTGGTGTTTGTAACACCAGTGCTGGTATGGCTTGCTTCAGCGGCCGCGGCAGCAGCAGCTGTCAGCGCCTGCGCCACTGCTTCCGTATCCACTCCGCCGTCGCCCTTGCGGAGCGGCGGGGGCAACCTGAGGGCGGACATGACCCTGGACACTGCATCTTGGAGCTCCTGCTGCTGCTGCTGCTGCTCCTCGCTCCGCCGCTGCTGCTGCTGTCGTTGGTACTGCTGCTGTTCCTGCAACAGCTGCTGCTGCTGCAGCCTGCGCAGCTCGTCGGCACGAAGGTGTGCAAGCAGCAGGGCACGTGCGGATTGCTGCAAACGCTCGTGAGGTGGATCAAGGAAAACTGCGGAAGCATCCCGGACATCGGCCCCCAGATCTTCGGCCTCCGAAGTGGGTTTCACTCGTCCAGGTGCTGGCGGCATTGACGACTGAGGCATCAGACACGTCCTGCTGGCAGCTTCCGCTGCTGCTGCTGAAGCGCCGGTCTGCTGTTGCTGCTGCTGCAAAGCCGCTAGCAGCAGCACGCCCCCGTTGTCCAGGCCTGAAGCGCCCTCTAGCGCAGCAGCGACATCCGCGGGTGCGAGGGCGCCTGCTGCGGCCTGACCCAAAACCGGCACTGCTGCTGCGGGAAGCTTCTGTTGCAGCCGCTGCCTTGGCCCAAGGTGCAGGGCTGTTGTCGAGGCAGCGTGGGCCATCTGTGTCTGCATGCGGCCGATGCCGCCGGCGGAATAGCAGGCTTGCGGCCATTTATGAGCGGTCTCAATGATAACAGCAGCGGATGAGGTGCGCAGTCGCTTGTTGTTGGTATGTTGAATGTGGGAGGGAAAGCCTGCCTGCACAGAGGACTGCTGCTGCGGGTTGTGATAATAGGCTTGGCCACTGCTGCTGCTGCTATCAGCAGCAGCGGCAACAGCAACAGCGGTGGCGGCGCTAGCTGCCTGCATATGCAGCAGGTGGCCAATATTACCGCTGTTTCCGCCGCTTGCGGGGCTTAGACCATGCGTCCGTCGCAGGTCCAAAGGTTCGCAGGAGGACTTCTTAGCCCCGGCTGCTGCTGCTGCTGCTACCGCAGCCGCTGCACCTGAGGCTGTAACAGCGGGTGATGAGACGTGCGTAGCGTCTTCGCAAAAGACCATTACGTCGTCGCCACCAGTATTTGACGCTGGGTTGTTACTAACCAGAAGGTCATGAAGGGAACGCTTGAGACCCCTGGGTCGGCGGTGGTGGAGTTGCTGCTGCTCTTCCTGCTGCAGGATGATGTGCCCTTTTGCAGGATGATGTGACCTGCTGCAGGCTGCTGCTGCAACAGCTACGAATGGTGGGTCTGAAGAGGAACGTTGTGGGGCACCACAGTTGCCATCTGAGCCTGCTGCTGTGGCGGGGAGCTGCACCTCCTCGCCACCTTCCACCCCCAGACGGCTCCGCTTGCTGGACCACAGCTGTCCCAGTAGCCGCTCCTGCTGCCGGTGCGACGCATCAGCAGCAGCACGAGCAGGCGCCGCTGCCGCCACCATCGCTTGCAGCCGGACAAAATTACCGGTTGTCCAAACCGCATCCGGCTTATAGTTGGAATGCACGGCCAGCCATTTAGGTAGTGACAAGAGTGAGCTGCCATCAGCACCGCCTTCCACAGGATAGGTGCAAGCGCCGCCGCCGCCGCCACTGCTGTACCCTTCCGCAGCGGCGGCAACAGCGGCATGGGACCCCTCCGAGCCAGCAGCGCTGGGGCTGCCGGGAAGGGGACCGCTGGGGCTGCCGCTGCTGCCGGACAGGACCGGGAGCTCCCCCGGGGAGTCAGGAGCGCGGTGCGCATGCGGCGGCAGGGGCATGCGGCTGCTGCCGCCACTGCCGGTGGGGCTGGGTGCGGGCACGGCGGGTTGCTGGAGTGAGGCGTTTCGCTGCTGCTTGGACCTGCAGGCAGGCGGGCGGGCGGGCGGGCGGTGGGCAGAAGGGGGTAAGCCTCGAGTCGTATGGTGTAGGAGGGTAACCATGCATGGTTGGGCAGACGCATGCATGTGCGGATGCTTAAGCGAAAGCGCTTTGGCCGTAGCGCCCACACAGCTTTGATTGCACGCGGTGGCGTATACGATGTATTATTGAGGGATAAGATGCCTGGCCAGTGAGGCAACCCACCTGGCCTGCTGGTCTTCATCCTTGGTAGCGGGCCCGACTGAGGCCACGTCAGCTGCCGCAGCCACATCAGCCGCAGCCTGACCGCCCGAGGCTGCTGCTGCTGCACCTGGCGCGGCACGAGAAGCGGCCTTACGCTGCCGGCCGGCCGTCGGTGTTGTCCTTAGCTGTGACACACCAGCGGGCTGCCCCGGTAATGCTGCGGCCCCTGGAGTTGGTGAGGGCGGCAGCGGGGGTGATGGCGGCTCGCCGTTTGCTGGATCCGAATTCAGCAGTGTCGCTGCGCCGCGGCTCGTCATCAGCGTTTGGCCGCCCGCAGCGGCCTTGCGTCGCTGCCGCTCCTCCTTGAACTTTGTGAGCAACGCCGGGATGGTGGTGGCTGTGGAGCAAGCGAACGGGTGGAGAGGGCAAGGTGAATGGCGTATGGTGATTGGTGAGCGGCTGGTGAAGGTATGTACGAGCGCGCTATGGTGCTAAGAGGCTGTTCCCGAAAGGAGCGGCTAACACCGGTAAGTAGCAGCGGGTATCGTCCCGTCCCTTGCGACGCTTTAAGTTATGGTTTTGACTTACCGATAAGTTCGTCCCACTCAGCGGTGTAATCGCCCAGCGGAAAGTTGCAAGTCGCTTGCTCGCCGTATTTGCTTATGCAGGCGCGGTCAAAGACGCGGGCCGCCTCCTCTTCCGTGCCGTAGTCACCGAGAGTTACTGTTCTGCCTCCATGAGATATCTGCAGTTACATGAAACCATATGTCTGGCATCGTCAAAGGGCACAGCCTGCTCATTGAGGGAAACGGCACATAACCTGCAATAGTACAAAAGGCCTAAACGTTACCCTTTTAAAAGCAGGATACGAACATCCTCACTGTGCGAAGGCGCAGCGTCAGCAAGGGGTCTCGACATTTAACTAGCCGTCAAGCAATGTAAGGGCACATATACGTACGCCAGAGCAATTCGGTAATGAGATAACAACTGTCTTTTGTAAGGTGGTTTCTTTGCATGGTGGCCGTGCTGGTTAGTCCGATAGCCTATGCACGTAGCATAAGGTTTACCTGGGCACGCCACTTGTTCGTTGGCTTGTACAGAGTTACTCCTTTGAATAAGGAATGACGACTAGAGGCTTTAACAACGAGCGCGAGGGCCTCCATAGTCGTGAGCCTTGGTTAAACCTTGCTTCGTAGCTAGGCTACAACAAGGCGCCACGCAGCCCTCCTATGTTCAGTATACAATGCGATGAGCTCAAATTGCCTGCCTGGTATCAAATGGAAGGAGGACAGAGACGTTCTTAGGGTTAGACGTTTCACTTGGACGAAGCGGACAGGAAACATTTGTGTATGTCAACAATGCCTCCGCCTCACTGGGTTATATGCTTATAGTAATGCTGTAAAAATAACCATAAACGCCATCGGCTCGACTCGGAAATATTATGCCGCGTGTAATCAGGGGCCAACCAGCGACGTCCTAAAAACAATTCATTGTAGCTTGCCCCATGAAACGTTGATTTCATAAGCATGGAGCTTACCGTAGGGTGAGGCGGCATTCAGACGACATCGTCGGCTGTCCACCTAGCAGTAGAGGTAGATGGCGTCATGCGTTTGTACAAGGCGGCGTTGTCGCTTGCTGATATAAATTGTTTGTATTTAGCGACAACTAAGTTGCTCCTCGCTAATAAGCAGGTAATTTGCTGTTAAGCTCCGCTGGAACGTACTTTAGGAGCACTAGTAAGTACGCTGTGAGGTTCAAGAGTAAATTGCATTTTAATAAAGCACTTTTGTATGCAGGAAGTTAGCGATGGCCTCCCATTTGTCGTTTTTTCCTTCATGCCGTACATCGGCGACGAACTAAAGTCAGAGAAAAGCCCAAAATGTCTTCCCTGGTACAATGAGCTTTTACCAACACGCACATAAACTTTCTTTGGTGTATACGTAGGTAAACAGAAAGAGTGACGCGCGGGCACGGGCGAAGGCAGTTGACGTAAAAGAGTGGGGATTCTGGGAAGATTCCGATCACAATGGCGGAGCATACATACGCCCAGAACGTTTAAATATTGCACATAGAATTGTGATTTCCATACTCCTGCACATAACTAATAGGCTTGTACTTACAGCCTCTACCTGACTTCATTTCAGGTTTCACTCAGCGAAACGGTTGCTTTGTTCGCAAAGGTAGGGAAACGACAGACACCGCTAGGGCATAGCATACTCATAATATAACGCACAGGAACCGCTTTACTGCAGAACAATTCAAAAGGCTTCTGCTGCTTCAAGACTGTATGTGCGTTCGCCTGCCTCTGCCAATGCAGAAAACCAAAGATACGGAGGCTGCTACGGTGAGGGTGTGCCAGCTTCGATATGGTTGCCGTATTGCTGTTCGGGGCCCCCTGGCCTCTAGGCAGGTGAAGCTTCGCAAGGACAGTTAACCTTTAAGCTCAGTAGGTAACTTTTCTTATACCGCACGTTTCTTCACTCCCCTCACACCGTCGCCCAGTGCGCAGTCGTCGCTGGCCTCGTCTTTCGTCTATCTCTTGCCTCGCAACTCCTTCGGCGCCTTACATTGTGCTTCAACGCAAACAACTGGAAGGTACGGGGCAGCCTTAGGACAGATACCCATAAACAGCGTATGACCGGCAACCACGCACACAACTGCAGTTTGGCACTTACAAAGATCCTGTGCAAGGATACAGCAATCCACGCCGCCTTCCCCTTCTCTCCACTCGCGGCATGCGACGACCTGACGACCCACTTGGCCGCCCCCCGGCAATGCACCCCCACCTCCCGCCTCCACCAGACCCCAGTGGGGCCCCAGTGGGGATGCATGAGCTAACAGGAGCATCCGGCTACCTGCACCCCAGAACTGTACCCCGAGACTTGGAGCTGTTGGGCGCTGAGTGCGCCTTACGCGACCCCTTCATACAAATCAAACCGTCACATCGGCAGTCATACAATCAAACCTAGCCACTCTGGCACCAACCGGCCGGCGCACGCGCCCAGCCTTAAACCGGCAGCTCCGACCCCCCACCACCACTACCGTAGCCGGCGCTGCTGCCCCCACCGCCACCGCTGCCCCTGCTGCGGCTGCGGCGACTGCGACCGAAGCACCCTCCAGCGCAACACCCCGCCAGCGCATCCAAGCAGCTCCCAAACGGAAACAACAACCCGCAGTACAACCGCAGCCTCCGGCAGGCACGGCGTTCGGAGCCCCGCAGCATTGGGACCCGTGGGTCACTCGCATCGTCGCCGCTTGCGTCTGCACCCGCCTCTCCCTCGCTGTCCCAGTGGCGGCTGCTGCCGGCCACCCCGCCGCGCCGCCCCGACAGCGCCCCCTCCCGCCGCAGGGGGTGCTGCTCCCCGAATGCCATGTCGTCCACTGGGAGCGGTCGCAGGCGAGGGGGGTCGCGGAGGGAGGGGGCGGAAAGGGGTAATGTGAATAGGGATCGGGTCGGAGAGGAGAAGGAGGACGTGCGTGTTAGGACCCTACGAGGGAAATTGGATGCCATTATAGCCGTAGTGCGACATGACTACAGCACTGACAGTAGTGCAGAGGCGGGAGAGTGAAGGGAGGCATGGGGCGAGGGGCGAGGGGAGGCACGCACACCTCACCGGCCCCTGTCTCTAACCAGTCCCCCTGTTCCATGCACCCCCGCACTACCATTCCCTTCCCTATGTTCCTTTTCCCCTTGTTTCATCCCCCGCCTTTTCATCACCATTTTCATTACTCTCCTTTTCTTTCCCTATTTAATCCCTCGTCCCTGTCCCCTTTGCCACTTGCCGAACTTGCATACATCATATTCTCTTCCTTGGCCACTCCCTTCCCTTACTGCCGCGCTGTTCGGTCCGTAGTTTTCCATACCTACCTTAGTTCACAGGGAGTGTGTCGCTGTTTGTCGCATTCCATTTGTCTCATGAACGACGTAACTGCCTGGTCCTCCCTTACCCTACCGCTATTTTTGCGCGCATGTACTGCTTCGTGGCTGGTCTCCTTCCATCACGCCGGCCTGCTCGACGTTCTTCCGGTCGGCGGCTCCATCTTTTGCGTTTCCAGGTAAGTCCACCAGTGCTTCGTTTTTAGTAAGTCTGTAGTTGTTTCGGGTATGTTCTTTGTATGTGGGGTTGTGTCCTAGTTGGCTCCCTACGGACCGTCGGCGCGGCTGCTGGCTACATAGATGTACTGGCGACGCTACTTTCTACCTCCCTATCCCTGTTCGCTCTGGCTTCGGTAAGTCTTCATTTTCTGGTAAGTGCATTACAAGTACTGGCTTCGCTCTTTCGGGCTGGGCGGGTCGGGCTGGCTCACATGTTGCAACCCATGTCGACGCCTTATCCCTCAGTCAGTTAGTTGTTTCCTCTTTACCCAACTCACCAAACATGCGTGCAGCCGCCTCCACGCACCCGCCCGCCTCCTCCAAGTAGTACCGCCCGCTGCACAGGTCCACCACAGCCGCACCGTCCGACCCATGGAGGCGACTGCCGGGGCCGCTGTCCGACCCGCCCGACCCATGGGTCACCGCCGCGGTGCTGCTGGCCTCCCTCACCAGCCGGCGCACCCGCGCCTGCATCTCCCGAAGCTGGGGAAGCACGGAATGGGAGTGCGGGTACGCGTGCGGGGAACGAGGAGAAAGAGCATCAGCATGCTGCATGCTTGAGGAGTACCGGTAGTGCTCAAGGCAACCTGCCCGGAAGGAAGCAAGGAACAAAGCCAAGACACAGAGGAAGGCAGAAGGATAGGAGGACCCCTGATGCAACCCATGGTGGAGCCTTTGTCGCAGGTTTTGCCTTTCTCCCTTATCCGCCCACGCCCTAACCAACCCAACCACCCGCCCCTTAACCTGAAGTCACTCACTCGCATGCGGCTAAACTTGGGTGAGGCTGGCTTCCCATCTCTCTCTCCCTCTCCAGACCCCTCCTCCTCCTCCCCTGGTGGCGGTTGTACGACAACCGTCAACAGGTCCCGACACAGCAGGGTGTCGTACAGGAAGGCGGCGCAGCAGCGGCCGCGCAGCTTCGCGAGCTCGGGCTCCGAAACTGCGTTGGGACGAAAGGACGTTGGGATTGAAATGGCATGCGAATGCAACCGGTGCACCGGGCGGGCGGTAAGGACGAGAAGTCGTACATTTAGTGACGGCTGGCTACTCTTTTCCCTTGCATGTTGAGGGCATGATGGTCAAGAGGGAGGTGTGTGTGGAACCCCGCTCTCCCTGGGCCCCCTCCTGTCTCAGATGGTCGGCTGGATTACTCAGGTACGCCTCCTGCGCCCCGCCGCCTCACCGGGTATGTACACCTCATGTCGGTGCAGCAGCAGGTGCGGACCCATCAGGGCGTTCAGCCGCAGCAGCGCGGGAGCAGCCGTGCCGTACCTGCAGGGAGTTGTACGGAGATAGCGAAGAGGAGGGCTGAGCGGGTGGGTGCATGGAGGTTTGGTGGGATGGACAGGGCACTTGAAGGATCCCGGAATAGGGCAAGGACTGTCAGTCAAAGCCGGCGTGCGGGTGTAGCTCATGTTCTCATTCCCCATCTTGTACAACAGTACATTGGTAAGCATTAATGGCTGAAACCCCTCGGGGTTCTAACCCCTCGCACCTGAGTGCCAGCTGCGCCACGTTCTCTCCGGGGCGTATTACGTGCCGTCGTACAATGCTCGAGGGCGGGATGGTCTGTAGTATGGCAGCGACGATGGCATCATTGCAACGTAACGTGATTGGGAGGGAAGGGCGTGGTGTTAGTGAGTGTGGAAGAGCTGCTAGCAGACTGACGGGTTGCGCAGGCGATTGGGATCATCTATTGGACCCTGGAAGGACTTGGCTACCTTGGGGTTGGCAGGTAAGCGGAAATTCGGGATCGATTGCGCTTATACAACGTCGTCCACCTTACCTCTAAGAGGGAGGGCGTCCGGGGCTCCGTTATTAATGCGCGGAAACCCCATCGACGTAGAAATGCTTCCTTCCGTGCTGCTTGCGCAACCTCCAGCCAATTCTTGCTAACCAGCTGGAAATAAATTGCAGATAATAAAGTTTAGTATCGTTGATGCGGTCGTCAACTACTCCTGTGGCGATGAGCCTGGCCACGCACCCTCATAGTAACGGTAACGTAAGTGCGTATTTCTAGTAACTTTTGTCCTCGCAGGCGCCTACCTGACATTTGACTATGTCGCGCTGTTCAAGAAAGAGCAGTATGCTGAGCAAGGCTTCGTCGGGGAAACCGGGCGCTAACTGCTCCGCGGCTTCCATCCTTTCTCTTGCCTTGTAAAAAAGCCTCAATTTCTGTCAATTTATTAAGCGCGCTCAATTGCTTCACGGCAGGAGGCCTTGAGAAAATTGGGTTGCGTGCGACTCTGAGCGGCAGCGTGTGATTGGGACCTGGCTAGTCCAGGATAAGGGTTTCTAGCTAATCGTTGCTATCGGCAGTAGCCAGACGGGTAAACACGTTTACCAGCAGGATTATCTCATTATCCAATACAAGTAACGCCCGCGTCACGTTAATCCGTACATCGCCGTAAAAAGGGCTGCAAGTACGAAGACGCAGTGGAGCCGTTGTGCCATGCCCGTTGACCCGCCCTATTCAAGCGGTGCTTTGGCTGCCAGCTGCTACCCAGGGCACAGCTGAAACCCGCTGGGCTTAGGACCCGCTTTGTCCCTGCTGGCTAGCGGAGGGCCTTCGGTCGCCCCCAAGCTCGCACTGTTCACGGTGTGTGTGGCGAGGTAGTGGCTCAGCAAACAGCAGTTACAAGGGACGACAGACCCCACCTGAGGAAGCCCAGGCTGGCCCAGTTGACACGTCTCCTGCAAAACAATCCAAGGAAAGTCAACTAAACCACCAGAACGTGAAGTAAGAAGAGAGCCGACATAAGGAGTACTGTACTGCAAACACATCCTTCACATCCATTCAATCATTCACCCAGCCAACGAACATACCGTACTCAACACAACAATCAATCCCAACCGCTGTTGCACCGATATCGATACTGCTGTTGCTGCTGCATGCATGCATGCATGCAAGCCACGTTGCGTGGCAGCATGGCATCGTCCACCACGGCGTCAGGCCCCGGGATACCATTTCGCAGCCAGCGCCCTGAGGGGTGCGTCCTTCTCCCTCGCCCTCAACCGCACCCCCCAGTGGCGCACACTGGCTCTCATCAGCTGTCATCGCTCCCTTTTTGAGGGTTGGGCGAGCAGCGTCACTCTCGCGGATTGGCACATCCCGGCGAGCATGGGCAGCACCAAAGCTCCCATGCTCCTCCAGCCCGACCCGTGTTGCCATGCCTCTCGCATGCATGCAGCAGCAGCAGCAGTGCCTGCACTGTACTGCGTGATACACCAAACGACCCAGGGCAGACCTCGTTGCCGTCATCGTCACCCCACCACAACCACCTTGTCACATGCCACCTGACGAACACCACGCGCCGGCACTACCGTAGGAAAGCACACGCCCAACCACCACCATCACCACCACCGCCGCGTCCGCCAGGCAACGCCCCCCGCACACATCATGTTAGCTCCGTCGTTCCTTCACGTGCATCACCAGCACCGGTATCGCACAGGCGCGAACCAAGGCCGCAGCCCGCGCCAGCAAAGACACCACTAATCGCGGCAGCGGCGGCAGTCCGCAGTTTCCCTTGCAGCCCGCCTCATCAGCACCACCACCACCATCCTCCTAGCTAGCTAGCTGCTGCTGCTGCTGCGCTGCACGTCCCGCCAGGCCGCCCGCAGCTTGGGCACCAGGTTGGAGCTCCACAGGACAGCTGGAGGTGGGGTGGGGTGGAGCGGGGTGGGAGGTTGGGGCACAGGGAGGGAAGGGGCTTGAAGGGTGACGAAGGGCCAGAGAAGGGCGCAGCTAACCAGGTAAACGCCCACCCATATGGATACTCTCCTACCGCTCCCACTCTCACCCTCCTCCCGCTCCCCCCCAACCCCGCCCCCTCACCTGTCACCATGAGTGCGAAGCCGCTGTAGGTGGCTGCGATGCTGAACAGCCAGCCGGTGACCGACAGGCAGGCGAAGCCGTGCAGCCCCGTCACGGGCGCGCAGCCGGGGCGGTACATGCGGCTGGAGGGGCCGTCCCAGATGCCGGCGTCCTGGGGGGGAGGAGGGGAGGGGGAACAGGGTTGGGAGGTAAAGGAAAAGAAGCAAACCATGACGGGAGGGAGAAGGGGGTAAAACAAGTACAAAACCAGTCCTCGGTTGCTCATTCTACAGCCTGCTATCAGCATATGTCGCCCCTTCTCTGCCGCCTCCCTTGGCTTGGTATTGCTGATGAGGGCCGTGCTCGGTGGGTTCTGCAGCTAGGCAGGTCGCCACGCCTCCTAGTCACTACGTCTCGTTTCCTCTTGGTCACCACCTCCACTCACCCTCATCCCATGGGACTGTGCTTCTCTTTCCCTCCCTCCCCCCCTCACACTTTGGAATTTCCACACTTTGGAATTTCTTTTTCCCCCCCTCCCCGCCCCTCCCCGCCCCCGCCGCCCCCACCTGCAGGCAGTGGCGCACCAGGTCGGCGCACAGCAGCGGAGTGGCGGCCAGCAGCAGCCAGGAGGGGCCGAAGCGGCGCCAGGGGGTGCCGCTGGGGGGGAGGGAGGAGGGGGGGTGAAGCGGAGGGGGGGGCCCGGGTTGAGTGGGAGGAGGAGAGCAGGGGAGGGGGGTGAGCAGTTGGGTTGAGGCATGGGGTTCGTTTCCCTCTACGGTAACCCCATCCCGAGCGCCTTTCCCGCATCTCCTGCCAACACGCACAACGGGCTTCTGATGGCCCCCCCCCCCCTCGGCTGTTGATCCACCACGCTGGTCCACGCATGGGACGCCCTACAATGGAGGCCACCCTGCCGCGGGGGACGCACTGCAGCTACTGTCGGGGCACCTCCTCACACTCCTTCCCGCTTCCTCCCTCCTTCAAAATATGGGCTTGGGACTCCAGTTGCTTCACTTTTGTATTTTTCCCTCCCTCCCCTCACCCGCCCCCCGCCCCACCTGCGCGCGGCGCCCTTCCATGCGGTGTATTGTGCCAGGTTGGTGAGGATGGCGAGGGTGAGGGCGAGGGAGAAGGTGTGGGAGAAGGCCTTTGCTCCTGCCGTAGCGGTGATTCCCATGAATCCGGCTGTGCAGGAGGGTGGGAGGGGTTGAAAGGGTGGGAGGAGGTCAGGGAGCCGTGGGGAATTACAGGCCTTGACCAGTGGGGGTGAGGATTGGGAGGGGGTCTGGGGTGCGTGGAGGCCGAACAAGTAAGGCAAGAGCGGCATGGTGGCTGGTGGAGGCAAGCTGGACGAAATTGAGGTGAATGCCCAAGCAAAGTGGAGTTAGGTTTGGTAAGTTGCCGGGAAATTCGACAGAAGTATAAAAGTATAAAGCTCTAGTTGTATAATGGAAGCCGGTGGGAGCCAGAGAGAGATGTAGACGGTCTGTATGTTGCAACGTGAAGGCATGCAAATTGTAACGTAATGGATAGGTAACCGTTGAAGGCCCCCAGCGCAGCGCAACCGGCTTACCCAGGAGCAAAGGCCAACATCAGCTTCCCACAAGAGCCGGCAGGGCCAGCAGCAGCGCTGCCACGGATGCCGCAATGCTACGCTTGTCGGTAGCTTCGCCTGATGGCAAAGCTGCTTCCACGTCCGCAGTGCTAGCTTCCAGCTGGCGGCGACGAGCTGCCGGCGGGGGCATAGCTCAGACGCCCGAAGCACATTCTGGGTCGTCAGCACCGCTATTCAGTGGGACACGCAGGTCGTCGTCAGCCATTCCGCCTCCAGGTGGCTGCAAAGTAAAAATGGGAGAAACATATTAGCGAAAAGCATGGTCCTATTTGTTGAAGTCAACGACGTGGCCGAGGCGCAGAGGCCCTAGTTGCGTTGGCCGAGAGGCCAAGAGGCGAGACACGGTACCAGCAAGTATGTTACTAAGTCTTTCGGCTGCGCACCTTTACTCGTGCTCGTGCTCGATAGGCACGCTCCAGCCACTTGGACATGCAAAGCAAACTGTGGGATACTTTGCGTCGCTAGTGACAAACTGCCGGCTCTTCCGTATGTCCCAAACATTTACTTGCGAAAATAATAAGTAGTAGGCTTGCGTTCCGTACTCAAGAAGGCGAACGGTCTTGCCCGTACCTTTCAAGCAGGGTAGTTAGGACCTTCGCTAGTGCCTGATCAGGGAGATATGTTGCTAGCCTTGAAACATGCCCTGTGCGATGACGCAAAATACCCCGGCCTTGGTCGACTCTCTTGCCTCGCAACGCCGCGCCATGTCCACACGCAGAGCCCACCGGGTTCTGTGAGTGTCGGAGTTTGGCACAAGTAGATGGTCTCGGCCGCAGCCACCATGCACCTATACTTCAGGCGCCCATTTCATGTTGGCGTTTGTACAGGAGGGCACCCCCCGCATGCCAATGCGCAGGGCGATTGGCCACGCTTCCCCTTCAACGACATATGTGTTGGGTCGCTTAAATGATATCACGGAAGACCCATCTAACATATGCCTGCCTAACGGACATCATTGGAGAACTTGTCCCGTCAAGGTATCGTCAACTGTAACAGGGCGGTTTCGGAAGCAGCGCCAAATACGGTAGAGCTGCTAGTGCAAGCCAAGCTGCCAAACAGAGGCGCTGCGGCCAGCTCTTACCAGATAAAGAAGTCTTTCGTATCAACAAGGCGTGTTGGTTGCTAGAGGCATTAAAGTTTGAGTTCCCGCTTTTTCCGCCTCTCTGACAAATGGCCGATGTGCTGGGATCGCTCGGATTTACACAAGACCTACCTGACGACCTGGTAGAGCAAGATGATTTTACGCTGCTGGCAAACGTGCGTGGTTCAACACGGAAGCAAACCGCTGGATGGGCAAATGCCTGAGAGTTTTCGCTTTGCATATAGGCAGTCCGCAACGAGCGGAACACCCAAGACATCTTGGAGTATAAGCATGAACTTGTGGAGCGTGTGCAGCAGCGCCTGGAAGACCAGGCAGGGTTCTGTTCGTTAAGTGCGGGTATCTTCGCTCATTTAGTATGTGAGATTTGTGCTGTCTCCAATGCGGTTATACTACCAGCAGGTTAATCGGGTAGACACATGGAAGGACGCCGGCAAAAGCAACCGATTACCGGAGGACGACATCGACATGTCGGTGCCCATCCTCTGCTGCACGCTAAATAACAACCGGTTCAGGTAAACCGCTGCTCTTGCCTGGGCGTTACCTTTACGGGGTTCGCTGTACGTATAGTTCGCGCCCTGAATTCTATCGCCAGCAAGCCTCAATCCAGTCCCGGTTCCCACGTTCACCCCACATTCACAACAATCATGTCTAGCCATCCCATACCGAACCAAGAAATTAGCATTTCATTTCTTTCCCGCCCGACCCCCGACTTACCCAAATCCGTTTCCCTCCTGCTCAGGTACCTGCTCAAGGCCTACTGGCGCGCCCGGCTGCAAAAGATTGAGCGCTTCGCCACCCTCATCATAGACTCGCCCGAGCTGCAGCGCAAGTAGGAAACCGGCTGGCCCCCACCCTCCTGCACCTGATTAACTTGGTGCAATGCTTAGGCATACCGATACCGGACAACCTGCTTTGCGTGGTCTGCGCCTGCTTGGTCCCCTGCCCGATCTGCATGCAAGGGTTTGTCCACGCATGTATGCTACCTCTCCCTCACCTCCTCCCCTGGGTTGCATGTTCCTACCGCGGAGTCCCTAGCCACTGCGCTCACTGCATGAACCGGAACCACATGGGCCTGTGCCTCACCCCTCTTCCTTCCTTCTCTCCCCTCCCTCCGCCCCCGCCCTCCCCCAGCTGCTCCCCCAAGGAGCTGCAGCACTGCCTGCAGTACTTTGTGGCGGTGGGCAGGTGTCTGAAGGAGGTGGTGCTGGCCCGGCTGCCGGAGGAGTTCCAGACGCTGGTAACTGGGAGGGAGGGCTAGGGCTGGGAAAAGGGGGAGGGTGTTAAAAATAAGGAGGGGGGAAAGGGAGGGAGGGAAGAATAGGATAAAGTCAGAGGTGTGAAGGAGCGGAGCACAAAACCACAACCCCCTTGGTTGCCGCCTCCCGACCCTCTTCCCCTCTCCTTCACCCTCCCCCGCCACTTCAGGTCCAGGAGTCCCAGCTGACGGACGCGCGGGACATGCTGCCCGCCCCCCGGCTGGACCGCTGCGTGTTCGTCAAGATCACCAAGGATGCGGGGCACGTGGCGGTGGACACGGAGTGAGTATGGGTGTCGAAAAGGAAACTTTGCGAGGGGCGGAGTGGGTGATGGTGCGGGAGCCTGGGGCTTGATGGCCGTGGGCTTGCATGCGCGGAGGTGTGAGGGAGAGTCCCCCTGACGTCCTGGCGGGTGTAGTAGGTTAAGAGCTGCTGTGTTGCTGCTTCCGTCTGGTTGCTCTCTGCATTCCTGACCTCCTGCCCCCTCCTGTTCTCCTCCTGCGGCCCTCTCCTTACCCCCCTGCCCGCCGACCCAGGGGTCAGAAGCTGGTTGACATGAAGGCGGGCGACATCTACATCATCCAGTACCAGCTGGTGCGGCGGCTGGTGCAGCAAGACATGGCAGTGCTCATATGATGCAGGGCGAGGGGGGGGGGGAAGAGGGAGGGTTCTGTGAGGGTAGGAGGAGGGAGGGGTAGAAGCTGCATGAGCGAGGATGGTGCTGAGGGAGTTAGGTGTGTCGGCGTAGGGAGCAAGGCGGAGTGTGGGTGGTGCTGCGAAGGAGGCAAGCGACGTGCTGGGAGGACCTGCAGGCCTTAGGATGAGAGGGCCGCAACGCGCCCCCTGGGTTGGGTGCTGGCTGTACGGCACTGCGGAGGGGGGGAGTGGGGAGCTTCTAGGGAGGGTTGGAGGCGGATTGGAATGGTGCGTGGGGGGTGCTGTGAATGGGGAGCTTAGCTGGGTGGGAGCGGTGTCGCGGTTGAGATGTACTGCGGGGTGCAGGCGGCTGGTGCGGTCGTTGCTATACCTATTTACATAACGGTTTGAGATTGTAAGTGTTGGCCGCCGTTCCCTTGCGTGGATCCTACGCGTTCCGTGCCGCGACAGACGTGCGGCCCAGCGCAAGAGTGACAACTGACGTTATGTGGCTGATATAATTTTGTACGGCAAAGCATCATGTAAGCAAGCAGAAATGACCTTCAGGTAGGTACGGCACGCGCTTGCATAGGGTACCTGTATCAAGCTCAGGTCGGGAGGCGCAAGTAGGGGTCCGGAGAGTGCCCGGGGACTGCTGAGCAATCCTTACTCCACCAGGATCACCACCACCCCTCCGACATCAGGTGGATGGCTTCTAGGGGCCCTGCAAGCACACCGGGTTCGGGTTTCACGAGCCACTGCAACAGGCATGGATCTGCGCTTGGAGCATGCAAACACGGCACACAGGGCACACCGCGCGGCCTGTACTCTTGACACACCAGTCAGTCAACGAGAAAGGGGCACCATCGCCCCCATGTCTTCCCCAACCCTAGACATAGAGCAGCAATGACATCATGCAGAGTTATAAACCAGTGAGCTTCCCGCATTGCACGTGACGCCAGGCATCCCCACCAGCACACTCGCAGGTACCATGCTGCCTGGAAGCGCCTTTTGACATCCTTCTCTTCCTCGCAAGGAAGCACCCCTTTTGGAAACAGGCAAGCAACTAACACCCGTCAGTTTTTGAGTTGCACGGGGAAAATGTGAAGCAAACACCTATACGACAAACAAGCGGCAACAATAAGGCAACACAGCTGACAACCACGTTTCCCTCACGGCGCAACAACCTCAACGCTCCCAACAGCAATCTCCGTCTCCCTTTCCAGCAACCCCCAGCCATCCTCTGACTGCGCTTCTACGGCACCGACATGCCCGGAACAGGAACCCCCCTCAAGCACCAGTCCTTCATTGCACCGCGCACGCCCCCCTCCCACATGTCCCTTCCTCGCCACCTATTCCCTTCCCTACCTCATCTTCCTAATCCCCGTGCTTATTCCGCGCCCGCGCCCTTAGCAACACCCTTGCAACTAAAGCCCATCCCGATTCCCCCAACCCCCACACCTCCACCGACGCCATTCTTAGTACCGTGACCGCCGCTTCGTCTCCCGGTCCCTCCCGCTGCCACCCCTCTCCCTCTCCTCCTCATACTGCCTCCCACCACCTCCTCCGCCCCTCTCCCTCTCGTACTCACTCCGCTCCCGCTCCCGCCCTCGATCCCCCCGAGAAGACAGCGGAGCAGCCCCAGCCCCTGCATCCGCTCCCCCGCCTCCCTGCACCTGCTGGGACAGCGGCAGCGGGGGGGGCGGTGGCAACATACCCCCTCCTCCTCTTACCGCCTCCCCTCCCTGCTGACTATGACCGCCGCCGTACCATCCTCCTGCACCTCCTCCTACCCCTCCGTACGACGCTCCTCCCATGCCGTACGACGTCAGGAACTCAAGCGGCTGCCGTACAGCTACCGTCGTACCACCGCCAGCTGCCGTACCTCCGGCTGCCACTGACATTAGCAGATCTTCAACCCAGATCCGCCAGCCCCGCTCCCGTGCCTCGTACGGCACTCGTGCCCACCTGTGATCCTCCTCCAGTAAGGCGTCAGCTGCGGAGAAGTCGGAGAGGGGGGCGGGCAGGGAGGCGGGGTCCGGGGGGGCTGCAGCGGGGGGCAGCAGGGGCCTGCGGGGCAGGAGGGGAGGGGAGGGGAGAGGAGGGACAGAAGAAAGGTGTATGTGTTAGGAAGTTTGTGACTTGGGTCTTGGTAGTACAGGCGTCACGGTCTTTGGTTAGCGGCGAGGGCAAGAAAGTCTGGAAGAGGCAGGCAGGTGGGTTAGGAAACAGGAACGTCAGTGAGGTATAGGAACGTTGGGAAGGAGGAAGCAGGCGCCGCCCAGCTGTAGCAGGCGTGTGTTGGGCCGTTGTCCAAAGGCGTTTGGTTGGTTGGTTTCAGGTTGGTTGGCAGAGGAGCAGAGCAGGCGAAAAGGGGCAGTAGGTGATCTGCGGGGTGTGGAAAACAAAACACGACATGGAAGCCCCGTGGGGGAGGAACGGGATGGGGCCGGGGAAAAGACACGAGGTTTGAGGGGCTGAGGGCGCACGAGGAGATGGGAATGCGTGCGTGTTTTACCGCCCACGTTGCATCACGTCTCCCAATCGAAAGCCAACATGCCTGCAAGCCCCCGCCTTCCCCCGCTTTTCCCTCCGCATCTCGCACCCCAAACCCTCTCCGCCCTCTTCTCCTCCCCCCAACAAATCGCCCCATGCGCTCTTTGCATGAGTCGATATGCGATTTGGGACTCCAGTTGCTTCACTTTCTCTTCCCTCTCCCCTCCCGCCCCATCACCTCCCCCTCCCCTCCCCCACCTGAGCCTCTCCGCCAGGCACTCCTCGAATCCCCTCTTCAGCCCGCTCAGCAGCCCCGCCTGGTGCCGCAGGAACAGCTCCTCAGCCTCCCGAGCATCCATGTGCTCGGAGCGGCCGCGACCCTGTAGGAGCAGGGGAGGGGAGCGGAGGGGAGGGGAGGGAGGCTAGGATGTGAGGGGAGCTGGTGGGTTAGTGGGAGCGAATCTGGAGCGGCGAGGAGGTGCGAGAGTAGTCAAAAGGATAAGGATAAAACTAGGTAAGGTAAGAAAGACAAAAGAAGGATATGATAATGTTTGGCCAGGTTTGGCGGCCAGGAAGGGACTGGGGAGCCGTCATCCCCCCTCCCCTGTCCCCTCCCTTCCCCCCTTCAACACACAGGGTAATCTTCTTCCCCCCCCCCCTCCCTCCCCTCCACCTCCCCCTCCCCTCCCCCTCCCCTCCCTACCAGCGGGTCCTTCTCCAGCCGCCCCCGCCAGTCCCTCCACTCGCCCCACGGCTCCCGCACCACCTCCCCCAGCAGCGTGGAGAAGGAGGTCACCGCGTCCTCGTGGGCGGCGCGACTGGGGGGGGGGTGGCGGGGAAGAGGGGTGGGGGAGGGAGAGATGGGGAACGTGTATATGTGTCGGGGCCGGGTCAGTAGTAGAGAGGGGGCTACAGAAGAGAGAGCGGAGCGAAGGGGGGGAGGGGAGAGAAATGAAAATGGGGCTTTTGTTCAGGCGTGCAGGTGGCGGTGATATAGCTGAGCATTGGGTATTTGCACTGCACACGCGCCCTCACCGCCTGCGCTCCTCCGCCTCCAGGGTCTGCTCGCGAGTGCGCCTCTCCGCCTCCGCACGCTTCCTCGCCGCCTCCTCCCCCGCCCTCGCCACCTCCTCCAGCTCCCGAACAAAGCGCCGGAAGAGCGCCTCTGCGGCCGCATCGTCAGCAGCACCGCCACCAGCGCCACCGCCGTGGGAGGTGTTGCCAGTGCTGCTGCCGCTGGTGTGGGTGTTGGAGACGGAGGAGGAGGAGGCTGTTGCAAGGAGGGCGCGGAAGCGTGGGTCGGTCGAGAGGTCCTCCCGCACACGACTCCATCTGAAGGGGGAGAGAGGGGACACGGGTGTGTGGAGAGCGTGGATGCATCGGTTACCAGAAGCCGTGGAAGCAGGCAGCGAGGAGTTCTTCGCAATGGTTGGGGGGAGAGAGAGAAATAAGCCGGGGATCTAGGAACCCGCTACGGTACGACAGCAGCAGCCGCAGGAGCCGCAGGTGCAGCTCAGTTGATGGTACCGGAGTTGCTGCAATCCCAATAAGCACATCCCCACATTCAGCTCGGGGTGTCCCACCTTGTCCCCGCTCCCACCCCCCGCTCCCGCAGCAGTGCCAGGAAGCCCTCCTCAGCCGCCGCCACCGCCGCCTCCCGCGCCGCCCGACCTGCCGCCTGAGCCGCTCCGAACCGCTCCTCGAACAACTGCCGCCGCACCTGGGGGCGGTTAAGGTGTTGGCGGTTAGGAGTTGGGGGTTGGCGGTTGAAATAGGGAGGAAAAGAAGAAGAAGAACCCAAACGATGCACGATGGTGGTTACAGCTCCTGGCGAGGAACAGGTTGGGAGAAAGGGAGGATGTGCAATGCACCACCCGTGTGGGGGTGCCGCGTGGGTAGGCGCCGAATGGAAACCACCAACCCGCCCCCCTCCCCTCCCTTCCCCTTTCCCCCGTCCCCTCACCTCCTCCGTCACCGCCACCCAGCGCTCATCCGTGCCCCAATAGCGCTCCACATACTCGAGTGTCAGATCAGCAGCCAGCCGGTCGTCAGACAGGTCGGGCGCCTCCTCCTCCTCCTCCTTCACCTCCTTCACAGCAGCAGCATCTGCACTTGTGGTGGTGGTGGCGGTGGCACCCGCAGCCTCCTCCCCGCCCTTGCTTCTCCGCCGCCCCCGCCGGCTGCTGTTGCTGCCGTCACCCTGCTCCCCCTCCTCCTCCTCCTCCTGCTCCCCGCGCTCGCCCTCCTCCCGGGCTGCTGCTCGAGCCGCGCGCTCCTCCTCGAAAGTCTGGGTGGGAGGGGGAGGAGGCATGGGCCGGTTAGGGGGGTAAGGATGAAACACCAAGCATGTGACGAGGTGCGACCATGCGTACTAACACGCTTACGGTATACACATGTCGTACACATTTCTCTTTCCGACCACCCATCCATCAAAAACTGCAATCAACCTGGTCGTACACCAATCACGGGTGCTGTGTCCTACATGAACACACACATATGTTGTCAAACACACTGCTGCACACACATCGTCACATTACGTTCCGACTCGCGCCCAGGTTTCTTCGCACCTACCTGTTGTCGTACATGTCGTTCCAGTACGAGCACGTCCTCCAGCAGCTGCTTGAAGCCGGCTCGGGAGGCGGCTGCTCGCTGCTCACGTAGCTTCTTCTGCTCAGCTGGGATCAGGGGCGCGGGGAGAGGGGTGGGGGGGCAGAAAGGTGGGATAGGCCGGGGATAAGGAGGACGGCGAGGAAATGAGCGGCATGATGTCAGGTACAATATGGCAAGACACAGTGCATCCTCGGTATCCTCTTTTCTCCCCTCCTCCAAGTCATCGTGGTTTCTGGGTTGGGTTTCCAATATTGCGAGCTTCCTGAGTCCCTTTCCCTCTATGGAGTTTACACACCCTGTTAAACCGCTCCCACGCCCCCCTCTACCCGCCTCCCCTACCCGCCGTGCTCCTGCAGAACTCGTCAAACGCCAGTCGCTTGTCCTTCATGCTCAGCCCCGCCAGCCCGCCCCAGCGCCGGTCGCCCTCCAGCTTGGGCAGCTCGCGCTCCCAGCGGGAGAAGGGGGTCACCTGGCAGGGCGGGGGAGGGGGTGGTGAGGGGGGAAGGTAAAGGGAGAGGGACTAGCCATGTGGCCACCTGGCAAGGCATGGTGGGGTTTAGGGCAAGCGCAGGTGGGCATGGGGACACGAGCGCACACGGCTCCCTACCTACACACCTGCCCCCGAAGCATGCTAGACTAACTCTCGCCCCAAACCCCACCCCGGTTACTTAGCTTCATCCTCATTACCCTCCCTCCCTCCCTCCCTTGCAACCCGCCGCTTCCTGTCCCTATTGTTTTGCCCCAATCTGTGGTTTTCGACGTTTCGATATGGCCTTTGACCCTCCCTCCCTCCCTCCCCCTCCCCCACCTCACCCCCTTATCCATGAGCAGCTCCTTGAACCGCCCAACCAGCTCATCCTTCCCGGCTGCGGGCCGCGGGCCCAGCAGCCCCGCCGGCAGCATGCGCCCGCCCGGACCCAACATCATCATCATCATGGGCGGCATGCCCGGGTGGCCGGGGTGGGGAGGAGGGAAGGGATAGCGGCCGCCCATCATAGGGCCCCCCAGCCCGCCCCCACCGCCCGCTGAGGCCCCTCCAGCAGCCATGCCGCGCTGCCTGGCGATTGCGGCCTCCGCCTCCGCTCGAGCCGCGCGACGTTTCTCCTCCTCTTCCTTGCGTCGCGCCTCTTCGGCTTCCTGCTGCTTGCGCCGGAACTCCGCCACTTGCTCGGGGACCGCCCAGGAGGTCTCCTGAGCCCGGGTGCGGGCGGGTGAGCAGGTGGGGAGGGGGGGCCATTGCAATTGCATGGTGTAATCAGGCCGAGAGGGGGCACGGTGATAGCAAGATAGCAAAAATACAACAGTACGCAGGATTTGCTGGGTGGATACCTTACCTCCGTGTCTGGATGGTAGAAGTACACCCTCCCGTCCGCACACTTGACCTCCTGCCACTCCGTGTCGCCAACCTTGCAGGTGGGGGAGAATGAGGGGGGGAGGGCTTGGACTCTGATTACGGTTTAGGATAAGATGGAAGACAAAGGCGTCTATTCACCGCCATCTCACTCTCGCCTGCCCTGCTGCTCACGTCTCACTTTCGCCACCTCCCCCATCCCCATCTGCTTCTTGCGCCTCCTCCTCCCTCTTGTCCTCCCCCCTTCTCGTCCTCCCCTCCTCCCCACCTGCTTCGTGTCCACGGGCACGGGCGCCTCCGCCACATCAGCCACCTCCCCGCGGAAGCCGGGGGGGCGCTCCCAGCTGGACTCCTGCGCGCATGGGGGAGGAGTTGAGGGGGGCGGAGAAGGGGGGAGGATAGAGGAGACAAGTCATACACAAGCCTGTCCACGTCCTTAGCAACACCCCTCCTCCGGCATGTGCGGTATGTGTGTGTCGGTTGTTCGCGGCTCAGTTGCTTGGCGGCACCCAGGCACCCAGGGGCCACCTCCCTGGACAGACCCCCTCCCCGCCACCTGCCCCCCCCTCCTCCCCCACCTCGGTCATCGTGTTGTAGTAGTAGACGGAGCCGTCCTCCCCGCTCTTGTGAACCGTCCAGGCGGCCAACACCTGCAGGAGGGAGAGGTGTTGTGTGTTGGTGATTTCAAGCGGGCGAGCATCCCGCATGGGTGCGATACACACGGAGATTGGCACAGGGGGAGGGAGGCATGCGGCCCCCATGCCCCCCACACAGTAAGCAGTACTCATACGCACCCGGTGTAACCCCCTCTCCTCCCCTCCTGCCCCCTCCCATACCTGCCGCATGCGCTCCTCCTTGGCCTTCCGCTCCGCCTCATGCGCCGCCCGCCGCCGCTCCGCCTCCGCAGCCTCCGCCAACGCAGCAGTCCTGGCCGCCGCCGCAGCCTCCCGACGTGCCGCCTCAGCAGCCTCGTCCACTGCCGCCCCCGCTGCTGAGTCCCGTCCGTTACCCGCAACATGCCCTGCATGGGGCTGCGCCGGCGGTTGCTGAGGTGGCATGCCGTACTGCGGCGGCGGCGGCGGCGCACCAGGATAGTGGGCATGATGAGGGTACGGCCCATGGCCATGATGACTGCCATACGGCGGGGGCTGAGGAGGGCCATGGGGGTACGGCCCATGCGCTCCATGTCCGTACTGCGGAGGGGGGTAGCCAGGTTGGTGTGGGTGCTGCTGTGGGTAGTGAGGGTGGGGAGGCTGCCAGGGTCCGGCTGCAGGAGCAGCACCAGCAGCTCCCGGAGGCCGGTGCGGAGGGGCGGAGGCGGCCGTTGCAGCCTGACCCGCATCGCCGCTGGCCGCCTGCTGGGATTGGGGGGGAGCCCCGGGCGGGGGACGGGGCGGCGGCGGGGCCCCCGCCGGCGGCCGCGGCGGACCCGCATAGGGCCCCGGAGGGTAGGGCCCCCCTCCTGCCGCCTGCTGCGGAGGCTGCTGGCTGGGGTGGTGCGGGTAGGGGCCTGGATAGCCCCCGGGGGGCGGGTAGGGCCCGGGAGGGGCTGCGTAGGGTGCGGGGGGGTAAGGGGGCGGGGCACCGGGGGCAGCTTGGTAGCCCGGGGGGTAGGAGCCAGGGGGAGGGTAGCCTGCGGAGGGTGCAGGGGGGGAGGTGGAGGTTTAGAGGCGATCTGGGTCAGAGTAGACAAGGCGATGAAAGGCCAGAAACGGACAAGCAAGGTAATCTGGATCAGAGTCGGACAATCGGTGATTTGGGTCAGCATGAAAACAAAGGCGATCTGGGTCAGCGGGGCAAGCAAGGCGATCTGGGTCAGCGGGGCAAGCAAGGCGATCTGGGTCAGCGGGCAAGCAAGGCGATCTGGGTCAGCGGGCAAGCAAGGCGATCTGGGTCAGCGGGCAAGCAAGGCGATCTGGGTCAGCAGGACAAGCAAGGCGATCTGGGTCAGCAGGATAAGTAAGGCGACAACAGAACGCAAGGGACCGGTTGGATCCACCCACCCCTCGCACCCCAACCGGCCCCTAAACGCCCTCCTTCCTCAAGTAACTCCTCTCACTCACCACCCGGATATCCCGATGACGACGGCGGCGGACCTCCCCTCTGCTGCTGCTGTGGCGGCCCTCCACCGTACGGCGGTGGCGCTGCTGCTGGATTGTACGGCGCATGCTGCTGCGGCGGCGGCGCATGTGCTGGGTATCCCCCGGCGTGGGGAGGGCCATGATGAGGTGGATGATGCGCAGCCGCCCCCCCTGGAGGTGGAGGTACTGCGGGGTAGGGCGATCCGGCAGCGTAGTGGTGGGGGCCTGGCTGTTGCGGGGGGTATGGGGGCGCGCCCGGGGGGTGGTGAGGGTGGGGGTAGCCCGAGGGAGGGGGGTACCCCGCAGCGGGAGGCGGGTAGCTGGGGGGGTAGCCGGGCGGCGGGTAGGCTGCTGCCCCCGGGGGCGGTCCCGGGGAGGGAGAGGGGCCCGGGTGGGGGTGCGGGGCCCCTCCGCCGGCCGGAGTGCTGTGGGGGCGGCCCGGGTGCTGCTGCTGCGGGGGCGAACGGCCGTCTGCGGCGGGGGAGGCGGCGGCCGAGGAAGAGGAGGAGCTGCGGGAGGGGGCCAGCAGCAGCGGGTGGTGGTGGGGGAGCGTTTTGGGTATGGGGTTTAAATGATGGAGGGAATGGGCCAGGCTGCAGTGCTGTTGCAGGTGGGCTTGCGGGCTGTAACCCAGTTATATGTAACTGTTGGATATGAGGATAAAGACACATACTGGCGTGGGGCGAGACCCTTAGGCTGTGGCTTGGAGGGATTCGTGCTCGTAGGCAGCGAGTCAAACGATGAAAGTGACGGTGCAGTGTTAGGCGACAAACGGCTGTGCGCGTTATACGTGCGAGTAGTTACTGGTGGAAAGGGCTAAGGATTCGCAGCGAGCATGCGACGTGGATGCATGTTCGTAAAAGGGGGTGTGGATGGTACCCGTGTGGATGGAAACCAACCCAGGCGGCAACGCCATGCAACACACCCTCGCAACAGCATATAGCTCACGTCCCTCTATAACTGACGCTTTAAAGCAGTTGCCACGACCGCAGTCCAGTTCGCAGCCTTTTAAACGCTTTAGCAACAAGCCATGCGAAGGCTGTGGCGGCTTCCAGCGGTCAAAATTTAAGCGACATGCTTAATAACGTAATCTATTGATGTTGCCATTTTAGCAGTTTGATCTCCGTTGCCTAAGCTCACCCGCCAAAGCCTAAGCCATGCTTGAAAAGCGCCGCGCCGAGGCCGAGCGCCTTCTGATCGTCATGGAATCCCTGCTGATCCTCCATGCTGAAGGAATGTTGCTCGGTGCAGCTGCTCACGGTAACCACTAGCACTCCAGCGCGTGTCGAAGCCCTGGGGTCATTGGTCTGACCACAAGGCGATCTCGTGTCAAGCTAAGAAAGCATGAACGCTCTTCAAAAAGTGCTGCTTCTGGTAGTCAACTGTAGTGCGTGACTGCAGTCCGCTGGTAGGCCATGTACGGGATCCCCATGAAAAGCCGAAGAAGACCATGCGTCGCAGCATGTTGTGTGCTTGCATAGTCCCTTGGCAGCTTCTTTTTAGGATTAGTTTGCGTCATCGGCATTAATAAAGCTCCTACCTGCAAACTTTGACCTTGTGTAAGCCGACGAGGCGCAGGGACTGGTAACTGACTTCATTTGCAAAAAACCTGAACGCGTCACCAGAATCTCGGTTTTCCAACGTTTGTATTATGGCCCCAAAGCGCGCAAAGCCTCAGTCATATGTGGACTTGACCCTCGACGAGGACGAGGACTACCTTGAAGAGACCCGCCCCAAGCGACGCCGGACTGCTGCTAATCGGCAAAAGGCATCTGACGCATCCGGCGCAGATGCTGGCGCTGGCCCGGGCCCAAGCACCGCAGTGGCGGGACCGACGTCGCCCCTCCCATCGGCTGGAAAAACAGCCCGAGGGAGGAAGAAGGCTGCATCCAACGCAGAGCCGGAGGAGAGGCGAGTAGATGAGCGCGGTAGTGCGGTAAAATACCGGCCCAAGGCATCGCAGGATGTCCTGGCGCGTATAGGCCGCGCCATGCCAGGTGAGTTGTTTGGTACCTTGTTTAGGGTTCACTGCCAATCATGCCTTCACCACCATCGGCCTCAGTATCACCACCCAAACTTCTAAAGCTAGCGTAAAATGCCTTGTTATCGCTTCTGCAGGTTCCGCCCACCGAATGTTCCTGGTGGATTCACGGCAGCTTGCACCGGTGGGGGCGCCCGGAGGCCCAGCCCAGGAATTCCACGTGCTGGGCGCCACCGGTAACGGTAAGCCGGTCCCTCCCAACAGCAGCAGGGAACAAGCAAACAGGGCATCTAAAGGCTGTTGAGTGGCTCGCTCCTCACGACGTCGCTGCTCCCCACAGGTCATGCCTAGGTCCCCCGCTAGCCCTCCCCTCCCCGCCCGACATGTTATGTTCTCATGCTTATTAACTCGCCGCCTGGCTGCCCCTCTTCTCTCGCTGCCCTCTGCGCCCGACCCACCGGCCGTCTCCTCCCGTCCCTCCCTTTGCCTCCGCCTCCCGACCTCCCAGTGTACGAGGTGCGTGTCAGCCGCCAGCCCCGCTGCTCCTGCCCCGACTTCCGCAAGGGTCACCTGTGCAAGCACATCCTGTTTGTGATGCTGCGGGTGCTGCGGCAGCAGCCGGACAACCCGCTCATATGGCAGGTGGGCGGGCGGATGGGTGGGTGGGTGGGTGAGAGGAAAGTAATGGATGAACAAGACACGGGCAGGGGCATGTGTGGGAGTTTTGTGAGGGTGGCTGAAGGAGCCATGTAGTTGGTTGGGTTGAGGACCCTAGATGCAAGGAAATGCCAACCTTTACTACAGGGGCGCACCGCCCCTGCTACCCACCCCCCGCCCCTGCGTACCTCCTCGCTCCCTCTGCCCCTCACCCCCCCTCCTGACCCTCTGCTGCTCCCCATCCTCACCCCCCCTCCCGCTTCCCTCCTCCCGCCCGCCAGAGCGCCCTCCTGACACGTGAGGTGGAGCAAGTGCTGGCGCCCCTCACCACCGCTGCAGCGGCGGCAGCAGCAGGAGGCGGCGGAGCAGGTCCCAGTGCTGCTGCGGGTGCTGGTGCTGCTGCTGGTGGTGGTTTGGCGGCCGGGTTGGTGGACCAGTCGGTGTTGGCGAGTGAGCTGGTGCGGCAGCGGTACGCGGCCATCACAGGAGGGGGCGGAGGTGAGGGGCGCGGGCAGGGAGGGGAGCGAGCCGGGGGGGGGGGCGGAGGCGAAGGAGATGTCGGTGTGCTGTGGGAGCGTACTAGGGGAGGGAGAGGGGTGGGTGCTCCCCGCATGACATCATGTGGTAGCTTGAACCGGCTTGCAGCGGTTCGATCATTCCTTCCTGATTCCCCCATGATGTTCCAAACTAATGCCCTGCAGCAGCTGCTGCTGGCGGTGTTGGTGCTGGTGCCGGGGCCGCTGCTGGGGCCGCTGGCGGTGCTGCTGCCGGGGGTGCTGCTGGGGGTGCGGCCGGAACCGTTCAGCGGCCCGTGGAGGGCGACTGCCCCATCTGCTACGAGGAGATGGTGGCGGGCGGGCGCGAGGCAATCACCTTCTGCAGGAGCTGCGGCAACAACATGCACACCGACTGCGTCAAGTGGGTGTGGGTGTGGGTGTGGTGGACGTTGAGGGGGTGGGGTGGAAGGACAGCACCGGGCTATGTGGGCGTGCGGACTGACGGGGCATACCGTATGAAGAGAAGCGGCAGCAGGCTTGGGGGCTTGTGCTGCTGCTGGAGCTGCTGCCTGCTTGCAAGCGGCTGCTGGCGCCTGCCGCCGCCAGGGGCGCGGCGCCGCCGGTGGCGTGTGTTGGTTGTTGGTGAGGGAAGGACCTACATGTATGTTGCAGGGTACTGACTCGGTCCTCCTGCACCGCTACGCGCTTCCAACTTATCCACCCTGCTCACCTTGCACCCACCACCAGCACTAGCTCACGCACTAGCTCACACCCAACCGCACCCACCCCCAACCCCCCCATGCAGACGTTGGGCCGACAGCAAGCGGGGTCAGACCGTCACCTGCGTCTACTGCCGAGCGCCCTGGACCACCAACAACAACACCAATAACCCGGGGGGAGCAGCTGGGGGCCGAGCTGGCAGGGCAGCCGCCGCCGCTAGCGGGGCTGGCGCGGACGGCGAGGCGGCCTCTCCCTACGTGAATCTGTCGCAGTACAGCGACGCGCACCGGCAGGAGGCGAGCCTGGAGGAGCTGTACGGCGACAACGCCCTATTCATCCGGGCGCATGCGGGGCAGATGGGCTTGCGGCAGGCGGCACGGATGCATGCGGCGGCGCGGGGCTGGGTGTGAGGGGCGGCGGGGGGGGGGGCTAAGAGGTTGAGAGGTTTGGGTGTTGGTGGTTGCTAGGACGGAGCAGCGTGCCTAACCACATTTGGTTTGGTTCAGAGACGGTGGTGAGAGGAGGAAGCAGGTTTACGGGGTAGGATGCCGGTGTTTTGTTGCCGAGAAAAGCAGTGAAGGAGCCGCGAGGGCTGTCCGGTGAGGCTGTATGTACCTGGAGCCGGCAGATGTGGGCTTGAAACATTGCCCTTGCTGGAGGAGAGGAATAAGTGTATGAAGTAGCGTTTGGGATTGTTATGTACTCTATTATGCCCTCCTCCGGGAGGGCGGGCTCTTGTCCGTTATTTACCCGGCCTGCTGGGCATCGAGGAATCAGTGCTACTGACAATCGCGACAGATGGTTTACCGGCTGACAGGTGTTGTGTTGTGAGTCCACGGCAGGCGCGGAGCACATTGGTCTGTGCATGCGGCTTGTTTGCTTACACTAACACACCCTCAGGCACCAATAAGAGTGCGGTGCTGTGGGAAGAAGGTTTGACATGGCGATTGTTACTGATGGCATGTGGTGGAAATAATTTCGTTTATTTTTACAGGGTGGGTAACAATCCCCAACCGTATCCTTAAACTCAGGAATGCTACAGCGTTGACCCATATCACCTCACCAACAACCCCTATCACATCAACTGTGTGTTGTGTATCCATAATCCCACCATGCATCAGGCTCAGCTAACGATCCCGGGTACTCTCGGCCATGCAAACCGAATGACTACCGGTAGAAAGGAACCGGCATAATGACCCAAAAAAGCGTACAAAAAAAGCGCCCGATGCAAAAACTGGACGCTGTCTTCCGCCTCTTCCTAGCCCCCCCTAACAGCTTTAGGTATTACGAGCGGCGATGGCGCCAGCAACAACAGCATCAACAAACAGCAATGCACGCGCCTATGGTACAATGGGGCACAAAGTGCGGAGCTAAAAAAGGAAACCACACGCCGCACGTGGGGTGTAAGCTGCAAAGTACGGTACTTGCCGTAACCGATATACAAAACTCGGATGGATGGGATTTAGTGTTGCTGTCCTCCCATCATAACATTTGGTCCAGCCACTGAAAACCCTTGCAAAAAGCCGAGAGACGTACCCCAACTATGCCGTATGAAACCTCTCCTGGGCATGTTTCTCTTGGGCAAGTTTAACACCGCGGCCGTGTTCGTACAAATCACAGCAAAAAGGTACAGAAAATCTCTTCAAAAAGGGTACAGAATGCGCTTGCTAACAGGTCATACATCTTGTCGTGATACATTTTTGCCGCAAAGGGCGCTACACACCGCGGCACGTCTCAAATCTCACGCATGACAGCGGGCGCCACAGGGGCCGCCGCAGGGGCGCTCCGGGCAGCCCCCGACACATGACATGACATGACATGAGGCCCGCACCCCGCACTGCTTCACCCGCCTGCTAGGCCAGCCTCAGATCAGTGCAGCAACGCCCCACCGGCCAACCTCCTCCGCCCCTCACACCTCCGTTCCCCCGCCCCACCGTCTCTCAGCCCCGCCGTGCCAACGCCCGCAGCACCAGCGGCTTCTTAATAACCGCCACACAAACCACCGCCACCGCCAGCACCATCACCCCACCCAGCACCTGGTCAGTACGGCGCTTGCCACCTGCACCACCACCCCTGCCGCCGCTGCTGCTTGCGCCCTCCACCTCCTCCTCCGCCCCCTGCTGCTGCAGTCCAGCAATGAGCTCCTCCGCCCGGCGCCGCAGCCATGCTCCCAGGGAGCTCAGCGCGTCGCCCGCCCTCTCCAGAGCCGAGGCGACTGCTCCCGCCACTCGGGAAACCAGGGTGGGGCCGCCGCCGGGAGCAGCGGAGGGGGCAGCGGAGGCGGCCGCGGGGGCGGCTGGTTCGGAGGAGGAGGTGGTGCTGGTGTCATCTGAGGGAGCTGGCAGCAGCTGCGGGTTGGGGATGCCGGCAGCCAGGAGGTAGCGGTCCTGGAGGAGGTGCAGAGCAGCAGGGTGCGAGGGGGGGAGGTGGTGAAGGGGAGAAGGATGAGGTTGGACAGCGCTTCACTAATAACCTCCAATGCTTGTGCATGTGGGGACTGGCATCCTCTGCCCCACCCCGTTCCCCTCTTAAACCTCGCCCTTCCCTCGCCTTCCCTCGTCCCCTACCCCCCCTCTCTCACCAGGTCCCCGCACTGCCGCATCATGAGCTGCGCCACCTCGGCGTCCTCAATCATGGCCATCACCACCTCGCGCTGCAGCCCGGGGCGGCGCAGCTGTGGAGGGGGAAAGGGGGGAGGCAAGTGGGAAAGCAAATGGACAGGCAGCGGGAGTGCGGAGCAGGGAGAAGAAGAGGCAATTGTTAGGACTCAAACTTCATCGGCAGAAAGGAAGGGAGACTGGGATTCCCGACCTACCATGCGGGTGGTGATCGTCATCAGGGCCTCCAGCTCCTCACGCTCGCGCCGCTCTCCACGCAGCACCGCCTCAGCGGAGGCGCAAGCAGCAGCCTCGATCACCGCGTCCGCCAGGCGGCCATCGCTGCCACCGCTGCTGGTGCTCCTGCCGCTGCTGGCGCTGCTGGAGTCCTCGTCCTCGCCGGGCTCCGTGATGATGGGCTGGCTGTAGGTGGCAGGCCTGCAAGGACCAGATGGCCAGGGTTAGAACGCTTGATGAGATTTGGCACAAGGCGGATTATGAGGAGAATGCAGAGCTTTGAGGACTTGGCTTTACCTGCCGGTCCAGAGCTCCATAACAGTGTTCGCGGCATCATCGACTTCGTGAGAGTCGAAGGGTTGGAACAGTACCACCTCATCCTTCAACTCCGCAAGCACCCAACCCTCGGTATCCCGATCGACGAGCTTGTTGTATGCCGGCGGGTGTGGGGCTTGTCGAACAGCACCCTAGCGGGATAGAAACACGAATAAGGCGCACGGCATGCCGTTTTCTCAGCATCATTCTAGGGACAAGATAGAATCTATTGTCGTGTGAAAGAAGGGAGTAAAGGATGACAAGGCCACGTATCGCAATAAGCAGCTGCGCCACACAAGACTCTCCAACCTGTGGAATCAGCCAAGCAGCTAGCAAGCAAACCTTGGAACGTTGTGAAGTTTAAAGGCGCCCAACCTCACCTGCGCTGGCGGTGCCCTGGCATGCGCTGGACCTTGGGTAGCGCTTGCCGCAGCGGCTCCAGCAGCCACAGCGACAGCCGGGCGAACAACCCTTGCAACTCCGAACATGGTAGCAGGGACTTGCTACGTGCAAAGGCGGACGAAAATGCTAATAGTTGGTTGGGCCTGATATGCAAAGACTGCAACCGCGCACAGAAACGTTGGAAAGTGGATGCGCTGGCTATTCCTGCGCACTTGTGGCAGTTTAAGACTGTGGACCGCTGTAAATGTTGGGCCTTCCCTACTTGTAGCCCTCGCAATGTTACGTTAGCGGTTTGTACTACACTGCAGGTTGTCTTTCAGGAAGCCAACGTCAGCTAGCTCGATCAGTCCAGCATGGTAACCCAATGTCCTAAACCTGACGTTTCTTGCGGTCATGAGCGGCAAAGCTCTTGTAGACGCTGGCTTGCTGCGCGAAGCAGAGGTACTTTTTGCGAATACTGATGAAATCCTCATAGCAGCTTTCCAGGTTCTGAAAATTCAACAGCAAGATGAATCTACTGGCACGCAGCTGTTGAAGGCGCTGGGCGCAAAGGTATGCCAATAGACGCGATGTATTGGAACTGACAGCTGGCTCTACCTCCCAGTTGGAGAGCACTTCCCTTCTACCGCTTGCAGCATCCGAGCAATTTGCATGCGAGTACCATACCGGCTCAATTTAACCCATTACATCTATGGGACAACACCTGGCCATGACATCCCCATTGCCCTTTCCCTGCTCGTCCGCTCTCAGCCCTGAATCCAACATCAAACCCTGTCATCTGTCCTTCCCCTTACCCTGCCCATTCCCTAGACCTTCCTCGCTCAAGAAGCCCCCCAGCCCCGACTCCTCATCCTCACCGTCCGCCGTCGCACCACATCCACCACCACCACCTCAACCCACCGCTCTGCTGCCACAACCTCCGCCAGCAGCGGCAGCACAGCAGGCGGCTTCAAGCCCACCCTCCACATCTGCAGAACCGCAGATGGTACCGAACCCAACAGCCTCGCCTACGATGCACCCACCATCAAACCCTCCTCCAGCACCTACCTGGCTACCACGAGCCGAGGAGGCGGAGGCGGTGCCAGAGACGGTCCTGCTGCCAACCTGCCGCCGGCTGCGGACATGAAATCCTATCCCCTGAAGAACCTAACCGACATTGTCGTACTGGGCGGCAGCAGCAACACGACCACGGCTACTGCTACTGCTCCTACAACGAGCAGCAAGTACGAACAGCAGCAGCAACAGCGGTACGGCACGAGCAGCAGTAACCCACATGGCAGTAGCAGTGGCAGCCACAGCCACCACCATGCACCCCTCCTGGAGCTGCGTTTCAGTGGCGGGGGTGCAGGCGGCGGTGGCGGAGGAGGTGGGGGTGCGGGAGGAGGAGGGGGAGGCGGCGCTAGCTACAGGCAGCGAGGTGGTGGTGACGGGCAGCAGCAGGCGGGGGCGGCGGTGGTGAATGTGTTCCGGCTGCAGAGCGGGGAGGAGCGGCTGCTGCTGCTGGCCCTGCTGACCAGCCTGGCCAGGTGGGGGTGGGGGGGGATTGAGGGGAGTAGGGGTGATGGTGGTTGGGGGCTTAGGCAGGGGCCCGGCAGGGGGTACGGCAGGAGGCATGGAAGAGGGCGGTACGGCGGCATGCATGCACGTCGTGTCATGTGATGACCACCCATCATCATCAGAGCCCCTGCACCACTGGAGGCGGACCCGGCCAGTCCCTCCCGGCCTCCACACCGCTCCCCCCCTTATCTTTTACACACACACCCTCGCTGTCCCGCAGCTGCTGCCCCGGCTGCCGCGCCCCCCGGCTGGCGGGTGTGGAGGCGGGCGAGGTGCAGTCCTGGTGGGCGGGGCGGCGGGCGGCGCTGCTGCCCGCACTGGGGCCCTTCGCGACGGGGCTGCTCATGCCGGGTGGGGGAGGGGGAGGGGGAGGGGGGATTAACAGGGATACATATTCCGCATGGGGGGAGAGGGGGATGGAGGGAGGGGGAGGGGGGGACAGGTTGTCAACGACAGTGGGAGGAAGGAAGGGGGAATTGGGTTTCCCATGATCCCAGCGCCGCAACCCCAATCGCTCCCCTTGTGCCCCCAGGAGGTGGCTCCGAGGACCCCGACGCGCCCTCCTCCGCCCCCTCCCGCGCCGTGTTGTTGAGCGGCAAGGAGGAGCGGCTGCTGGGGGAGCTGATGGAGGCGTTCGAGGCGGCGGCAGCGGCGGCAGCCACCCGGGGGGGTGGAGGGGGAGGGGCAGCAGCACGGGGGGCAGCAGCATCAGGAGCAGGAGGTAGTGGCGTGGGTGATGTGGCCGCCTTCCAGTCCCGGTTGGGAGAGGAGCAGGGGGCGCTGGAGGCGGCCAACGTGACGGCGCTGCTGGGCAGTGTGGGGGCGGCGGAGGGGGTGGTGGCGGGCATCCGCAAGACGCAGAGCCTGCTGGGTGAGGGGTGAGGGGTGAGGGGGAAGGGGGGCAGCGGGGGAAGGAAAGGGCGAAGCGTGGTGTAGCGAGCTGAGGAGGCGGAGCGGAGGGGTGGGCACATGGAGGGCAGGCTGTTGCAGCTTTCTCCTTACCTCCCTCCCTCCCCCCCTTCCCTCCCCCCCCAGAGGACCTGGACGAGACGCTGCTGGTGTTCGACACCAAGCTGCGCCACATGCGCTCCGACCTGGCGGCCATCGAGGGCAGCAACAACCGGCTGGAGCTGCAGAGCAGGAACAACGGCAGGCTCATGGACACACTGCAGGTGGGGGGGGGGGCGGGGGGTTTCAAGGAAGACCAAACTATAGGAAACCACGAATTAGTGCAAAACAATGGGGGAATGAGGTTACAGGGTGCCACAAGAGGAAGGGAGGGTTAGCGGCCCCTCCCGAAACCGAGTCCGCCATGGGTGGGTGGGGGAGGGGAGGCGGGCTCCTAGGCAACCACGCCGAGTAGCGGCTGCTGCAACCAGCCAGGCAAGCGGCCCACACGGCGATGGGAGCCCAGCGTGGTCACGCACACACCCCACACAACATAGCCAACGGACTTCACTTCACCTGTGGCGTTTTCGGTGGGAGGACTCCCTCTTTCGGCAATCACAGTACGTTTCGCCTCGCGGCCAGTTATTTTAACACCCCACACAAGCGCGTAGCAGTGTGAGGCACTACCACGGGAGACCACTCACGCAGGCCGCAGACCCACTCCTCCCAACCCCTATTTCACACCCAACACCTTCCACCCAACCCCCAACCCCCCTCCCCCCCTCCCCCCCCCCAGGACCTGCTGTCGGAGTTGCGGCTGCCTGCTGACGTGGAGGCGCTGCTGGAGGCGCCGCCGTTCGGGAGGGACAGGTGGGAGGGGGTGTGGGGTGTGTGTTGAGAAACCTGGCCGCGAGTCGGAACGTACTGTGATTGCCGGAAGATGTGTTGGGGGGGAGGGGCTTGTGGGACTCGCGGCACGCAGCGAAGGGCTATCGCGTCTACCCCCTCCCCTCCCCCCCTCCTCCCCCAGCAAGCTGGACTCCATCACGCGGGCCGCCTGGCAGCTGCACGGCAGGCTGCGGCGGCTGGACCCGGGGGCTCCGGGCTGCCTGTCGCTGTACCTGCTGCAGATGAGGGTGGTGCAGGTGGGGTGGTGCAGGTGGGGGGGGAGGGGGGGGGCCTCGTATGCAGCGTAGTGTGTATAGATTATGAGTGCTGCTACGTGTAGCGAGGGTGCTACAAATACCAATCATTACGGCTGCACAGCATCCTAGGAGGCCTTTTCAGGACCGTTGTTACACTACGAGTGGTTGAGACACCACACCCTCACACCTCCTGTCCTTCCCGCCCTCCTCTCTCCACCTCTCTCCACGCCTTCCCTACCCGCCCCCCTCCTTGCCCCCCCCCCTCCCCAGGAGTCCCGCGCCTCGCTGCAGTCCCTCTCCTCCCGCTTCGTGGCCCGCGCGCTGTCGCACCTGCGGGCTGTGGTGGCGGGGGCGGTGGAGGAGGTGGTGGGGGGGCTGGCGGCGGCGGCGGGGGGCGGCAGCAGTGCTGCGGAGAGTGAGTGGAGGAGGGGGAGCGGGGTGGGGGAGGCGGTAATGGGATTTGGTTGGTGGGGACGGGGACGGGGGTCCGGAGGGTCCCAACCAGGCCGCAATACACACCACAGCAGCAGCACGAACACCCCGCCCCATGCGGACGGAACTCCGCCTCGACTCTACTGGCCAACAGCTCTCCTCGTTGTGCCCCTTCACCCCCTTGAACGCCTCCGCCTCCCTCCCAACATGGGTTCCCCCTTCCCAGCCCCCAGCCCCCTTCTTCGTTTCCTACCTACCCCCTCATCACCTTTCCCCCCATGCAGAATGGGGGCTGGGCCGGCTACCATGTTGCACCCCATGGTGAACCCTTGCCAGACAACTCGTTAGTTGCCTCGTCAGTCTCCTTATTTTTACCCTCCCCCCGCCCCCACCCCATGGATATGGTTTGGTCTAACTTGACACCCCCCCCCCCTCCATGCCCCCCTCCCCATGCAGAGGCCGCCCGGCTGCTGCCACCCTCCCACGCGCGGCTCCGCTCCGCCTGCCTGCGCCACTGCGGGCTGGTGCGGGCGGTGGCGGCGCTGGAGCCCGGGGGGGCGCTGGGGCGGATCCGGGGGGCGTACGCGGGGGCGCTCAACATGCTGCTGCGGTGAGGGGGGGGGAGGGAGGGGGGGTCAAACACCATACCAAAGGTGGGGGGGCTATGAGGAGATGTGGTACTTGGCAGGGCTGGAATGGGGTGTGAGGGAGAGGGAGGGTGCGTGTAGGAGGTGTGCGGATGCGGGGCCTCCCTGCCCGCCCTGTGACCCCTCTCCCTCTTTGCTCCCTCACTGCCCTGTCAGCGCCTGTCCCGGGCCCCAAACCCGCCCATCTCTGGTCACCTCTGGTTTCCTCACACCCCCCCCCCCACACACACACCCACACCCACACCCCCTCCCACCCACCCCCACCCACCCCCCCGCCAGCAAGGAGCTGCGAGTGAGTGTGGGCGAGCTGCGCAAGGCCGCTCTGCTGGACATGCAGGTAGGGGGTGGGGGAGGGTGGGCTTGAAGGGGGGGGCAGGTGGGGCCTGAAGGGGGGGCAGGTGGGGCTTTGACGGGGGTGCGAGGGAGGGAGGCAGGTGGGAGTATGTTCGGTGCTACCGCCGCTGCTGCATGCCGCTACCGCCGCTGCTGCATGCCGCTACTGCCGCTGCTGTCTTCCACTGGGGCTGCTGCTCCTACCTGGTCCCTGGAGCCCGACCCTGAGCCCTCCCACTCTGCTCCTCCCTCCCACCCCCGTCCCACCCCTCCCACCCACCCTCCCTCCCACCGCTCCCCCTCTTCCCCCCGCAGGCCAACCCCACGGACTACAACCTGACCAGCAGCAGCGCCGGTCGGGGGGCGGGGCCGGGTGCGGGGGGCGCCGCCACCACCATTGCAGGCAGCGTGGTGGGCAGCAGGGGGCCGCCGGGCAGCCTGGTAGGGGGGGGGTGGTAGGGCGGGGGTTGGTAGGGCTGCTCCTGCTGCTCCTGCAACCACCATGCTCCATGCATGCCCTCCTCTTTTCTGCCTCCTCTCTTTCCTGCCTTGCACGGGCAGCTCACAGGAAACACCTCACCTCACCCCGCCCCCCCCACCCCATGCACCTCCCCCGTCTCACCCCCCCTCCCCAGATGCCTTATAGCACGGTTCGTTATCTCCTTCCTCTTTACCCCCCCCCCCACTCCACCCCCGCCTCACCCCCCCAGGTGGGCAGCAGCGAGGAGGCCCCCACGGAGCGGGGGGGTGGCAGGGGCCTGGGCGGGCCTGCTGACGAGGTGGGCAGTGTGGCCGCCTCCGACCACACCTCGCTGGGGGCGCTGCTGGCGGGGGCGGGGGGGCCGGCCAGTGCGGGTTCGCGACACAGCAGGTCCACCTTCAGGTCCATCGTGTCCAGGTAGGGGGCAGAGGGAGGGGGAGGGAGGGGTTGGGTGGAGGAGCAGCAAACCAAACCAGGAGGAGGAGGGAGGGAGGCGGATCAGAGGGACACCGCTGCTCCCCTCATCCGCTGTGGCTACGGCATCACCCTACCGTGGTCCACCGCCCGGCTCCCTCCCTCCACCTCTTCCCCTGGGTTGCATGTTCCTACCGCGGAGTCCCTAGCCACTGCGCTCACTGCATGAACCGCTGCCACATGGGCCCGTGCCTCACCCCTCTTCCTTCCTTCTCTCCCCTCCCTCCCCCAGCAGCAAGGGCGCCGGCGCGCCGCCCCACGACCCCTCCCACGTCGCCGTGCCACTGCACGAGGCGTGGCAGGCGCTGCTGGAGGGCTTCCTGCCGCACCTGCTGGCGGAGGCGGAGGGGGCGGCTGGGTGGCTGCTGCTGTGGAAGGGGGAGGAGGAGGCGGGTGGGAGGGGAGGGGCGGGGGGGCGGAGGAGTGTTATGGGCTCATGACACTGCATGCTGCATGGGGTTTCCTTGTGTTTGGCTCTACTCACGTCCACAGCACACGTGCTGCGGCATCAAGCCACACCACGACCCTCACCCTTTTCGCTCACTGCCTTTGCTCCTCCTCTCACGCATGCACATGCAGCTCGAGGGCAAGGAGGCGCGAGAGGCGGCGGTCGGAGTGGCGGCGGGGGCGGCGGCAAGGCGGGAGGCAAGCGGCACAAGAAGGGCAGACGGCGGCGGAGAGCGGCCGAGGAGGAGGAGCAGGAGGAGGAGGGGGAGCAGGAGGAGGAGGAGGAGGGGGCTGGGGAGGACCTGCAGCCCCAACAGCGGCGGTCGTTATCTCGGCAGGGGCGGGAGGTGGGCAGCAGGGAGGGAAGAGGGGTGATGGACAGAGAGCGAGGAGGCGGGACATACGGGCTGCCTGGCAGAGGGCTGCTGCTTGCTGCTGCTAGGACACCACAGCGCGCGCTCCTCCCTGCATGGGCCCCCCCCCGCATGGCCCCCCGCATGGCTGCCCCTTAATCTGCCGGCTTACACGGAACGCCGCTTTCACGGCGTCGCACAGCATGTGACTCACAGCCGGGATGGTAGGCACGCAACACGCAACCCTGCATCTCACCTCACCTCATCGCCCTCCCTCCCTCCCTCCCTCACTTTGGAATTTCTTTTTTCCCTCCCTCCCTCCCTCCCTCCTCCCAACGCCCCCCCCTGACTGGGGTGAGCCGCCAGGTGATCGCTGCCCTGCTGGCGGGGGTGGACACGGAGTTCATGGTGAGGGGGCGGGTGAGGGGAGGAGGGGAGGAGGAAAGGGCGTTGGGAGGGGGAGTGAGGGCGCCGTCTGGGGAGAGGTCTACAGTAGTTACCTTGCCTGCTGTGCTTCTTAATGTCCTCCCAATCCTCCCGACCCGAGCGGCCGCCTGTACGCTCCTAGACCCCGTTGTCTACCCCCTGTTGCCCCCCATATGTACCTCCTTGTTCTTTTCCGTCTCCTTCCCGCTTCCGTCTCCCAACATTCCGTCTCCCAACATGCCGTCTCCCAACATTCCGTCTCCCAACCCTCCCCCACTCTCCCAACGCGACGTAAGGCTCTCGCGGACCTCGCCGCCAAGTCGCAGCAGGTCATGTGCCTGCCCATGATGGCACTCGCCACCGCCTGCATCGGAGCGCTGGTGACCCGCGGGTCAGTCGCCGCGCCGCTGCGGGCCGCACTCGCCACCTGCCACGCGCGACTGCGGGGCCACTTCGGTCGCTTCGTTGAGGCGCAGCGGGCGGCGGTTGACTCGTACGGCAGTCGGTTGGCGGCTGGCGGCAGCGTCAAGTCGTACCACGTGATCAACTTTGTTTCCCAATTCGCGCTCATGGCTCATCACATTGAGGTGAGTGGTGTTGTGTTGGGACTGGAGGCATGGTTAAAAATGTGAACGGTATGTTTGGTATACGTGTTTGGCGTCCGCCCCAGTATCCTGCTTATCCTTACCTGTTCCTTGTACGAAATGAAGGCTGGTAGCTCTGCTTGCCACCTTGACGCCCCGCAGGTCATGTTGTCGGAGGGGGCGGATGCCCTTCTCTCGCAGCTCTCCGGCGGTGTCGCCTCCGCTGCCGCCACTGCCGCTGCTGCAGCAGCAGCCCTTGCCACTGGGGGTGGCGGCAGCGATGGCGAGGAGGGAGACGAGGAGGAGAACGAGGAGGAGAACGAGGAGGAGGAGGAGGAGGAGGGAGCGCGGCGGAGGGATGTGTTGTTGGCTGCGGCGACCTGGCAGGTGACACGGTTGGGGGGCCGTGGGGTCAAAGACCATACCATACCATAGGAAACCACAGGCGTGGGGCGTGGGGGCCGTCGAGGGTGTAGGATACTGGGAGGCTCAGGGCGTGTTGGGGGTTCAAGGAGGCGTCCTCCGGGGGTGGAGGCGACAGGCGAGCGGCCTGTCTTCCGTTCCATGTCGTGTGTGCTGCGCGTTGGGACCCGGGATCCAACATCGGGACCCTGCATGCCTACCGGCTGGCTGGCTCTCCTCATGCCTCCCATACACCTTGCTCGCTCGCTGTGTTCCCAATGCATGCACGTACGACAATGCACTTGTGATCACGACGTACGGCAGGTACGGCCCGAGGTGGATGCACTGTACGGCAGCCTAGTGGGCCTCATGTTCGGCTCCTTGGAGCGCATCGCGGGGGCGGACGCCAAACACGGTGACCGCTTCCGGGCGGAGAATTACGGCTATTTTGTGGAGGCAGTACGGCCGCTTGTACGACACGTGGCCTCTTTGGAGCCGTACATGCTGCAGGCGGAGGCGAAGCAGGTTTGTTTCGTGTGTGTTTTGTGTGTGTTTGCCTTCCCCCCATCCCCGTCCCAACCCGCACCAATTTCCCCCCCTCCTCCCTCCCGCCTCTTCCCCCCCAGGAGGAGTCCATCCGTCGCTACGTGTCCGCCCAGCTGCAATACACCAACCTGGGTCGGCTGGGGGAGGCGGTGGGGCGGCTGGAGGGGCTGCTGGCGCTGCTGGCGCCCAGGGAGGTGGCGTACCAGGTGGGGGGGGGACATGGCAGGAGGAGGTGGGGTGCTGGGTGGGTACGACACACAACACAACCGTTGCAAGGAGCGGCGCTGGAACAGTCCCGCCACGACTCTGCCGCTGATGCTGCATGCCCTCCATTGCCCCTGGATGGATGCTGCCCTGGATGCTGCCCCTGCTGCCGTACCCCTGCTGCCGTAACCCCCAACGCGCCAACCCCCAGGCGGGCTGCTCGGCGGGCGAGATGCGGGCGCTGATTGCGGCGTGCGGCAAGGATGTGAGTGGGGGCCTTGGGGTGAGGGTGGGGGCGGGGGGACGTAGAGTGTTGGAGGTTTAAGGGAGCATGAAGACACAGCCGGGACGACCGCAGGTCAGCTCTGTTTCAGCCGAGCAGAAGGGCACGTTGGCAATGGCATCTTCCCCCCCCCTGCCCCCTCCCCACCATGTTGCAACCCATGTTGACGCCGTATCCCTCAGTCAGTTAGTTGTTTCCTCTTTGCCCCCTCCCCACCGCCCCCTCCCCACCGCCGCCAGGCCGACAAGAAGATCCAGAAGATGTACGGCCGCGTGCGGCGGCACCTGGGCACCAGCGGGCTGGCCTTCCGCGTGTGGGAGCGCATCTACGAGGAGCTCATGAACACGTGAGGCGAGGGAGGGGGCCGGGGGGGGGGGTAAAAGAGGAAGAAAGTAACTAGCCGTATGACACGGCAGCATGGGGGGAGAAGGGAGGGAGGGGAAGGGGTGTGTCGCATGCATGCATGTTAAGGCACCCGCATGATAGGCAGTCGGTCGAACGCGTTCCTCACTGTGACACGTTCTTCCTGTCATGTTCCGTAAAGTGCATGCCATGCATAGGTGTGAGAGGACATCACCCACCCTAATGCTTCCTCTTTACCCACCCTAATGCATACACCCTGTTGCATATGTCAGGTCGTTCACTCTTTTGCCGTACGCCCGCATGTGTGGCGTACTCCGTACGCGACCTCAGGTACCGGCGGTTGGAGGAGCAGTTGGGGCTGTGCTACCCCTCCCTGCAGCTCGACCCCGCCCCGGAGCAGCTGGCCGAGCTGTTTCGAAGCGTGGTGGGGCCAGCAGCTGCCTCGCCGTGAGGATGGTGCAGGGATGCTGGTGTGGCTTGTTGCATGATCGGGAGGGATCCGGGATTGCATGCGCGGATTGGAAGTTGCAGGAGCAAGGCATAAGGGGCACAAGGCGACATGGGGGCATTGAGGGCAAGCGGAGGAGTCGAGGGCAGCGATGATGTGTGGCGGTTGAAGATGCATGGATAGGGCCCGCGTTAGGACGGCTATCCGGGATTCCGCTCCCCCCCGGTTTCGAACGAGGGCTGTTCACCTCCCGCTTTACCGCGAGCCCAACACGGGAATGGTGGTCGTCCAACCGGTAAGAACAAGCAATGAGACAGATGGCGGTCACGGTACAACGTTATGGGTACGACCCATTACACGGCAGCAGCTCCGGCTGAGTCCCGCGTGCAAAAACTTTCCTAACGCCGGGGGCACACTCTACATGTGCACCTCCTCGGCACAGGTGTGCCCCAGCCCTCGAGAAACCCAGGTGCAGGATTGGGCATGCAATTAGCAGCCGTAACGCAGGTCTGCAACAGCTCTTCATTTGTTACACGCCTGCCAACAAGCCATACATTACCGACAATCCAACCAGGCTTCCGACACTGCAAAGTCTAAACCTCCAGGAAAGGCGCACCACCATCGCTGCTGTAGTTCACGCATGCGAGGCATGGGATCAAAACACAAGTGCTACATCTTCGAATCTGTACGACGCTTAGGATCTACGAGCTCTCAATGCTAACGACTTAACCCATGCAACGACCTAATCGACCCTATCGCCGCGCCAACGACCGAGCAAGCTGCTTCCAGCCATAGAAGCGGGAGCTTTCCCCCGGCACACATCAATCAGTTTCAAGTTTCCTGAGGGAAGCTGCAGATGCCAAAAGGGTGTGTCTAGGCAAGGGAAGCGGAAGGTCTGCCTTTGCTATTTGCCGACAACCTTGTTTCCAAACCCCTTCCTGCAAGCCCTCTACCCAGCCATGTCGCCCTGTCCACCCGCCCTCGCATCACTCCCCACATACTCCTTTTGCCAGCGTCTTCCTGACGCCGACCTCGCTTTTCACTCCTCACTTCTTCACGCGGCCTTGCTTGCGTGTGCGGCCACCAGGGCCTTCAGCTTCTCCTGGCTTGCACCCACACACTCGCCCACCTTGACTCCGTCCTTGTACACGTGGAAGGTGGGCATGGAGTTGATCTGGCACACCTCCGCAACAGCCTGCAGCAGCGGGACGGGTGGGAGGTGGAGAAGCGGGGGAGAAGGAAGCTGGAGAAAAGGGATAGGGATATCGGGATGGACACACATGCGAATACGTCATGTATTAGTCCCTGTTGCCCGCACTTAACACGACATCTGTAAAGATACCCTTCATAAAGAAGATGTTCGACCAGTTCAAGTATCTACTACAAGTACAGTTTTACATTACGTCCAGCTCGGGCGCACGGACTTGTGACACACACAATGAGCTCACCGGGACCGCGTCCACGTCAACCTTCAAGAAGTAGGCGTTCGGGTACTCGGCGCTCAACGCCTCATAGTGGGGAGCAATCATCTTGCAGGGCCCGCACCACTGCGCAGCGTCAAAGCGAGACAAGCGGCCACGTCAGCCATACTTTCCATACTGTTAGAGCTAAATGGATTACTAGCAACTTCAAGATCACCCACCTGAGCGTAGAAGTCCACAACGCACTGAATGTGCGTGGTAGAAGGGCATGCGTGAGGGACGGCAAGTAAGCATTAGATCATTGGGCAATAATGTCACAAACGCAAGCATGTGTCGCACCACTTTGCCCTCGCTCTTGGCGGTAGCCAACCGGTTGTCCCAATCGGCCTTGCTAGTAATGTGGATGACGTTGCCGCCCATTCTTTATAAAGGGTTTTAGGGTAAGCGCAAATTGCTTTGCTGAAAGCTCAGTCCTGTTGCAGGATAATTAATGGGATACAGTGTACTACCAATTGTAGTCGCTTGCGTCTTATATTGCAGTGGCATGTGCCGTACGACATCGTGAGGGGCTGCTTCTCATAGCATCCATGGGAACCCTGGCTGTTCAGAATAAAAAGTGAGTAGACAAGTGTTGAAGCAATGCCATTATTATATTCAATAGGAAGCTGGTTATTTTGAAAATCCAACGTGTGTAGACGAGCGCAACACCCGTCCATTCCTTGGCTACAAGCTCGTTTCGCGCTGTCTTTCAATGTGAAAGGAGTGGTGTAGGACATGCCCAGATACCGGTAGTCCACCGCGTACCACTCCCGGCCACATCCTTCCAGACCTTCCTTATTAGCCTGCCTGACACTGCGGGAAATTTCCGCGCTGCCTTGAACACTACTTCCACCTACTCGACACCTGCTTCCCTATGCTTTCTCTGTACCCTACTAGCAAGTAAGGCCAACTTTGCTCCTGGTCATTGGAGTCCATGGAAACTACTAACGCCATGTCTTACTCCACCTTGCCACGGTTAGCACACTATGTATTACTCCTGTCGCCGTAACCTGGAGTGGGAGCATATGTGAATATTCATGAATCGGCACACGCTCCCACTGATAACAAACTATAACCAGCGCGCACGCCTAACATGACACACATTCCTCGCATGTCCCATTCCTAACAATCTAGAACGTTTCCTGCCTATGTATCAACCCAAGTCGTAGCCAGTCGCACATGCGCAACCACCCTCCCAAAGGACGCATGCACCACCACCACCACCATCCTAGCCCCCGCAGCCGCCACCCTCCTCCCTCGCTGCTCCTCCCTCCTCCCTCAATACATCTTACCCCTAACTGCTAAGCTGCATGACCTTACTGCTGCTGTCTCAGCTGCCGAGTCAGGAATACGGTGCCTGCAGCCGCTTGCCGCCCAAACGCCGCCCAAACGCCCCCCAGGCGCCGCAGCTCGCAGACCGGCAGCGGCGCGAAACCCATGCGAGCAGCCCACAGCCCCTGAGAGGCCTCGTCGTCGTCATCCACCGTGACAAGCAGCTGCCGTACACCTGTTGCGTGTTGCCGTACAACACAGAAGGACGCACGGATTGGTTTTGGACTTAGTGGTGTTTGATATGTGTAAGCGGCGACACAAGCCCGTCGCAGCAACCACATGTCGTACCTGCGTCGCCCAACATTCGCTCCAGCTGTCGTACAAGCACCGTGCCGTACCCTTGCCGCTGTAGTGCCGTACACGTCGCCATCAGGTACAGCTCCGCCAGGTCACCGCCGTACACGTCCAGTACGGCAGCTGACACCGGTCTGCGACCCTGTGTGCCGTCCGGACAGACATGCAGGCAGGCAAGCAGCAGCAGCAAGGCGGCTTTGTTAGCTGCCTGTCCCGCCGTACTCGCGTGTTGCCATTGCCGTACTCGCACGTGACAGTTACATACTACAACAGGCGCAGTTTGCGGCGCCCTAAGGGTTCCTACCACATAGGCAGTCACCAGCACTCTTTTGACTCCGCGCCATACTCTCCCGCCCGCCCACCCACTACCACCTACCCGCGTCAGTAGCGCCGCGTAATCGAACTGGCGGAAGTCCGAAAGTCGGTATCCGAACGACTGTCGCATCACGCCATGCACGCGCCGCAGACCGGCGGAGGTCGCCGGACCCGTTGCACGACAGTCGTATAATCGTACGGCAAGATCCTCAGCAGGCTCCTCCTTGGCAATTATGTTACCGCTTTTGTCGTTGTTGTTGTAGCTCCCAGTGTTACCGCTGCTAGCGCTGAGTGGAGCATGCGGCCCTGCGACGCCAAACACTTGGCCCCGGTCACCGTTATCATTGTTACTGCTGTTGCCGTCCTTGTTGCTGTTGCTGCTGTTGGTGGTTTGGCTGCTGGCAGTGCTGGCGGCTGTCTGCTGGGCCCCCGGGGAGTGCCTGCTGGTGAAGGCGACGCGCATGTCGCCCGCCCCACACAGCCGCTGTAGTGCCCGGTGGACCTGCGCTTGCAAGCAGGGGAGGGGCGCGAGGGGCATGGGGGTGCATGCGAGGGCGGGGCTGCAGGTGGGGAAGCCAGGTGGCGGACATGCATGGGAGCAGGGGGCCAGGGTGACGCCTGTGAGCTGCTGGGCAGTGGGCCCAGCTGTCCGCAACAACCACCACCACCAGGAGGGGGGGGCATGCCCGCATCACCCACCCGGCGGCACTCCGCACTGTGGAACCAGTGGCCGGCACCACCCGCATCACCGCCGCCATCCGCCACTTCCTCCGCATCCTGCTGCTGCCCTGCAGGCACCTTCCCCTTACTGTCCTGCTGCTGCTGAGGCCTGATTTTATAATGCTGCTGCCGCAGTTGCCGTTGCTGTCGCTGGTGGCAGGCGGCGTGGAAGACACGGTGGCACGCGGTGCACTCCAGCACGCCAGCAGCCCCGCCCGCGCTGCTCCTGCTGCCGGAGCGACCCATGGGTCCACCAGCCCTCCTCCCTCCTTGCGGCTGCTGCTGCTCCTCTGGTTCGGAGCTGAGGTAATCCCCGGCGGTGAAGTGTCGATGGCAGGTAGCGCAGATGGGCCTGATGGGGGGCGAGGCGTGGGGAGTTGGGGCAAGCAGTGGGAAGAGCCGCCACGCAGCGGTGTATGCCGTACGCCGTTGCAGTGAACGTCTGTTGTGAGAGCCGGGCATGTTAGCCCTAAATTATGGCTTGTAAACGTATATATACCAGGAGGGGGTTTGACACTTCGTCTAGCATCCAGAAGCACGACATGCCACCTTAGTGACTCGTGCTAGGGTTTTCCTTGCAACTGCAACTGGGCTTCTCAAGGTGACTGGTGGGAGGAGGACTCACGGGGTGCTGCTTTTGTCCACGGATGACTGTGACGAAGGCCTTGTGCTGAGGCCGGGTGGTGAGGCGGTCGCATGGGGTGCATGGACCCAGGCGAGAGGGGCGCGATGGACGGCATGTGGGGGGCCTACGGGGCGGGACGAAGCAAGGAGAAGTGGTGTTGGGCCGGTGGCAGCCAAGGGAGGGGTAAGGCGAGCTAATGAAGGGTTAAGGGAGGGTAATTAGAACGATTGTGGCCGAGCGAACTACGATAAGATGGCGGACTTTGGAAAACTGGGGTGGTGGTTGGTGCGTGGGTGGGTGGTGGATGGACAGCCGAGTCTGGTACCTTCTTCAGGATTGGTACTTGAAGCATGACCTTTGTCAGCTGTCAAACACGATAATAAAGAATTGGGGCCATCAGCAATGGGAAGCAGGCCCGCGATGAGCGCACGCGCCGCCCGGACAAGCTCGTTGGAAAGCGAATAGGATATGAAGAGGTCAGTAGCCATGGTAGGCATGTGGTTTTAAGATGGACATGAAAACCAGCTACTTCAAGAACCAATACACCGTAAGACTTCGCTCGCGCGACTCCTGAACGAAACCGTACGAAGGATTTCGAAGCGACGGTCGCTGACGGGCGACGGTCTTCCTCTCTGCGTTTCCAGCACGTTACGCAGTGCTTTTGTTTTAGCTCTGTGTGTGGTTGCTCTTAACCGCTTTTGAGTAGCATATAAACACCCTAGAAATCAGCAATCGCCCCTTTGACTACCGATACAACCAGTGACGCACTGTCAACAAGCTTTAATGCCAATCAACGGGGACCGTGCAGACGCACTTGCTGTTGAAAAGCGACAGGTTGTTTCCGGCAACGGTAATAGCATTCTAACACGACGGCCAGCCAAACTGCTGATTACTAGACAAAACCGCAACACGGTGCTATGAATCTATGTATGCGCTTCAGCGCTGTGGCAGTTGCATCTCGCGGCGAGGATGATGTCCCATCAGTTAGGGAATCCTCGGTGGTGCGCGGCCGAGCAGCTGAGCTACACCGTCAGCTGAGCCATCTGCGGGAACCTGTCATCGTCCCTCGCGATGAGTTTACCATCAACCTCAACTTCGAACGCTCGGGACGGGAGCCCAGCGCAGATGCCTCCGTCAGACCCACATCCAGCAGCCATGCCAGCACCTCAAGCTCAACCGCCGCCGTCCCAAAAGACGGTGTCGGCCCCCAACCTCCCAGTCCCCCACCAACAGCGACCCCGGCACCAGCACCTGATGCTGGGCAGGAAGCCATGGATGGCGTCATGCCCAACGGGCATGGAGCTGCTGCAGGAGATGATGCAGCGCTGCCGCTTGGGGGCTCAGCGTCCCGGCGAGGCTTTGTACGCGTGAAGAGCGTCAAACCGCCGGAAGGTGCGGCTTAGGGCTCCTTACAGCCGGTACTAGCAAGACTAACAGCGGAACTTTCGGTGGCCTCACTCCCCCCTTGAAACCTTTAAACCCTCCCAAGCCTTAACATGGGTCACAACAGCCGCACCTTCCTCCCGTTCTCTCATCTTTCATCTCCCATGTCAAATCCTTCCTGCCCCGCAGGCCTTGCTTGGACGCACAGCCGACGCTGTCTTGAGCTGCTTATCACAGCAGAACGAGACTATAACAACAACATCAACCGCACCGCTAGCAGCGGCGGTGACGGCTCGACCGTTTACCAATCCCACGAACAGCGGTTACGGGAGCGGTTAGAGCGGTTACAGTTGGAGATGCTGATCGTTGCCGGCGACGGCAACTGTCAGTTCCGATCCATTAGTAACGAACTGTACGGCAGCCAGGCACATCACGCGATCATTCGCCGCCATGCCGTGGAGCACATCGCGGCCCGGCGGGAGGTGTTCGAGTGCTTTCTGGGGGAGGATTTCGACGACTATGTGCAGCAAATGGGGCGAAGCGGCACGTGGGGGGACGAGTTGACGCTGGTAAGAAAGGGGGTGGGTAGCACCGGGGATTTTGATCCTTCTGCTTAGTTCCCCGCCACTGCCTTCCCCCATGTGTTCCTTCGTGTACCGGGATGATGAGCAGATGACTTGTGCCAACACGGCCTGCTCTGCCCCTCTCCTCCGCCCCCCTGACACGCCTCTCTCCACCCCCACCCCCACCCCCCACCTCCACCCCCACAGCGGGCCGTGTGCGACTCGTACGGCATCATCGTGCACGTGGTGACCAGCGACGAGGGCAACTGGTACCTCACCTACATGCCCGAGTGCCGCAAGCTGGACCGGGAGATATTCCTCACCTACATCGCACCCATCCACTACAACTCCATAAAGTAAGGCAGGGAGCATGGATGGGGTGAAGGGAGCGGTGCCAGCAAAACATTTCCATCTCCACAGTCCCCCTCTGCCTGTACTCTACCTAAGTCTCTGCCCGTCTTACCCCGGTGCCTTCCGGTTACCCCTCCCCTACCTTTCCCTCCCTGCCCCTCCCCTCCCTGTCCCTCCCTGCCCTGCATACCTGCACCCCAGGCGGCAGTCATCTCTCAAGACCATGGCACTGACGCTGTCCCGCAGCTTCAAGAGCCTCGGCAGCAGCAGCCTCCGCAAGCAGCAGCAGCAGCAGCGGGGGGGCGGGGGCGGGGGCGGCGGAGGGGGCTGGCGACATGTGGATCAGGAGCAGGGGGGGAGCAGCAGCTCGGAGGGGGCGGAGGAGGAGGGGGATGAGAGTGGGAGCGGGGATGAGGATGAGGACGAGGAGGAGGAGGAGGTGATAGAGTACGGGAGGGGGGACTCTCATGCCAGGGGGCTGCTGGAGGGTGGCGGGGCTGGCAGCAGCAGCGGAGGAGGAGTGCGGCGGCAGCAGCAGGGTCAGCAGCAGCAGCAGCGGCGGCTGTGGCCTTGGCAGCAGCAGCGGTAGCTGCTTGCCGAGAAATCCGCCCCCCCCCCCAAGCGTATCAGAGGGCTCCTCAGAGGGCCGTCGGGTCGCACTCGTGTCCCCTTCTGTCCCTGGGAACTACCAGCTTGGGATGATAGGCCCTTTGGAAGAAGCCATGTTTGGCTCTTGGCTTGGCTATGATCCCCTGGTGTGAACAAACGAACGAGTAACGCGAACGTTTCATGCCTGCATATGTCAATGCATCTTGCATGTGTGTGGGCCCTATGGTACGTGATGTTAAGCGAGACGACGTAGAAGTATTTGCTACTGCCATCCTCGGGCACAGCGACCCTACCCTGTCGGACCCATCGCGCGCTCGCTCTCCTGGGGGCGTTAGGGTTTTGTCCTGATGGGGCGCGATGCCTAGCAGGGGCTTTGCGGCCTCTTGCGCTGCCGTGTATGGTGCTTTTTGGCGCAGGTTGGCACCTTGACACTCGTACAGCTGAGGACTTGACACGTGTTTATATTAGGCCTTAATAATCGGGCTGCCTGTCTGTATATTATGCCGTTCTCAGCCGCATTGTTGTGAGTGTCCTTGAACTGGTGTGGCAGGGTGCAGCAGTTAACCTGTTTTAGTCGTAGCATGGGAGCTGAGGTGATATGTACGGATGTCATGTGGCCCGCCTGCGTAGGGAGCCCGACCGGCTGGATGGTCGGTACGGGCGTCATGTGGCGAGCTCTGCAGCATGCAGGCGTGAGGGGGTTGGGATGGGGCGCTCGCGAGTGCGGGCGTATGTGGCTGCAGGAGTCCTGTTGCCTGATGTGATGTGATGTGTTGTGGTGGGCGGTGCTCGGGCGGTGTTGTGTGCACTCCTGGAGTGCACCGGCAAGGGCCTTACATGGTACATGGTAGACTTGCAGGTGGCGGACGGCTGATCCCAGCTAATGTGGTTACGGTACTGTACGCACATAGCGTGGGCTATGGCCTGCGTTGTTACCCTTGTTAGGTTTGGGAGCCCAGCTATGACGAAAGGATTGGACCCCCAGGACCTACTCCTTTCTCGGGAGGCTGGTGGCCAAGAAAAGTGCTGTGCGGATGTACAGATGGTGGCTCGGCTCGGTTGCCGCAGTGGCGTGCTGGGTCGTACACAAGTGGGGCATGTGGCGGGTGTGTGAGGGCGGTACGGCAGGGGTACGGCAAGTGCGCTGAGAGCCCCTCCTGGCTCGATACGGCACACGTCGCAACGCTTCAAGCCTTCCATTCCACCTCCCGACCCGCACTTCATCCCTCCTCCAGTAACTGCACCCGTGGTCGCAACCCGGCTGCCATCACCCGCTGAAGCAGCCACCTACCGCACCACACGACACCAAAGGGCGACCAGCTGACCACACGTGTCACAACGACAAGGCCGCAAGCAAGCGCCCATGCTCCACACAACCGCCTCCTCCACCATCACCCACCATCCTGATGACGAGGATCACCACAGGGGGGGGGGGTCGTAGAGAGTTGCGTAACACGCCACGTACGCTTTGCCAGCTGCCATGCCTGCGAGCCGGGTATGTAAGAGAAAACAAACACCGGATCTCCTGCCCTCGCCACCATCACCAACATCATCTTCATCTGCCTCCCCACACCCCCCTCCTCCTCACCACCACCACTACCCTCACAACAGGTCCTCCGCACTCAGCCCGCGCACCCGCAGGTACTCCGACTCGCTCAGCAGCCGGCTCCGCAGCTGCCGGGCGGCGTCCGGGGAGGGGAACAGGATAGCCACGTAGCCCTCGCGGCACGGCCTGACAGGCAGGCGGCAAGAGGGGGGGCAAGGCGAAGGTTTTGTGTTTGTTGAGGTTTGCATGAGGTTTGGTTTGCATGTCGAAGTAAAGCAGTATGCCGGCATACCACCCTGCTTCCCACCCCCGTACAGCACTCATTTTCCCAGCCCCCGTTTTCATCATCACCGCGGACCCGGTATCGGTAGGGAATACTAACCAACACTTTGTCTTGTGGCGCCCTGCCAACTCCTACCCCCATTGCTTTGCCCTAACTTGTGGTCTCCTATGGTTTGGTATGGTCTTTGACCCCACCTGTCGTACAGCAGTCGGGGCTCCAGCGCCAGCCGCTGATTGAGCTCCAGCAGCTTCCCACCTGCAACACAGTGCACGGGGAAACTGGGGAGGGGGGCGGAAGGGAGGGAGGGAGGGAGGGAGGGAGGGAGGGAAAAATATGGAAAACTAACGAGGGAGGGAGGGCCGGGAGGGGCAGGATGAATAATCGTGGATATGACAGCAGCGCCTTATGCAGCAGTTGCTGGGACCCGCTACGCTACAGGTTTCCCTGCCTTAACAGTTTCCTGTCATCTATCGGCACCTCCTCCCCAACGCAACCCGTTACACACCACCTAGGCTGTCATGTTCCCCCGCTGCCCACCTGCCGCCCCCGCCCCGCCGCTCCACCCTAGCCAGCAGCGCTGAGGGAGGCAGGGAGGCGAGCCGGTGCCGCTTCTTGCCGGACGCCTTGGGAGGTCCCCCGCCCGGACCGCCCCGATTGCGGCCGCCACCGCCCCCTGCTCCTCCACCTCCACCCCCGCCACCAGAAGCGGAAGAGGAGGAGGGATCTAGGTTGACCGCCGCGCATTCCTCCGGTGGAAAGGGCCTTATGCGGGGGTAAAGGGGCAAGTAGGGGTGTAGGGGCAGGGAGGCAGGGGAGCCGGAGGTTAAGAGTTGGGAAGGCGGTGTGGAAGGCGGGGGTGGGATGTGTGGGATGTGGTTGGCGCGCACACCCATACTGATGTGAAAAGCTTTGTGAAGCCGGGTAATTGGGAGAGCATACAGTGGTATCTCTGTATGTCGGGACAAGGTACGACAGGGTATTACGCGCGGCAAGGTAACTCACTCGCACTCGGGAGGTCCCCTGGGGCGTTGACCCGGGCCCGCAGCTGCTCCGCTGACCGGGAGCCCGCCCTCTCCATGCTGAGCTGCCGTACCATCCTGCCCGCTGGCAGAAGGAACCGGGAGCTGCACAGACTCTAGCTCGAGATCCGCAGCAACGGACTCTCCTGCGGCAACATCTGCAGTTGCAGAATCTTCTAGTACTGCTCCTCCGCGTTCGATTGCTCCTGCATCCGCATCCTCCTCGTCCGGAGCGGCCGCTGCTAGTTCCTCGGCTGTTAGATGTTCAAGGTGTGGTGGGATGTATTGCAGCTGTAGGGGCTTGTACCCTGTCGCGCGCCGGTGTGCTGCGATGAGCGGATGCGATGGCGCTAGGCCCACCACAGCCAAGCCATTCGGCGCTAGAAACACGTACTGGTCATGATGCTTGCGACCATGCACATCAATCGCAAATAATCGAGTGTATTTGGCTTCGATGTATGTCTGCGGTCGCGGCGGCAAAAGCTCTGGATGCGTGAGCCAGTCATTTGGAGCAAGGTTTTGCGTTGCCGCCATATTTCACAGCTAGCCAGCCTATAATGAATCTTCGCTTTCCTCGCAATTTCGCAAAAGCTTGCGTAGACCGGCGGTTAGTAAGGTTAGTACGGCACCGTTTCTAGCAGCCCAGGCGTGTCCTGGATTGTACACTTCATAAAGGTCTGATGCGCGTCCTCTTATGGCGCGGTTTCCGTCAGGGATGCTGTACATAGGGTTCTCCCTTCTCTGCCGGCGTGCCTCAAAGCACCTCAGGCCCTTGCCCAGCAATCCGTTGCTGCTGCGCCTGCCTATCGGGTGCTATACGTTCATAGCAGAGGGCGGACGAGGACGGCGGGAGGGGTATAAGAAGGGCTCTGGCACAGCTCCCCCTGCTGTACTGTCCTTCGGACCCCTTCACGGCTGCCACTTTCAGGCCACCTTATGTCCGCAGCCAAGCATCATGTACCATGCGACGCGAGTATATAGCCAGCTCCTTCCTCCTTCCTTGTTGCAACCTCCAAAGCCCCAGCCGCAAACCACGCCGGTGCCAAACCGAACAAAGCTGGTCGAAGACGTCATGCGCGCACATCCCTCCTTTCAGCAGGAGCACACGGCTGCCTCTCTCACTCCCTCCCATGCACCCCGCCCCATCTCGTATCATTATCATACCACACTTTGGAATTTCTTTTTTCCCCCCATCTCGTGCTGCCCACCACGCTACCAGGCTTGCCGTACCCATGCACGGGGCCGTACATTGGGACACGTACCCATGCTACTCTTGTCGTACACAACCCAGCCTCCAAAAAAGTTGATCGCAACCGATCACACCAAACCCGCCTCAGCACTCCCAGAGCCGCTCAGCAGCCCCACACCTTCCGCTCCCACTCCCATTACAAGTACACACCCGGGCAGCGGCCGTACCGATGGCCGCTGCAGCAGCGACACCGGCAACCGCATCAACGGGTCACGGGTGACGTCGTTACAACTCCGCCGCGCTGCACGCACCCACCTACATGCCCCCGGATGACAAAGACGCCCCTAACGCTGCTGTGCTGCCAACGCCGCCTCATGCCTCAGCTGCAGCGCCGCCTCCCCTTGTACATGCTCCAGGAACTGAACCAAACCAAAACCACTGCTACCACCACCACCGCCACCGCCACCGCTTCCACCCCGGCTGCTGCTGCTGCCGACGCTTGCTGCGGGGGCGCTACTGCCGCCCTCTCCATCCGCTTGCTGCGGTGGCGGCTGGTTGTCGAAGTGTCCCACCGGCTCGTCCAGCAGCAGCTGGTCGAACAGCTCCGCCTCCTCACTGCCCTCGCGCAGCAGCTTCACCTGCGGGGGAAGAGGAAGGCAGGGGTGGCGGTGGGTGGGTGGGGTAATGACATAATGAGTGGAGAAGAAGCGCGCACGGGTATATCACCATAATGTGGCTTCCCTACAGCCAACCCGCTCTCCCACACGTCCCCGGCCACGTCCACATCGTCCCTTTCCCCCGACCACCATGGCTTCCCACCGTGCCTAACCCCCTCCACCCCTAACCCCCCTACCATGGGTGTTATGCGGCGCTCGCTGCGTATGGCCGCCACCGCCTTGCGCAGTGCGGACTGCTGGGGCGGCGGGAAGGGCAGCTCGGGGGGGCAGCGGGAGGTGTAGTACACCTGCCAGGAGGTGTGTGGGGAGGGGTGGTAGGAGGAGGAGGGAGCGGGCTTAGGAGAGGTGGTTGGGAGTGGTTGGGTAGGTCCAGACCCTTGCCTCTCCCCCCTCGTCGACCACCCGTCATCTTCCGGTCTACCTATGGTCCCACGATGCCTAATTTTTCATCATTAAGCGGCCCAGCCGGCCTAGCCCCGTCGGGACATCACAACCCCCACCCCCTGCATGCATGTCAAGTTGCCAGCACTGCCTGTGTCCCGCTGCCCCCCCCCCCAACCCGCACCAGTATGAGGATGTACGCGTCCAGCAGGAATATGGGCGGCGCATCCGGCCCCGCCAGTGCGGCCCGGCTGAGCGAGTGGCGGGGCAGCGCCAGCTGGTCGGGGTGGTGGTAGGACTGGGCGGGGGGATGAGGGGGTGGAGGGAGGAAGGGAGGGTGGAGAAGGGGGTGGGGGGATGATAAATGAAGGACGAGGAGGGATTGGGAAGGGGGGGCAGGGCAAAAGAACACGCGTATAGACTGTAACTGTAACCTAACGGAGGGGCTCGCGACGAACTAAAACAGACGCTAAAAAGCCGCCCCCATATCCCCCCCAAACCTGTGGTTTCCTATGGTTCGGTATGGTCTTTGACCCCCCCTCCCCCCCCGCACCTGCATGACGGGGTACACCGCCCGCACCAGCTCCCCGGGCGGCAGTGCGCCCCACAGGTGGCGCAGGAAGGACGTAAGGTCGGGGTGCTGCCCGCCACCACCTCCACCTCCCCCCTCATGCGAGCCCTCGGGTGAGGCCCCCTCGGAGGGCGGGGGTGGCGGTGGCAGGGGCGGGGGCGCCAGCAGGGGGGAGCGCAGCAGCGCGTACACGAGCCGCGGCAGGGGGGCCAGCTGGGGGGCCTGCGTGAAGTGCAGGTCAGCCTGGGGGGAGGGAGGGAGGGAGGTAAAGAGGAAACAGGAAGACCTGGCAGTGGAAGGAGGTTCGCGGGCAGACGGCCGGTCTGCAGAAAAACAATGCAGGCAGACAGAGGCAACGCGAGCAATGCATGTGGGTGGGTGAGTGGGTGGGTGGGAGCGGTGTGTGCGCGGAGTCCGTAAGCAGCAGCAGCACGCAAGCAGCTGGGACTCACCGGCACCGCTGCCAGCTGCTGGGGCGTCAGGTTGGGGTGCGCGTTCCTGGTGGCGGGGGGGGGAGGCGGGGGGGGGGTTGAGATGGTGTGATGGATTCGTCAACTGGATCCAGACCGGTACCGCCTTTGACGCTCAAACAAGCCAGCATGCCAGCAGCAGCTCAGCGCGCAATGGCTCGCCAAGCCGGCTTCACACCCACCCCCACGCCAGCAAAAGGCGAGCGTAGTACCTAAAAGACCTAACAACCCCCACACCGTAGGAGCTCCACATCCCCACACAGAACTGTGATCACGGACCGGTAGCTGAGAGACCTGACACCCCCCCTGCCCCTCCCCCCACCCATCCTCCCCCCCCTCTTCCCACCTGTGGTAGTTGAGCGCCAGCAGCACCAGCCAGTCCCGCAGCAGCAGCCGGGCCTCGTGAGGGCCCTGGGGGGGGTGGGGTCGGGGTGGGGTGGGTCGGTACGAGGACACCGACGGACCGGATAAGGTAAAGAGCGGGTAAGCGTTCTCCCTGCACACCCCACCACGCCGTCCCCCCTGCACACCCCACCACGACGTCCCTCCACACCAGCTACCCCTCCTCCCGTGCCCAGCTGTGCCCCTCCCCCCCACCTGCGCCTCCGCCGCGCGCATGATCTTGTGCATCAGCAGCGTCACCACCGCCTCGGGCTGCGTGTGCGCGTACACGTCGGCAACCGTGGCGGCCACGTTGACCTGCGGGGTGGGGGGTGGGGGGGAGGACGGTTGAGGGGAGCAGTTACCGTATGCATGGGGCAGTTACAAGAGGGGCGAGATGGAGCACACACCCCCTTTCAACAGACGTACATGCGGGCGAGGGGGCAGAAGCGGCGTGGCAGTAGGGCTTACGGGCAAAGACGGCCCGCAGCTGGCAACAGGCGGGACAAAGAGACAACGCCGAATCGAAGAACACGTACACCGCCGACCCCCCTGGCGGCCACAGTGTTCTGCTCCAGTGGACCCCCTCGCCTCGCGCCCCCCACCCCCCTACCCGGTACGTTGCCACCCTCAGTCGCCGCTGAAGCCAGTACTCCCGAACCTCCCCGCCGCCGCCTGCCCCGGCTGCTGCTGCCCCTGTCCCTGTCCCTGCCGCTGCAGCTGCTGCTTGCGGGTCTTGCTGGGGCTGGGGTTGCTGCTGCTTCTTGACGCATACGAGGGCGGTGTAGCGGAATGCGATTTGCAGGGTGGGCGGCAGGCTGGCAGCGCTGCCGGAGAAGCCCGAGGGCGAGGTGAAGTCAAAGTCAACTGCGGGGGGGGGGGGGAGAGTCACAACGACAGCAGGAGCGGGAAAAGGAGGGAGGACGGGTGGCGAATGGGAGAGGGAAGTGGAGCCGGTAGGAAAAAGTCCTCTTCTCCCTCTCTAGCTTACCCCCTACCTAGTACCACCCGCAAACACCCAGCCCCACCCAGGCCCCACCCAACAACATCCCCCTTTCGCACACCCGCTAACGCTCCCAGCCCCCCTTTCCCAGTCCCCACCCGCGAACGCATCGCTGGGGTCCGCCGCGCTGACGTGGTGCAGGTCGGGAATGGTGGGGTCGGGCAGCAGGCGGCCGTAGTGGCGCACCACTCGGAACTGCGGGCTGGTGCGCAGCCTCACCTCGCCACACCAGGCGGCGGGGGCGGACAGGCGCAGGTAGACGTCCTGAGTCCGGGGGGCAGGGGGGCAGGGGGGGTGTGTGGCACCGTGCTGTATACCGGTACTACTACGCGAGGAGGAGCCCTACACCAGCCGCTCCCCAGCCCCCAACCCCTACCCCCTAGCCTTGTGACACATGGTTCAGAGATTTTCCTCCTCCTCCTCCTCCTCCTCTTCCTCCTCACCCCGCACCATTACCTAACACAATACGTATTCTCTCCCCCCTCCTCCCCCACCTGCGGCATGGCGCTGTCCTCCACCGCGGGGTACAGGTACATGGCGCCCCCGGTGCTGCCCGCCAGCGGCTCCAGGTGCCGCAGCCCCAGCGCCCCGCCGCACACCGCGAACAGGTCCACACTGATACCCAGGGAGGCGCAGGCGGCGGCAGCCTGGAGCAGCAGCAGGGGGGGCGGGGCGGGGGGTGTCGAAGACAATACCAGACCATAGGAAGTCACAGGTTAGGGCAAAGCAATGGGGATAGGAGACACAGCAGCAGGAACCATGCGTTAGATATTAGAGAGGGAGGAGGACAGGGAGGAGACAGGCGCATTGAGGTGAGCGGAGGAGTCGGGTAGTCGGTCGCAGGAGAGGGCCAGCAGGGTTACTCTTTCATCCCCTTCTTCCCCTTCAACCCACCTGCTGGTAGAACTCCACCGAGGAGGAGGGCACGTCGTGGATCCAGGCGTCAGGATCGGGAGCAGGCAGGGAGGGAGGCGGAGGAGGAGGGGGTGGTACGGCAGAAGCGTCGGCGTGGGGTTGGGGTTGGGGAGGCGTTGCGGCGCTGCCGCTGCCACTGCCGTTGGCCTGAGCTGCCACTGCCGCTGCGGCTGCTGCCAGCTGTGCACGTGCGAATGCTGCGGCTGCTGCCTTGCGACGGCGAGGGTTGACCAGGCGACCGATGCCGTAGTCAGGGGGGCCTGCGGGGGGTTGCAGGGGCGGTTGCAGCAGTAGCAGCAAGCGCAGTGGATCAGGGTTGCTATTGCGGGAGGGAGCTCGAGCTGCGCTTCCATCGGTGCAGGACTGGCCATGTAGCGCCATTGCTACGCTACGTAGAAGGACGTGGGGGTCTTGCAACCCACCGTTGACCTCCCCCCCTCCCTCCCTCCGCAACAAGGCCCCTCGCTCACTTCCTCCGCTCCACTGCACCACCCACGTCCAAAGCCCGCCTCCCTCCTTCCACCCCTTTCACACACAACACACTGCTGGCAGGTGTGATCCGTTCTGCGCCCCAGCTGACCTGCTACACTGGCTGTTACACGGTTCTCAGTATCACGCAGGCAGACTAGCAAACACGCAGCACACACCACCCATATCTCTCCTAGCACCGCCCCAGACCAACCCGTGCGCCTGCTGCCCTCCCCCACCTGCCAGGAACAGCAGCAGCTTCACCGGACTGGGGTTGGCGGGCAGGTGGTCAGCCCCCGCAGCAGCGGCCGCGGTGGTGGTGGTGCCGGAGGAGGAGCCGGGGACAGCAGCGGGGGGCAGGAAGGGCGGCTGCTGCAGCACCTGCGAGGGGGGGGCGGGGAGTGGGGAGGAGGGGTGAGGAGGTCCTCTGGGCTGCTATGGTCACGGCCAGTCTGATCATCTCAGCGGCTCGGTTGCGTGTGTTTCCGTAATAATGTTTCGTATGCGCTCATTGCATGATTCGGGATGTGGGATTGGGATTCCGTTGCTTCACTTTCCACCTACTCCCGCCCTCCCCTGGGGTTTCCTATGGTTCGGTATAGTGTTTGGCCCCCCTCCCCAGTTCCCCCCCCCCCAACACACACCTTGAGGTAGTCCAGCACCGCCACCAGGGCCGGACCCACACCCCGGGAGGCGAGCGGGCGAGTGGGGGAGGCAGCAGCGGCAACAGCAGGAGCACCGCCCGCTGCGGCGGCAGGAGCAGGAGCAGCAGCAGCAGCGGCAGCGGTGGTGGTGGCTGCTGCTGCTGAGCGGCTCATGCCGGCTTCCTGACCGGGCGGAGAGGCAGCAGCAGCAGCAGCCGAGGAGGCGGAGGAGGGGTGGTGGTGCGGTAGGGGTGCGCCAGGGAGGGGGGAGGGCAGGTCCTCAGCGCCACCGCTGCTGCTGTCACCAAAGCCCTGCGGGTTGGAGGGTGAGGAGAGGGAAGCGTCGAAATGATGCACTGTGCGCTTTCCAAGGAACCAGCTTTCACTCTTTCAACTGCCACCACTTGACAAGCACAGCCCGCCTAGGCGCTTGTGCAACTCCTCCAAACCCCTCCCAGAACCCCTCCCACTGCCCCCCCTCCCCCCTAGCTCCCCCCCCAGCGCCCCCCCTCTCCTGCCCCCCCTCTCCCTCCCCCACCTTCCCCACGCAATCCCATAGTCCATTCTAATGCCGACTATGCACCCCTCCCCCCTCCCCCCTCCCTCCCCCACCTCCTCCGGCTGCAGCTGCTCCTCCAGCGCCCGCGTGATGGCCCCCTTGTACGCCCCCACCGGCGCCAGCAGCGCACTCAGCGGCAGCACCTCACCCAGCGGGGCGCCCACTGCGGGGCTGGCGGCGGCGGAGGAGGCGGGCGAGGAGCCGGGGCGCAGGACCGGCTCGTACAGCGGCACGTAGCGCACACAGGGCTCGGGGGCGCGCACGTCGTATAGCCCGATCTGGGGGCCCGGGGGGGGGGGGGGAGGGGTGCGGGGTGCGGGGTGGGTGGGTGGGTGCTTGCATTGGCGTGGAGGGATGCGTCAACGACGCGGCAGGCTGAGGGAGTGCCGTTGGGGAAGGAGATGGCTGGATGACCATCTCCCACCGCCTGCTGCTCGGAAGCCCCCGCCTCGCGCGCTTGCGCCTCCGCAGCAGCTGCTTGCCTCGTGCCGCACCCCCCTCGGCCTCTCCCGAAGCCGGCATCGTCAACAGGCGCCCCCTACTCGGAACCCCTTGCCCTCCCCCTCCTCTCGTGCCCTCCTCCCTCACTCCCTCCTCTCGCGGCCCAGTTGACCTCCTCCGCCCTCCCCCTCCCGCCTCCTAGGGGGCCGGGTTCAGATAGCAACCCATGGTGAAGCCTCGTCACACAGCTCGTCAGTTCCCTTAATTTGCCTGCTTCCCCCTTTTCCTCCCCCCTCCTCCCCTCTCACCCGGTGCGACATGGTGATGAGTCCGAAGCGTGTGACGGGCGGCAGCGCCTCCAGCGCCGCCTCCAGCGAGCTGCGCACCAGCTCCAGGAACTCCTCGCCCGCGGAGGTGTCAACCAGCGCGAGCACGGTGGGCGCGGGGCCGCTCACGAAACCCTGCGGAGGTGAGGTGTGGGGTGGGGGCGAGGAGGCAAAGGGTTGTAAAAGCATTGATGAACAGGGGTGTATTGGAGTTGGGAAGAGGAGACTCCGGGGTAGGGTGGGGGCGGCAGCAAGTGGCGTTACGGAACACCCTCAGGAGAGGGAGCAATGTCGGAGCTTGCGTGCAAGCCGCCCCGCCGCGCCCCCTGCCTGTCTCTCCACCCCATTCCATGCGCCCCTCCCCCCCCACCTGGTCCTGCTGCCCTGGCAGGTGCACGTGCGCGGGGTGCTCCGCCAGCGCCTCGAACACCTCGCAGCGCACCTCGGGCAGCTGCTGCAGGTGGGCGGGGTCCAGACGGTAGCTGGGGGGGGGGTACGGCAGGGGGGTCAGGAGGGTTATTAGCACTGGGAAGTGGTGATCCTGATGAACACAAGGAGGAGGAGGGGGAGGAAAGTGCATGTGGAGGATTGCACCCACCCTCACGACCTTGGGTCCATTGCTTCCTACAGCTGTTCACCCCACCTCCTCGGCCATGCCCCCATGCGCCATCTCAGGGAACCCCCCCCCCTCCTTCCACCCTCCCTCCCATGACTGTCATCCTCCGCTCATTCCAGCCCCCCTAGCGCTCATTCGATTACCCTGCCCCCCCCCCCCATGTTCCCCTGCCCTCCCCCCATGTTTCCCTCCCTCCCTCCCTCCCTCCCTCCCTCCCTCACCGCCTCATCTGCTGCGGCTTGAGGCTGTTGTGTTTGTTGCACAGCGAGCACACCCAGCCGGCGGTGTCGAAGGCGCAGTAGCAGTTCACGTAGCTGCGGGACCAGGAGGGGCCAGGGGGTGGGGTGGGGGTGAAGGAGGAGAGGTGAGGCACTGGAATGCCAACTCGTGCAGGTGCAGGGGCTGCGACCTGGAGGGCTACCGGGGCGATGCCCCCACCAAATCAGGACTTCCGTACTGGCATTTCCCCGGGGCCGCCTGTCGTGCTTCTAACCCGCAGCCTCCAGGAGCAGCGCCTCCGCCTAACCCCCTCGCCCGCGTGACGGGCCCACACAACCCCCCAAGCCAGCCTTTACCCCTGCTCCAGCAGCTTCCCTAGCTGCTGCTTTCCTCCCCTCTTCTTTACCCCCTCCGCTTCCTCCTCCCCTCCGCACTACCGCCACCCACTACTTACGCGTAGCAGTGTTTGCAGCGCGCGATGTCATCGCTGGCCACCTCCGAGGCGCCCCCCGCCGCCGCATCCCTCTCGCTGAGCTTGTGGTAGGGCTGCAGCACGGCGCTGAAGGGCAGCCCACACTGCTCCTTCAGGCGGCCTGAGGGCGGGTGGGTGGGTGGGGGGGGGCAGGTGGGGGAAAGGAAGTGAGGAAGTGAGACGTGAAGGGAATGCCAATCACATGTCCCTGCGGGTGGGGAAGGTGGTGGTGGATGGTGGGTGGGGGTGGGGGGGTGAACGGCGTAGCGCAGGTGAGATGGGGATGTCTGGTATGGGCCGGCAACTGACATACAACCTTTGGGGCACGATCCTGTGTGATGGAGAGGGAGATGGGCAGGGCTAAAAGAAGGAGGAAAGGAGTGGGGCAAATCCAGTAGGCGAGGGGGCGAGAAAGGGAGCTAGCAACAGCTCAAGCGAGAAGCCGCATGCCGGGAGGATGAAAGTCTATAAACGAAAGGGGAGCGGCACGGGTGTAGGTGCTGGGGTCATGGAATGGGTAACGTGGAAAGGGCACAGGGGTCGCAGGAAGGGCAAAAGATGAGGAGGGAAAGGTGGTTTTCGATTACGCAGCAGCAAGCTTTGTTGATGAGGGCAACAGGAACAGTAGCCGATATGATTGGGTGGACAACTGCAAGACATGTAAGGGGAAAGGAGCAGGGGCATGCAACAGCCGGTATTGCAGCCGGGGGCCGTTCCTTTGTTCGCATACCGTTGATAGGAAAGCGCTTAAGGGTGAAGTCCACCTTCATCGTGCAAGGCGCATGCAGCTGCTCAAAACTGGGCGTCCACTACGCTGATCAGCTGCAGCAGAAGGCAAAGCATAGGACTGTCCCAAGCCAACTATGGAGATGTTACAGGCTGTTCGAATTGTTTTGATATGTATGAACTATAACATGAAAAGCTTAGAGCGAATATCCATAGGTCTCAGACTTTTAGAATGCCTGAGGTCTCCTTGTGAGACGAAATCTGGTAAATCGGCGACAGATATATTGTAATGCAATGTGTCTTAGATCGCAAGCTCAGGCTTCTGACCCCAGCCACAAGCCAGCGTCAATATCCCATGCACGGAATTCGTTGCGGTTGCTAATTGGATACCTCGCAAACTGCTTTCTACCTGCACATCTATAATCCTGATCAACATCGGTACATTATTCTAGCTGTAGTTTCCTGGCTCATCAGTATAACTCAACACCTACCGTCAGTACCTAGCTTCTCTTACCTGTTACAGCCGTTTCTATCCAAGCGTTGCTGCGCTATATTTCGCCATGGGCATATGGAAGCGCGTGTCGGAAAAGGTGAGCCTTTAAGCGTAGGGCTATGCCATGCTTGCAGCGCAGTCGAGAAGTATGGAAGCGGCGGACCGCTGCGTGTTATGGGCTATTGAGCAACGACATTGCCGATACACCAGCGCCTGGTTTGCTATTAATGCTTCCTTACGGACGCCTGCTCAGCTCGCCTGTGGCAGGTCCGGCCCGTCAGCAGCATACCCTTGCCTCCCTTCGGAAGCGTAGTTGTTAACTACCAAATGCGCCATATACAATTCAGAATATAGTAGATTGCGCGGCATTATCAACTTGATTACCTCGCTTGCAACCCTACTCCCACATTCATCCCAGTCGCGTCTGCCATCTCCGAAAGCCTTCCCAGCCGACCCCACACGCCGGAGCCATCCTACCCACCCCTGCAGCTCCCCACCAATCCATTCCTTCCGCACCCCCTCACATCCTTCCTCTTCTTCGCATTCCGTGGTCATCCCGCGCACCCATGCCGCAGTATCATCCTCTGCCGCCCACCCATCTTCTATCCCCACCTCGATCCTCTTTGCCGTACACAACAACAACACAATTCCCCAAATCCAAATCCAAACCTGCAGACCAAGCAGACGCTGGGCGTCAAGGCCAACACCGTAGACTGGAAGCCCACCTCCAATGCTCGCAACCTGGCTATGATTGATGAGGCTCGCAAGTTCTCCAAGCAAATAAAACTGCTGCACAGGGAGTTGAGGGAAATGGAGGCGCGCATATCAGGTGCGTAGCTGTACGGACATGCGTGGGGCCCTCATGCGTGGTGTCCGTGTGTCGTACAGTCCTGGGTGGGTGCTAGCGGTCCGCCTGCAGTGTTGTTTGCCTTCCTGTTTTCATGCCATCGCACAGTCCCCGTCCACACGCACCCTGCTGCTTCACCATACCTCCTCTTATCCTCCCTCCCCAGTCTGCTTATGCGCTCACTGCATGAGTCGAGACATGGGCCTGTGCTTCACTCCTCATTCCTATTTTCCCCCTCATCATCCCTTCCCCGGACCGCCGCACACCCACCCACCCGCCCACCACCCAGACAACCTGGGTGTGCTGAAGGCGGTCCTCAACTCGCCGCTGCCGCGCGTGTACGAGATGTCGGACAAGGGGCCGGTGCCGGTGGACAAGGAGGCGGCGATTGTGGGCGGCGGGGTGTCGTTCGAGACGCTCACCGCCACCGCGGGGGACCTCAAGGTCAAGCTGCAGCAGGAGGTGGGAGTGGGGGGGGAGGGGAGAGGCGGGGGATTGGGTAAGCTGAGCCATGGAAACACGGACCCTGACGGAAGGCGGGGGGGGAAGAGGGAGAGAGGAGGGGAAGGATGAGTGGAGTGAGGGGAAGGAACCAGTTAACCTCGTGACGAGGTTACAAGGGTGGGGTGGTGGGTCGGAACGGCTGACGGTGGGAACGGCTGACGGGGCTATGCTTACCGTATACAGGCGTGGTGTTGTGGGCTACACGCCGTGTGTTGTGCGCCGCACACCGCTCTCCCCTCACCTGTGGGACTGTGTTGTTGCACCTATCTACAATTTTGCCCCCCCCCCCCCGCCCCCCCTGCCCCCCCCCAGGTGCTGCACCCGCTAGACCAGTGGCAGGCGGCGTACCGCATGATTAAGGCAGGTCGGGGAGCGGGGGAAGGCACGGAGGAGCAGGGAGGAGTGGGGAGGGGAGAGGGGCAGAGCAAAAGAGCCGGTGTGGACGCTGCGTAGACACCGCACACGACGTACGTTCCTACTCGCGGCCAGTTATTTTAACACACATTATTCCCCGCACATTCCCTTATGTGTTTCACGTCACACGCAACACCCCGCCATGCCTCGCCGGCCCCCGCCCCAGCAAAAGTGCACTTTGCCACGCGTCCCCTCCTTACCCGCCCCCCCCGCAGCAACGCAACCTCAAGTGTGAGGACCTGCGACTGGAGCTGGACGCCAAGAGGCGGGAGGCAGCAGCCATGGCGGGTGGGTGGCGGGTGGGGGACTTGGGTGGCGGGCTGGGAGATGGGGGCATGGCAGGTGGATGACAGGGTTGCTTGGTACAGAGAAGGTTATTGACCCTTTGACTGCGGAGAGTGCACCACCAGGGTTTGTCATGGCGGGTAGGTGGATGCCCTGGCCGGCAGTGGGGGGCTTGGGTCACGCACCTCTCACTTTGCGGCCTCCATTACACCCCCATGCAATGCTCTTATCCTTTCTCTCCCCCTCCTTCTCGTCCTGCTCCCAGTCACCCTGGAGCGCCAGAAGACCAAGGCGCAGGCGGCCGACGAGAAGCAGGCGGCGGCGGCGGAGGCGGCCAACCGCGCCGCCAACGGCTCCGGGTCGCCCCCCGGCAACAAGTTCGAGGACGCGGAATTCCGGTTGCAGAAGGAGGAGGACAAGGTGGCACGTGAGTGGAAGGGGGGCGGGAGGGAGGGAAGGGGAGCGCGCTAATCTTCGCTCCTTGCCCCCCGCCCATCGTGCCTTTGTAAGCCCCTGCCCCTCATCCTGCTGTCCTCCACCTGCCTCCCCTTTGCTCCCTCCATACCTGCCCCACATGCCTTTCTCCCCCACTCCCTGGCTGCCTGCCCCTGCCTTCCTTCCTGCCTGCCTCCCCTGCCCCCCCTGCCCCCCCCCCCCAGGTCTGCTCCAGCGCTACCGTGACGTGGAGGGCGAGGTGTACTCCGCACTGCTCACCCTCATCAACGACACGCAGGTGCTCAAACAGTACGCGGCGACTGCGCTGGTGGTGTACCAGGTGGGGGGGAGGAGGGGAGTGGAGGGGGAGCATGTGGGCAGAAGGAGTACCGTATCGTAGGCGTGGCAAGCCGATTTGACCCATGCGCCACAACCCGTTCCATTGTTCCCGTTCCCCATCCGATCCCCTCACCTGCACCCGCACCCGCACGCCCTCTCGCTGCCCGCAGCACGCCTTCGCCCAGGCCTACACCGCCTTCGACGGCTCCCCGCAGCTGCCGCAGTCCTCCTGCGCGCACCCCTCCGGCAGCACTCCCGTCAAGTCGCCCAGCAGCCTCACGCATGGGCGCACCTCGCAGGGTGAGGAGGGGAGCGGCTGGGCGGGCGGGCGGCAGGCGGCAATGGATGGCGCGGGCGGGATGTTGGGGTCAGGGTGTTAGGGTGCAGTACCTTACTCCAACCAAACGTATCCCTCTCGGGCTCTCTATCCTCCCTCGACGGCCACGCTCCTCTCCCTGCTGTGTTGTCCTCACTTATGATATGGTGTTTCTCCCCACCCCTTTCTCCCCACCCATGCACAGGTGCTGCCAGCGCCTCCCCTGCCACCCCCGACCCAGCCGCCAACAGCAGTCCCCCCGCCGACAGCACTCCCCCCGCCTCCGCGCCCCCGCCACCCGCCTGGTACACGGAGGCTCGGCAGCAAGCCACGACCATGAAGTACGACAGTGATGACGAGAACTAATCTTGATCTGGGTTTGGATCTGGATTTGGGTTAGGAGCTAGTTTAAACTGTGATCTTGGAAACGTACGTATCCTGTGGGTGTGTCGGGTTGGTGGGATATTGAATGCACACGCCCAGTCCGACGCAGGGGCTGAGAGATGCTGTGACCTGAGAGCTGTGCTGCGAGCTGGCAAGCTGTGCCATCTAGGCTACGTTTGTGGCTTCGTGATTCTTGTGGTTGGGAGAGGGAAGGGGAATGGGAAGGGGAAACCAAACGAACGAGTTCACTGCTAACGCACAAACTTCCCGGTATTGCTGGGCGTCGCTGGGGCCTCCCCAGCGGCAGCCCCACCGCCGCCAACACGCCTTCCTCCTCAAGCTGCTAGCGCTTCTGGTTAGCGTCTGTGCCTAAGGGGTTTGTTGGCTAACAGGAGAGAGCCTGAAGAGCAGTGTCGGCTGTGCATGCGGTGTTGCATCGTGCCCCGCCCTGTGGGTCATGAGATGGGGGCCAGTTTTCTTAACACACGCGATCCGGGGGAGCATGCATGCATGCGTGCGTGTGTGTGGGGTGTGTATGTGTGAGGGTTATACAAAATACACAGCACAGGCTTGCATGTGAGTGAGTGGGGTGGAGGGCCCCCGTGCGGTACGTGCGCACATGCGCTGTGCCGGGTCCGTCTGCTGGCTGGTGCGTGATCTGATCTGACTGTACCTCGTTATATGTGGGATATTGTGGATGTGGATAGTGTGGCACCGCATCTGTGAGCACAGCATTATGACCTCAGGACGTGTGCATGTGTGTACGTGTGTGATTAGGTGTGATGTGAATTGCTTTACATGTACCAGTACTCCCCCAAGTGGTCATGCCGTGCATATGCTTGTGCGGTCTGGTGATTTGTTTTCGTGGACCAACTCTTTAACGACTTGCTATGGAGTTCCCGCAAACGTTTGCTCCACATGGCTGGCTCAGGCGGCAACATGTGGCTGGGTACGTGGAGCGGCGGGCAAGTGGAATCAATAACCGTGTGCATTGTCCTCAGTGGTTGCGGGGAGGTGCTACACGTATACGGTATTGGAGGCGCAGGTTTGCGTCTAGGAGGATATCGCGCTGGCTTGTTGCCATGTGGAGTATCACCATAAGTCAATTATGGCTATATTAGTGTTCAGCATTAAATTGCTTTCGGCTGGTGACCCATGGGTCATCGGGTCGTCCTTGTCCTCCCGGCGCATACCTTACCACGCCCTGTCAAGGCCTTACGAGCCTGATGTGGGTTGCGGATGTTCCCGTGCTAGCTCATTACGTTTACGGACGCCTCTCGTGGCGCAGTAACAAGACAGCGCGCCCGGACTCCTCAATGCATTGCTCACAGCAGGTGTGGCGCCCCGAAAGGGTAGCCGCTGCACTGACTCACATCTCCTGTACACCCGTCATCCGTGGCTTTCCGGGTTTCCAAGTCGGGTTTCCAAACCAGACAGCGTCAATAAAACTTATGTACACACGTGCATGTGTACGCGGTGGCATGTGGTGCTGTGCTTCCAAGCTACCGACCTGCACCATTAAACGGGGCTGCCACAGGAAAACACTCACGCCCCTTGCAAGTGTTAAAACCGCGCTTGCACGTCCCACGAAAGTGCTCATGCAAGGCCTGACATATGGATCGGATTGCAACAAAAACAAACCAGCCAAACCAACGCAGCCAAGGGGCCGCCTGCAGTGCGCGCCGCCACGTCACGCAAAGCACCGCCTGCGGTACCCGCTGCGACAGACGGGGCAGGTGGGCGTGCCGCCGCTAGCGAGCTCGAAGGCCTGCGGGGGCCCGGGGCGGCAGGTGCATGTATGGAGGCAGAGGAGGGTGGGCATGAAAAGGGCGCTGTAACGAACGACGTTCGAACACGACCCCCAGGGCAGCGTAGGGTGCTGTTTACCGGTATCTGTGTCTATCCCCGCCTACCCCCCCCCCCACCTCGAACGCCATGATACAGTCCACGTGGAAGCAATGGGTGCAGCTCAACCAGGCGATGCCTGTGTGGGCGGGTGGGGATAAAGAGGAGGGGAGGGAGGGAAGTGAAGAACCGGTAGACGGGAGACGAGGGAGCTTGGAGCGGAAAGTGGCCCTTCACATCATATACGGTACTCCTAGGACCCCGGCCTTCCCACTCGTACTGTACGGCACGTCTGCCTCTCACCCAAGATCCCTGTTATCATTCCTCTCCCCCACTACATCCACCCTCCTGCCTCCCGCCCATGCACAAACTCCTCTTCCATGCACCCCATTGCCACGCACCTTCATTGCCACGTCGTGAGATGTGTCCCAGACAGATGGGGCACTCCAGACTGCCCCGGGACTTGGCCTTGGCCACCACACCCGCCCAGTCCACGTCAGCAGCCGTGGCGGGCCGTCCTGCTGCCCCCGCCGCCGCCAGCGCCGCCGCAACCGTCCTGTTGTCGCCGTCGCCTCTGCCGCCTCCTCCCGCGCCTGCTCCTCTTCCGCCACCACCACCACCACCACCACCCGCATTGCCGGACTCATCGTCCTCGTCGTCGTCGCTGCTGGCACTGCCGCCGTCGTCGCCAACTTGCCTAGAGTGCTGTTGGCGCGATGATGCTGTTGCTGCTGCTACCCTTGTTGCTGCCAATGCTGATGGTGTTGAGGACAAGGAGGGAGCCGCAAGGGAGGAGTCCAGCAGCGGCGTCCGCACTGTGATGATGATCAGGTGGGGGCATGGTCGTGGGTAGGCATCCAGGCGGGAGTCGGGGTGACGTAAGACAGGCTGCTTGTCGGTCCCCAAACAACACCACCGGTACCCACATCCCTTTCAACCACACCCACTCACCGCCGCCTCGCTCCTCCCTCTCTTCCTCCTCCTCTTCCTCTCCTCCACCGCTGCCTCTCCTTCTCCCCCTCCCTCTCCCCTCCGCCGCCTCCCTCTCCTCCGCCTCCCGCTGCTGCAGCCGCGCTGCCAGCGGCCGCAGCAGCGCCTGGTCGCACAGCTGCCGCGACGCCGCCACAGACGCATCCAGCTCAGCGAACAAGTCGTCCAGGTCGCCCACCTCCTCCTCCATGGCGCTCAGCAGCCGGTCCGTGTCCTCCTGGGGAACGCCAAGCATTGCGGAGGAGGCACGGCGGCAGAGCAGGCGCGAGAGCAGCGCAGCAGCGTGAGAGGTTGGCAATGCGAGCCCGCAGGCTACCGGTAACCTCCCTTGACATGCAAGCACAGACTCTTTCACACCACCACCGCGCCCCCCCCCTCCGCCGCCCCACCTGCAGCCGCTCCGCCGCCCACTTCTTCCGCAGCTGCTCGTCACGGGGCGGCCGGTGGCGCCGCAGCTGCCGGTAGCGCCGCCGCGCCGCGTGACCCCGCCAGGCGGCCTGGATGCTGCACAAGAGGGGACACAGAGGCAGGAGCGAGGCCGCATGGATGCGGACGTACTTGTTGTTACAAAAGTGTTAGGCATCAAAGTAGAAAAACAATGGGAACGAATGCAAGCAACCTTCCTTGCCGCCCGTTCCGCCTCTTGCCTTACCGCGTGGCACATCTATGGCGATAGAGCTCCTCTCCGTCCCGAATGACGCGCTTCTGGTATTGCTGCGCGCGGCACAGCGGGCAGGTCTTGCAGCGGCTGTAGCGCTCGAAGGCGGCCAGGCAGTGGCGGTGGAAGGTGTGGCTGCAGGACAGCAGCACCTGGGCGCCGGCCTGGAACTCCTCCCGGCAGATGACACACTCGTGCGCCGAGTCCTGCCGTACACAGGGTTACGGGTACATCAGGGGAATGAGCTACGTTAACTATTTTCATGTTGCAGTTTGCGAAAGCGATTGGGCAGTGTGTGGTGCGGGTATGTGCCCTTGGGGGCCTGGGCGTTTGTTCCTTCCTTGGGCTCAGCCCAGATAGCTCCCCCGTCGTACCTGACGTAGCCTGCTCTTCAGGTGCACCTCCGTCCATTCCTCCTCAGTTAGCAGCGGTGGCGGCCGCGGGATCAGCCCCAAGTGCTGAGCGAGAGTCAGGGGTGCGCCCTACGACATGTCGGAAAGGGTAGGCGTGCGGTAACGATGGTCAGGGACGTACGGCGAAAGGCGGGGCCAGAGAGCGGATTGCTCGACAGCTTTTGGATGCTGGCTAGTGTGGGAGGAGAAATCCGCACCGGTTGCAGGGAGGGCTGGACTACGGGTCCCCCTGGCATGCGCAGCCGCCTTGCTAGGTGGTCCTGCAATGCCGCCTGCGGTGGGATGGGTTGATGCGGATGCATAGGTCCGGGTAAAAGTTCGTTCGGAGTATCCGTTGGTACACTGGAACATTATCTAGCTGTGACTTCATTGGGTGCTTGTGGTCAAAGAGCTACAAAAGGCACTTACGGCAGCAAGCAACGCGTGCCGGTCTTTTTGCCGGTCCTTGTCCTTGTCGCGCTTCATGGTCAGCTTCGCTAGTCCGCGTTTCTATTATACTTAAGAGACCACCTTACTAAGGTCGCGCTGAAAAGTTATAGGCAAGGGACCTTAGAGTCACAGCAATGCTGTGAAGCGAACATCGTAAAAGGGCCTGCAGCTTAGGAGCTGCCACGAATACAAGATTTCCGAATTGACATATAGTAGTAAGGGTGTTTGACGATGGCATGCTGGGGCCAGCGTCAGGGCGGTGCCTATCTAAGGACGCCCCGCAGTAGCTGGATTACAATCCACGGCCATCCAGCATCGCTGAGCACAGGTCAATTATTCTTGAAATCGTTTCGACCCAAAATTCACGTTTTGTCACGTATCAGCAGCCCTAATCGTGACGGCCGCTCCGCTGCGGTCCCATCCACGCCATGGGCTGCCCGCGGCACAGCCTTCACCGACCAGCAATTGCTGCGGTCTTGCCTAGCAAGACATGTTCTGCAGCGTTTGGTCGATTCCAATTCCGCCACCAGCCTGGGCCATCTGGTAAGCCTCGTCCAGGGGGTGTGCCCTATGTAAGGAGGTCGCACAGTTCTGCCGGGCTGGGGCGCACGTGGGAACTTACAGACGGCCTACTCTGCCTTATTTCCCCTACACCCCGCAGGGTATTACAGCGTTGCAGGTTCCGGAGCCGCCGCCAGCTTTCCTAGCGCTCGAATCTGCCTTGGTGCGTGCCGCACGGCATGGGCAGCTTGGAGAGACATTGCAGGGTTTCCTGGATCCGCCGTTCACACACGTGGGCTACATGACTCCCTCGGGTAAGGCTGGGATGGGTAACCCAAGTCCATGTGGGTCGCGGGCCGAGAGATGGAGGTGTATGGAAGCGGGGCGGGCGTCCCTCACGAGAACGTTGCTAAGAAACGCGGGGGGTATGCCTGGGCCGTACGCGGGGAGTATGCCTGGGGGGTATGCCTGGGCCTTCAGGCCGCTCGGGTACCAGCGGCGACAGCGACAGGATCCATTAAGCCTTGCCTCCGCGTAGGAGCGCCATAAGTAAACAGTTGCCGGTTGGCTGAACACCTCTCTTTGTGATGCCCCGCGTGCCTCCCGCCCAGGTCGGCGCTGCCTGCTGACCCCGAGCGAAACCGTGCAGTGCTTCTCAGACCCCTGCCTAGAAGCCTTCCTGCTCTCGCTCTTCACCAGCATTGAACACCAGCGAGCGCCGATGGTAAGCAAGCCGATAACAGGGCGGGATGCAAGGTGCGACCAAGAGAAGTCTTTCCGCTGACTACGCCGCGTGTCCCATGGGTCACGCGCGCTTTCCGGGAGCTCCATCTGTGCAGCTGTCCTGGTTTATGACATCCGTCATCTGCTGCTGTTCCCCCCCCCACACGCACAGGTCACGCTCAGCCCGCACTGCCTCTTCCACGCGCACCTCTTCTTGGCTCACCAGCCAGCGGGTGGCGTGGGTTTGCTCTTCCATGCCTGCGAGTACCCTCGCTTCGATGAGCTGCACTTTCCGTACCGCTTGGGCCATTGCCAGGAAGGCAGCAAGCTGAGCGTCACGCATGGCCAGCTAGCGCAGCGAAACCTGCTGTGGTATCAGGTGAGAAAGGAGTTAGAAGCGCGCACCTCGTCATGCAAATGCTTAAGAGTGCGGTAGGGAAGGGGCGGTGAAAGGTGCATGTGAAGCGTGTGTAGCGTGCATGTGAATGCGCACGTCCGCAGAGATAGATCCGCAGGCCTGCACCTACGGTAACAGTAAGCAATCTATCTGTTGGTAGCATGGTTACCTTCTCTCAAGTTTCCAGGACTTATAAGCAAGCCTTTAAACTCTCCTACCTCATTGGCGCTTGCAGGGGCAACTGGTGTTGCTGGATGTGACGCCCGGATTTGTTCTAAGGCACCTACTATGGGAGGAGACATCAGAGTTATGCACTCTCTATGAAGAAGATTTCGGAATAACCGTAGCTGACATAACCCTCAACATTTCCCAGGATAGTGAAGAGCTATGCAACCTTTTTGTCAATGTGCACACAAGTGGTACGGTGGGTTAGTTTGTAACATGGAGATCTGAGTCAATGCGGTGTTCTTTCCAGCTGTTACAATATGTTAAGTGACAGTGAGTAGTACAGTCCAGATCGATCATAGAATGGATTTACATACAGGAGCCAGGAACAAAGCAGCGCTCAATGTTTGAGTTCGAGATTATCGTACACCTCCGTGCACTATCCCTCAAGACAGACAATCATCAAGACATTCCGGTCCACTAATGAATATTAAGCATGGGGAAGCGTGTTAGCGGCCGTGCTTCTCTCTCTTCGAATGCCCTTCCAACAAAAGAATGGGTAGACGGCAGTCATATGTACAGGGTTGCCAAGCAGGGATCAGCATTCGATCCCAAATGATCCGGACTGATACTTGGATACACATGAGCGAAATCCAGCACTAAGGCGTCAACGCCATATTGCGCACGGACACATACAACCAATACCAATACGCACGCCCCAAGGGAGTCGACCACGTGGGCTGTGCGAAAGTGGACAAGGTTCGAGCCCGAAAACCACACACGACGTTGCCGCAGCAACTGCAGTGCCGGGGCCCCAATGAGGGGCATTGCCCGGTTTTGCTGTCAGGACAGGGAGCCAGGAAACGGGGGAAGCCAGGGGTGCATTCACACCGACCATCGAGTGCCAATGGACGGCAAAAACGCGCAAGGGAAGCCAACAAACAAACAGCGACCGGAACCCACATACGCAGCGAACATGCAAACTCCGGTTGGGTGCACAACGCATCACGCGAGTAACAAACTCAAAACGCACAACAACAAACTGTCTGCGTGTAACGGCCTGCACCACGACAAAGGATATTCGACCGATAACCAGCTGCTAAACGCATGAGTAAAACGTGCAAACTGTACATTGCCGGAACCCCACCAGGGGTGAATCCATGGCAAAGAGCCGCGGCGAGAACCAAACGGATCAAGCATACCGACACCTTGAAAGCAAAGCGCTCCAGAAGCTAGCTAACGAACTCCTAGCTGTGCATTTGCACCATGCTACACCCTACCAACCTAGGCACTGAACAGCGTCCTGACCCCTAACATCTTCCGCTTAGTAGCCGCCGTTGTTGCCGTAGCCACCACCGTAGCCACCGCTGCCACCGTAGCCACCGCGGCCACCGCTGTAGCCACCGCCTGCAAGAAATAAGGAGCAAGAAGGTTTCAAAGAAGTACACAACAAGAGAATAGCACAGGGAAACCAGCGCATGAAAGTAGGATTACGTGCTAGATCCCCGACTCACCGTAGCCACCGCGGCCACCGCCGTAGCCACGGCCGCCGCCGTAGCCGCCTGTAAGATTGAACAGGGGGAGCAAGAGAGTGAGCATCATGGTCAAAACCTACCGGAAGTTCAAGTACACGCAGTACAAAGTAAGCAGCAGCTGTGCTTACCGTCGCCTCCGTAGCTGTCACCGCCGTAGTTGCCACGGCCACGGCCACCGTAGCCACCGCGGCCGCCACCACGGCCACCTGCAAGGAAAGGCAGCGTAGGTTGGAACGTGCGATGTACAAGAAGGACGGGAAAGACAATGTAGTTCTCCAATAGACGACAATAACAGCAAGCTGTGGATATGCAAACCAGTTAAGAGCAGCGAACGCTTGTAAGGGCGAAGCATAAAGAATGGCAACCAAGATCTGGACTGGACAAGAGAAAAAGGATCTGCTCACCAGCGGGCCTCTCGCCGAGAGGAGTAGCCTCGTTCACGCGAATGGTGCTGCAAGAAAGAACCAAGAAAGTTATGATATGTATCCAACAATGTCGGCAAGTTCCGACACCAATAACAATTCTGACTTACCGGCCCATGAACTCGGTGCCGTCGCACTCAGCGCAGGCGTTCTTGGCGGCAGTCGTCTCCAGGGTCACGAAGCCGAAGCCACGCGAGCGGCCGGTCTCGCGATCGGTGGCAACAAAGGCATCCTCGACGGCGCCGAACTTGCTGAAGAAGTTGGTCAAATCATCAGCCCGGGTCTCCCACGAGAGGTTGCCTGAAGATAGGGGAAGGAGGATGTTGATATGACGTCTTGGACATGAGCGCACGGCCGCCTCAAGTTGCAGCCGCCTTTAAGAAACGGGGCCCGACGAAGAATGTGATCAGTTATATATTGCCTTACCAACGTAGAGCTTGGTCGACATGTTTCCTGCGGGACTGGTGCCGGCTGCGGCCTTGGCAGAGAGCAGGCGAGGGCGCACTGCAAGAGAAACCGGCGCGAGACGCCTAGCAGACGCGGACACCAAAGCGTGAGCCCTAAAGCTGAGCATTTAACAAGGTGAAGGATATTTCACCAAGAGCGCGCTACTTATTTTATGCTTGGGGCGTGGCCGTACATAAGGCCCGCACCCCACCAAATTTCCGAGAGCAGACAACTTGATTGTAAAGCTTGGCGCCGTTATCAGGAGGATTGTGTATCAACCCCAAAGCTTCATACGGGATGGCTGCGAAAGAGACCAAGCGACGGAGTGCCGCTACCTAGAGTGGCGCACTATTTCCTTTATTGCCCGTATTCACGCAAAGCCTACTTTGGCGTTGATAGTAAATTCCAACTTCCCAAGGGTTGAGAGCCTTCTGGGGGAGCGACGGTGTCTGCGGACATGGTCATCCCATTCCGTTGGGAACGCTTTCTATAGCCTAGGCTGTCCAAATACGTTGACGTTTTGGCTGAAATAAGTCCTTCTATGTCACAATGGCATTTGAGCACGGGTCTTGCCGTAATAAGTTTTAAACCCTAGTCGACGCCTCGACTGGTAGGGCAGAAGACGTGAGCTTTGCAGCGACATGTCTCGCTGTTAAATTCGTTTACAAGGTGCATCATTACCAAGATTATCAACCTAGGGAGGCCATACAGGGTTCTATCTGTTGCAATGCGGTGATTTTCATACTATGCCCCTCACGAGGCAATCCCGCAATCGCCGTGTGCACGTGGCTCGAAACCCAACGGGCATCCCATGACGTTTCACTCAGCTTACGACAAGCGGCAACATCTTTGACCATGTGAGGGCCGTCTTCACGCGCCGTAACCCCGGAACGCAGCATGCAAAAAAGCACCAGAGACCGCATGACACAAATGGCGACCCAAATCGCAACGTCTCAGCGCTAAGAAACACGCTCTCAAGCATGTCATTGCAACGGCGCAGCAGCACTGCTTGGCTTCCTCACTAGGGGTGCCGTGGAGTCCCGCAACATCCCGATGCGATCGTAAAAGGCAGCAGATCGACTGGTAGCACGCAGAGTCACATCCGCCACGCCTTGGACATGCAGCCCCGAAACCATGCATTCTAGGAGGACTCGTCCAAGACCCGCTCCACGTTCCGCCGGATGTACGGCAAGAAACCAGATTGTAGCAACCTTAACGGCGGCAGTGCCAGTGCTACTACTAGCGGCGCCGTTGCCCAAGGTACCTTCGGAGATGCGGCTAGCACTCCTGTCTGTGTTAGCATCACCCTTGCATTCGACGGGGTGGGCGCCAGCAATCGCAGAGCCGTTTGGGGCATTCCTCTGGGACCGCCGCCCTCGCTTTGCTTGATGTGACCAGCGGGCTCTGCGGTCACCTTCCGCAGCTGCCGCCGCCACGGTGGCAACATCCTCACTAGCACTAACACCACATGAACTCTGGCGCAGTGATGAGGTTGGTGACCGATGCACAACCGCCACGTCAGCAGATGCAAAGCCAACCAGCATGCAGCCATAACCCACATCACCAGCAGCACTGCTAGCGCCTCTGTAGCAACCTACGCCGCTGTCGCCGCCATGCTCGGCTGCCGCTTGAGATGTTGGTGTGGGTGGTCCCAGGGCGTCAGAAGGTACCGGTGGGATGGTTGCTGCGGGCACGCTGCCGTACCTGTAAGCCCACACCACCTCGTCTGCGTTGCGGAAATCCTCAGCTGAGATGTCCAGGTTACACTGAGGCGGGACAGGCGCCAGCGGGGTCGGTGGTAGGGGGGATGTACGAGCATTGTTGCAAAAACTGCAGGGAAGGGTTTGTGTCAAGGCGTTTGCCATGGCACATGCAAACATGCGCAAGAGGCTAGCAAGGCAATGTACGGCATCACACACAGCGAGAAGGTCTGCAACGGGTAGGCAAAACATAAGGCCGTCACTCACCAGTTGCAGCAGACGCTCCACTTCGCCGTACGACAGATGCGCCTTGCCGTAGCTCAGGAAGATCCCCTGCTCGGCCCAGGCCTCGTCGGAAGGCTGAGAAGGCCCTGTCGAGAGGCCGTTGAGTTTCCAAAGGAGTGTGGCATAAAGAGATGTCATATAGTGGCACGTTAGGAAGTGGGTTGGGGTTCGTTGAGAATCCGTGATAGGATCCCCGGGTGTATGTTGCATTGTTTAGACATCAGGGAATACTTGGGGGCCGACAGCTCTCATTTCCCATGAGAACTAGCTGGCTGGTGGGAAAAGGCATGCGATGCAAGGTGCTTTGAGCCCCCAAGATCCGGAAGTGCTGCCTTACCAGCTGCCTTCTCCCGGGGCCACACAAAGGTGGGTTGGACTGGGAGCCAGCGGCTCCGGGCGGCGTCAAGGCTACTTGCAGTGTCGCCAGCGGTGGTGCTGTTGCTCCTTTGGGCAAGGCGCTTGCCAGCGTTGCGGCTTGGGTCCCCGCTTTTGCTGCTGCGGGTGCTTACATCACGGTTACATATACGCGGGGTTAGCGTCCCACTGCCGATGCCCCTGCTGATGCTGTTGCAGCCCGCGCTATGTCGGTTTCCAGCACTGGCGTTGTTGTTACTGCAACAAGGGCCGCTTCGGCTTGCGATTGCGGTGCGGGAAGATGAAAATGGTACGTACGGGAGGGCATAGCATGCGCAGCATGGCCTGGGTCGGAGATTCGCTGGATCGACGGCGAGCGATCGGAGAGTTTGTCGCGATAAGCCGCCTCGGGATATGGCAGGAGTTGTAATTAACATTGGGCGTCTTGCGCGCTTGCTGCGGCGAGGTTGGGCTGCGGCGTGCAAGCAAGTATAGGAAGCGAAAAGCTTTACTGTGGGAGGCAACAGCTTAGCGTCCTTCCATCTTACATTTGCTAACGCGACAAGCCTTGCTTTAGAGTCACATCCTTCAATTCACAACTAGCATGAAGTGCCGAGTCCTTTAGCTTTTAACGACAAGGTATAGTTGGAATTGTAGTTCGATTCAATATGAATATTACAAACAGCGATGCGTTGGACGCTATGGTTTCAATCGGGCGGCAGGCGCTGGAGCGTGGCAAGGTGTCGGCGGGAGGGAACTCATGGGCAGGCGCCTTGCTATTGCTCCTAAACTGAGACTATAGATACATATTTCCTTTGGCGTCTTGATGTGCATGCCTTAATCTTCGTCGTGGACGTTTTCGCTGCAAATGCCAACTGGATGAGATGGATCGGCGTACCCGGCCCCTGACCCGGTAGCCCTGTTTTCATCCGCAACAGGTCGACCAGGCCTTGACCATCTTATCGGGGGTGTTAAGCAAGGCGCCTAATCACCCGCTGGCATGGTTTAGCCTGGGCAGGGCTCACCTGCTCAAGGTAAGAAGTCGGCAAGGAAAACGCCTCTGACGTGTTTTGCGTTAAGAAAGACACTGCAGCTCCTGAAAGTCAGAACTTGATGTGCCGATCGATTTTGGTGACAACAGCCATCCTGAGCCCGTAACCGCAATCAACCGCATCCCAACTTACCCAACCGACTGCGACCCACATCGCAAGACACACCCGTTTCCTCATTCGAGTGCAGGGTGCACATGACCACGCGGCCATGTGCTATCACCGAGCTGCAGCTCTTGCTCGTACAGCACGAGGCGTGGTGAGTACGGCACACCTTGTACGGCACCTCAATTTACCTGGGGCCTGGTTTGGGAAATAACCCCGGTTCTTTGCCTGTGCCTGCTTCCTAGGCTACGGGTATTGCTTCAAGCTGTGAAGCTGTTGGGGCCGTTGCCTTCCGTTCAATCACCCACAACGCGTCACACCCTGCAAGAGCACCTTCCCACATCCGTGCCGCTACACCTCCTCCCAATCCATGTCCCCAGCTTAAAAAGCCGCTTGATCATCTCAACCATCTGATGCAAGGCACACCTCCTCGGCTCCTCCTCCTCCTGCGCACCTCCTAATCCCTTTGTTTCCCACCTCCTTTCCTCCCTCCCTCCCTCCCTACCCGCAAAGCCCGCCAACCTGCCCCGACTAGCACGCGACAACATGGTTCTGTGTGGCGACAAGGTACTGCCCGCCGCCTGGCTGCCCGCGATGCAGGTGAGCGGTTGGCGGTTGGCGGTTGGCAGGGTAATGAGGAAGTAACTAACAGTGCAGCTGGGCGGTTGGCGGTTGGGGTAGTGAAGAAGCAGCCTGAGCTCCCAACGCCCGCGGCTTGATGCCCTGGAGCCACCGTATCCTGGTGTGGTTGCACGTGCATGTCATGGGCCTAGACCCCCGCGTGCGCTGTGGGAAACGTAGGTGGCAGGTGCAGAGGAGGAGAGGGAAGGGAAGAGGGGAAGAAAGGGCGGGATGTCGACACAGAGGGTCTGGACGGCTTGCGATGCACGGTACGGGTATCTGACCTGTCTCCCGTACCACCTGGCTTCCCATGGGTCAGGATCCCTACCATGCGGAGAAGTGGGGAGCGGCGCTGCAGAGCTTGGCAGCGGCGCTAACGCAACTGCCGTACACAACAACAGCCCCGGAGCAAACCGTTGGCGGTAACGGAAGCAACAACGACAACCGCCGGCAGGTCTACGTGGCGGGGGGTATAGGGCTTCAGGCGCTGGCCTTGCATGGGTTACTGACGGCGGGAACCCAAGCAGCAGCGACGCCGGCGGCGGCAGGTACGGAAGCCCGCAGCGCCGAGACGGCGGCAGCGCCACCAGCTGCTACGCTGACTTGGATTCAACCCGACGAGTTGAGTCGTACACTCGCGGCTCAGATGGCGGCGGCGGCGGGCGTGCCGGCGGCGGAGCTACGAGCCGTCAACGGCTGGCCGGCAGCGGCGGCGGCGGCGGCGGAGGCTCCGCCGCCGCCAGTGCATATGTTTCTGGCGGCGGGTGTGTGTACGGCACGACTGGCGTTGCGGGAGTGGTCGGCGGTGCTGCAGCATGTGCGGCCCTGCCTGGCGCCCGGCGCAGTGATGAGTCCCCGCGCCGTCAGGCTGGTGGGCGTGTTGGTGGCGAGTGAGGACTTGCGGGCGCTGAACGAGGTGGGCGGAGGTGGGCTGGGGAGCAAGCGTGGGACGGATGGTGACCCATGGGTCATCCTGAGACTGTTGCCGCCGTTTTGGGCCTGTTTCTCAGGGCAGCACTGGAGCGCTGGCCTGGATATGTTTCAGTGGCAGTAGCGATTGCAGCTTGCTGGCCCATACCGTGTAACCTCACTGCCACAGGTAAAGCCACGCCGCCACTACCCGTGACAGCATTCTTGCGGTTATGACTCCCTCCTCAGGTTCGTGAGGACTGGATGGCTGAGGACAGTGGCGGGCTGCAGTACGCGGCTGCGAATGAGATGCTGTGGCGCCCGGCCAGGAGCGTGCAGGTGGGGTGGGGGGTTGGAGAGGAGAGCCTCACATGGTAGGAGAGGGCTAGAGAAGCAGCAGGACTAGCGGCCTAGCGCCCTGGTTCCGAGCTGCAATCAAGGTACACATCTCACACTCGCATCCCCACTCGCATTCTCACACTCCACGCCCCCAGGTGTCAGCCTTCCGCTACAGCCTCCTCTCGGAGCCCTTCCTGCTACTGCCGGAGATAACCGCCGAGCAGTTGTTGCAACAACCTGATGCCGTACTGGGCGGCCGTACAACCGGTTTCGCTACTGCTGGCGCCGCCGCGGCCGCCGATAGTGCTGGACAGTCCTCGTCGGCGGCGGCGGCGGCAAAGGCGGGTGGTGGTGGTGGTGGAGGGATACGGCGGCATGATACGGTGGTGACGGCGACTGCGCCGGGCCGAGTGGATTGCGTGGTGACGTGGACCGAGTACGAGCTGGCTCCAGGGGTTTGGTTGTCGTACGCTCCACACGAGCTGCAGGTGGGCTTTATTACGCGTTTGCTGCATGTGGACTTTGTGTGTTTGCTGCATGCGCGTGCTTACCCCATGCGTGTTAGTACGGTCTGCTTTGCTGCCAATATTTCCAATTCCTCTATGCGATTGGTACGATCCTGTGGGGGCCATCGTTCGGTTTGTAAAGCCGCTGCTCCCTAACTCTTTTACCATTCGTATCCCATACCGCAAGGCCCAAGCTATATCCCCAAATAGCACACGAGTCACGTCACACGTTCACTCCCCCCTTTTTCCATCAGCATATGGGATTGGAACTCCAGTTGCTTCACTCCTCATCTATTTATTCCCGCCCCTTCCATTTCCGCAGGGCCGTCCCGACGCCCCAGTTCTGAGTCCCCACGTGTGGCAGCGGCTGCAGTACCTGTCAGCCCGGCCGGCCGTGGGGGCGGGACAGCCGGTTGTGCTGCAGGTGGGGGCGGTGGGGGACTGGGCGGTGGAGGAGGGGTTGCTCGGGGAGGGCCGTTGGGAAGGGCAGCAGGTGTGTTGTCCACTCGTGGTCGGTAGGGCCCTCTTGTGGCTACCGCTACGGTCATTTGCAGATACAGGTATTGAGGAGGCGTTACGGTGCCTGTCTGTCTATTGCCCTCTCCGTTTCCTTTCCTGTTTGCTTCCAAACACCGACCTCTGTTGCCATACATCTACCATACCAAGCGGCCGTTCCAATCGCAGGTTACCCTGTCCAACGACGGCGCCGACGTACGAGTCGAGTACGACGAAGATGTGCTCGCCGTACAACAGCAGCTGCAGCCCGTACGGCAGTTGCGGCCCGAAGGCGACAAGCGGGGAAGCGCGGATGAGGTGGAGGGAGGTGAGGAGGGCTGCTGCGCTGCTCCCTCCTCCTGCGAGTTCTTGCTTCCTCCCGGTGAGCCGCTGTTACCGCCTGGAGAGGCCTTGCATGATGACACTAGCAGCAACAGCAGCAGCAGCAGCGGTGACGTAAGCGAGGGAGAGGGCGAGGGGGTCGAAGGCGACTGTAGGAAGGACGGGAGCAAGGGTGGTGACCAAAAGCCGACAGGAGGTGCGGTCGGTGGCAGCGGCGGTGGTGGTCAAGAGAATGGTACACCTGGAGCAGCAGCAGGGGCAGCGGCGGCTGAGTCGGGTGGTTTGCTCCTGCCGTACCACATGAGCATGTTGAACGACCGGGTGCGCACCCGCTGCTACATGCGGGGCATCCGGGCGGCGGTGGCGGCGGCCAAGGTGGGTTTGTTAAGAAAACTGGCCGCGAGTACTAGGTGTGTGTGGGGGGGAGGGTCTTGTGAGCGGCCCTGAAAGGGCGTCAAGGCATTGCCAAGTCCTCCATTGGTCAACCTTGAACTCCGGGCGCTAAGCCTCTACCCCGCACTGCCCTCCCTCCCTCCCGCCAGTCTGCCACCCTCGCGGCTCTGTGCTAAGTTCCTCTTCTTCTTCTTCTTCCTTCCCTCCCCATGGCACTACCGGCATCATCCAACACCTGGTTCTTCTCCTCTCCCCCGTGTTGCCCCCCCAGGCTCGCCACCCGGGTCGGCCGCTGGTGGTGCTGGATGTGGGGTCGGGCACGGGGCTGCTGTCCATGGCGGCGGCGAGGGCGGGGGCGGAGTGCGTTGTGGGTGAGGCCAGGGGGGGAGTTCTAGGTAAACTGAGCCGAAGCGAGGAAACACTGATCAACCAGGGCGAGGGGCACATGGGGCGGGCGGGGTAATGAAGGAAGGAGGAGAAGAGAGACAGAAAGTGGGAGATGAGCACTGAGTTGGGGAGGGATGAAGGCGAGGAAGCGGCTTGACCTACAGATAGACCCAGAAATGAACACTATGGCCGCGAGCCACAGCTCCTTTCCTTGCTTCCTAAAGCACCCTTGTCAAACCCCAAGCCCCAAGCCCGCCCTAAACCCTACAACCAAACCCCAAACCCTCTGTAAACCCCAACCCCAAATGTGCAGGCTGCGAGCGGGAGCTGGCACTGTCGGTTGCTGCGGGTGCGCTGGTGTCCGCCAACCAGCTGGGTCGTGCGGTGACACTGCTGCAGGCTCACAGCGCTACCCTGACAGTGGCGGAACCGGAACCACCAATCCCACAACAACAACAGCTGGCAGGAGGAGAACAGCAACAGCCGCTAAAACCGCAACCAGCATCCGCTGCTGCTGCCGCCGCCACCGCCGGCAGCAGCGCCGTTTCTTCTGGGTCGGAGCTGCCCCGGCGTGCTGACATCATCTTGCACGAGATCTTTGGCACAGACCCGCTGTCAGAGCACATCCTGCCCTCCCTGGCGCAGGTCCAGGTGAGGGTCAGGTGTTGTAGGAATACCGTTTGTAAGCAGTGACATTCGGTTATAACCTGGGTTATAACCTGGGTTTGAGGCAGCGTCTGCCCTCCTCCACCTCCACCTCATGCGTTTGTTTCCCTCCTCTTGCGTCCGTTCCCTCATCCCCGCTCAGGAGGACTTGGCGGCTGCTGATGCGGCCTACGTGCCCTCCGCCTTCCGTATCGTGGCGGCCTTAGCGCACAGCGCACAACTGGAGGCTCGCATGCGCACCGTTCACCCGCCGCTGCCGCTGCCGCTGCCTAGGGAGCAACAGCAGCAGCAGCAGGAGGGTACTGCAGGCGCAGAAGGCACTGCTGCTGCTGCTGCTGGTGGTGGTGTTGGAGGAGGGGAGGCTGCGGCGCGGCTGGGCAGGGTGCTGCCTGCAGCAGCAGCTGCGGCGCTGCAGGGATGGGCGCCTTGGAAGGTACGTGATACGCATGTTAGGCATGCATGCATGCATGCATACACGTGCCTTCGCATACCATTTACTGTTAGGTTTATTACTGCCATGCCCTTACCATACCGGCACACGCGTTACGGACACCAACCGCAACCAGCCTCTCGCCCCTCCGGATACAACACCTCCCTGGCTCCCCAACCATACACCGCAGGCGGAGGTAGATCTGCTGCAAGTCCCCGACCTGCGCCTCCTCACACGCCCCGCCTCCGTATCCAGCCTGCGTCTGGACACCCGCCCGCTGCCCCGCGCCTACCGCTCCGAAACCCTGGCGGAGCCCTGCCGACCCACACCCCTGCGCGCCCTGTTCAAGCGGCTGGGACCCGATGGCCAGGAACTAAAGGAGGAGCTTGTGCCTTTCCCTTCCTCCTCCTCCTCCTCTTCTTCCTCCTTGTCGCCGCCGCTGAGGTCGGTGGAGCCAATGACAACGTCAGTCAAGCCAACCGTGGCGTCATCTGAAGAGGGAGCAACAAGAGCAGCAGCAGGGCCAGCGCACGGAGCGCAAGCAGACGACGGGAAGGTGAAGGTCGCGGCGGGGGCAGCTGCTGAGCAGGTGGCGTGCGCGAACTGCATTGTGTTTTGGTTTGAGGCGGACTGTGGGGGCGGCGGCGGTGCTGGTGGGGACGCGGAAGAAGGGGATGGCTGGTTGAGCACGTGTCCCGGCAGTGGCAGCAGCTATTACGGACATTGGGTGCAGAACGTGCAGTGGCTGGAACAGCCGCTGCCCGTGCCGGTATCAGTGGGTGGCGCGGAGGTGGAAGGACGGCGGCAGCAGCAAGAGCAGACACAGCAGGAGAGGGGGAAGAGGGAGGCGGCAGAGGAGGGTGCTGGGGGGGAGGATGGTTGGGGAGGGCTGCGGGTAAAGATTAGCGCGGAGTGTGTTTTGGATCGAGTGCGGCTGGAGGCTGAGTGGGTGAGGCTGGGGAGCGAGGAGGGGGAAGAGGAGGATGGGAGTAGCAGTGGTGAGGAAGAGGGTGGCGAGGAAGGAGAGGCGGGAAAGTGAGAAAGGTAAGGGGAGCTTGGAGCAGGGAGCCGTTTGTATGGGGTTGTGAAGAGGTGTGCAGGTGCGCGTGTTTGGGTGGTAATTGGCAACGGGTGTTGGTGGTAGGCTGGGTAGGGGATTGCCAACGGACCGGTGCTGGTGGATATAGATTGGAAACGTTTTGAGGTGGTGGTACAATGTCAGGTGACCTACGAGGTCCTAGCTTGCTGATACGCTGCAGGTGACTTTTCGTGGAAAAACGTGTACGTCCTTCCCTTTCCTTTGCAGTAACAAACAAGCAACGCAAGATCTCCTTTCGTTAGCAGTAACAAACAACGCAAACAACGCATTGTAAAACCGCCATAGCCGTACGGTGATAAGCCGGCAAACCGTGTGGAAGGCCAATTGAGATACCACAACTGCCGCCGCCATCCCTGCATACATCCCTTACATAAACATACTCCCCCAAACAACATGCCTGCGGGGTACATCCCGCCAAATCACAAGGCCGTACAGCAACCAACAGCCCAACAGTCAATCTCAGCCGGCAAATAGGAAGCTGTCAACAAACCAAGATGTCAACCATTCACTTGGTATGGAGTCGTTTAATGCTACCAAGACATCCACAACGTGGTCAGGATCGGGCGCGCCCCCTTACAAGTGCCCCCATGCAATAGTTCACCCTGCAGGCATCCCTCCTGCGGTGGTTAGTGCTTTCCAGAAACGCGAAATATTAGTCACACGCACCGTACATCGCGGTACGACAGCGCATATTCCCACACACAAGAAGATTTGTATGCATAGAAGTGTAACAAACGGGGCAGTACGTGGAAATGTAAGTCCAGGGATATCGTGCGCCCCACACGTCCAAGCATTGTCCGGAATGTTCACAACCACCAATTAACTGTTATGTAGTCTGTTAAGGCTCGCAAGACTCAAACGTCAACGTCAGCGATAATTAAAGTAAGCAGTCACCTGTCTGCTGGTAATGTTCAAACCACGGTACGGCAACAGGGTTCCGGCTCGTCACGTCCCTTCGCATCTTGCATGCGGGCATGCATGCCAGGGACAGTCAGCCAGGCATTATCCCACCGGTTATAAACGTACACCAACCCGCACCACACCAACATCAAACGCCCCAAAGCATCAGGCGATCCAGCCGCCGCTGCATGTCCTGAAACATAACCGTCCGCTCAGTAACCACGTTATCCAAGCTGTTCATATACCAAACCTTATCATTTGTAATCTGCCGACGCAGGTCCGCTATCTCGTCCTTCATGCGTGACACTTGCAGCGCGTCAGAGTACGGCAAGGGTGCCGGCGGCGGCGGCGGCGGCGGCGCAGCTCGATACTGCAGCGGCGTCGCCGGCGGAGGCGGATAGGCGCTGCTGCTGACGTAAGCAACCGCCGCCGTCGGTGCCGACGCTGACGTCAGTGGCGGCTCCGCCAGGCCCGCCGTACGATAGGGGGCGGCTGCCGTACGTCCCGGTACTGACGCCCCTGCAGCAACGCCGCCACCGGCACCGCTAGCGCCGGCGAGAGCGCTTGTTGGCGTGCCGCCAGCGGCGGAGGCCGAGAGCACCTTCAGTCTGTCCAAGACGAGTCCATGTCTGATGTCTCTTAGCTCCCGCCGGATCTGGTACAACTGGCTGTCTAGGGAGTCGTCCAGCTGCCGTACACCGTCCTTGTCGGAGCCAGCGGAGGCGCCGCCGTCGCCACTGGCGCTGCGGACGCTGCGGTCGCCACTGGCGCTGCGGACGCTGCCGCCGGCGGTGCTTCCAGCGGCGGCGGCGGTCGCCGTCATGCGAGTTGGCGGCGGCGGAGCGGCTTCCCACTCCGGTACCGGGCGTTGTGCCAGCGGCGACGGGGACGAAGGGGTTGGCGGCGGCGGCTGGGCGGCCCTTGGCGACGCGGGGAACGGAGGATCCGTCACAACTTTGTAGCCGTACGGGTACCACAGGGCCGAGGGCGACACAGGCTTTGGACTTGCAGCTGGAACCGCATACCGCAGCGGCGTCGCCGGCGCAGGTGCCCCTGCTGAGTTAGCAATGGAAGCAAAGGGCGGAGCAGAACTGCCGCCGCTGCCGCCGCCGCTGCCGCGGACGGTGGAGAAGGATGGCCGTGCACCTGCCGTACTGCCGTCTCCGCTGCCTTTTACGGCACCGAAGGATGACACCGTCGGCGGCGGACCCGCATCGGTGAAGGATGAACTGAACATGCCGTCGACGGCGGCGGCGCCACCGCCAATCGTATGACGGCCAGTAACGCGATTGTACGACTGCAGTGTCACCGCAAGCGCCCGATTGACTTGCTTGAGCTTCTCAACCTCCGCCAGCAGAAGCTCGTCCAACGCCACCGCCGCCGACGGTACGGCAGCAGTCTCCCCGGCGGCGGCGGGCGCGCTCGCGGCGACGGGGGACGCCGTCGTCTGTACGGTGCCAGAAGCGCGGCTGCCGTACGGTGCTGCCGCTGCCGCGGCAGCGGCGGCGATTCCGCTATTGCTGCTGCAGCCTAAGTAGTACGGAGCGGTCGTTGTGGACAGACCCATCGACGGCAGCGGCGGGCTTGCAGCAACGGGCGACACCGGCGTCTGTAGAGGCGGCGGCGGCGGCCCCATGCGCCGTACGGTAGCGGGTGTAGACGTGACGACAGGCACGCCCTGTACGACAGATCTGCCAAGGCCAAAGCCGCCGCTAGCTGCGGCGCCGATGGCAGGGTACGGCCCGATGGCATACGACGCGCCTTGGTAGACCGGCGTGGCCGGAGATGATGCCGGCACCCCCTCCGCCACCTTCACAGGCGTTCCCATGGGCGTTCCTAGCACCGGCTCTTGCTGCCCCGCGTCCTCCTTTGCGTTGACCAGCTGTTGTTGCTGCTGCTGCCGACGCTGCTGCTGCAGCTGAGACTGCTGCTGATGCTCCTGCTCGACCTCTTCAAGCAGTTCCTCCCATGCAGCAGCAGCCCTCGGGGCCCTCCTGGTTTGCGACGCGGGCGTGGATGCTGCAGTTGAAGCGGTTGCCGCTGCGGGAGAGCGAGGTGAACGTGCGGAGCGAGAGGATGCAGCGGAGGTGATTTCCGTCAGCGGTGGCACGCGTGGAAAGCGCTGCTGCTGCGACTGCGGTTGCTGCTGCGGCTGTTGCTGACGTGGCATGAATGAGGTTGATGAGTACGGCGGCGGTTGCTGCAAGTACGATGGCTGCTGCGGGGGCGACAGCGGCTTTGCAGCCCCCCATGGCTGCTGTTCAGCTGCCGCAACCTCCTCCTCCTCCTCGTCGTCTGCCGGGATGCTGTCTGCAGCCACCGTGATCTCATCCAACGCTTCCTCCGCCTCCGCCTCCTCAGCCGCTTCTTGCTGCTCCCGACCCAGGAAACCGGAGAAGCTAGGAGCGCTAGCGCCGGGGCCAGCGGCGGCGCCGCCGTCGCTGACAACGGCCATGTTGCGTCCTCCGCCAACGCCGTTGACGGCTACGTCGGCGTCGACGTCAGCCTGGATTTCGTACAGCATTCCGTCGTCAGCGCCATCATCTCCGTCGCCGCTGTCGCTGGTGAAGCCCGACGTGAGGTCCGCAATGGCCTGGTCGGCTGCATCCATGGCAGCTTGGACCTGCGGCAGGAAGGGTACCACCGGAACAAGGGGGGCATGCGATACACATCAGCTGGTGAGCTAGGCGGATCCAGCAGTCCAGCGGGGTGTTTGGGCATGCACCGTACAGTAGTAGGCGTACGCTTTCACTCTCTTACTTATTCCCGCATCCCTGTACAGACTTTGCAAGGTCAGAGCACAGAGGTAGGCCTCAACAATGCCCATGTTGGTTGCATTTACAAGGCCAGGCCCGGCAACACCCTTCGCAAGCCGTTCCTCACCTGATCCACATAGCCACCGATGTCCATCTGCCGGCCGTACCCGTCCGACGAGGCCGCGCTGCCTCCGCTGCCCCTAGCCCGTGCGTCAACCTCAAACGCCGCCATAGCTTCTGCTGCCGCCGTAGCGGCTGCAGCAGCTGCCACATGCGCCGCGGCTGCAGCTTCCGCTGCCTCCGCTGCCGCTACCGCTTCTTCAGCGGCAACAGCAGCTTTAGCCGCCTCTTGCTCCTGAAAGGCCCGATCATAGTTAAAGCCGCCGCTGCCGTACGTGCTACTGCCGTACGAGCCTTGACGGCTGGCACTTTCGCTAGCTGCTACGCTGCCGCTGCTCGCTGATGCACTACCGCTGCCTGGGGATTTGACACGCGGAGGGTCGACGAAGGAGCTGCTAAGCATCACGGGCGGCGGCGGAGCGTACGACACAGAGGGTGGGCTGTACGGCGAACGGACGCTAGCGCTGCTGCTGACGCTAGCGTTGCCGCTACCGGCGCCGCTACCGCCGCTGCCACTGGCGGCACCGACGCCGGCGGCAACGGCTTGGCGGGCGCTCGCCAGCAGGGCTTCCGCCGTTACAACGGCGGGTGCTCTGGCGTTAACGGAGTCAGTAGCGCGGTCAGCAGCAGAAGCCGCGGGAGCAACTGCCGCGGCGGTGCTAGGCTGGTTGAAGTGCACTCGCCGACTCGAGGAGGCGCCGGCGCTGCCGCTGATGCTTGCGGCAACGCGACTGCCGGCGCTGCCGCTGCCACCGGCGGGGGCGCCACCGGCGGACGACCATGCGACGTCTCGGGCGGTTGCGGCGGCCACTCGGTGCGTGAGGCTGGGGTCGATGTCGTTGGGGCTGGGGGTGCGTTCCAGGAGGAGCTTGCAGATGCGGATCATGCCACGGAGTTCATTCCTGAGGTAGTCATTCTCGCGGCTGGGGTGGAGATAGGAGAAGACAGAAGAGGGAAGGACATGCGTGTGAGAGGGTGTTGTAGTATTTGCTTCCGAGTTTTGCCTCTTTCGATCGCATGTGGATAAAGGAGCGCACCGGGAATGGCCGAGCCCCGGAATGTGCCACAAGGTGCGCTTCACCATGCAATAGTGCCTGACTGATAGGGCACAGGGCAGGACGCTACGACAAGCATGTGGTAACCCCACTGGTGCCGGCAGGGCTATAAGGCTATTCGCTTACATGGCGACACCAGACGGGCTCAGAGCAGCTGACCTGTACACGTGCAAGTCGCGTTGGTTTGCTTCTGAGGTCGCCAGCTTGCCAGCTTGGCGGCTCAACTCCAGCAGCATCGCTTCCTCCTTAAGGCCGGCTGACAGGGCGGCAGCCTCCTTCGACCAGTGCGCAACATTCTCCGCGAGCACTTGTAAGTCGCCTTGTGTATGGTCAATCTGAGTAAGGAGGCAAGGACATTTGATGTGGGTTATCAGTCCTCTATATATTTATAATGTCGACGCCCGGTTCGGGAATGCACTTTTGCAGTTAACCGGACTAGCGGTTGTTTGTCGCGGCCATCGGGAACGGGAACTGAAGGGAGCTTCAGGACAACATAGGGAGCGCCCATGTTCGACTTACCCTTGCGAGGATGTCCTGTAGTGCCTGTCGTTGTGTTGCTGCTCTTTCTTTGCCAGTTTTGCGCCTGGGCGATGCACTCCGCGCTCGGCGCACTGAGGCCGACGCTCCGCTCGGGTAGGGATACTTCCGGAGGGAACCTTTCCATGATTCGTCCGGATATATGGTGTTGTTCCCGCGGTAGCCGGAGTAAGGAGAGCCTAGCGTCCTTCCTACCGACGAAGCGAATGGCCAACCCCTACTAGATAATGTCATATTGTATAATTTACTAATGTTGTGGCTCAGGAAACATTTTGAAATTGACAAGTTATGTCTCTCGTTACTTGCAAGGCGGTTACCAAGTAGGCTTTGGGTAAAATGTGGATGGGGTTAGACTTGCAGTGCAAACCTCTATCGGATACCATCAGACTACGTGTTAGGGTCAGCTGGGCAGCAGGGATAGCCTTAACCCAGATTGCTAATGGTATTGTACGGCTGTTTGGCTTCTCAGTCGTCGCTCCATGCTGAGTCCATGCTGCGGAAGAAGCATCTCAACATAATTGAAGACGATTTTAGTTTGTATGCACTCAGCGTGACCGCTGTGTTGGCTAGACCTCTTTGAAGCGTGTCGCCATGCTCTTACTATTAAGACCTTGACCGTGCCACCTGTAAATAATACACTAGAAGGGTTATCCGTCGTTATATACCTGTCATAAAAACCGGTCCAGGTAGCTTTACTCAACAAACACCTTTTGTTTGACTGCATCAACAGCCGGCTTGGTGATACGGTATTCCGGCCTCACGCAACAGCTCCCTACAAGATCTTACAGTATGATTAGTAAAGCAGTAATGGGGCGGTGTCCATCCACGGTTCGATGCAGCTTGCGCTAGGCATGCGCGCAGCCCTAGCATGGTAACACCGAACAAGTACGACATAGCGTCCGCAGCGTTGCTGGAACACGTACAGCGTAAGGTATCAGACATGCGTGACGGGACAGCCAGGGTGATGCGCCAAGCCCGCGGCACCGGCATCGAGGCTGAACACAGGTCACATCAAGCTGCGGGCGCCAAACAAATCTCAGATGTTAGCGCGCTCGCTGTTGGCCTCCTCACCGTACCGAGTACAACCACCGACGACGACAAAGGTGGGAAGTCCTCGGCAAGGCAGTACCGGCCAGTACTCAGCGACGCCCATCGTGCCATCTTGCTTGAGCGCCGGCTATCGGAACAAATCAGGTTGGAACGAGACAGAGCCTCACGCTCCCTCAGTGCCCGTAAGGGGCAGTCGCCGAGCAGCATCACCCGTCACCCCAGCCCCCGCGCAGCATCGCCAGCCTCTCGGGGTCTCTCAAACAGGACAGATATCCTGACTAGCAGCCGCCACCGTCAAGCCGGCCACGCCAGCGGCCGCGGCGGCGCCAGGACTGGTGACGGTAGCGGCAGTACTGACAGCAGCAGCGATTGGGAGGCTGGGGTGGCCGCTCAACGGGCTGTCTCCATCTCCAATTCCATGCTAGCAGCACGCAACCGCCAAGGGGGTCCAGACAGTCCGGCCACTGCCATTGCAGGTGCATCCCGCACGCCTCAGGCTCTCCATAAGGCACCATCAGCGTCACCAGCCAACGCAGGTGGCACCCGGCATGTAGGTCTTCTGGGGCTGGGGCTGCTCACAAACGGAGCTGGTGCCGATAACACCAAGAAATCGCTAACACCCCGCGGTGGTAGTCCCTCTATCGTCACCATGGCCTTGAACTCACCAGCGCTCCAGGCACTTGACCGTGCCCTGCACAGCCGCGAGCTCCGACGGCGGTCCCAATCAGCCGGCGGCGCAAGCACAGCGGCGGCTCCGCAGTCGCCACGCAGTAGGGCCCGCGGGGAGGCCGACAGCGCTCGGCAGCGGGAGTCAGAGGACAGCAGCGACAGCGACGATGCCGGTCTGGGTAACCTGAAGGCGGCGGATCTGAAGCGCGCGGTCAACATGTCGCGGTTGGGTCGGCTTGCAGAAGGGGAGCGTGCCGTACAAAACACCCCGAGGCAGCCGGCTGCTTCGGGTTCCCTCACGCGCGGGGCCCCCGCGCCTCTCCGCTCCGCTGCCCGTGCGGAGAAGCAGGTCGATCGCCTAACTGCTGCCATGGTTCCCATCCCTGACAGTGGCAGCGGCAGCGTAACTGCCCGAAGGAATAAAGCGCATGGCAGCAGTCCTGGCAGGGGGTCGGTCCCAGTGACTGGCCGTAGCCGTGCCGCCAGCCCAACCACTAGCAGCTCAAGCAGCGATGGCATCCTGTTCGTACAACGACCGCAGCAGCAGCACCCGCAGCAGCGAGTGCGTGGCGGCGCGGCAGGTGGCGGCAACGGCGGTCAGGGCAGCAGCAACCGAGGCCACAGCAGCCATCAAGCCAAGCTGGCGGTCGCAGCTGCTGCCATGCGAGGCGAGCTTGCTAAGAAGGGAGTATCGCCGGCAGCCCCTAGCAGCGGCGGCAGGCAAGGGAACCGTTTGCGGATTCCCAAGCAGGGGCTGGTACTACCGGACAGCGGTGCCCACGACAGCACTTCGTCTTCGGAGTTCGAAGACGCTTACGCTGCGGCCTTCGTCGCTCGTGGGTTGCATGGGGTGAACCAGCGGCACCCGACAAGAAGCGGCATCGCCACAGCGCCCTCCACGACACGGCCTTCCGGCGGTCGCTACATCAGCAGCCACAACCACAGCCGCAGCCCCATGCCGCTTCACCCTGACAGGCACAGCGACGGGGGCGCATCCAGTGCTTTCGATGCTATGATTTCAGGCGCACAACAGCTGCAGAATCATCTGGAGAAAGCGCAGAAGTCGCTGCAAAGGCTGCACCTCCAAGCGCATGGGGCTCAAGGCGGCCAGTCAGGCAGGCAGCCGGAAGCCGCCACCGCGCCAGCGCATGAGGGAGAGCCGCCGCTGGCGCAATGGCATGAAAAGCATCTGGATCCGGAATCCGAACGTTGGGCGATCCGACATGAGGTGAAACCGGAATCGCTGGGTGCGGACACCGGTACGTCAAGTGGTAAGGGTAGACAGCTGTCGCCGGCGGTGGCGCGGCCCTCGCGCGGCGAGCGAGGCGGTGTTCAATCGCCAACAGTGCAGGAAACTAGCCGCCGGAGCACCCCGAGGCGGCGCATGGGTTGGGATCGCAGCAATGATGAACTATCCAACGAATCGGACGGTGATGGTCCTGATAACAACCACATGGCCTCCTGGGTGCTTGAGACGCCTGCAGCAGCACCCCCAGCGTCCCGGGGAAGTCCCGCTGCGGCTGCAGACGGCGCCGGAGCAGCTGCCCATGCGGCCACTGTGACAACCCCGCGCCGTGACGGCCGCCGCTCCCCGTCCGCGGCGACCCCACGTCGCGATACTGCGGCTGCATCCTCGCATGACGGCAGCGATAGCGGTAGCGATACAAAGGTGGCGTCACATGGGACCGGTAAGAGCCCGAAGCGGCCCGGCCGCAGCCAGACTGGCAGCATGCAGCCTTCTACGCTGCTGACGGTGCTGCAGCGGCTGCACCAACACCACCCTGAGCTGTTGGAATCCAAAAGGCACATGCGGCGTTTGGAGCGGCTGCTGCGGGGGTTATCAGAGGAGGGACTGGCCGATGCGGAGGCAGGGCAGTTGCTGCGGGAGGTAACGGCCGGCGTGCACCGCCGCGAGCATGCTGGTGATGATATCGGCAACGGGGGTATTGCCGGTGACGGCCGTGGTGGAAGCAACGATGCGGAAGGAGTGGCTGTGGCGCCGGGAACAGTGGCCATTGGAGGCAGTCGCCGGAGGCAAAAGCACCGGTCGCATGATAACCTCACGCGCCAGCAACCGGATGGCAATGCTACGGCTGCCGGTGTTGTCTCTCAAGCGGACAGCGGCTTCCGTAGCAAAACCCGAGACGTCGGGTTTGACAGCAATGGGGCTAGCGATAGCAGCAGTAGCAGTCAGGGCTCTGGTGATGCCGCTGAGCAGCTGGCCTCCCTGGTGCGGTCAGCGGTGCGAGGCCGGCGGGAAGAGCCAGCTATGGCTGCCGCAGCGGCGGCTGCAGCGCTGGAGGTTAAGCAACAGGCCAAGGTGCGATAGCGGTAGCTGTGACAGAGTGGCTGGACGCACCTTGACGCCTTCTCTGTGATCCATGCATGAATGCACGCTCTGCTTCAAACCCTGCGCCGGTATTCGGCATGGGCCGCATGGCTAACCACGATCCCACGAATGCCCCCCACCCTCCACCGTCCCACTTTTGCTGCTGTTATCAGGCCCTGCGGCGGGCGTTGCGGCGGGCCAACGAGGAACTCGATGATGCGGTGCATGACCGGCGGCGGCTGAGTGAGCGGTTGGCGCAGCTGGAGGGTGGCACGGCGCAGCTTATGCAGGTGCGGGTGTGCAGGGTCGTTACGAGAACGAGCCACGCGTGTTGGGCCCCCTAGGGGCCCGTTGCTGGGGAGTGGGGTTGCGGGGCAGGCCGTTGTGTGGACGGCAGGTGCCATCACCTACGTGGGGTAGGGGGACTGTGATGACAATGGTTAAGGGGGACCCCTGGGTCATAGGGGAACACCTGGGAGCATGGTTAAGTTCCTTACCTGCCGGAATGCCCCCAACCTGCCGTGTCAGGCTCACTTGGTCGGCTTGATGGGTAACGCAGCGGCGCGGATAGTCGCCGGCAGCAGCGGCGGCGGCAATAGCGCCGAAAACGGCTGGGGTGGCAGCGGCGGTGGCGGAGGCGGCAACACCGGCGGAGGCGCCGGTGGGGCTATGAGCAGCGGCGAGCTAAGCTTCAACAACGCCATGGGCCCGGGATTTGCGGGCACGGGCGCTGCATGGCTCGGAAACGCTATTCCCGCGCATCATGTTGCAGCCACAGCCGCAGTGCATCCTCCCACTGCACCCTCAACAAGTCCCTCTGCTCCGCCATCGCCCATGGCACCGATGCCCGGTACCTGGTCTGTGCCCCCGGGTGCAGCACCGAGCAGGGCTCATGGCGCGTCTGGGCTGCCCCGTGACACCAGCCATGGAGTGCATGTGGCCGGTAACCAGCAGGGGCAGGGGCGGCTGGGTCCCAGCGAAGTCAACGCGTCCATGCGGCCTGAAAGCGGCGGCGGGCATATCGGCGATGTGGCCAGTTTAGTCGCCCCAGGCAGCAACCCGCCAGCGGCATCTGCTGCTCCTGCTGTCGTACATGAGCAGAACGCGCACGTGTACATGCAACACGCTCAGCCCGACAACGTGTGGGCCAGCAGACCCGGAATTCCTGCGCATGAGGTGTTCCCAGGGAGCAGAGCCCAGGAGCAGCCTGTCCTGCTCGACCACCCGGCTTCCCAACACCGACACGCCTCCCTTGAACAAGGGCACCAGGGGCCGAGTTCTTGGGGTCGAGGTGCATCAGAGGACCTGCCGGCCTCCCCTAAGCACCCAAGTTACCTAGGAAGCTGCTCGTCACAGGACCTCCCGCCCTCCTCCCCCAAACCGCCAGCGTCCCAGGACCGGCGCGCCTCCGCTGACCAGCCCAGCTCCCGGCACCGCCGTACACCGGATGACGTGTCGCATCCCCTAGAGAGCCGAGCATCCCAAAACCAGCCCTCTTCTCGGGACCGCCATCCGCCCAGCGACGCATCGGGATCCTTCCTGGGCCGGTCAGACCCCCGTCGGGACCCCGGCACGTCCGGTCAGAAGTGGCCCGCCCACCTAGAGCGTCCACCACCTACCGGAGACCGGCGTGCGTCCCGTGACGTCATGCCCTCAGCCACTGGGAAGGAGCAGCCACCGGTTGACCTGATCGGCTTTCCGGGACAGCGGCCCCCAGGCGGCGAACCTCCCCCTCAAACAACCCTGACAGGAAGCCGAGCAGCCGCTGGCATGCATGTACCTGAGGCTCCACATCCACCAGCCGCCGACTCCGCCTTCCGCTTCCAGCCAGCCGGTGCAGACATGCTGCAGGCTGCGCCCAGGGGAGCTCCGCCAGGCGCCGGCAGCACCGTTGCCCCTCCTCACCGAACGTTGGAAGGTGCTCTCGGTGAGCTACTGGGCTTCAGGACAGACCCTTCGCAGCGTTCGGGAACAGCGTCCGGCGACTCTCAAGTCACTCCTGCCGCCGCCCATGCAAGTGCCCCGCCGTTAGGTCGTCCCATGGATGCTGGAAGCCGAGTCAGCAGGCAGTTAGGGCCGCATGCCGAGATTTTTGGCGGCGACACCCATGCTGGTACCTGTAGCCACCGCGCTGCTCCGGCACCACCACCACTGCTGCAGCGGGAGCAGCAGTCCCAACAGCAGCGCCATGCCTCATCGGACGGTAGCAGCCACGGCACGCGTACGACAGGCTCCTCAGCACCTCGGAGCTTGTCTGGTGGCGCCGCCGCGGCCGCACTTCTTGCGGACCTGGAAACCCAGGCGGACGCCCTGCTTGAACGCCGACGGCGCCGCCGAGCTGCTAGGGAAGGCGCCCAACCGGGACCGCCTGGCGGCCCCGCTACGGGTAGTACGGGTCCCAGCAGCAGTGCTGCTGCTGCTGCAGCACCTCCAGCACCAGCACCAGCCGCTTGGGACAGCCTTTCCGGCACGTCGGGCAGTTCCCATTCGTTAAGAGGGGTTACTGTCGCCGAGGCACCACCGGCCGCCAGGTCAGCACCGGTGCCCGCGGTTGCTCCTTTGACGATGTCGGACCTGCTGACGCAGCTAGGGACGGCCGGCAGCCGACGAGGCAGCCGAGACCGGGACCACGTGGGCGATTGGGGTGCTGGGGGTGCTGCTGCCGTGCAGCGTGAAGGAGTCTCCGCTGCAGCCATTCTGCCGCTGCTGTCCTCTTGCTGCTCATTGGTAGCTGAGTCCTCGGGGTTTGATTCGCGGCCGGCTGCTGCAGTGCGAAGTGCCTCGGCCGGGAGCGCGGCTGCGGCAGCGGCGCTAGGCGCTTCGTCGCCACGGCAGGCGCCGACGGCTGGCGGCATGCAAACCAGGGTGCCGATGATGCTAGACAGGGGCGCTTCTGCGTCCTTGGCTGGGCCGTCCGGCTGGCGGCGTGGAGGTGTGGACCCTGATGGTGCCGGAGAGGAGACGGAGGTAGCGAGGCAGGAGGAAGACGGTACGGAGGAGGAAGTAGAAGTGACGGTTGGCAGCTTTGGTGAGGAGGAGGAGGAGGAAGGCGAGAACGGCGGGGTGCATGAGCTACCGGTGCTGTCACCCGGTCGTACCCAGCTGGAGCGTGGGTCCTTCCATTCCTCCGCCGGTGCTGCTGCGGTATTTCAAAGCGATGTCAATGGTGGTGCCCGCGGCGGCGACAGGCATCCACGCGGCGGCGACGGTGGCGGTCGAGGCGAGCCTCTGACGCCGCGGCGGCGCGGGGCGAGGCTCGTGGAGCTCACTCGGCAGTTAGGAGCCCGACTGGGAGCCCAGGCTGCAGCGCTGGCGGCGGAGGCGGAGGCAGAGGAGCTGCATGTGCTGAGACAACATGACGGCGGCGGAGGTGCGGGTGCAGGTGCAGGACGTCCTGTTGGAGGAGCGGCATCACGGTTGGCGCATTCGGCCGGCAGTGGGCGCGGCGGACCCGCTGGTGGTGGTGGTGGAGGTGGAGCCGGAGACGTGGGGCGAGGAGGAGGGGTTGGCGACAGGGCGGTGTTGCGGCAGCGTTGCTTGGAGCTGGAGTCACAGTTGGAGGTACGCGGCTGTGGTGCGCGGGAGATCTGTAAGGGCATGTGAGGGTGCGGAAATATAACAAAACGCTGGTCGTCCCAGTTCCTCCATGCCTTTGCCTAGGCAGGGTGCCGGGTTCGTGTTACCGGTATCCATGTCACAAACTCCCAACTGGTTTTCCAGGCTTCACTCTCACGCCTCGTCTCTCATTGCTCCGTGTGCCTTGTGCTGCACCCCGCTCAGGCCCAAGCGGAGGAGCTGCAGCGGCTGCTGACCGCAGCAGCGGCGTCCCTTTCCGCCGGAACATCCCCTCAACAGCAACCCCGTCATGGTGCACCGCCACGACACCACCGTACCGAACAGCAGAGGCAGCAGCAGAGCGAGCTGCTTGCCTCCCGGTGTCGTGTCCTTGAGCGGCATCTCATGGCGGTGCATGAGGAGATGGACACCTTGTTGGTTCGTACACGTGGCATCAAGGTACGGCAGGACAGGGTACTGCATGAGACGGTGCGTGTACGGCAGTGCGAGGATTGATGACTGGCAGGTGATTGGAGGATGCTTATGATGCTAGGGTCATGCTTGGTTGGCTACGATAGTTTGAAGGTGCGAGATGGGTTTACGAAGTACCGTAATACCGGTAGCGGGACAGGCGTGCAATATGCTTTCCTATCCTAAATCCCTTCGGAGCTCTTCATCATGTTGTTATTAATGAACCATGCAGGCTGCAGTGTCTGACGGCGCCGCCAACATTCGAGAGCACCTTGTGCAGCTGGGCTCGAGGATGGACGGTCTGGAAGAAGAAAATCAGCAGTTGAGATCGGTTGTACGGCAATCGTATGAATCCATCGACAGGGCTGCGGCACTGTCGGGACAGATCTCGGAGCTACAAGGCCAGGTGGGAAGAGTACGGTAGCAAGGTTGTGACAACGACGCAAAAGAGCAGTCCAAGCAACCGTGAAGGGCGAGCCCTCACCTGCATGCCCTCCTACTTTTGTTCCTTGCCTCTTTCCGCATGGCCCCTACATGCCGAGCCTCCTCGCCCGTCGCACACCCTAGCAGTGCCATCCCGGTTTCCTTTTGCCTCCGCCCTCGCCCAGGTTGACTTGCTAACCCTCGACAAACAGGAACTGGAGGCAGGTGGAGGGCGGGGTTGGGACGGGTAGGAGGGCGACAGAGAAGAAGCACAAGTGTGGTGCGGCAAGTATCCTTGGACCTGGGCTTCGGGACCGGTCACATGTGCATACCATCCCATACCCCCAAGCCAGCCCGTGTACTCTACTTGGGAACTACTGTAACGGCGCCTCTTTCATTAACGGTACTTGAACCCTGGCCCACTGTGCATTGTCCACTGTCCACCGCCCTACCCGCAGCTCCAACTGGAGCTAGCCAAGCTGGACAGCGCTCGCAGCTCCTCCAGGGGGGGCGCGGCGGCCGAGGCGAATGCGGAGCGGCAGCAGCTGCAGGAGCGACTTGCGGTGCGTTGGGATGAAAAGGAAAATCCCAAGGTGTTGGGGGGGTTGCGGTGCGTTGGGGGAGGGGGGAGGAAGAAACCAGCCGTGTGACAAGGCTAGGCAGAGGAAAGGGCGTTGGGGAAAAGGAGGCAGGGAGGCAAGGCCCACAGCCCCGCAGCGCATGCGCATGGGTGGTGGCAGCATCATGGAGCTTCTCCCTCTCAGGGAGCTCTCTATTTTACCGCCGCATTCCGGATAGCGCCGCATGCGCATAGGCAAGAAACATAGTAGGGGTACAGGGCACATGCCGGTACTTCCCACCCAACGGCCTAACATGGGTGTTGTCCCTTCCCCCATGCCCCCCATGCCCTGCCACCGCAGGAGCTCACCGCCCATGTGGCCGACCTGTTGCGAGGCAAGGCCCAGCTAGAGGCGGAGGCGCAGCGGCTGCAGACAGAGGCCAACGCCGCCAAGGCAGCAACCAGCAGCAGCGCTGCCGCCGGCGGAGGCGGAGGAGGAGCTTATGGGTCCGCCGTCACTGCCTCGGCCGCCACCACACCCCTAACCGTGCCGCGTGGGCAACGCCTCCCGGTGCCGCAGTCTCCTAGGGGCAGCACCGCTGCCGTCGCCGCCGCCGGTGCTGCTACTGCCGCAGCCGCCTCCACATCCGCCGCCGGTATGAGGACAGCGGGGCAGGCCACTGCGCGCTCGTTCTCTGGTGGAGTCGCTTCGTATGCTGGTGCGGGCCCGGCGCCCATAGCAACGCAACTGAGAGGCGGCGGAAACAGTAGCAGTGGGGGCGGTAGCGGCGGCGGGAGTGGAAGCGGTCGGGGCAGTAGCGGTGGCAGCGATTCGGACGGGTTACTGCTGGCCCGGATGTCTCAGCTTCAGCGGCAGGTTCTCAAGCTGAGGGCAGAGAACGAGGACCTCCGCATTCAAGCCGTGTCGAGTGCCAGAAGCAGCAGCCCGAGGGTGCGTGGGTTGGGTTGGACTGCTTTCTAACAAGTGCGCTGTACCGGTAGGCTACATGCATGCATGCATGGGTATGTACTGTATGTGCCTACTTGTGGTGGACTGGGGAAGGCTGGGAGAGACTGAGGGGTGCCGCCGCTGCGCTGCCTTCCCGTGCAGGCTGGCCCCTCAAACCTCCGAGAATTGCAGGTGGGTGAGAGCGCGAGGGCTGCGCTGCTAGGTGCAATGCGTATCGTTGTTCCCGAAAAGACGGATGACATCCTATGGCAGGCCGCAGCCAGTCCAGGCTTCTATCCAGCATCAGCCTTGTCAGGATGCGGCAGCGGCATCCTGACACGTCTGCATGGTCTGCATGTCCGCAATTGCGTGTGCACCGCCCAGCACGGGAAAGGGGCCCAACCACGTAGCGGCGAGTTCAGGCCAGCGGTGCCGTACGGAAAGCCATGGCAAGAAATGTAAGCACATAAGCCCCTTTCGCCATGCGCAGGCTGAGATGGGGAGCTATGACCGGCAGGTGGTGGTGGAGCGGTGGGTGCACAGCCACGTAAATGCAGGAATGCAGGTGAGGCTGTTAGGACCTGCTAGGACCTGCTAGGACCTAATAGGCCTGGGGTATGCTTCTCCGTGTGTCAAAGCCTCCCGCAAACACCCCAAGCACTACTTGTATCAAACCTTGACGCCCATGTTGTTGTTGCTGCTACCGTCCAGGCGCAGACGGGGGATCCTACCTTGTTAACGCTCCAAGCCAACGCTCAGCAGCAGCAGCAGCGGCAGTTGTCGCCCCGCCAAGGGCAGCAGCAACAGCAGCGGCAACCGCTACAGCAACAAGTTGCCGCCACGGGGGCAGGAACAACAGCCATGAACCGGCAACCCGTATACCATCCCCAACCACGACAGCAGCAGCAGCAGCAGCAACATCCCAGTGTCAACATTGCTTCGGGCTACGCTCGAGCAGCGCCAGTGCCGTCACCCTCACCTGCACCTAGACATGCGCCGTCACCCTCGTCGGCAAGGGAATACCGCGTTAACTTCAGCGTGGAGTCAGTGGGGCGGTCGACCGGAGCTGCGACTGCATCCGCGGCGACAGCTGCAGCGTCGTCTCCAAGGCGCGCCTCCCCGAGGTCTGCCTCCCCGGTTGCTGGTCGCATGAGCGCCACCCTAATGCCAGGCGGTCAATACAGGTGCGTGTGTTAAGTCCTAGAAGATGCTTAGAAGCTGTGGCATATACCATGCATGTCGTCTTGTCGGTAAGGCCAACTAAAAGGCACGTGCATGTAGCACATGGATGCTGGGAGGGTGAGGCGCCAATTCATGCTGCCGCCACCATTGGTTCTGCTGGCCGCAGGCACCGGTGAGGCAGACCCGGAGATTGAGGAGGTCCAGGCGAGGACATTCTGCAGCTGATGCCGTACTTGACTGGAAGCTGGCGGCTGCAGGGGCATTTGCTGGCGAGAAGACGCAACGTCGGTACGCCCATCATGTGGTCTCCTCGCCTCTGCGCCCATGCCGGAGCCCAGCAAGGGCCCACGTGGCATGGGCTGATCATGCTGCGCTTGGCCCGTGGAATGCAGCCATGCGTTCTGGAAGGAAGGGCATGTGGAAACGTGGGTGCGCATGTGGATGGTGCATGCAAAAATGCACGGCGGTTACAAGAGGCTTGGTATATGCGCTCGTGTCGTACATATGTTCTCTAGCGAAGCAAGCGCTCACGTACAGAGAATGGCCTGGCGTGGTCCTTACAGTGCGTAGAAGTAGCATGAAGTCTCCTCTGTGTCAGAGCCCCCAGGCTTCCGGAGTTAGGTAGCACTGCCAGGGCATGGCTGGTACACTGCGCATGTAGACTGCATTGGCCTTTAATGGCGGGATGGCAAGCTCAATGTGTTTTTAGCATGTTACCGTGAAGACTTTGTAGGGGAAATGCTACATATCCTGGTAAAGTGTTTCCAATCATGCTAAGCCAAGACTTGCGGCTTTTCACATTGGGCGGGTTTATCCCGTGTCTCCGGCTTAAATTCAGCTGGCTAGCACTCATGCATGAAACAAAACACATCTTCAGGGTAGTTGCGGTTGCATGCCTACAACACATGCTTGGGGCTGCCAAGGGCTGCCCAGGCCCCAATTTCGCGCCAGCCGGCTTCCATTGGACTCATCTATGCCACCCTACCGGTATTCTATCTCATGCGCTGGAGCGATCCGCCCAGGCCTTCGCATGTACCGGTTCAACCATAGCCGCAAGCTACCGGTACCATGGCAACACTGTGCAACGTTGTATTCCGTCCAGATGATAATGCATTCCCGCCAGGTCTTGCCCGCCTGTGGCCTTTCCAACACACAAGTCAAGCAAGAGCCCAACTCAACCGCCATGCAAATTGACATGCACGCTCCAGAGAAGACTGCATTCCGGCAGCTTAGAAGTCGTCCCCCTCGCCATCCGCTCCAATACCATAGTCAATCTCATCACCACCGACCAAGTCAGCGTCGTCGTAATCTAGTACGCCTCCATCTCCATCGCCGTCAGCATGGCGTGTGGACGTGTCCTTTCGCTCCAGCCCGCCGCTGCCGCTGTGCCCTTGCGCCGCCGCTGTCGTCTTGGGCTTCATCGCATCGTGCTCCGAACCCTCAGCATCCAGGCCGTACGAATGCTGGATGCCAGCCCCGGCGGCGCCGCCCGCGGACCCATTGGCAGCGGCGGAGCTGCCTCCGCCGCTGCTGTACCCTGCCGCCATACCGCGGCTGCCGCCGCCGCCGCCGCCGTACCTGTCGGCGGCGCCGCCAGCCCGGAGGCTCCCCGCCAGCCGATCCGTGGGCGACATCTGCGAGCGAATACTTGCATTGAGTATCCCGCTGCCGCCGCCGCCTGGGTTGCCGACAGCACCGGTGTTGGCGCTGGCGGCGCCGCCCACCTGCCGAGGCGTCGAGCTAGCTTGCTGGCTGCCGCCACCGCCGCCTCCGTTATCTTCGTACGGGTCGTAGGCATCATCATCATCACCAGCAGAAGCAGGAGCAGCTCTATCTCCCAGCTCCTCACCATCGTCCCTCTGCATCAGCGGAGACCGTCCACTGGACTTTGATAGGCGGCTCTTAGCCACCAGGGAGGCAGCCGGACGGAACGATGGCGGCGGCAGCAACAACCCCACGCCGCCGTCCTCACTCGTCTCGGCCCCCAATCCATACTCCTGCTGGCTGCCGCCGCTGCTGCGCCTGCCTGCTGATGCTGCCGCGGCAGCGGCGACGGCAGCAGGACCGCTGCTAGGGTTGTCCCGTAGGGCGTCTCCAAAGGATGTGAACAGCGCCGGACCGCTGGCGCTTGCATCAGCAGCAACAGGGACCCCTCCCATGCCGCTGCGTCGTAGGTGTTGACTGGTACGCGAAGCAGCCGGGCTGTCAGCTTCCTCACTGTACGGTTCGTAACCCACATCGCCGTACCCGCCGCTGCCGCCGACACCACCACCAGGACCGTAGCTTGCACTTGATAGCCGAGACGCCGTGGGAGGCCGGGCGGACCCAGGTCTTGATTGCGACTGAGATTGTGATGACTGTGACTGTAACAGCTCTGGCGGCGACGGCGACGGCTGCGGCGGCAAATCCGCGAATGGAGGCGGATCTAGCAGTGGCGAGGCAAGACGCGGCATGTCGGCTGCGCTGCTGCGACTTAGTAACGTCGCCGCAGTCGTCGGCCGCGACGGCGGAACCGATCCCGCCATGACCATGTCATCATCGTCCACGTGGCCTTCTTCATGACGTGGATCACTCAAGCCGTATGGCCCGTCGTACATGGAACCCGCGGCCGCAGCGCCGCCGCCGCTGCTCCCGCTCGCAGCTGTGTGGTGGCTGCTGATGCCGTCTTGGTCCAGGAAGCTCAGTACCTCTGCCGGTCTGCCGCCGCCCACGGCAGGCGAGGAAAGCAGTGCGGCAGGCCGGTCCTCGTGCGTCACTGACTCATCCAAATCGTACGGGTTAAAGCCGCCGCCGCCGCTCTCGCTGGCAGCGCCGCCGCCGTCGCCACGAAGGCCTCGTGGCGGAGATGGTCGCCGGTCCGGCAACAGCGGCGGCGGCTGGATATCGAACCCTCGGTCATCTTCAAGACGACGGCGCCGCATCAGGCTATCGGGTTCGCGGGCTGGCGCGGGTTGCAGATCCGACATGAGCCCGTAACCGCCCTCAGTCCCTGCTGGCTCATCTTCCATACGCCGAGGTAACGGCGCCGTTGGCCTGGTGCCGCGTATCTTGTCCAACCCAAAGCCCGTCTCCTCCGCCTCTGCAACCGCCCGGGCGTCTAGCAGATAGGGATCCCTGCCAGCATCGCGGCCATCGTAACCGCGCACGTCGGCAGGCGGGGCGAACCGGCTAGGGCCCCTAGGTTGCTGCCGCGGCGGTGAGGGCGACTGCCTCGGCGGTGGCGGTGGCGGCAATGCCGGTGGCGGGGACTTCTTAAGCGTCGGGCTGGCCTGTGGTGCAACGGCGCCGTACAGTTCAGGGTAATCGTCGTCGTACAAACCGCTTTCAACGGTGCCGCCGCCGCCAATGCCGTACATGCCGGCGACTTCCTGCTCGTGTTGCTGATCTGCTGCTGCCGCAAACTGTCGTGATCCTGGACCGTGCGAGGGTGAGGGTCGACGAGTTCTCCCTCCAGGCTGACCCATGGATCTTCCAGGACTCACCGTTGTTGCATTGCTGGCGTGTTGACGCGGCGGCGACGCTCGCCTGGGCCCCGCAGCGCCGCTGGCTTCCCTACCGTACAGTTCCTCACTCCAGCCGGGATCATCGTACGGCAAATTAGGATCGTACGGCTGCGCTCCGTCAATGGGACCGTACAAGGGTTCAGACTGAGCGTTTGCTGGGCCTGTCGGGTAGCGGAACTGACGCTGGTACGACAGGCCTGCAGCGGCAGCACCGCCGCCGCCGCCACCCACGCCGCCATGAACAGACGGGTGGATCGGCGGCAATGTTCCATTCGCGGATACGGGACCTCCAAACCCAGCAGCGAAGACTACCTCACGACCAACAGCCACCAGCTCCCCCGCTGCGTGCTGTACGGCAGCAGCAGCGTCTGTGTACGGCAAGCGTAGCCGCATGGGCAGCACTCGTAGCAGCTGTAGCAGCTCATCTGCGGAGATGTTACCGTCCTTGTCGGGCGTCATCATGGCGATGTACGACACAACGATTGCGCTTTCGTACGGCAGCAGGTACGGCGATAGCAGCTCCCGTAGCATGGAAGCCGCGGTGGAATGGTCCAGCTGGCCGGTCCTGCATGCGGACGTCAGTATGAGAGGAGTATTACAGGGGAGTCATCAGTGCGACGCACAGCCCTATGGGCCTTATAGACCATGCCACAAAACTGTAGTTGGACGTCAGGAGGGGGCGTGAAGGGGCTTCCGCACAACGGTACCATGGGCTGGGCGAGGGGCGGAGGCGGATCATGACGGCACAGCGGTTGCTAATGGGCATTATGTATCCTAGAAGAGGGAGCTACAACGCTTGTTATCAGTTTACTTAATCAAAAGTTGATTTCAGCTCCCTTACCCCGAAGGTTCCTGAGTTACATGATCTCCACAGTCCGACTGTGCGCGCCTAACCTAACCCTAGCGTCCGGCATCGCCATACCCACCCCATGGCTCCCGCCTTCTGCACCAGCAGCCACAGCAACCGCCCCTCCCGATGCACCGCCTGCGCCGCCCGGTGCAACACGTCCAGCGCACGCGCCTCTCCACGACTCAGCGTCAGCGTCACGGGGGGCGCCAGACCCGACCGACCGCCCCTGCCGCCGCTCGGAGCCGCAGCAGCAGCGGCCGCGGTGGTTGTGGTGGTGTAACGGACCTGAAACAAGTATAGCGATACACGTGTGCGCAACACGCACATACAAATTTGAGGTTAAGGACTTCATGTGGGGAGAGGTCATGAATTGGCGAAACAAGCATCCCCGAATTAGCGCCCACCCAGGCACTCACCACCTGCGCTGCCTCCGCTATGTCGGCCCACGTCACCCGCCCGCTGCCCGAACGGTCTAGCAGCGCCCGAGCGAAGGCAATCTCGGCAGCCGTGAGGGAGGCAGTGCCTGCTATCAGCTGCTGAAGCGACCCATGGGTCAGACCACCGCCATCCCTGCGAAGCGGGGGCAATTAGCATGCGTTGAAGGCAGGAACGGGGGTACAAAAAGCATAGAGAGGTGTTACAAAATGAGTACTGTACAGTATTTCTAATTGCAGAGTCATGCCTACCCAAGCTTAGAGCTACGGCACACATAACCCAACACATTACGGTATGCAACCACGCCCCAATACATCTCTACTCACCCCACCCCGCCCTGCCTGTCATACCTGTCCAGGATTCGAAACAGCGCCCCCACCCGCTGCTCCTCCGCAGCTAGCCGTCCCAGCGCCGTACACACCAGTGCCACCCCGCTTCCGCTCTGGGCGGGTAGCAACCGGTTGTCCGGGTGTTGCAGTTTCCCCGCCAACTCCGGATACGGCAGCAGCAACAACGGTCTCTGTTGGGGCTGCTGGGATGCCGTGGCGCCGGCGGCGGCCTCGGCAGCGGCGGCGGCGGCGGCGAGGATGTACGGAGAGGCATTGTACAGCAGCCCCGTGACGTCATCCAGCAGGAATGTACGGCCATCTGTGTGCACGTGGAAGCGTAAGTCCACGAGGCGTCGGTCGGGGTGCGGCGCGGGGGGCAGCGTGAGGGCGGCGGGGCGCAGCGGGGCGGGTCTGCGCGGTGGGGGATGGGAACGCGGAAACGAAGAGCATGCAGTGAGGTGAGGTTGAAGGAAGGAAACGTGGATGAATGGAGGGTGCGGTGCGGAGGGGTTGGGAGGATAAGGGGCTGGAGGCAGCCTCGTGACCTTCTTTACCTCAGAGAAACATCTGAGAGCACATGCAGGGACCCCGGTCCCGGACAGCTTCCCAGGGTTCCCGCTCACCTCGCTAGGAGGCCCATCATGTCCCATGGCCCCCCCATCTCCGCTTCCTCCACGCCTGGCTCCTCCTCTTCCTGCACCTCGTAAGCCCCGCTGGCTGCAGCAGCAGCACCACCACCACCACCTTGAGTCGTCTGCACAGCCGGCCATCCGGGAGGCATCGCCATCGCCCCAGCCATGCCGTCCATCCTTGGCCCTTGTACGGCATACGGACCGCCGCCTAAACCGTCGTACTTCGCTGTCGGCATCGTCACGGATGGCGCTTCCATCGGGGGTGCTGGTGACATCGCCGTCGTCACATGCGGCAGCGGCGATTGCCCCTCCCGGGTACCACGACTGCTGCCGCTGACGGCGCCGCCGCCTCCTCCTCCATGGCTCCGGGGACTGGTTGTCGTACGGCGGCGGCGTTCCACTGGCAGCGACACCTCCACACCTCGTAGCACCCCCACTATGAAAGGCCAATCGAAACGAGACGGCGGCAGTTGCCCTGGCGGTTTGTTGTCGTACGACGGCTGGTTGTTGCCGTACGGTTGGCCGGGTACGGGTCGTGCGGAGGGCCCAGCGGCGCCGTCAGCGGCTGCTAGTTTGGTGTTTAGATAGACGACGAGAGCACCGAGGTCTTCTGGGGTGGCTTGATGGAGGGTCAGATGGCTGATGAACCTGCAGTGCAATGCCGGGGTAGTAGGCGCAGCAAAGGTCAAGGTTTCTGTAGCTCGGAAGCTAGCAAGCTAGGCAGGGTAAAGGCGCAGCGTTCACAGGATGTGATCAGCGCCCCCTCCCGCCCGCTCTCGTCATGCGTGTACGTCCCGAATTATATCTCAAATCCTTCATCATGTGTCTCAGCTCCCTGGCAAAAGCCCCATATGCCGCGCAATGTGCACCGCATCCCATGTGCCCCCCTGGCACACATGCATCCCTTCTCGGCCCCCCCAATCCTAACCGCCAACCCCCACCTGGCGAGCTCAGGAAGCGTCAACTCCGCCTGCCGCTGCGGCTGTTGCTGCTTCTGTCGTGCAGTGTCGTACCGCGGTCCTGCCCCTGCCCCTGCCCCTGCTGCTGCTGCTGCCCCACCGGCTTGCGTCCCCGCCGCTGCGAGGCGGCTGTAGCGCTCGAACACTCGGTAGCTCTCCTCGTAGTCCCCCAGCACCACGCCAGCCACACGGGCGAGCAGCTTGTAGGCTTGGGCGTGCAGCTGCGGGGGTACGGTAATGTGGACAGAGATATGAGTTAGGAGCAAGAGGAGGGGGCGTAGGAGGGCGGCAACCCTTTGGGAGGGCATAGCAAAGATAAGAGCAAGAACGGGGCACAGCACACGCCGTAGGCTCGGGCGGACGACGTGTCCAAGCGAGTACGTGGCCAGCGTTTCTCTCTTCATTGCCTCTCTTCAGCCTCTTCGCTCATACACATGTGCAGCAACCGCTGTGCGCCCGCAAGCAGGTAAACTGGTGCATGTTCCGTACACCCTTGTTCCGTACATCCTTGTTCCGTACATGCTTGTTCCGTACACAGACAGCACCGCACCCCGCACCTTATTCGCGGGTGTATCCGTCATGCTCCCAATCTCCTCAAACGCCATCACCAGATCATCCGGCGCAACCCGCCCGTCTCCGTCCAAGTCAAACAGCAGTCGCAGGTAGGTCAGCTGCGGTTCCGTTAGCTCCGGCAGCAGTGGACGCAGGAACCGAGCCAGCCCGACGGCATCTGCTCGAGGCGGCGGTGGTGCCGGCAGTTGCTGCTGTTGGTACTGCGGGTATTGTTGCTGCTGCTGCTGCTGCGTCAGTCGTGAGGTGGTGGTGTTGATGTTTCCACCGTCACCCGCCACGCATGCAGTCCAGAGGTCCTCCAGCCGGCACTGCGTGTACCGCAAGCGGGCGTCCAGAGCTGCGAAGAGCCGCGCAGCCAGGGGGGTTTCCACACGCTCTAGCGTGCCGTTGGGGAGGAGTCTGGGGGGACAGAGATGGACCCAAGGTGGGGGTGGGAGCACAGGTAGGGACGGGAGGGAGAAGGGAGGGGTGTGCAAGGAGGGCAGAGAGAATGGCGGCGTGTGGGCAACTTGAAAACCCTTGAACGGGCGACCTCTGTGCTCAATCACAGAGGATCCGAGGATCGCCCCCAGTTACCGTACCTGCCAAGCAAATGCAACTCCTCCTCCGCTTCCTCCGGCGGCTGCGACGGCTGCTGCAGCTGAGGCTGCTGGCCCCTTGGCAGTGGCAGGAATGCGAGGCCGCACACGGGGTCAACCAGCAACCGGTTACCCAAGTACTCCACCGCCTAGGGGGCAGAGAAGGCGAGGACAGAGAGGACAGAGGGCAAGGGGAGGGGCGTTCCAGGTGGGGTCAAGCGTGCCGACTCCAGGCATGCGGCCTTACAGCGGAGGATACCGGTACCGTGAGAGGTGCACATACTACGGCATGCTGGCGTGTACGGCAGTCCAAGCAGGAGCATCAGTGTCCTGGCAATGGTAGTAAACCTTCATCCCAAGATGGTGCGGTGCGGCTACTAACGCCTTACCCGGAGCGTGACATCTAGCTCCGGCACCTCCTCCAGGGGCAAGTCCTCCATCGTCATGGCGCCGCCGTAACCACCGACGCCGCCGCCGCCAGTGCTGCCGTCTCCAAAGTGACCCATGGGTCCTCCGTTTGGACCCAGCCCCGCCAGCACTCCATCCCCATCTGCAAGCCCCGGATGAGGTGGCGGAGGCGGTTGTGAAGGGAACACAGCAACCGTTGAGTACGGTAAAGCAGATGCGCTCGGATGCTGCGCTGCGAAAGCGAGCGTGAAAGGGTCCCGTGGGTCGGTCGGGCGCGCGGGAGTGAATGGTGTGATGTCGTACTCGGCTGCTGCCGTACCGGGCGTTAGGCCCGCGACCAGCGCCGCTGGCGCAGTTGCCGCCGGGGAGGCTCCAGAAGACGGCGTTGCAAAGTGTACGACACGTCGACGTCCCGATGGGGGCGATGGGGATCTGTCCGTCTGAGCCTTGTGAACCGCCGCCGCCGCCGCCGCCGCCGCTGCTGCTGCCGGCGCTACCTGAGGAAGCGTGTTAGCGTTTCCGCTGACGTCAGGGTTTCCGTACTGCTGTCGTCTCATTGTGGCTGGCGGAGCTGGTTCCATCGGCCCCAGCAGTACGGCAGCTGTAGCGGCCGCTTGCGCGGCTGCTGCGGCTGATACGGCCGCAGCGGCGGCATTGGTGCCGGGCGACCCACGGGTCGCTAGGTTGCTTCGTGCCAGACTGTCCCGCCGTGCCATAATAGCTAGCCGCAAGTCCTGCCGGGGACGCACCAACGACATGAAAGGAGTTAATAACTAGCCACTGGTACGATATTATTAGCACCGCAGCTGACCACAGCCAGGATGTGACAAGAACAGAACCATTATTAAGAAGAACCCCCTAGCCGCCCTCTGTACCAACCCCCATCCCGCTTTCTTTCTGAACCCCCACATCGCAAACTTACATTGTACGACAGCAACCCATCTCGATCCACGTCAGCATCCGCCCGGAACCTCGCGAGCGCGGTGTCGAGCTCCCGCTGCCGCTGCCCCAGCCGACCGGCTGCCAGGAAGCGCAGCAGGCGGGCGGCCTCGGGCGGGCTCAGAGCGCCGTCGCCGTCGCGGTCAAACTGAGCTAGCAGGGAGGCAAGAGGGACCTGCGGCGTGTGGCATGCGTTAGATGCGCTCAGAAAGAAAGCAGTGGCTGTGACCAGTGAGTTTGGGCAAGATAGCAGTACCCCCAGGCGTCCGGCCAGGAGATACGTTGGGAGGTTGTTTTCCCCTCATGTCGTACCTTGCGACGTGCCATGTAGTCCGTCATCCATTTGAGCACGTCAGCCGCCGGGTACTGCTGCTGCTGCTGCGGGCGCTGCCGTACGCTCCCCTCAGCGCCGCCGGGGGCTGTAGCGGCAGTGGAGGCCGAGGAAGCAGCAGGCATAGCAGGTTGGGAGAGGTAGAGGGCTGCCATGGGGCTGCTGGGAGGCAGGCCGGCGGCGGCTGCAGCGGCGTCTTGTCGCCCCGCGGAGACCTCTGCGTTGTGCACCTCCACAGCCCTGAACCGGGTCGAGAAAGGGGTCAAGGAGGATCCTAACCGTTATGAACAAAATGGCAAGGTAGGGCAACGCAATGGAGAGAGGAGGCGGCAGGATTGAGGAAGGGCCCGTGCAAGGTTGAGCGGAGACCAAGGAGATGCCCCGCGTGATGAGGGGCGGGGCGTGGGCAGGTAGGGGCTCCCTCCCTCCCTCGCAGCAGCATTGACACAGTTCCACAGCTTGCTGCCCAGCCCTCCGTATCAGCCCCCCCCCACCTGGTCAGGTCCTCCAGGGTCACCAGCGCAGCGGAGGAGGAGCTCAGGGCGGCCTGGAAGGCAGGAGGGTCAGGTTCAGGGAGCCTCCGGTATTATGTCACATGGAGCAGTCGGGTCACACTCACAGCATATCCAAGGTAGGAATGCCTCCACCGCCCTCTCCTCCAGCCGCAACCGCTTCCCCACCCCACTCCAAACCTTACCCTGATGTACACTATCGCCGCACTGCCCAGCAGCCCTCCTTCCGCTGCCCCTCCCGCTGCTGCTGTCGCCGCCTGCTGCTGCTGCAGCACCTCTGCCGCCAGCCGCCTCACATCCAAGGGGTCCAGCCCGCCGTCGCCGTCGCTGTCGAACCTCTCCAGCAGCTCCCGGAGACCCAGCCGGCAGGAGCGAAGGTAGTAGCCTGCAGGGGCGGGTCGGCGGTAAAGAGGTACCGGTAGTAGAGGAAGAAAAAGTGACTAGCCGTAGGACAAGGCCCCACCAGGACTCCATGAGGAGAGGGGAGTGCGTACCAGGAGGGTCCACGGAAGCAGTGAAGCAGGGATGCGCAGGATCACGCAGCACGCATGCATGCGCGCGCATGGTGAGGATGCAACGCCGGGCCCCGGCTCGTCATACGTACCCAGGTGGTAGAAAAACCGCGGCACGCTGTCCCTCGGGTTGCCGCCCTGCCGCCTTAGCCGGCTGGGGCCCAGCGGAGGCGGCCGCTGCTGCTGCTTCTGCTTCTGACGCGTCATTAACCCCTGCGCGCCGCCAGCAGGCCGACGCCGGTGGGAGGTGTTGCTTCCACTGCTACCGTTGTTGAGTTCCGCTTCCGCCGCCGCTGTCGCCGCTGCACCGGTGGTGGCATCACCGGAAGTGGTTGCACCAGAACTGGCACCCTGCTGCCTGTCCAGCTGCTGCTGCTGTCGGTCGGATGTGTACGCCACGTCAGCCAGGTGCAGCATGTGCAGCACCTGAGCCAGGCTGCGGCGGCTGTCACCGGGGCCCTGAGGGGGCACAGAGGGGGGGGACGCAGGTGGGCGGGGCAGGCGGCTGGGTGATTGTGGGAGAAGCCGGTCGGGAGGGGCTGATAACAAGGGGCGGAAATGGAGAAAGACGGCAGGCCAGTTATAACAACCGCCCGTGTATCTTCTCCTCGGTTGACAGCTGTGGCCTTCGCGGCGGCGACCCACACGCACAAACACATGCCGGTATGCAGCTTTCTTAATACCTTACCACGCCCCACCCCACCTACTTGCAGCAGGTGATCCAGCACGTATCTCGCCTCCCCGGGTCCCAACTCGGGTCGCATGATGCGCAGGAAGCGGAACAGCTGGGCGGGCTCCAGCAGCAGCGTCGGAGAGGGCCCCGCAGCAGGAGAGGAGGAGAGCGCCCCTCCTGCCGCATAGCCGCCACCGCCGCCTCCGGCTTCGCCGCCGCTGGGTAGCAGGGCAGCGCCCCCGACTCCGCCGCAACCAGCGTCAGACGCCGCTAGCGCCGCCGCCGCAGCTGCCTCCAAGGCGAGGGTTTGGAACACGGTGGCCGCGTGGTTGCGCTGCATGTGCAGGATGTAGGAGGTGTCCTGGCGTGGGAAAAGGGGGAGGCAGGGAGGTGCAGGCGAGGCGCGGGTTGGTGGTCTTGGTGTATTACGGTAGTATACACCACCTACTGCCCTTGGCCTTCCGTACCCCTAGCTTGTTCCCCCCTTGCCTTTTGCCGCCACCGCATCCCGCGCCCCTGCAGCCCCCACCTGCAGCACCCTCGCCCAGGGGCTGTCCGCGCCCTCCCCCCGCGCCTCCGCCACCTCCTCCGCCAGCTCGTCGGCATCCAGCAGGTCGCCCAGGCTCACGTAGCCGTCGTCGTCCCAGTCAAGCAGCGCCTGGGGGGGGGTGCGGGGTGCGGGCAGGTAAGCAGGCAGACAGAGGGTGCGGGACCCCAGGAGTGCTACCGGCCTGCTCCTCGCTGCTTCTGCTGCTGCCGCGAATAACCCACCCCGTACACAATACCTGTATCCCCCTGCCACGCCCCACCTCCACCCCCACCACCATGAGCGCCATCCTCTCCCGTAACCCCCATGTTTCCTCGCGGCTCAGCCTAGCCATCACCGCCACAACCCCCGCCCCGTCCCTCGCCCCGCCGCTCACCATCAACAGCGCCGCCTCCGACGGCGCCGCCCCCGGCACCACATGCGCCAGCAGCGCCCGCAGCTCCCCCGGCCCCAGCCCGCCGTCCAGGTCCGCATCCAGCGCCGCGAACAGCTCGGCCAGCCCCAGCTGGCGGCGAGACAGGAAGGAGCGCAGCGAGGAGAAGAAGGAGGTCTCGCGCAGCAGCGGCAGGAACACGATGGAGCCCTGGGCGGGGGGGGTGAGTGAGGGGGATGAAGTGGGGTGGGGTTTGTGTAAGGTGCATGGGGTGCGGCGAGAGTGACGACGATACGGGTGGGGCGAGGATACAACGGGGTTGGGCTTTGGGTCGAGGTACGGGTGCGTGGCACGGTGGCAGCGACATGGGTCCAGGTTAGGTAGCACCCGGGCAGCACCGGGAGCTTCTTTTGCCCTTCGCTGCGCTCTCCCACCTGCACCCACTTGCCCACTCGCTCCAGCAGGCCCGCCTCCGCACTGTCACGGTACACCAGCTGGCTGGAGGTGTCCAGGATGTAGAGCCGTCCCTCCGAAACCACCTCTCGCAGCAGCGGGGAGGCAGAGGGAGCGCTCGGTGGGGGAGGCGGAGGAGGAGGAGGGGAAAGATGTTGGGAGGGTGTGAAACCCGTGTGGTGTGGTGGGGGCGAGGAGGGGTTGGTGGTGGTGGTTGTGGTGGCGGTTGGTGGAGGTAATGGTGATGGTGGTGGCAGCAGGGGAGTCAAATGCACCAAAGGCGCTGGGGGGTGTTGCTGGTGGTGTTGGTATGGTGGTTGCGGTGGGGGCGGTGGCAGTTGTCGGAGATGCTGCAGCGGTTGTAACGGTTGGAGTGGTTGGTGTTGCTGCTGTTGAGAGGGCGGCTGGATGGGCTGGGGTTGCTGCCACTGCTGCTGCTGTTGGTGGGGTTGGTAGTCCTGGTGGGGGTGTTGCTGCCGCATGGCTGGGGTGCGATGGGGGTGCGCTGGGAAGGGTGGCTGCTGCGGCAGCGCTGGCGGCACCAAGGGCGGCTGTCGTTGCTGCTGCTGCAGGTTGGGACGAGGCGCCTGTGGCTGTGGATACTGCTGTTGTTGCTGCTGATGTTGCAGGAAGGGCTGCAAGGGGACCAAGGGTTGAGGTTGCTGTGGAGGCGAAGTCGCTAAGCTTTGCCCGTGTGGGTTGCGTTGCTGCTGGTGTGGTGGTTGCTGTTGTTGCAGCCGCTGAGAGTACTGTTGCTGGAGTGCACTGCCAGGACTGTCATGTTGCTGTTGGAACCCAGCAGGCGTGGCTCCCGTCATCAGCTGCTGTTGGTATGGTGCCGGGTAAGGATTGTTTGGGAATCTGGCTCCTGCGTTGTTGCCAGGGACAGCGGTGTGCGACTGGTGTTCCACTTGCTGTGGCCTCGATGGACTGACATGGCTGGGGATGCCACGGTGCTGAGGCCCCAGCGGGTAAGCGCCAGTAGACGGTGGCAACGGGCTATCAGGAACCCCTTGGTTTGCTGCAGCCGTACTGATGCCAATATGGCCTACCGGCTGGGCCGCGGTGTGCAAGGTGGCAGGCGACGAGCCGGAGGGCCCGCCAGATCGCTTGAACATGTATGCCACACCGTGATAACGGCTTCGTGACTACTCTATACACCAGAATGTTCCAGAGCGCGTCTCAGCGCGCGTGTACCCTTCGCCATGCCCAATGCTTCAGTCTAGAGCCTTTACAAAGCACACATTTGCAGCAATTTGGGTAAAACTTAGTTAAGCAGGAGTTGTATGTGCATTTACAGCTACGACTATACCGTCCCTTGGGGGGCTGTCGACAGTTGGGGTCAAAGTCGGGTCAACAACCTTTTACTGATGCGTACTGCATTTCTAAGTCAACAGCAGCATTTTCTAAGCCATCCTCTTCTGAAAGTCAGACCATTTAATGCTTTACTTCCGGCTTGCGACGCAAGTGAGTAATCCGCATCTCCACATTTAATGCAAAGCTTAGGAAGCTAGATCCGTTATTTATTAACGAAGCATACAGACACGGTACGCAAAATGGAGAGCGTTGTTCAAGAGGCCGCCAGCACAAGTTATCCCAGTTTCGATACCGTCGGTGCGACGGACAGGTTGCTGCGTAAAGCAGAAGCAGTACTGTGCAGGAGAACAGATAGAATCCTTCTTGTGCTGGAGCGCTGCACAGACAACCAAAACTACCTGGCATGCCTGCGGACGGCGGAAATCCTCGGTGAGCACGTGCTACCCTCTTGTCCTTGGTATGGTATTATGCCTGTCGGACAACGGGACAGCGCTTCCACCAACTCAACACCTTACCAGCAGCGACCTTCCTGCCCGATGACTTGGTGCCTTGGCCCCCCTCACCCCTTTCTCAGCCTCCCCTTGGCCTCCCGCACCCGCCCCCGCCTCTCTCCTGCTGTTTCCCCTCTATCCCCTATCCCAGGCGTCCAGAACGTCTGGATCGTCCTATCTCCACGCGGCATGAAGAACGAGGCCCTAGCAGCGGGTGAAGACGCCGCAGGTGGTGGTGACGGCAGCGCAGCGGGTTACGTGGACAAGGGCGAACTCAGTAAGAAGCGCGGCCGCATCGCTCGCTGCTCCTCCCAATGGCTGGACATCCGCACCTTCGGCACCACTGCGGAGTGCATTGAGGCGCTGCGGCGCGATGAGCGGGAGATCTGGGCGACCGACCTGGCGCAGGCGAGTGAGTGAGGAGGCCTGGGTGGAGGTGGCCAACCGGCGGCCGTAGCATGCTGCATGGGGTCGCGTCGGTTTGGCGCCCCGAGTTGAAAGCCCCAAGCACTTAGAGATCAGGTTTAGGCTTGAGGCCGACCTAGGGCTACTCAGTCTACCCCGCCTGTTATTACGGTAACGCCTGCATACTCCAGCAGTGTCCCACCCACGCCCTCTAAGCTCATCTCGCCCTTACACCCTTCCGCCCTTCTCTAACTTCGCCACCCACGCTCCATCCCCCTCCAGTCGGCCATATTGCTTGACGGCACCAGCATAGCACTTCCGCAGCGGTTGGCGGTGGTGATGGGCCGCGAGGCGGACGGAGTGAGTCAGGAGATGCTGGCAGCGGCTCACAGGTGGGGTCACGGCCTGGGCTAGCTTGGCCTTTTGCGGTATCGCCAGTCTTCCTCCTGCCTGACACCTGAACGCCCTCTTTGTCGCCAGTGTTGTATTTCTTGTGCTGCTCTTGCTTCTTCTGCACGGATCCTGCCCTTGAAGAGAGAAGAAGAAAGGCAGATTGCGTGTGTGGTGGGTTTCCCTGGCGCCCTTGCTTGCTTGCGCTTGTAAACACATGCTGGCATGCACCCATGCAGGCGGGTGTGTTTGCCCATGTACGGCTTCAACGACTCGTTCAACTTGTCGGTTGCAACTGCCATGGTGCTGCACCACCTCTTCCTCTGCTGCCCCGAGGCACGCGGGGACCTGTCGCCGGAACGCAAGCGCGCGCTGCGGGTGGAATGGTGCGTGTTGGGGTGATGTCCCTGATGTGGGTCGCGGGGATTCGTACGGGTTTGGAGTAGCGGTATTCCGGGAGCCATGCGGTTGCGTTGGTTGAAAACAGAGAATGTAGAGACCTCAAACATGGTGGTGGTGGACATTCCTGTGGTTCTCACTCCTGTTTGCCTGACTGCCTGCTGCTCTTAGATATCTCGCTCCTGTGTTGCTTTCTTCACTTGGCACGCATCATCAGTTCCGCTGTGCACCCCCGGCCTCTTGGTGTCCTCCCCTTCATGGCTGTACAGGTACGGCCGACTTGCACGCAACGACGCTCAACGCGCTGAGTTCATGGCTCGAGTTGACGACCCGCCGGCGCCCTTTACGGATGTACGGCGGCCGGATGAGCACCGTACGGCCTGGGTGCCGCCCAAGATAGCCCGCAAGGAGCAGGAGCAGGTAGGGGGATGAATGCGCTGCAGCCTGCGGGCAGTGGCGTGCCTGCAATGCTTGGCAACACGGGCATACTCGCGCGACTTGTTGTTGTGGTTTGCCATGCGGAGTGGTTTTAAGAGTACCGTATTCGTGCGGAGGTATCAGCAAGTGCACAACGGCTTCTGCGTCTGCTGCTGCGATTGACCCCGCCACCTCATCCCGTTCAGACACCGGTCTATGTATATCAAACACTGCAACGACTCCTATTGTATGCAGGCGGTCAGCCTTCAAGAGCAGCGGAAAGCTCTGCGGGAAGAAGAAGCGGAGGATCAGGAGTGAGGCACCTGGCACACCAGAGCTCCGGCCAGCAACATGGTCGCTGTCAGGCGCGCATCCCGGCTGCTTCTGCGCAGCAAGCGTAACCCGGACTCTCTAGGAAGCAGGTGGTGGCAGATTCTGTTGGGTAGCCGCACTAGCTAAGATTTGAGGCATATGTCGTACGGAAGCCTCGACTGACAGTTCCTGCACAGACGCCTATGCCGTGGCAGTGTAACCGGCCCAGGTGATGACGTTATGATGGGTAAGGGTGTAGTGAAGAGATGCGCCTCGCGGAGGCAACTGGCTTGGCACGTTGGCAGCTTGGCCTTGGTCTACAGGGTAACTTGCAGCCGTTGCACAGCCACATGCCATGTCAGGGATCCTACATCTCTAATCTGCTGTAGGGTAGCGTGACTCAGGCTGTGCGGGTGCTGATACTAGTGATTGTCAGCGTCTTGCTGTACTGCCGGTACATGCCAGTCAAGAAACACAGGTTGGTTGGCTTACAGCAGTCAGCGCGGCTTGTCTGTTGTGGCGTTGTACGACAACTCGCGTCTCTGCGTCGAGATCCTCCCACGGGGAGCGACAGCGGCGGCACAGTCGACACCTGCTAGATAGCACCCTACAATACGTATAGCAGGACTCGCGGCGGCGGCTTCTCCCGGGGACACCTCCTCGCGCCCTTGCGGGCGGGGAGCCTCTCAATAAACAGCAGGCACAGCGTCATTGAAACATCGCCATGGGGCGTATAGCACAGCGTCCGCCCAAGCGTAGCTGGCTTAGCTGAAGCCAAACACGTAAAAGCAGCTGTAGTAAGGATGGCCCGATATTATTGAGACCATCACAGCTCTTTTTCTCTTCTGTGTGCTCCCAAGGCAATGTGCTGGAAAGGCACCTGAAAAACAAAACATGCAGAGCCATTCGACCTCACACACACGACGTCCCGTCCACACACCGTCGTCTCAGGGGAGGGGATGAAAAGCGTCACATCGGAGCTGCGCTAGAGCGTTGTGCACATGCCACGACCTACGCTACGCTAACCAGCCAGCAAGCCTTTTCCCACATCACGCGACAGCGCATGAGATGTAATTGGGAAGAAGGCATAGGGAAAAGGAGTCACAGCAAAACCCTCATCCCACAGGCTCTTCTCTTCCACAACTTGATTCCGCAGAGCAGCAGTTGCAAGAGCGCATGCACGCGCAAGGAAGCGGCGGTCGGGTGGGCAGGACACACCCGACGGGTTGTGCACTGAAGGCGACGGAGGGGACCCTTGACACAAAACTAACCACAACTCACAACGCCAAAAAAGACCACCGACGAACAGTCACTCGCACCTTACACCCCAGAGCAGCAGTCGACGCCCCAGAACGTATAATCAAATCCCTGGATCTCCCCACCCCGGTTTCCCACCACACACCCCAATCCCAGTCAAGGGGCGTGTCGGTCTCAGAACCAGAAGTCAGTAACAGTCACCCGCCATCACCGCATCAACATCCTCATCATCGTCAGGCGGTTGTCGTTTACTTCTTCTCGGAATCCGAGCCGCTCGAGGACGACGAAGAAGACGAGGAGGCGCCCGATTGCTGCGCCAGCGTCTCGCCGATCTTCATGGATGCCGTGCTGAGGGCCTGGATCTTGGCCTTCAGGTCGTTCAGGTCCTCGGTCTGCGAGGCGGCGCGGCACTCAGCAATGGCCTTGCTGATCTCATCCACCACAGCCTGAGGCAGCTTAGCCTTGTACTCGTTGAGGCTCTTCTCGGTGCTGTAGATGGCGGTGTCGGCCTCGTTCTTGGCCTCAATGAGCTCCTTGCGCGTCTTGTCCTTCTCGGCGTAGGTCTCCGCATCGCGCACCATCTGCTGGATCTGGTCCTCGCTGAGGCCACCGCTGGACTGAATGCGGATGGACTGCTCCTTGTTGGTGGCCTTGTCCTTGGCGCTCACGTGCACAATGCCGTTGGCGTCAATGTCGAAGGTGACCTCAATCTGCGGCACTCCGCGGGGGGCGGGCGGGATGCCCACCAGGTCGAACTGCCCCAGCAGCTTGTTGTCGGCGGCCATCTCGCGCTCGCCCTGGAACACCTTGATGCCCACCTGCGCGGAGGAGAGAGGGGAAGGCAAGGGGTAAGGGGTAAGGGGCAAGGGCGAGAGTGAGACGAGCGTAAGATTGCGACAGACAAAGCAAGCATGTGTGCATATTAGACCTCGAACGTGAGACGTCGGGCAAGCAGGCGCAAATGCTAGGACTGTTTCCCAATGCCGCGACCGCTCCCAGGTGATTAACGAGCTTCTACCAGCCGCACGCACGCACGCAGACACGCAGGCACGCACCTGCGTCTGGTTGTCGGCGGCGGTGGAGAAGACCTGGGACTTCTTGGTGGGGATGGTGGTGTTGCGGTTGATCATGCGGGTGAACACACCGCCCAGGGTCTCAATGCCCAGGGACAGGGGGGTCACGTCCAGCAGCAGGATGTCCTGTGTGGTCGGGTGTGGCGGGGGTGGGAGTGGGTGGGAACAGCCGAGAGGGAGGGTGAGGGTATGGCTGGGGGAAATCCATGGGGTTGCACCGTGTGTAAACCTATGTGTCCCAGGTATTGTAACTGCTGCAGCTTGCTAGCTAGCCTTCAACTCCGGAACAGTGTTTCCATTTCCTGACGCACCACCGCTCCTACTTCGCCCCACCCCCTCGACCACCATACACACACACACGCACGCACACACACGGCTGCCCCCTCTCACCTTGACGTCACCGCGCAGCACGCCTCCCTGGATGGCCGCACCCATGGCCACCACCTCATCGGGGTTGACACCCTTGGAGGGGTCGCGCTGGAACACCTCCTTCACGATCTCGTTCACCTGCAGCAACAGAGGCAGCAGAAGCAGCGGACGGCGCTTACGTGGTGTTCAGGCGACGTCAGGCAGTGTTTCCAACGGCGAGTTTCTTTCCGGCATGCGCCAATTTACTCCCAAGCATTTCGCCCCTGCCCGTGGAGGCCCTGGCGCCACGCGGGGTTATCCTTTCCTCCCCTCCTCCTCCCCCCTCCCTCCCCCCCCACCTTGGGCATGCGCGTCATGCCGCCCACCAGCAGCACCTCCTGGATGTCCTTGGCCTGCACGCCCGCGTCCTTCATGGCCTGGTAGCAGGGCTGCTTGGTGCGCTCCAGCAGGTCCTTCACAAGCAGCTCCAGCTTGGCGCGGGTGAGCGCCATGTTGAGGTGCTTGGGGCCCGAGGCGTCAGCTGGGGAGGTGGGGGGGGTGGCGGGTTACGTTAGGTAGGGGGACGGTGTAAGGCACGTCACGGCACCAGAGCAGACGCGCGAGCTGCACCCTAACCGCCACACATGGCAACACGCGACATGGCACGACTAGACACGCAGGACCCAGGTTAACACACGCCCCAGCGCCTCTTCCACCCTTCTATAAATTACCCTCCAAATGCTCACCCGTGATGCAGTGCTGCACCCAAACCGACCGAAACAACACGACACGACACGACACACGCATCCGCCAAGCCCCTGCAGTTCGCGCGCCCCCATGTACCCTTCCCCCCTCACCGGTGATGAAGGGCAGGTTGATGTCGGTGGAGGTGGTGGACGACAGCTCGCACTTGGCCTTCTCCGAGGCCTCGCGCAGGCGCTGCACCGCCAGGCGGTCCTTGGACAGGTCGATGCCGGTCTCCTTCTTGAACTCGCCAACCAGGTAGTTCAGGATGGTGTTGTCGAAGTCCTCACCTGCGTGCATGGGGGGGGGGGTTAATAGGGATGAAGATTCCGCATTACGCTGGATTTTAGGAATGCTCATGGGGGGAAGTGTGCAAGGGATGACGCATGGCGTAAGAGGCGTGTGTGATAAGCTTTCAACATGGTGGGTTAAGCAAAAGGTGCAAGGGTGTGCTGAAGTTTGCTGCGGGTTGCAATGCAACCAGCACATAACAACCCCGGGAGTGGGGAGTGGTAAAGGAAGGGTGCGGAATGCGGGGTAGATGGCATCATGGGAAGCAGCTCTTTCGGAGTCGGTTCGATCCAATCCTTCACGTGTCAGTGTAACTATGACTATAACCGTTAACTCATCAGGAGCCGCTGCCGCCAGGAACTGGAGGCGTGTGCAGCTCAGGACGTGTAGTTATCATCACCCACGTGAGTTGTGTTGTGTTGTGTTGGGACAACAACCGATGTAGCCGCTGGTGTGCGCTGGGCCGACCCACACATGCTACCATGGACGGGAAGGAAATTCTTCATGCATGCATGCATGCACGAGGATGCGTAAACGAGAGTTATGCAGGTGGAAAGCCCACAAGACACACGCCCCACCTCATTTCCCTCTTCTATATCGCAGCCAATTCCCCAAGCCTCAATTCTCCCACCCCCCTACCCACCCACGCACCCACCCCCTCACCTCCCAGGAAGGTATCTCCGTTGGTGGCCTTCACCTCGAACACACCGCCCATAATCTCCAGGATGGAGATATCAAAGGTGCCACCACCCAGGTCGTACACCGCGATGAGGCCCTCCTTCTTATCGGTGCCGTACGCCAGCGCGGCGGCGGTGGGCTCGTTGATGATGCGCAGCACCTCCAGACCTGCGATGCGGCCGGCGTCCTTGGTGGCCTGGCGCTGGGAGTCGTTGAAGTAGGCTGCGAGGGGGGGGGAGGGGTGAAGGGGGTCAGGGTGCCGTAACAAGGTGCACCGCGGGTAGAGCGGCGTTCCTGTGTGTTTATCGAATGTTCGAATCACCAACACTAAGCGCATCTACACTCCTCCCGCCCCTCCCTACCCCAATAACCCATTAACCCAGTTCCAATCCCAACTCCTCCAACCCCCACACCCGCCACCAGCCCCCACCCCCTCCCGCCAGCGCCACCTACCCGGCACCGTGATGACCGCCTTGGACACGGGGTGGCCCAGGTAGGCCTCCGCCGTCTCCTTCATCTTGGTCAGCACGAAGGCGCCCATCTGGCTGGGGGAGTACTGCTGGCCGCCGGCCTGAGGGGGGGAGGAGGAGGAGGAGGCGAAGGAGGGGCGGAGGAGGGAACGTTAAGAGGGAGCTGAGGGAGGTTGGGAAAAGCCGCAAGAAGAGGCACGAGTGCGAGAGGTGCACTGGGACTGGCGAGGATAGAGTGTGCGGTTGAACATGCGGCGGCCACTTCCTCTCCTTGTCCCGCCCGCCCGCCCGCCTGACCGCAAGCCCGCAAGCCCGCAGCTCTCACCTCGACCCAGGCATCGCCGTTGGGCGCCTTCACGATCTTGTACGGCACCATCTGCGGAAACACACGCACGCGCGCGACGGGAAGGGGGAACCAAACAGTCAAGTCTCGTACCGAAGGGAGGCCTAGCCAGTTGCGTAAGTTGCAAGAACCACGGGTCCACGTGAACCCCTCATCTTCACCACTCTAATACTATCTCATCCGCAGCCCGGCCTGTGGCCCCCCCTGCTGCGCCTCCTACTCAGCCCCCAGCCCTCCTGGCCCCTCCCCTCCCTCCCTCCCCTCCTCCTCCCCCCCTACCTTGGCCTCCTTCTGGGTCTGCGGGTCGTCATATCCGCGGCCGATCAGACGCTTGGTGGCGTAAACGGTGTTGGTGGGGTTGGTGACAGCCTGTTGTGGGGTGGGGGAGGAAACCCATGTCAGGAGGAAGTGCCGGAGTACAACTGGGTAGGGACGTGATCATGAGGGTGATCATGAGGGTGCAAAGGCGCCTCCGCCAGCGTTTACAGGAAACTTGTGGGGACACAATCAATGCATATAAGTAGCTGCGGCCGTCAACCCAGAACACGAATCCATTCGTGCAAGCGGTCCGCTTGAGAGTTACTCGCATGCGCTCTTTGCCAGTCGAACCTTCCTGACAAGCCCTGTCCGACCCTTCTTGGTAACAGCTGCTGCACAGCCTCTTCCGCGCAGAGCGTGCAGAGCGAGAGCGGCTACCTGGCTACAGTAGTGTCGCCCCCTATGCCATCGCCCTACGCCGACACTGAAACCCACACGCTGCGAGCTGCATGCAAACCTCGACATCGCTCCTGCTGCTGCCGTCGAGCTGCTTGTGCTGCTAAAAATGCTAGCGCTTAAACTGACGACAGAAAGCCCCTGCCGTGCGCCCCCATGCTGTCTCGTTCTGTCGCTCGTTGCTGCTCCATACTTTTGTTTCCGCGGATGAATGAATTCCTTTCAAAGCCACCGAGTGCCATCAACTCGAACACCGGCGATAGCTGTAGCTGCTGCTGTTGCTGCTACCCCATTACCCACCACGCTCTGCCACCCCCACAGCCCCCTACGCTGCTACCCTCCCCCGTCCTCCAGACCTCAGAAGACCTCCCACACTGCCTCACCTGGCGCTTGGCGGGGAGACCAACCAGGCGCTCGCCCTTATCCGTGAAGGCGACCACGGAGGGGGTGGTGCGGGCACCCTCGGCGTTCTCAATCACACGGGCGGACTGCGGTGCAAAACACAGGTACACATGGGGGCGAATAGGAGGTTAGAGGCGAGGTGGTGACATGGGTGACTTGCCATGGAAGAGGTAGAGCTAAGAGGGTTGATGCAGGCAGTGTAAACTGAGGAGGAGGTTATGTTCGCTTGGGGGCAGCGCGCAGCGGAAGGGAATGAGCGGCATGCTAAAGGCCATGGCTGTGGTGGGAGGCAGCCTAACGTTAGCGCAATCGCCTAGCAGAGAAAACACAAGCATCCAGAAGCCTCTCGAACCCAAGCCAAGCACGCAGTTGAGGCCGCGCTCATATACAAGCAGACCGCAGCCCATCCTACAGGCAAGGGTTCGCATTTACCACCCTGTCGTCACCCTACCACCCCCGAACACGTAAGACGCCCCAAGTAACAGGAAGATGGGCCGGCAGCTAATATAGCCGCGCGAATACCCAGATAATAGAAGACGATCTCCTCACCTTGCCCTCCATGACAGCCACGCAAGAGTTGGTGGTGCCGAGATCGATACCAATGACGGCATCGGAGTGCACGGCCGCCGAGACACTGCAAGCAGCGAGTTAAGGGCGTTGACGTTGACATAAAAAACCTACTGCGACCAGTCAAACCGCAAAGGCAACGCGCGACAACACTCATCATCTTTGCATCAGTCGTCCGATTGAAGCGGTCCCAGCTTACCTGAGGCACCGGAGAGCCGCGGCATCAGTAGGCAGTGACCCACGGGCAGCCTGTGTGCGGTTATAAGGGCGAATAGAATTGTCAACGCGGTTGCCGACACTTTGTAAGGCGCCGGCGCCCACACGTCGCCGTAGGTTATTTCACTGAGGCAGCGCCTAAATCCCTGCGACGCCCAAAGTGACAAACCTGCAGAAGCCCGGCTCCAAGCGAGCGAACACCGGCTTGCGAAAGCATTGTGACGCAGTTAGTGACCACTGGAAGAAGTGATGATCGTGCGACACTAGTGTCAGTGGTTCTACGCTATTCCGTCTCAAGCTCAGACACACAACCTGTGTAAAAGGAGTTGGACGCGAACATTCGTTGGTTGTATGCTGTGGCTCGCCGGTGGTTCTCGACGCTGCCGTACGGCCTAAACCCAGACTACTAGCTGACTGAGGTTTGATGACGCTTAGCAAATAATGGTATTAATATCCCATTTAAAAGACAGAACTGCGAAGTATAAGCGATGCGTCAAGCCTCCTTCCTCTGCTCCCTGGCAACGTTGGAACATCATTGCCAGTTGGAGACAACGATAAGCCCTTTTAGATGAGATTTTATCCGACCCTGTATCATTTTCCTACACTGGAAGGTAGGGCAGCCCGAGCGCTGAAGGCACGTGGTAACTTGGAACGCGTTGTGACCTACACAGTATAACCCAAATGCCTTCAGCCACGAACGGTAGTGAGGTTACGAATTGGTATTCTTTGGGTTAATGTGGACGTTGGGAACGTTGGGGAAACGATGCCCTAGAAGCTTCAGCCGCCCAGGACAACGACCAAGCAGCAAGCACCCACTTGTTCTATGTAGCAGTCCAGGGTTAAAGAGCGGCGCTTAATAACAATAGTGTTTCGCCTGATGTTTCGTGCAAGAATGTGTACGCGTTACCACACCGCCTGGTTGGCCTGTACGGAATTGTCAAGGGTGTTGCATCGTGTTGTTCGCCGGGCATCCGCAGCGAGGCATGGCAAAGCGTACACCCAAGGCGCGACAGCGCAATGTCGCGTGCCTAGTCACACCTGGCAAAGGGATGTCCTGGCGTGGCGACGTGCCTTACTGGGTTCCACCCAACCCAGAACCCTTGGTCTCGCATAAGGCTTAGGGCACCATTCTTATCCCCTCCCGGTCTCTTTGGTATAGGGTGCGAACCTCTTAATCCATACGGGACATGCCAAATGGGCACTTGTGTGCCGAAACGCTCCCATAGGGAGCTCCCTAAAACGCTCCCTATGGGAGTTCATCACCAAGCCGGTCATCTTGTCATCTTGTCGCAGAAGCCACCGATCAGCAACTCAACAATTGATCACCTACATGCGTCAGCTGCAGCGAAAGAATGTTGCTAGGGAGACAGGGCCTGGGTGAACCGAGCCCCCCGACGTGCCTGAGCCTGGCAGCGTGTCTTCTCTGGTTCTAGCCAGGTTCCCGTAACAAGACGGCACAGCAGCGTTATGGGGTGCCACCTGCGAACGGCTCTGTATCGCAACCTGGCCAGCAGCGTATGATGTTGGGTATGAGACCGGTTAAACCTGTGCTGCAACATAAGACTGCACCTGGGCTGTTGAGCCCTGTCCACACCAGAAACACGTCGTTAAAGCAAGCGAGGATGGACTATGGGCTAAAAAAATAAGAAGCACGACATTGAGGGCACGCCTCCGTCACGAACTCGTTCGTGAACTTGTTTGTTGGTTCCTTCACGGCTGCACGACGCCCTGTGGCGTGCGATTGCCGGCGCGCAACTGTCAAAATGTCAGGCTGTATGTATGAATGGCAACTTCCGCTCATAACACCGACCGCCTCGGCAGGTAATGGATTTGCCATACCGGTCCTGGCGGGATGGCCGTAGCCATGCAAGCATACACACATTACGTAGCAAAAAACTGGAAACGCGCGGCATCAAAGAAGCGCGGGGTATGACGCAGATGAACCGACGATAAGGAGTGAAGCTCGGTAGTACGAGAGAATCAGGAGTCAGTCGCTTGTAGGAGGCCCGCATTCGGTCGACCTATCGGCTGCTCACTTAGACGGACGCTTGACCCTCGCACGGCGTATTTGTTAAGTAAATGGGATATACTTTATGGAAGCATGCATCTTGCACAGGTTATCGCGTCGAGTGTGGCCCGGAAAGCAATTGTTGACGAATGCACAGACTGCATTTTGTAAAATAGAGTCACTAAGCCTTTTGCCGTCAGATCTTTATAGATATGTAAGCCTAAGCAGTGACAGCACTTTAAGCTTCAAGCTAGAGCACTATTATGGTCGTCACCGGTCGACACGTGTCGATACACCGCAGACGCCTTGAAGAAACCATATCATAATATGGTAGTCCTCGTATACGTTATGCCACGCGCTTCAATACGGCTCCACGGCCCTTGGCAGTCCACTAGCCGTACGGCGACCGACTTGCGCGTGGCAAGCGCGTGCGCCACGCGACTCTGCCATTACGGCTTGATCATGAATGCAAGCAGCATAGACTTATAACCATTATTACCTTTTTTCTACTTCGGGTGCTTGTTGTTTATTAAGCAAAGAGTTTATAGCTCTCGAACAGCCTTACTGAAGCCGTCCAAGGTGCAAGCAATCAACGCTTCTCCTCATTCCTAGGTATGCTTAACACGACAGCTTGCAAATCCTGGATGGTCATGGTCCTAGCTGTCGGAATGCAGCTGTTGGGTCTTCAGCTGATGGCGACGGGCGTACGCTTGCGGGCTTTAGCCATGGCGTCTCCGGCCCCGGATTTCGCATTATTTGTATGCTTTGCAGCGCAACTATTGCTTAAGGAACGCTTCGTAAACGGATGTTTCGCGTTTGCACCGGACGGCAGTCGTTACTTTACCATATCCACGGTTGGAACCCCGAACACGTCAAACGCGCTACAACATACGTAGTCGTACGCGATGTGCATATTTGGGCGACTCCGGTTGTCCTGGACATGGTCCATGTCGATACAGCATGCCTCATTCCTCATGCCACCCCAACGACTTATCTGCCCTGTCCCTTTCGTCCTGCAGTGACCACCACGGCGTCATATATTGAGGCACTATACTTTTATTGTCAGCTGCGGAGGTCTTCTCACTCGGCTGGCAGCATCACTTGAAGACCCGTTTGGGCATTGACAGCCCCCCAAAGGCCTTGGGAGCAATAGCAGAATGGCGTCAACATCCCAACCGCCGGAACCGGTGGCTATAGCAAGGGCAGGACACGTGGCTTTAGATCTCGGCACGGCTGATGCACAGTCAGGCGCTGACGCGTGTCGCAAAGAGGACGCTGCCGCTGTAGCTGAACCGCACTCCGCGAAAGCCCTTCCGGGCAGCAGCAGCGATAGCGGCGGACTCGAAGGCGGCAGCACGAGAAGAAAAAGAGCGCTGCAAGCTTCTATATTCCTCGTTGCAGCAATTATAGCGGTCGGAGTGGGCGTTGGTGTGAGCGTGGGTCTAGGCAAAAAGAACAACAGAAAGAGCAGCAGTAGCAGCAGCGGTGGCAGCAGCGGCAGCAGCGACGACGTCTTCGTTACGGTTGGCGAACTGTCAGAACCCGGCCTCACGTACTACATCGCTGCGGATCAGGTACGGTACGGCATCGGTAGTTGCTGCCGTACACTGCTGTCTTGGGTTGCCTGCCATGTGGTTGTCAAAACTGTCGCCACCTTTCTTGTTTTGCTCCTTCTGGCTTAACTCTCTACTTCACTCCCTGCCGCTTTTCCCCGTAATGTATATTTCCGTATACCGCCGCATCCCCAACAATCCCTTCATCAACCCCAAACAATCCGCCTTCCCCTCCTCAGATTTCCTGGAACTACGCCCCCTCGGGTCGCAACCTCTGCTTCGACAACCGCACAGCTGCCATGCTGCTCACGCCCGGCACCACCCGAGTGGGCGGCACCTTCACCAAGGCGCAGTACCGCGAATACACGGACGCCAGCTTCATGGTGGGAGCGGGACCGGGGTCGTGGGGGTGCGGGGGGGGGCCTTCATGGTGGGAGCGGGGGTGCGAGAAGTGGCAATGCTGTTGGTGCAGGGTCAGGTGCTAGGAGCCAAACTGGGACCTGTGGGGCCTACAGGGCAGTGAGGTGCGAGCCTGCCCCTGCCAGCCTCGCATCTCACTGCCCTGTAGAGGAAAGTAGACCCCATGTCTCCAACACCACACCCTCCCGCCTCAACCCATACCCCACTAACCACCACTAACCACCACCATCCAACCACCCAACCACCACCCCAACAGACACTCAGAACCCGGGAGGCCGACTGGGAGCACCTGGGTAACCTAGGACCCGTCATGTTCGGCGCCGTGGGTGACGTCATCCGCATCGTGTTCCGCAATAACCTCCCATTCGCTGCCAACATGGTCCCCACGGGCGGCCTGGTCGCTTGGGACAGCCCAACCGACTCCAACCTCCGCTCGACTCGTACGGCGGCCGTTGAGCCCGGCGGCACCACGGTGTACTACTGGCACGTGACGGCCGACGCGGGTCCCGTCAATGGGTCGAGCGTTACGTCGCGCATGTGGATGTATCGCAGCGGCGTGGACCCAGTGGCGCATGACAATGCTGGGCTGCTTGGCGTGGTGATTGTGGCGGCGCCGGAAAGTGCGGGGGAGACGGACCGGCGCGCGAGGGACGTAGACCGGGAGCTGGTGCTGCTGTTCCAAGTGGGTCCGAGGGGGGTATGGGGAGGGACCTCCTGAGAGGGGGAGGAGGAGGGACCTCCTAAGAGGGGGAGGGAGGAGGAGGAGGAGGGACCTCCTGAGAGGGGGAGGGAGGAGGAGGAGGAGATGCCGGGGGTTAGAGAGGCGCTTTGCGGCTGAGGGAGGTTGCGACTGAGGAGGGGCCGAGGAGGGGCTGAGGAGACAGTAGGCAAGGTCCTTTGCTACCACCGAAAAACAGTACAGCTGTTAAAACATACCTGTACCTATGTGTTTTGTGCTCTTTCCGTACATGCCCATATGCCGTCGCGCTGTATTACTAAAACACACCAACTACACACCATCCTACACCCCATCTCTATCCCCGCAGGTTGTGTCCGAGAGGAGCAGTGCGCTGCTGCCGTACGACACGGATCCAACCCTAACCGCCGGCGTGTCGTACAGCAAGATGGCCATCAACGGCTACACGTACTGCAACATGCCGTTGAGTGCCGTACAGATGCGAGTGGGGCAGCGCGTGCGGTGGCACGTGGCGAGTGTGGGCAGCAGCGACTCATTGCACAACTACCACTGGCATGGTCACACGCTGGAGGTGAGTGAGTGGGTGCGTGAGCGGGTGAGCGGGTGTGTGGTGGGTGCGTGAGCGGGGGTGTGTGGTGGGTGTACATGTGTGGGACACCGAGCTCGCCCAGTGTTGTGAGTTGCGTGGGTTGGCGGTTTGTGGCGTATTGTTCAGGTGCTGCTGCTTTAATGGTTGGGTCTGGGCGGGTGATGTGGCGGGGGGAAAGGCGGCTAGGGCGTGTCATGCTTTTGAACTTACCGGTAGTAACCGGGGTTTCGAGTGCTGCTCCACGTGCTGGTGCTGGTGCTGGTGCTTCAACGTGGGGGTGCACAACCCGGTTGTAGTCGCTAACTGACGACGGTTACCGTAGTAACGCAGACCTCCCTCCCCCCCTCCCTCCTCCTTCTCCGCCCCCCCTCCTCAGCTCAACGGCCACCACGTGGACCAGTTCACCGCCATCCCCGGCGCCGCCTACTCCGCCAACATGCAGCTGGACCAGCCGGGCAACTGGATGGTGCACTGCCACGTCAACTTCCACATGGACGGCGGAATGGTCAACCTGTACAGCGTCGTGGGTGGGTGTGGGGGGCTGGGGTGGGGTGAAGGGAGCTGGGGGGCTGGGAGGGGAGGAGCCCCAGGGGTTGGGGAAGGAGGTTTGCAGGGAGGGCGTTTGCAGGGTTTGCAGGAGCCACAGGTGCCCTTGCGGCCTGTCCATATACCGGTATACATGTTTCTGTTCCGATGCTTCGCATCTTTACTTTCGGGTATTCTTGTTTTGCCCCAACCCGCCTGCCGCCGGCCACAGGCGACCCCGCTCCCTTCCCTTCCCTCCCTGGCGCCCGGGAGCGGGTGTACTACGTCGCCGCGGAGGAGGTGGAGTGGAGCTACACGGGGGAGAACAACACATACGCATGCGGGTGGGACGGGACCTTTGCAGGGAGGGAGGGAGGGCACGATTGGGGTGGGAACTTTGCAGGGAGGGAGGGAGGGCAGGATTGGGGTGGGAACTTTGCAGGGAGGGAGGATTGGGGCTTAGGGGTTTGTGGTTCACTTGAGGCTGGGGTACAGCTTTGTGCTGTGCACGACGACGACAGGCAGCAGCCTTGTGCACCCCCCCGCCCTCCAGCTTCATGCGGAATCTTCATCCCAATTAACCCTCCAGGCTTTACCTCCCCCCCCCTCGCCTGAATCCCACTCACCCCGCTCATCCCACTCACTGCCCTCACCCCCAGACCCGAACCCATCCCCTACGACGTCATCGCCTCGGACTCCTCGCCCGAGGGCAACCAGTTCGTGTCGGGCCCCTCCCGGGACCCGGTGCGTCTGGGCCCCAAGCTCACCAAGACGCTGTTCCGCGAGTACACGGACGCCAACTTCACCACGCTGAAGCAGCGCTCCCTGGCGGATTCGTACCTGGGTCTGGTGGGGCCCATCATGCGGGCCGCGGTGGGCGACAACATCACGGTGCGTGCGTGTTAGCGCGGCTTCTTGTGTCGCATGTGTGTCGCGTGCAGGGCTCCGTCAGTGCCATCTTTGGCACTTGGGTTCCACACACACCATCGGGGTTGGCGCTTTGGCGGCCGCCTTGCCGCCCTGCTGCCAGCTCGCTGCCCGCCGCCTAACTCCTATCGTACGTACGTAAAAAAACAAGAAAGACACACACATGGACCCCTCCCGCACACACACGTCACACTTACATGGCCCCGTTCCCCTGGAACCCCTCTCACCTCACACTCACCTCACACTCACATGGCGCCCTCTCACCACACACACCACCCCCAACCAACCCGCACTCCCGCCCCCGCAGGTGGTGCTGCTGAACCGCGCCTCCATGAGCGTCAGCATGCACCCGCACGGGCTGCGGTACGACAAGGCCAACGAGGGCACCCTGTACGAGGACGGCACGCCAGACGCGGAGAAGCAGGACGATATCGTACAGCCCGGCCAGATCTACACGTACCACTGGATGGTGAGGGGTGAGGGGTGGGGGTGGGGGTGGGGTGAGGGGTGAGGGTGGGGGTGGGGTGAGGGGTGAGGGTGGGGGGATGTGATCTGGGCCCTCTGCGTGCCCATCATAGAAGGCTCTGCCCACACACACACGTGCTTGTCCGGATGCTCCTTCCCCCCAGTAACTGCTCCCCTGTACGTTCTTTCCTTATCGCCACATGCACATGCCTACAGACGGTTTCATGCTGTAGGACTCCAACCACACCCACCATCCGCAACCAAACGTCTAAAAGTACTTCTTCTCCGCCACCCCCCTGCCCCCCCCGTCAAAGGTTCCCGACCGCGCGGGCCCCGGTCCCAAGGACCCCTCCTCCATGCTCTGGATGTATCACAGTCACTTGAACGAGACCGCGCAGACGTACGCGGGCCTGGTGGGAGGCGTCATCGTCACGGGGAGGGACTACGTTGATGCAAACGCCACGGAGCCGCGACCCAACGATGTGGACCGAGAGGTGGTCATCTTCTTCAATGTGGTAAATGAGACCAAGTCCTCCAACCTCCAGGTGCGTTTCACAAGGAAGGACTGCTCGAGTCTTAACGGGGTTGTGTCGAATGTGTCTCCTTGTATCGTACTGTCCACTTGTTTTTGTCTCTCGGTGGTATCGCTCCCTTGGGCCCCCGTTATCACAAGGTGGCGTCTCTTGGTCCGTTTGGGTAAAGCCGCGTAATCCTCATTACCAGGCCAAGCATGTCCCCGTGCATGGGACCAACAAACAACACAGCATGTAAGCTGCTGTTAAGCTGGTATGCCATACATAACGCGCGTGTACTTCGTACCGCTGCCGCTGTCCAACCGCTGCTCCTGCCGTACTGTTGCTGTACTGCAGTACAACCTGGCGACCAAGCTAGGCGATGGCGGCCGTCTGGCTGCTCAGATGGCGGCCAACAGCACCTTCGCGACCCAGATCACTACTGACGCTGGTTTTCAGGTGGGAGGGGTGAGGTAGATGCGGGCTGATGCGAGGGTGCGGCTGCTGGTTAATGTGGGTGGGTGTGAGAGTGCGGATTCACCCCTGCCAGTCATTCCTGGCTGAGTGAGGGTGAGGTAGAGGATTCGTACGATTGGGTGATCGAGCGCAGGAGAGTGACGGACCCGGATCAGATCATGTGATCAACTAAGCGCTGGTATGCCGGTATGGTGTTCTAGCTGCTGACACTGACCCGCATTCCTGACACTCACCATGGGTGTGCATGCCTTGCGCGTGGAACCCGTACACAGGAGCACATGCTAAAGCACGGCATTAACGGCTACATGTACTGCAACATGCCCCGTCTGACCTTCCTCCAAGGCGATAAGGTAAGTACCACGTTGTACGATCAATAAGGCCTAGGCTCTCTTCGCTTACGTACTTGCATGCCAAGTCATATCGATCGTAAATGAGATTTTTTAATCATGAATCTTGGTGCCTCACACTTACTTCCGTACGGCTGCAGGTACGACTGCACGTGATGGTGGTTGGTTCGGTTGAGGACATGCACACGCCCAACCTGGGCGGCGCGCGCTTTGACTACAACCGACAGAGCAGCGACGCAGTACAGATCAGCCCGGGCGGCATGATCAGCGCTGACGTGTCGATGAGCTCGCCAGGTAGGGGGTTAGATAAACTGAGCCGCGGAAACACTGACCCTGACCAGGTAGGGGGTGCTGCCAGTGTAGGATGTTCGGACCATCAAGCACACACACGCCAGTTATTTTAACACACACGCTTCCGGGGAATGTTTCCATCTGAGGAGAAGGCCGTACACGCTCCTGCGCTACCGGTACCTCTTGTATGCATCAACCTTTCCTCGCCCCCTTCCATCCTTCCACCGCACCGTCCCCACACAACGTACTATCTGGTTGTACCAATTCCTTTTCCCTCACGTCCCACTCCCCCACCTCCCGCCCCTAACCCCGCAGGTGAATTCGATCTCACATGTCGTGTAGCTGACCACGTGGCCTCAGGCATGCACGCCAAGTACAGCGTGCTGCCCAACCCCGCCGCAGCAGCCACCCAGCTCAGCGGCGTCACTCGCACCTACTACATCCAGGCGGAACCGGAGGAGTGGGACTACGCGCCCGACGGCTACCAGAGGTACTGGGAGGAGGAGGAAATGGGGAGGGGAACTGGGAGGAGGAGGAAATGGGGAGGAGGGCGCGGTGCGGCGCGGCGCGATTCTCTACCTGTAACCTGTCGTCGCATGCTTGCATTGCTTGGGCACTGCTGCAGCGGTGATTGTTTGGCTCCATCTTTGTTGACTGCGTTTACTGCGTTGAAATACGACGTTCATTTACGGACAGGTGTACGGATACGGATCTGTCGTACTACTCCAACACCTTCCTGCTGTCGTCCTTCGACACCACGGATTCCAAGTATCGAAAGGCGGTGTACAGGTGGGCGCCTGTTGTGTGGCTTGAGTTGCGCGTGAGGGCGCGTGTCGTGTATTGTTGGCCACCAAAACCTGGCCACGAAACTGGCCTGCGTGTGCACCGGGTACACTTACAGCACCACCTCCTACGCACCTGCGCGGGACAAACCAACTAGATGGTAGTTGCTATGCCATGTGTATGCTGCCGGCTAGCGAATCCGGCGCTAGCTACGATGAGTCTGCATCCCAACTCCTAAAATCCACGCCTTCCCCAACACCTTAACCCCCCCAGGGAGTACACGGACGCTACCTTCACAGTCCGCAAGAGCGCCCCCGCCTACTATGGCACCATGGGCCCCATGATCGTCGTGGAGGTAAGCGGCTGCGGAGCGAGGAAGATGGACTGCCTCGCTCGTGACGACCCATGGGTCAACACAGTCAGCGGTTAATACTACTAGCTGAGCCGCGCACTAACAGTTCACAGGCCATACCTGTCGGTTGACAAGAGGTACACGGGTGGCCGCGTACCAGAGCGCTTTTGCAGCAAACACCCCCAGCCCCTTTTGTGTCCTCTCTCCTCATCGCCGGAAATGCATGCCTATGCATACCGGTGCGCATTTCGGCAATCACAATACGTTCCGACTCTCGGCCAGGTTTCTGCGCATACCGGTTACGCGCTCCATACAACCCCACCTGCTGGATCGCACACCTACTGCTCTTCGCTTCCCTCATTCCCCGTCACTCCGCAGGTGGGAGACCAGCTCGTGATCCACTTCCGCAACAATCTGACCGACCTGCCAGACTATCCCGTCAACTTGAGCCCCGGAGGCGGCTTGGTGAGGGTCAACGACGCCAGCAGCAGCAGCAGCAGTGGCGGGGAGGTGGCGTGCGGGACGGCTGTGGCGGCGGGTCAGACGTGCGTATACCGCTGGGTGGTGCCCGACACTGCGGGTCCCTCCGCAGGTGGGTGGGGCGATACGGTAACAGCGGCTACAGCGAGTTCAGCGACTCCGGGGCGCCCATTCTGGCGCTCACCCATAGCAGCATAACAGGACCTGGTGGCTGGGCAGTCGGTGATTCCCTGGAAGCCATCTTCCTCGCTGCTGCTCTGCTGCTCCTTGCTCTGCTGTCTTCTTGCTGATGAAGTCCTCTTGCCCCTCCATACACACAGTGCTACCAGTCCCCGCTCCCCCCCCCCCCCCGACCACCACCACCTCCTATGGTCTCCTATGGTTTGGTATGGTCTTTGACCCACCACCACCACCTCCCTACACTCATGTTTGCATCACATGGTGAAGCCACATGCCCATGTTCTACAGCTTGTCCTTGGATTCCCCTTCACTCCGCCCACCCCCCTGCCTCCCCTGCCAGACGACTTCAACACCGCCGTGTACAGCTACACCAGCACGGCAGTGGACCTGGTCGCTGCGCCCTCCGCCGGGTTGGTGGGGGCGCTGGTGGTGGCGGGCAGGGGGGAGCTGCAGCAGCCGGCCTCGTCTAACAACAGCAGCAGCAGTGCTGCTGCTACCCTGCTGCCCAAGGGAGTGGATCTGATGGTACCGCTGTTCTGGCAGGTGCGGCAGAGCCGTGCCTCGGCCGGATTTGATGTGAAAAAGCCCCTCCAGATCACCGAACTGTGCGGCAGGCAAAGTAGCACGTTTGGCGAAGTGACAAGGCACCGGTGGTGCTATAAGCAACAAGGGTGTACGGCTTTTGCTTCATGCGTCGTGCGTCGCGTCGTGTTCAGTGTTCACACGAAACTATTCTTAACCGGAACTCCGCCCGTTTGTCGTACAGGTTGTTGACGAGTCCCTGAGCCCCTACTACGATGTCAATCTGGCAGCTGACGGTATCGACATGGCGCTCGTGGAGTCGGAGGACATGTTTGAGGCCAGTCTCACGGTGAGGGGGGGTGAGAAAGAAGAGCAGGAAATCGAAAGCAGCGAGAAGAGTCGAGCTTGCAAACCGTGGCATTCGATTTGATACCTACTCCTTACATGATGTGTGGGCCCGAGGAGGCTTTCTTTTCCCATGCTCTTGATACATGCCTGACCACTGACCTCATGTCCCTGTTGCAGGAGAGTAACATGATGCACTCCATCAATGGTTTCGTGTACTGCAACATGCCCCATGTGGTCGCCAAATCGGGATCTGTCGTACGCTGGGTGATGGTGGCGTACGGCACCGAGGGAGACTTCCATGCGCCGTACTTTGGAGGCCAGGCAGTACAGGTACGACAGGAGGCATGATGCTACGACCCACATCCGCAGTAACAGTTCAGTTCACGCACGCTTATTTACAAGCCTTCTCTTAAAGCTTCGCCTGCGTCTCAGACTTGTGCCTTTTGAATCAATGAAGCTCTTCGCGTGTCAGATCTGTGTTACTTGTTCAACTAAGCCAACCAACAAACACTCGCGCTTTAATTATCATGCATGCAACATATCCTCGCAGGTTGACCGCACCGGCTTCAGCACCCTGGCTTCTCTCATGCCCTCCATCTCTCGTGCGGCCGACATGCGAGCAGGTGTGTTCTCGTGTTTGGGTGTGAGCGTTCGGGGCATGCCCGTGCTTATGCACACTAACCCGCAACTCCACGCTCATGCTTGCCTCACTAGCTTCCACAACCCTGTTTAGGTGTCTAGCGCCATGCAACCACCCTGCTGCCTCGCCACCTCCCCTTACATCCCCTTTTCCCTGCCTAGCCAATCCTGACCCCCCTCCGGACCCCACCTTCCCCACCCACCACCCGCAGGCGACCCGGGCACCTGGCTGCTGTACTGCGACATTCACGACCACTTCCTTTCTGGCATGGTGGCGCAGTTTGTGGTAGAGCAGTAGATGGGCGGGACTGCTGCTGCTGCAGCTGCTGAAAGCATTGCAGCCGCTTGCTTAAGAGGTGCGAAGTATCTATCTAGGATAGTCGGTTGACTGGCTGTTAACCAACATGCCTAAAGCGTCAAGCCCATGGAGGTTAAATAGGACTCGGTAACTGGGCTTGGTTCACCATGAGCACTTGAGCAGGGGTGTGGCTATCTTGAGTGCTGTTCGTGACATCGGGAGTGTAGGTGATGGGTTGGGGTAGAGCTTTGGCGTGCATGCACGTGCTGGGTTGCATGGGGCCCTAGGCTGTTGTAGGAGGGGCTGGAGGGAACAGATGAGGTAGCTATGCGTGGTCAACGCTTGGCATGCTGCTATGAACCGGTGATATATTGAAATGTGTGAACCATTATTATACAGTTTCTAGATGAACACTGCTTAAGTAAGTTACGTATGCAGGACTAAGCCAAGGACATGCTAAGCCAGACATGACCGAATAAGTTACGCTCTGCAGGTTCAGGCGTAGACCAGCCGACATGCGTAGAAGGCTTGGTGACTTGGTGGGATGCGTGTGTGGGCATCTTTTTTATCGAAACACCGCCCCCCGAATGTTGCCGTGCTGCCGCGCCGTACTACAACAGTTGCTAACTTAATGTGGGGTGACATGTTAGTGATCCAGAGTTGGGGCTTAACATATTGGATCCCAGCCCTCCTGGAAAGTTCTCTAGTGTTTTTCGGGCAAGTCTGCTCCTGCTGCTGGCAAAGCGTGCTAACATTGTGCTAGCACGCAAGTGTTGTTGTCATGCGCACAGCTTCTACCGGTATGGTGCGACCCGTGTGTCAGCTGTACAGATACGGTGGTGTTCCTGGTTTTATGGCTGTGCGGGCTGTTCGGCAAACTTACGTGGTGAACGGCAGTGTGCGAGGAAGACAGATAAGCAGCAGGTGCCTGGGCATGTAAGGCAAAGCTTTTGCAGAGGCTGAAGCTGGCCGCACTTGCCTCGACCGACAGACGAGGAAACGCTGAGATATGTGACAAATACCAAGGATTTTGGATTGATGGGGATCAAGTGAACGCCGGATTGAACCCTGGCTATCGGGACTACTTCGCGAAGCGCTTTCGCTGAGCATGCAGGCGTACAGGGACACCAGCAGCAACGAGAAAGTGTGTTCGCAGCATCAGATGGATGCAGCTATACGTGTTTTTACAGGATGAAATATGCTATGGCTCCCGCTCCCTGCTTTTACGGGGAGTGAGCTGTAAGTAGAAGTTAGATCACGCAGGACGTAACTATCGAGCATCGGTATACAGCTACGTGAAGTATTCTGTATATTCGTTGCTAGACGCTCATTCTCTGTTGGGCGGTTGCCCTGGCCAACGGTTCCCGCGCGCTCCAAATTGGTTTCTCCATTTTCCAGCTCGCAGCTTTGTTGCTCATACCCACCTATGCCACTGCGCTTAGAGAGTCTATATACGTGAGCTGCTTTTAATTATAACTAATATCGTCTTCCATCCAGCCAGGACTCCGGCAACGTTCAGCGTCTCTGCCGACGGCACGAAGTATAACACATTTATATTCAGTATTTCATCCAGTTTGTAATGTCTTTACCTTCGGACACATGATTATTAGTTTGGATAATAGGTGGAGAGCAGCCCTTCGGCTGCGAATCCTTGAGAATTAGGGCTACACCATGGCGCTGCGCGTTCTGAACGTCGCGGAGAAGCCCAGTGTCGCAAAGGAGGTCTCAAGGATTCTTAGCGATGGTACCGCGAGGTCGTCGCGAGGAGCGTGAGTAGGGCCAATCCATGCCATGCCACCCGATGACCCAAGTGAATCGTGCCTCGAAGGGCTTACCCACGCATCCATCTGGCTTAGAGCCGGCAAACTGTGTTCCTTTGTCCAAGCCTGCTCACGGCAATCATGTCCCTTGTACCTTGTTCCTTCCATTCTTTTATGTTAACGCCTGCCCTCCAACCCGCTTCCCCGCTTAACTCAGCCTCCCTCCCATCGCCATCCTTCACACCCTTCCTAAATCACTAAATTACAATACTTTCCAGGGCTCGCTTCAATCCTATATGGGAATTCGGGTACAACGTGGAGGGGCGTCAGGCGCTCATGATGTTCACATCGGTAGCGGGACATCTCATGGAGGTTGACTTCCCAGACCCGTGAGTACTCTGAGTCCCAAGAAACAACGTCAGTCATGGCTCACCTTACCCAAAAGGGCTGTCGGCTCGGGACTCTCCCTTGAAAAGTTGAAGCAGGACAGTAAGGAAGACCCATGGGTCATGGGAACCCAGATGGGGAATTGGGTGGTCGCGTGGGGTGGCCCCTTCGGATAGGGCCTTCCTCCTTGTCCACCCCTCCCTCCTCTTCCCTCCCTCCCTGCCTCCCGCCCCCTCCCTTAGCTACCGCAAGTGGCACAGCTGCAGCGATGTGGACCTCTACACCTGCCCCGTGGAGAAGAAGGTGCCGCAGGTGAGGTGAGGGGCGGGGGGGGGCGGGAGGGGAAGCGGGAGGGGAAGGGAGGAAGGTGCCGCAGGTGAGGTGAGGGGCGGGTAAAGAGGAAACAACTAACTGACTGAGGGATAAGGCGTCAACATGGGTTGCAACATGTGGAGGGGTGGGGGAGCGGGAGGGGAAGGGAGGAATTTGAAGAGGAGTGCAGCAACGGAGTCCCAATCCCGAATCCCGACTCATGCAGTCTCATAAAGGGGAAGGGGGAAGGTGCCGCTGGTAAGATGGATAGGAGAAGCAGAGACATCAAAAACACAAGCCGCAAGCAAATGTTGTGTGTTGGTGTCTGGCACCCACTCCTTTGCTCCATGCCCTCCCATCCCGCCCCACCCCACCTCCCGCCCCGCCCCGCCTCCCGCCCCTCGTAACCCTATACACCTTACCCGCCGCCCCCCGCCGCATGCAGGACAAGCAGGACATGAAGCGGCAACTGGAGCAGCTCAGCCGGCAGTGCCAGTGGCTGGTGCTGTGGCTGGACTGCGATCGGGAGGGGGAGAACATCAGCTTTGAGGTGCGGGTGTAGAAGCATGGGGCAATGGGGCTGACGGGGCAACTCATGAGCTGTACCGTGGGTGGGTGTAAGGGAAACCAACTAATGCGTGAGGGGGGGGGGGCTGGATGCTACAAGAGGGCAAAGGGTGGCGTGTTAGCCGTGACATGTGTCCTTTCCGCCCCGCCGCCTCCACCGCCCCTCCCCATCATCCCCCTGCGTGGACTCCCCCTCCTGCACCCCCCCCTCATCCCCTCTCCCTCCCTGCCTGCCCCCTCCCAACCCCGCACCCCAGGTCCTGGGCGTGTGCCGCGCCGTCAACCCGCGCCTCGTCATCCGCCGCGCGCGCTTCTCCGCCCTCATCCCCCGCGAGTTGCAGCGCGCCATGGCCACCCTGGGGCAGCCCAACGCGGCGGACGCGGCGGCGGTGGATGCGCGGCAGGAGATTGACCTGCGCATCGGGGCCAGCTTCACGCGCTTCCAAACCAAGCAGCTGAGGGTGGGTGGGAGGGAGGGAGAGGGGGGTGCGGGGGGAGGGGGGCGCATGGCGTACGGCTATCTTCCACTCCCCAGGAGCCCTTCAACCCATGAAACCGCACCCCTCCCGCCCGGCATCATTCCTACCGCCAAAGCCCTGGTTGTTAGGAGCGGTCAGTTGCCTTTCCCTTTACATCCGCCCGTGTCCTCCCTATCCTCTCCCCTCTCCCTGCCCCTCCCTCCCCAACCATGGCAAACCCCTGAAACCCGAACCCCACCCCCCCCACCGGCTGCAGGACCGTTTCGACCTGTCCGGCATCTCCGCGCTGCGCGAGCGCATGGCCCGGGACAACAAGGCGCCCGTCATCAGCTACGGCCCCTGCCAGTTTCCCACGCTGGGCATCATCGTGCAGCGCGCGTGGGAGGTGCAGAACCACGTGAGGGAGGCGTTCTGGTGAGGAGCGGGAGGGCAGGGGAGGCAAAGGGAGGCAGCGGGCTGGGGAGGCAGGGGAGGCGCCGTGAGGCTGCATCGGTAAAGCCTCCACCCTGCCCCTTCAACGTCTCTTCTGCCCACCCACGCCTCCTTACCTTCGACCCACCAACTTACCTCACCCCATCTCACCCCGCCCATGGCGTTCCTCCTTGGCTTTCCCCCAGGACCATCCACATGGCCTATCGCGACCCCCCTCCCGGCCCCGGAGGCCACTGCGTGTTCGAGTGGGCCCGCGGGCGACTGTTCGATGAAGCGGCAGCAGCCATGTACTTCGAGGTACGGCAGGGAGGTGGGCGTGTGTACGGCATGCGTAGTGCGACATGTGTGCGGTAGGTACGGCAGATGTCTTGCATGCATGTATGTGTTCCTCCTTTTTCTTCTTCGGAGATCCCACCCTAACCGTGGTAAGCATGCCCTTGCTTCCCGTGCCCCTCACCTCCCTTCCCACCCCTATACTACGGCCAGGGTCAGTATTTCTCGCGGCTCAGTTTGTTCCCCATCCCCATCCCCCCCTTTTGATTGGGACTCCGTTGCTTCACTTTTCAGTTATTTCCCCCACCTGCCTTCTCCCCCCCCCAGGTGTGTCAGGAGGCGGGTCCCGCGGTGGTGGTGGCGGTGCGCGGCGCCACGCGCACCCGGCAGGCGCCCGCACCCCTCAGCACGCTGGAGATGCAGAAGCGAGCCACGGCCAAGCTGCGGTTGAGCGGTGGGGCGGGCGGGAAGGGGGGAGAGGGAGGGCAAGGAGGGGAGTGACCCATGGGTCGCTGAAGTGCAACCCATCTTGCAGGTAGGGCTGCTAACTGCGTCCAAACCCCCCAACTGCTACCGGTTCTCTAACCGCCGTTACCATTGTATCCCCATCCCCGCCACCCCAACACCGCACCGCTGCCTCCAGCCCCTGCACTACCCTCCTTCACTCTTTCCCCCCTCCCCTCCCTCCCCCTCCTCCCCCCCCCCTCCTCCCCCCTGCCCCCCTCACACCACACTTTGGAATTTCTTATTTCCCCCCCAGGTGAGCGCATCATGAAGCTGGCGGAGGAGCTCTACCAGGCGGGCTTCATCTCCTACCCGCGTACGGAGACGGACGTGTTCGATCCGGGCATGGATCTGCGGGTGGGAGGTGGGGAGTGGGAAGGGGGGGAATGGGCGCCTCAGGACCCCCGCTATGGACACCTCGGGGCTTATGAGCGCCTGTGCACCAGCCAACGCCCTCCAGCTGCACCCCGCCCCACCCACATACGCCCCCTACCCATGCATGCCTGCACCCCTCCCCACCCACATGCCCCCTCCCCCCCTGCTCAGGGTATCGTGTCGGAGCACGCCAACGACCCGCGCTGGGGCGCCCACGCGCAGCGCATCCTGTCGGGTGAGCTGTGGCGGCAGCCGCGACCCGGGGGTCACGACGACAAGGCGCACCCGCCCATCCACCCCACCCGGCACTCCACGGTGGGGTGAGGGGGGGGGAAAGGGGGGCGGGAAGGGGGATGTGTGGGGGGAGAGCACATGGCGTTAGGGTGGGACATAAGCATGGGACGTGTAGGGCCCTGGGGAACGTGTAGGGCTCTGGGACGTGCAGGTGATGTGTATGTTGTAGGGGACTGGGGGGTGTAGGGTTCCATAGGGGCCTTATGGAGTGGGGGAGGGGAGAAGGGGCCCACCTCATGGTGGCGGAGAAGGTGACGATGCGACAAACACGAATTCGGAAGGTCGTTGCAGCGGTTACTGCTGGTCCGTTGCTTCAACACGCCGGCAGTAGTATAACACAAACTCACGCATGCACGCGCGCATTGCTCGCAAGTACCACGCAGGGTGAGAACGACTGGAGCCATGAGAAGCGGAGCTTGTACGAGTTCGTCGTACGGCACTTCCTGGCTTGCTGCTCCAAGGATGCGATTGGCTCCGAAACCCAAGTGGAGGTGGATTTGGGCGGTGAGAGGGAGGGGAGGAGGGAGGAGCGGAGAGGGGGTAAATGTGTGCGGCGCCGCCTTTCTCTCCCACACCTCGCCGCCTTGCTGTGACCATCTTTGCTTTGCTTTGCACATCGGACCAACAAACCGACAAACTGCTTCAACAACCAAACCAAAACCAAACGAACCAACTGCTGCAGGCGAGCGCTTCCGTACGACGGGTCTTATGGTTTTGGAGCGCAACTGGCTGGACGTGTATCCGTACAGCGGTTGGGGCGGCAACGACAACCTGCCGCCGCTGACGCAGGGGCAGAGCTTCGTGCCTTCGGAGCTGAGGCTGAGGGCGGTACGGCAACCGCACACATGGGTTGGGAACTTGGGGTACATCCACACACCCGTCCTCTTGGGGTGTGGGAGACATGGGACGCAAACCCGAGCTGATTGGGATGCGGGCCGGGGTGCTGTCGGTTGGGAGGAGGGAGGACATGGGAATGGAGGGGACAGGGGGAGACAGGCAGGGCAGGGGTATGTACGAGTGGGGAGAGCCGCGGCATGCCAATGCAATGGTGGCATGCAAGGGTGGCATGGGAAGGGAGGAAGGAAGGTAAGACCCTATGGGCCAAACGCATTTATGTGACTCCCCACCCCTCCCCCTCCCCTGCCTCCCCCCCAGGGCACCACCGAGCCCCCTCCGCGGCTGTCCGAACGAGATCTCATCGCAAAGATGGAAGCACACGGCATCGGTACGACAGGGGTTGCGTCGTACAGCTGTAGCAGCGGCAGTAGCAGTGACAGTTGCAGACCATCCCTTCTTTTGTTTCTTCTCTTCCTTTCTTATTCGCCGCCGCCCTTGTGTCACCACCGCGCCTGTGTTGCCCTCCCTGCTGTTGCAGGCACGGACGCCACCGTGGCGGAGCACATCCAGAAGCAGCTGGAGCGGGGCTACGCGGAGAAGGACGAGGGGGCGCTCACGTTCTGGCCAACACCGCTTGGTGGGAGGGGAGAGGAGGAGAGGGGCATGGCGCAGATGAGCAAGATGCCAGATGCCACGACGCCACAATCCCCTCCACGAAGCCCTTTTCCTGAACCCTTTACATCCCCCACCGCCCCGTTCCCCAAACCCCCCTACTTGCCCTCTGCCCCCTTTACTCCTGTACCTCCCTTCCTCTCCCTCCCCCCCACCTCAGCTCGTCGGCTTCCTTTCCATTCTCATTCAACACATTAGGTCTTCTTCTTTCCCCCCCCCCTCCACCTCTGTTTCCATATTTCTCCCCTCCCCCTCCCCCCCCGCAGGGATTGTCAGCAACTTATATCATTATCACACCACACTTTGGAATTTCTTCCCCCCCCCCCGCAGGTGAGGCCCTGATCAGCAGCTACTGTCGCATGGGTCTAGACGACCTATGGAAGCCCGACCTGCGGGGCAAGATCGAGGCCAGCATCCGTGACGTGGCGGCGGGCAGGGTCAGCAGGGAGCAGGTGAGGAGGGGTGGGTGGGAGGGTGAGGCGGGGGGTGAGATGGGGGAAGGTGGGGGACTGGGGGACTGGGGCGGGTCATCTACTTCCACCAATTCAGCCTCTTCTAACCCCGCCCAAGACTAAGACCTCGACCCGCCATGCAACCCGCACATCCCCCCACTCATCAGGACACCTCAAGAACGGACTCACCTGTTTTCCTTCCCCAACATTACCCCCATACACAACCTGGTAACCTCCTCCTAATCCCCAACTTCTCGCCCCCAACCCCAACCCCTGGGTCTCCCACACCTGCAGCCCCGGTGAGCCTGCATGCAATGGCTCGCTTGGGTGACAGGGTTGTTTGGGGAGCCTTGCGAGGCCCCGCCCTGTCATTGTTTTTAGCTGTCATTTCACTGGCACCGCACGTTTTGCACCCCCTGCATATCTTGATCATAATACCCATACTGCGCTTGCGCTTAATTAAGCATGCTCGTCCCATGCCGTACTTCGCATCGCCGCCTTTCGCATAAATACTAACTCTCGGCATAGTCCCGTCTCTTTCATCATGATAAGCCAGCCATCTTCATCGTCATACAGCCTGCGTCGATATACAGCGCAGCTCGCAGCACCAGCACAGCACAGGGACGCATGCCTGCCTTCTGTTCGCTCGTCGCGCCGCCTTCTTGTGTCTCTGGACGCTTTTCGCTCACTATTAACGAAATTTGGTGCGTCTTCGTTGCACAATTTTCCCTTGCTACGCAGGTCAGTCGGGGGTCGCACTAGTGGGTGGGCTGGGCTTTGTTAGACCCATGGGTCATTTGCGAGGGTCGGGCAGGGTAAAATGCTTTGGTGCACACAGCCGCATGACAGCCCCAGCTAAGCAGTGGAGCTTACATACGTTATGAAGCTGACAGCACTGCAGCACAGACATCAGGTCTAGCGCAGTGGAGCCGGGTATCACAGTAGCAGCCGCCTTTTATTCGCCAATGCAGAGTGATCTCAGATCACCCCAGCCGCCATGGAGCTTACAATACGGTTTGTTATTGATTGATGCTACTAACTATACAACAACTACAGTTATTTCCTACCCCAACTATCCAGCGTAATGCGGATTCTGTTTCCAAATTAACCCCAACCCCTCGCCCCCTACCCCCTCGCCTCCCCCCCGCCCCCAGGTGCTGCAGGAGGCGCTGGAGTTCTTCCGCGCCGACTTCCTGACGGCGCAGCAGCGGGCGGGCGTGCTGAGCAGCGAGCTGGGCCGCTTCCTGCCGCTAGCTGGGGGAGGAGGAGGGGGAGGGGGGGGAGGTGGAGGGGGAGGGGGAGGAGGAGGGTAAGCATATGCGTGGGAGAGGGGGAAATGGTTGAGAGTGCTGTGGTACAGGTTGTTGATGCATGAATGCAAGCATGCATGCTTGGGCGCTGTAGTTGGTGTCATGTAAGGGGTTGTGAGGCAGTGGTGTGGGGAGTAAAGGTGAGGTGGTCGGCACTTGGAGCGGGGCCGACCTGCGTCCCGAGCAGCCACTGGAAGCTTTTGCTGCCACACCACATGTGACCTGGGAACCCCAATAGCAACCGAATTGCACTATACGACACCCTCAATGCATTCCTTCCCTCACGCAGGTACGGAGGCGGTGGCCCCGGTGGCCCCGGCGGCGGGCCTTACGGCGGCGGAGGGGGCGGAGGGGGAGGCGAGGGGGCTCCCGAGGGTCCCCGTCTGGGTACGTGTCAGAGCTGCGGCGGGGCCCCACTGGTGCTCAGTCGCGGTGGCGGCGGTGGGGAGGGGCGCTTCGCGGCGGTTTGCGCCAACACCGGCACATGCGGGTTCAGGTGAGGGGGCGCATGGGGTTCGTTTTGGATGCGGGTTTGGATGGGTATCTCATGACCGCATAGCCGTGAAGGTATCTCCATTTCATTACAACACAACAGAACACGTGGTAGGCAGCCTTCCTCTCAAGGGCCCTAGCCCCCCCCCCTCCCACCCGTCCCAATCAACTACCCCCCCTCCCCCCCATGACGTGCTGCCAGGCTGTCCCTGCCCCGTGCGGTGTCGGAGGCCTCGCCCACCCCGCAGCCCTGCGGCAGCTGCGCCCTCACGGTGGGGGCGGGGCCGCTCATGTGCGTGGCTCTGCGCTTCCGAATGGGGCTGCTGCCGCCGGGGGTACTGCAGGTGAGGGGGGGCGGGGGGCGGGGGCGAGGGTAAGGAGCAGGCGGCAGGAGGCGGGGCGGGGAGGAAAGGGGCTGTTGCTGGGTATGCATGCGTGACGGGTGCGAGATGATGCAGCTGGTAAAAAGGCGATTTGAAAGGATGCTTCGGGATGAGAGTTGCCTTTGGGACGTACAGAAGACGTACAGAAGCCTTTGGGGGCCTGGATGCCCGTTGATGGCCACTCCGGGCGCTCGAAGTGATCCCATGGTGATCTCATCGGGATCCTGCCGCGCCGCCGAACCGCTGCAGGAGCCCAACCTCACGGGCTGTCTCATCTGCGACCCGCGGATCAAGGAAGTGATGGAGGCGTGCGGTGTAGGCACTGGCGGCGGAGGAACCGGCGGAGGCGGCGGAGGCGCGCGGGCAAGAGGTGCCGCCGGCGCTGCCGTACGCAACGGCGGCGGAGGTGGTGGTGGCGGAGGCGGGGGCTTTGGCAGCGGCGGCGGCGGGATCGGCGGACAGCAGCGGTACGGCGCGTACGGTACGGCAGCCGATTACGACAATGGGAATGACGTTGACGTCGACGATGACCAGGACGGTGGCGGCGGCGGGAGACGGGGCCGCCGGGGTGCATCTTCCGCAGCTCGAGGCGGCGGTCGCGGCGGTGGATCTAGATCCAGATCTGAACCAGCGGCAGCGCGCTCTGGCGGCGGCGGCGGTCGTGGAGGTCGTGCTGCCGCCGCCGCTAGCGGCGGCGGCGGTGAGGGCCGCAGTCGCTCTGCTGGTCGCGCAGCGAGCCGCTCTGGCGGCGGCGCCGCCGCCGGTAGGAATTCTGGTGGAGGCGGCGGTGGTGGTGGTGGCGGGGGTGCAGGTGATGCGCCGCTGTGTCCCCTCCACAACCTTCCATGCCGTCGGGTGGTATCTCAAAGCTCGGCAAACCCCAACCGTCCGTTCTTCAAATGCGGCCATGCGGATAGGGCGGAGCAGGACGCGTGCGGAGTGTTTGTGTGGGAGGACCAATGGGACGGATCTCGCATTGCACCGTCTCGTAACGGTGGCGGTGGCGGTGGAGGCGGCGGCGGCGGCGACGGTGGCGGTGCGCGTGGGGGTGCGGGAGGGTACGGCAATAGTGGCGGTGGCGGAGGCGGCGGAGGCGGCACGTTTGCGTCTGCTACCGGTGTGACGTACGGCGGTGGCGGAGGCGGCGGTGCTGTGTGCTATCGGTGCCAGCAACCCGGCCATTACGCGCGTGACTGTCCCAATAGTTGAGGTGTACGGCTGATGGGATAAAGGCACGCTTGCATATCTGCATGTTTGCAGGGCACATGGGCGCTGCCCTCTCTAGGAGTCGTGGGAAACTGATTGCATGGGAAAGGGAGGTGAGGCAGCCAGGTATGCATGCATGGGAGGGCGAGGGGAAACAACGAATGCGGGCGGCCGACGTGATCCATAGGACCACACACGACGTGTTGATGTGTAAGGAATGGAATAGCATGTTACAAGCTTTCAACAGTACCGGCGATGGGCATGTTGGATGGGAGTTAAGAGAACGAAGGGCATGGGAGGAGAGAGACTGTGTGTTTTCGAAGTGCATGGGATTTTGGCGGCGTTGGCTGTCGTACAGAGACCGGTAGGATGTGAGCGTGGGGTATGACATCATGCGTCGTGAAACTACGAAGTGCACGGCCACGTGGTTTGCCTGGGTTGGGGTTCTGACTGGATGACAGCAGGAGTGGATAACCGCGGGATGCGGAGGAGAGACGCAACGGGAGTCATACTCTACGTTTGCGAGGTGATTTTGGGAACGCGTGCGAAAGTTGCGAACCATTCCCCATGGTATGATACATTCACGCTGCTTGCGGTATTGGTATGTAGATATAGCAGTTTTTGGCCTGCCATTGATTTCAGGCGCTCCGCGAGGCCGGCGCCGTGGAAGCCTTGGGGATACACCGGGCGATGGAAGGATTCACCCGCAAGCGTTCATACGCCTTCTAAGCCATTTTACAAACGATAATACCCCTACCCTACCCGCTCCCGTATGTGCAGCTCGACCTCCCAATTGTCGTCCTGGGCTTCCAGCAGCGTAAAATGTGTAATTGAGGTGCAGTTGCAACTACATCGGCGAACTCAGTACCGGTACCGCTATTATAATTTTGAAGTTGCCAGCTATAAAATTGGGCTTAAAAGCTAAAACACTGTAAAGGCACCCAAAATGCGCTCTCCTGGATCCTCGCCGCTCGCCAGCCGTCGTACAGAAGCTAGGGAGGCGCAGCTCTGATCATCCAACTTCGACAGCTGCACCATAACAGTATGCAGATATTGACATTGTATATTTATGCAGCGACATGCTAATTCGTCATGCATAGCTGGAGTTGGGGTTTGCCCTAGGATAAGCAACCAAATTTGGCTTTGCTTGTGGGCCCCGGATGTATATGCAATATGCTACTACAAGATATGGAGCACTCCCACCCGGGGTACGCTTGAACCCTACGAATGCAAGTCCCAACCCTACAGACGCAATCCATGTGGCGATCAATGTTACACTGCAGGCGCGATCCTCTAACACCGGAATGGATCGAACGTAATTCCGACGCGCATGGGGAGAAGGACGCATCAAGCCCAAACGGGGAGCATCCCTCAGGCCGAAGCGTAGGCCCTGAGGTTGCAGCGGCTGTGAACGCTATGCATTATCAACTTAAAGCGCAGATGTCCCTTAGCAGGATGCTTACGGAAAGCCTTACAGGAATGCTGGGACAGGTGCGGTACCGTTATCGACTGTTGCCTCTAGTAGAATGATGCGAATCCAATTACAAAACTTTCGTTTGTGTGAAAAGCGAATGTACACTTTTCCATTTTGGCAATGGGTTTCCTGCATCGTGCGCTGCCTCGGAAGGCAACTAACCATCATTTTATTGACGGGAGGGAGCGAAGAGCGAATGGTTTTACCCAGAGTTTTTTCCTGTTTGGTATACTTTGCTCCGGTATTGTAATATGGTTATAGAGGGGTTCTGGCTTAGGGTTTGGGCGCTTCGTCTGCGAAAAAACCCTTCGACATGCAGCGCTCATGTGGCAGTGGGCGGCCCTATGCTGCTGCATAACTGCCGTTGCCTATGTTAATTGCTACAATCTCTCTGACTGCTAGACCACTTTTGCTATTTTGTGGCGCAATCGTCCTGGTACATGCAGGCCACGATGCTTCGCGAGCTGCTTGAAAACGCGCTTTACAAGCGAGGCGCCAGCCGGTCTGCGGACAGCAGCGACCATCCCCACCTTGCATCGCCATCGGCTGCATCTCTAGGCGGAGGCGGCAGGGGCAGCGGGACTCCCCAGCAGCAGGGCCGCACGCCCACCCAACGAAAGCGAGAGCGCGAGGTCACACAAACCTCAAACGACAACGGTGTTGCGATCGATCCAGTGCAGTCTGACTCTGCCGCTGCTAAGCTGTGCCGACTTGCGCCTCATAATGACCAGATGCTTACACCCACGCAGCCAGTCGGCCCCCACGGCCTGCACGGTGGAGAGCAGACCCCAAGCGCCCTGCAGGACTCACCACACAGCGCATGTGTGGGGATTCAGCAGCAGCAGCATGGGGAGCAGCATGGGGAGCAGCATGGGGAGCAGCAGCAGGTGGTGCACGCTAGCACTCCTGCCGGGCCCCTGGGGCTCATGCTGTCACCGCTGCCGCAGTCGTCATGGGGGCAGTACCATAACACGCCCTTGTACCTCAACCACCACCTCCACAACCACCAATTCCAGAACAATGACAGCCAGCTGCAGCAGGCGCAGCAGGCGCAGCAGCAGCAGCCAACACTAATGGCGCTTCCGATGTCGCTGCCGCCGCATCGGCTGCAGCATCAGCCGCATCAGCCGATGCAGCCGCGTCACTCAGCTTACGGTCGCCAAGGTGTGGACACGTTACGTGGCGGCCTGGCGGTGACGGCAGCAGCAGAAGCAACAGCAGCAGCGGGTACAACAAAAGCTGACGGCAAGGCGCAATATAGCATGGTATCCAAGGAAACAGCATCCAAGGGCGCAGCAGCAACACCCCTTGCGGCTGCTTCACCCTCTGTCGTCTCTTGGGCGTCAAGCGGGGCTGATGGGTGTGGCGGGGAGCTCCCTTCGCCGCCTGTGCTGCTGCAGCTGCTGTCGCCGTCCCCACAGCTTTCTTCGGCGTCGTCTGGATTGCAGCAGCAGAAGCAGCAAGAGCAGCAGCGCCACCCCTCGGGCTTGTCATTGCGGTACACCCACAGCGGTAGCCTGGGGGATAGACGTTACGTTCCCAACCCGATGATGCAATAGCAACAGGACCCAAGCGGCACCAGCAGCAGCAGTAGCGGCGACGGCTGTAGTTGAATGTACTCGGTTCGGCCGGTAGATCCCAGCACTGCACTTTATTACGTGATGTACCTCTCGCCGTGCGCACCCAAGCCCTAACTGCAGCAGCCGTCTGCCTGAAGGGACGCCATCAGCGGGCCCTAAAGCTATGATACATGCAAGGCTCATGGGCGCCGCTGGTTAGCTGCTACAGCCCCATGGAGCATCTGACGTGACCGTGGGACGTGCGAGCCTAATTAGGAAGGAGTGGGCTATTGGCAGCCGAGGTCGTTTGGGAATGTGCATATCGTAGGCGTCACGGCAGGCTTTGTAGTCAGGGTTAGGCTAGTACCTGTAGGTGGTGCACGCACGTGCCGTTTTGTATTGCCATGGGTCTGCAGCGAGCTGTATCTACTGCAGCGGATGAGTTTCTACACTGCCTCGATGCTCGATCCGATGGCGGTGATGGTGGTGCTTCTTAACAGCGGGGAGCACCGCCGGGTTGCTTGCGTTAGGGACCCTGTTGTGCGAAGAGCTGGAGCGCCTTGGTTGTGGCTCATGGCTGTAACATTAGGAGTTTGCCTGGTAACGGCTGACGTTGAGTTTTTGCTCAGACAGCAGACGTCGAGGAGTGCCGCTTACCGGGTGTCTCTTCCTCTACGATTGGAGTTACCGGTGTTGCTCGTTGCATGGAGGTGACTCGTTTGGCTGAGGCACCGTGTGCTGATTTACATAACCTCGGAACAAATGCCTCTAGTGATGTACCGGTATGTAGGGTGTGCAAGCGTGCATGACCGTGACTCTTGTCACAGGTTCAAGGCAATCTGACGGCCAGGAGTGATCAAATTGTGTTTGTAGCATTGCAAACTTGCATGTACGACGTGTACGACATGCATGTCACGTGTGTCAATGTGCGGTACGGCGCATACATGCCGCTGCTGTCTGCTGTCTGCTCGCTTACTGCTGTCGGCTCTTAATTAGATGAAATTGACGGAGAGTTCTATTGCTGCCTTGACTTCAAAGGCGGTGATGCCCGTGAGGTTTCTCTTTGCAACGACAAGGGAACGAAATGGACAAAAGTGAGTTGCATCAGGACTGAGGGCCGTTGACTAGTCACGGTGACCACGCAACGCGCTGGCAACGTGTCGCTGTGGTTAACAGCACACCGTGTTACGTTGGTTGAGCCGGAGACACAGGCGGCTCGTCCAGGATGCCGTATCCTTGTCCTTTGCTGGCTATCTTAGCTTACTGCTGTTAAATTGTTGCCAACATGCAATGCGGTTGCCGACATTCTTGGATGACGTACGGATTAACAGTGCAAGAGTTGTTTACGTGACACCGCTTCGTGCATATCGACGTGTTGGTGTGTGCATTATGTCTGTAGGCATTAACGTGACAGGATTGGGCGGGGTGGAGAAAGATATGTGGGGCTGACGGGTGCAAAGGCTGTACGCGTGCTGCGTGCTGCGAGCCCCGTACATAAGCAGCTTAGCAATGCCGTTGCGCCTTGAGGGGCAGGTAGCAGGGGCAACTGTAGGGCAAGGGCCTGCAACATCCCTTCCTTTAAAAGGGCAGGTCGGGATGTTTGCAGGCATGTCGGTACCTGCCCTACTCAACAGGCAAACCCCCATGCACCAAGCTTGGTCCCATTTAGGGCTGGGATGGAATTACCAGTACCCGAAAGGAAAAGACCTCCTGTGGCTGCTTGGAAGGTCCAGGCAAGGCCGGAGGGTGCGAGCGCTTTGCTGATCCGATGGATGCTGGTATGTGCAAACGTCGAAGTGTGTGTAGGACGCCCAAGGCTAGCCCAGGGCGTGCGAGGGAGATATGCCAAGATATAAGCACGCGCATACCTACTTTTCGTTCTATAAAGCGACGCTTGTATGCGTCATACAACCACGCGCATACCTACTTGTGCTTGTATGACGCTACCAAGGGGGCGGTTTCAACCGATTAGGACCTTTACGACAGCATGTCCAGGGCACCGGAACCACATATAGGAAGCCAGAGCACACATAGAAGTAACTGCTTTACAGCCAGTTTGGCAGTGAAGGCATAAGCCGCTGTCGCGTGTCTGTCGGAAAAAAGCCCTAGCAGCGAGTCGCTTGCAAGGTGAGGACGCGCGACCCACGCGTTGCCGGGCGTAACTTGAAGACAAGCCCCCTCTACTAATGACTGAGGTATTTGCTACAAGCAGATATCTCCGGGGTTGCTTTTGGCGCGTTTTACACAGTTGTTGAACGTTACTCAGAAATGCCTATCGCTAGTAACTTCTTAGGTGCAACTGTTGAAGCTTTTTCACTAAAGCTGGGCTTTGGCCATCACGGTTTGCCTATTGCAGGCTTGCATACGTCGACGTCATCCGAGGATTATCTAGTAGCACGCTAAGCAGTCCTTTGTTATCGACACGTATACAAAGGGCTACAGGTGGAGAATGCCTAATAGTGTCGCGCGTACCAGCGCCAGGCGCGGCCCATCGGCGTTCCTATCAGCTGGGCGATGCTCAAACGCAAAACGCCCTAAAAGGGCCGTTCTGTTTACTAGGAATGTAATCGCGAACGGATCCCATTCGGATCCTGTTGGCACAGCGGACGCCGCGGCAGGACGACCTATTGCTCCTCAACCGTCCGTTACCCAAGCATCAGCCACATCCATGGCCCGCGCCTTACCCGATGTCGCGGTGCTTTTCTGCAACTTGCGCAACCATGCGACATCCCTCGCACAGCGCTTGGCCCTGGCGGCTAGCTCAGCCGCAGCAGCTGTTTCAAGTTCCAATGGCTTGCCGCAACATCCCGCCCCGATGATGGGCCTTGGTTTGGCCGGCAGGCCTATGGGAGCTGCGGCGACATTGGCTGGGCTGCTGAGTAGTGGCACAGGGCCTACAACGCTTCAGCAGCTTTTGCGACAGCACCAACAGTGGGAAACTGCTGCTGCACAGCACAGTCATCACCATCAGCAGCAGCAGGCGCTTGAGGAGGAGGCGCAATGGGACGACGAGCACCTGTGGTCTGGACCTCACGCGGCGTGCGTGCCTTGGGACTGCGGGGTGAGTTGTGAGCATGTTGCGCGGTCTTGCCGAGTTTTTTTCGCTTTGTAACCCTGCTTGCATGCCGCGAGGACAGGCTGCTCCCTGTTGGATCAATAGTAGACGAGGGGGCACGAGGGGATGAGGCCGAGGGTCTCCACGGTCTCGTTCCGCGCGGCTGGCATTTGCATGTCAGGCCAAACTTTGGTCACATGCTCTCGCTCCGAACCCTAGTAGACGTTGCACTCACGCTGTCCCTCCCTTCTGCGTTACAGGAGCCCCTCTCACAGTCCTTCAGCGCGAGCCACTACTCCCTGCCAACTGCAGCCGACGACGCCCATGACCATTCCTCCTCCTCCACGCCCATGACCTCCGCCGCCTCGAGTTCGAGTGCAGTCTGGATCTTGCCCATCGCAGCCTTCCCGCCGCACTGGCGGCTGCCTGACGTCCCCGACCCCAGCAGTCTGCCCTCTACGTTGCACACACAGCTAGCCGGTCTAGGGCCCTTGTGGCACTCGGTGACCTCCGTACAACACCGTACGGCCATGGCGGCGATCTGGTACGCCGGCCGTACATTGCATGCTGCTGAGCGTTACATCCGTACACTCCCGTCGCCACATGAGATGCCTGGCGTCATGTCCTGGGCCGCTACCTCGGCCGCGGTGCAAGCAGAGGAGTCCGTGGTGTTGGCGATGGCGCACCTCGCCGCAGCAGCGGCGTCCGCCGCGACGGCAAGTGTGCCGGCGAAAGCAACTTCCGCCGCCGCCAGCGCCATTGCCGTACGGCACCTGACGTTGGTACGACAAGCCCGGCGGCGGTTGCTGGCGGCGGCGGCGCCGCTGCTTGGGGAGCTGCATGACTTGCGTCAGGGCTGCAGCACACACGTGCTGCTGCGATTCGTACTCTTCTCAGCTTTGCAGCCGGAGCTACGGCGAGATCTGATCGTACGGCTAGACGTACTGGCACACCGTGCCGTACAATTGGCCCTCTTGCAGGAGCAGTACGAACGGCTGGTACGGCTATCCGCCGCTGGGGGGCAGCAGCAGCACCACCACCAGATGTGGCTAAAACAGCGGCAGCAGCCGCAGCGGCAACCCACACAGCACCCTGCGGTGTCGAGTGGGGTGCATGATGCTTTCGGTCGCCTCACAGGTGGTGCTGCAGCGTCGGCGTCGGCCGCGGCATTGACCAGTAGTGGCGCTGCTGGGGCGTCCTCCTCCTCCTCATCATCATCATCATCGGCAGCGGCGGCGCCGGGGTCGTCGCCGCCAAGCGACAGTGCGGCGCCGGCGCTGTCGGCTCGCTGGTATCGTCGCGTGTTTGCGCCCGAGATGCTGGCTTGCCGCCGGCAGCTGTTATGCGGTTGGGAGCAGCAGCGGCGGCAACAGCACCTAATGCGGGAGGTGAGGGCGCTGAGGAGTGGTGCAGCGGATGGGGGTCGTTCTGGGGAGGCGGCTGAGGCGGTGGTTGCAGCGGCGCAGAGTGACCCGCCGGGTCGGTTTGACCTCCGCGACTTGTACCGCTTGATACGGGTGATTGAGGTGGCGATTGAAGACCTGGAGCGCGAGGAGGAGGAGGGGTGGGTGGCTTGAGTGAGTGAATGGATGAGGGAGGCGCGTGTGAAGCTGTGTATAGGGCGCATCTGCGCTGTCCTTCGTCTCATGTGCCTAGGTGTGCCTAGGGGACCGGCATGGAGGTGGAGTGTAAGGAAGGGAGCTGACTAGAATCCCTTCCTTGGAAGTCTTGTTAATCCTCGACGGAAACTTAACACAGGTGGGATTGGTTGTGAGTGGAAAAGTTAAACCTGTAAGGTTTTCAGTTGTACTTTGTGGGTGAGCTTTTAGTTTGGTGGATGTGAGGACGCCGATGCCAATTTGATAATCACGGTTGCCGTATATCGTAGTTCGCTGTCACTGTTTGTGTTGTTGGGTTGCTCATAGTTGGTTCCTGCCTCATCTGGCAATTTGGCTCCGCTGCAATACCTGCACTGCGCGCGGCGTTTTGGACTTGATTCGAGTGAGGGAAGATGTTGAGTTTGTTGGAAAGCGGTTTAGAGCAAATCTCGCCTTTTCTGTCATCGCCGCTGTTGTTGATCTTGTATACCACATGTCGTTGGTTGGTTTTGATGTTACTGATCGGTGAAAAGCACATTTCAATTCAAATTATTTCAAGTCCAGCTGTCGTATGCTTGGAATTTAGTCGCATAAGTTGTTCGGTCAAAAGAAGGAAGGATTGACGGCGTATTATCCAGTTGTCGTACTGTTGTTGTTGCGGCGCAGTTGCTGTCTGTTTATTTGCTGTTACGTGGAAGCAGCCGCTTCTCTTCAGTCTTAGCTGCTGCTTGGCACAAAATGCGTCACACAAAATGCTTGTGGTTGTCCTACCAGAGCAACGTTAGGGCATGCATTCGACGTCCACAAACCATGTATTGTAATCTGCTAGAAATACCCGGCGCTCTTGAACGCTAGGGAAGGGGTCTGCGGCTTGAACAAAGCAGGAACTGCTCCGGCTACAAGGGGTAGCTTCACCCGTTCGGCTTGGTTGTTGAGGGCGTTTTGATCGCCTTCTTTGCATGGACTGGCCTTCCACCAAACAAGGTGTTATGCCCACTTCCATGGGCAGGTGGTTGCTGTTTTGGAACCTCGCGTGAGGACCTCATTATGGAGTGCAAACATGTTGTCATGGGTCGGGGCGGAGAAGAGGGTGTATACCGTAACACTATTATTGTCGGGCCTGTGTCGGTCGGTAGCTCCTGACCTGCTGGTAGCGGCTGTTGGGGGAGTGCTCTTGAGTGTTAGGCTGATAGGGTGTGATAGAAGGTGACGGCTGCTGAGTCGCCGTCCGGGCGGCAGGAAAGGTATAGGGCTTTTCAGCGTGTTACAAGGCGCACTTTGCTCACCAATGTACCGGTATGCGCCCATGTAAGAATGTAAAATCCCAGCAGTTGTAGACTTGCAGCTCCCTGTCCTCGGGGCTCGCAGGGACGTGCTGCATGCATGCATGTCCTACCCCTGCGCCCACCGGCAGCCATACAGACACACTACAGTACTTGCATGTATGGAAAGGTGTCAGGTAGGGGGCCTTCATTCGCATGGCGTGTTACATTCGAGCATGACAAGCCATGCTAGCTCGGATAACCAGAGATAAGCGTGTGCGCACCTAACCAGGTAACAAGGCCCTCCTAGTCAGTTGTACGGAGGGCTTTCACCGTTGGCGTGTCATCATTGGCCGGCCGGCCGGCATCAGCAAGGATTAGCACGAGCACTGTAGTCCTTTACCAGACAACACACCACATTGCACCACATGTCTGTCAGGGCACCTCCTCCTCCATGTTGCAAGTATAGGTACAGACCTCGACTTCCGTGCAAAACCGCTTTACGTTGCGTACAGGACCTGTACAACCACCTCCTCGCAGATGGGTTTTGCAGCTTCAGCAAGCAAGAACTGGTTCGCTGTTTTCAGCCCCTTCCCTCATCTGTGCCGTTAGTAAAAAAGTAGTAAAAAAAAGACAGCCTAGCACTTCCTCTCTACACCTCTTAACTCCCCGAACCGAAGACACACTCAAAACACAACCTCCTGCGAATTAAGACACCGCAAAAGTACAAATAGGTTTGTTAGTAGGTCCGGATTCACCCGTACGCCGACACTCAAGACTGCCAAAAAGGCAGCAGCCGATACATACCATCTGCCCCTAAAACGTGCCGTACATGGCGTAGTCCGATTCGCTCAGCTAATAAGGCCCTTCCCAACAAAAGCTACGACCTAAAATAACCCAGGAGGGCCCCAAAGGCCCCATGGCGCTGCACTCCAAGGCGCCATGGGCCACACCGGTAGTGTCATAATCGTACAAACCCGTACACTGCGGCCGACTGAGGGCCATCTCTAGTCTGCTCATTGCAAGCAGACCTACCCTCTTCCAACGATGGCGCAACCATGGCGCAACCACATCTATCTTTTGGTACAACAACTTATTACAACCGCTGTCGTTAACATTACAACGTCCGAGGCGCATTGTTTTCCGACTCTCGTGCTTTACAACCTCCTCCTTCCCCACAACCCCACCTGCTTGCGGCATTACAGCATTGGCCGCGGCCGCCAAGCCTACCGGTATGTCAGCACATCCCGCTGCCGCAGCAACCCACATTCAACGTCCCGCCTCCCGTGCAACGTCTTGGACGCAGCCCTCTTGCACCCTTCACAACAATGTGTGCCAGTGTCACCCCTCACCTAGCGACCTACCTAACCACCAGCCCGCTGGCCCTCCATGTCATAAAAATGTGTTACATAACAGCACGTGCATGCAACCGTACCAAGCGAACCGTCCCAACACCTCACACCAGCAACATCGCCAACACACAAGCTACTGATATGCACCCGGAGGAGCCCAACCAAGCACACGAGAAGACGACAACGTAGAGGTTTCACCCCAACCAGCTCCATCACCGCCTCCCCCACCGCCGCCACCGCCGCGGCCCGCATTAATCGCCCGGGCATGCCGCTGCTGTTGCAGTCTGTGTTGTACCGTCAAGTCCTTGGATTCGTACAAGGAGTGAAGCAGCGTGTGGCTCTGCACCACTCGACGATGCAACTCGGTGGTTTCGTTGGTGGGCAGCAGGCCGGCAGTTGATGCGGCTGTTGGGGCTGTTAGGGCAGCCGCAGCAGGGGCACCGGTGGGAGCAGCAGCCGGAGAGGCGGCTGCGGTTGTTGCTGTGGATGCGATTGCGACAGAAGGGGAGGTCATAGTGGCCGTGGTGGCAGCAGGTGCGGGCGCGGGCACGGCGGTTGGCGCCGCCGTCGCAGCAGCAGCAGCAGCAGAAGCTGCAAACATGGTCGAGCCCAACGGAACGGGGACCCACTCATCACTGGGCCGAGATGGGAACTCCCGAGCATGGCGCGATGTTGCCAACGACGCAGAAGGCACCAAGTGTGGCTGCGGCTGCAGCTGCGGTACGGCTGCTGCTGTCGGTGTTGGTGTTGGACCGATGCCAACAAGTTCATAGCCTCCGCCGCCTCCGCCGCCACGTGTACTAGGATCCGTACCTCCTCCGTACGACGCAAGATTGTCGTAATCGTACATGTCGTATTCGTCAACACCGTAGTATGGACTGTCGGCGAAGTAGAGCGGGCTGTAGTACGCTTGCGAGGAAGATAGTTGCTCGGGATGAGGAGGCTGTTGTTGCATGCTACTGCCCTCGAAATGATGCGACGGCGGTTGTTGCTGCTGCTGTGGCGGAGGCGGCACTGGCGCCAGTGGGGGCAACATCTGAGGCGACGGTTCCGATGCATGCGGCTGCCGCTGCGGCTGCTGCGCGCTTGGCTGCGTTTTCGCTTGTTTGTGCAGCTGACCTGGCGGCATGACACCGCTGCCGCCGCCGCTGCTGCTGCGAGCATTGCTGGCGGAGGGAGCGTCCCTTGCTGCCGTCGCAACCGCAACTGCCGTCGGCGGCAGCGGCAACTCAGGCACCAACCCAAACCCCTCGTCCTCCTCCTCATCATCCTCCACGTCACCCTCCTCCTGCAGCAAGCCAGCGTTCAACGCACCTAACGGCAACGGCCGCGGCGCCGCCATCGCCGCCGCCGCCGCCGTTGATGACGACAGTGACAGCGCCGAAGCCCAGAGTTCCACCGGCGCATGAGATGCCGACGCGGGTTTCGACAGCTCCTCGAAACAGCCTGAACCGAGTGGATCGTCGAATTCGCCGTCAGCGCCGCCACCGCCGTCATGACCTGCCGCCGCCGCCGCCGTCGCCGTCGACTCACTCGCCGCAGCCATGTCCTCTAAGCCGCGGAGGTCTAGGACGTCCGAGCCGTACCCTCCCGCGATGCCGCTACCGGTACCCGTTCCCGTGCCAACGCCGCTGAGGCAACTGGACCCAACAGCAACCCCGCTCCCATCCAAGGCGCCTTCTGCAGGCGCAGTACACGCTGCGGGGCCGTCTCCCGGGGTTGCTGCCGGTGCTGCGGTGGCGTGAGCACCAGCTGCACGAGACAGGGCTGCAGGAGCCGGCGGCTGCGGTGCCGCTGCCTCCTCCTGGTGGGCCCCGAATGTCGAGGTTGTTGGGGTGCGGGCTTGACTCCCAGCTGGCTTGAGGGGCAGAGACGGAGGCGACGGCGGCGAGGTTGCGCCAGCGGGAGGAGACCCCGCTGCCGCTGCCGTCAGGACCGGCGCAGGAACTGCCGCCGCCGCTGCTGTCGCCGCCGCCGCCGCTGCTGTCACGGGTGCATGCCGTAACGCATCGCTCGGGCCGCCGTACTTGGGTGGCGGTGGCGGCGGCGGATGCTCATTACCAGGGCTGCCAACCGGTGGGTGGGGCTGGTGTGGAGGCTGAGCTGGCGTCCTCGCATCCGTCGTACAACCTTCAGGGGCCAAGTCGCCCGCGGCGGCGGTCGCCGCCCCCGGACCAAACATGAAGGGCGGCAGGGCTGGCGGCGCGTCGTACAAAGGGTACGGATGGTACAGCCCAGAGTACGGCATGTCGTACATGTCGACCATCGGTGGCGCCGCCACCATGGAATGTCGTTGCCAGCTGGCGGCGGCAGCGTAGGATGACGCCATGCGCCTGTCGTACGGCCCGGCGGGTGCTGGCGGCGGTACGGCACCACCATGCATAGTGCCGTACCTCCACTGGTCGTACAGTCGCCTGTGATGCTGTTGCTGCTGCTTTGCATGTCTCACCTGTTGCTGTTGGGCGTAGTAGTACGGCACGGGATAGTACTGCATGTGCGGCGGCGGCAGGTTTGAAAATTGGCTGGAGGCGACGCTAGGGCTGGGACTCAGGCCGGACGGGCCCATGACGCCGCCGCCGCCGCCCTGCATGTGCCCCGCCGGCCGCCAGTGCCAGCCGCTACCACCGCCGCCGACGCCGGCGGCGGCGGCGCCAGACATCAGACTTGCCGTGGCATTACTCATGTAGGACTTGACGCCGTGATGCGGTGTCATGTACGACACAGATGGGTGCGGCCGCCGAGGATAAGGCCCTGACGGCGGAGGCGGAGGCGGCCGCGTCGACGTACCGCCAAGCCCTTCCCCAGCGTCAGCAGCGGCAAAACGTGACGTCGACGTCGCCGTTGGACCCCTGCCGGGCACTCCCCTCAACCCTTCACCCGACGAAGCGCGATGCAGCGCCGTCGCCGCCGCTGCTGACGTCGCCGCCGCCGCCGCACCCGCCGCCGCCGCGTCGGCAGCCCTGCTCGCTCCCTCCGCCGCCTGATACGGAAACGTCGTCGGCGGGTCTTGGTGGTACGGCAACGCGTCGCCCTCCGCCGCCGCCGTCGCTGGTGCCGTACAGCCGCCTCCGCCGCCGTTCGCCGCCGCCAGCTCCGCCAGCATCTTGCGTCCGAGCTCCCCGGGCTCCCACGAGGGGTAGGTGCTCACGAACACCAGGAAGGACTTCTCAAGCTTCCCTTGACGGCTCCGGAGCGCCTGGGGGTGGGGTGAGTACGGGGTGAGTACGGCGGTGGGGCGAATACGGAGGTGGGGTGAGTACGGCTGTCGGGCGAGTAACCAACACCGAAGAAAGCCATGAGGACCTCCTAAGCCAGCATCCTTTCTACGGGTTACCCCACCTCCTTGGACCCCGCTCATCCCCCCCCGCCCTCGCCCTCGCCCACCTTGTCCGCATGTGCGGGCGAGCCGTACTTTCCGTTGCCGTGCCTCCCCAGGTCGAACAACGCCAGGCTGCACACGTCACCCACCCCCTCCACGTGCGCAGTGAAGGTGGACACGAACTCCACAATACCCTCTGTGGGGGGGGGGGGGTTGCCGTGAGGAGGCCGTGTGAGGGGGCAGTGAGGAGGAGTTGAGGAGGCCGCACGTGGGGAGGTACTGTCGTACAAGAGCGCTGTCGTACGGCTCGGCAACTGGGAAAACAACCGGGTATGCCGTAGTCGGTATGCGCACGGCCACAGCTGCCCCTCCCCCTCCCTCCTCTGCCCCCCTCCCTCCCCCCCTCCTCCCTCACCCGCACACGCCGGCAGCGAGCATGCCAGCAGCAGCGGTGTGGTCAGCAGCGAGGCCAGCTCCTCCGCGAACAGGCCCACCTTGAGGCGGAACAGCGACAGGAAGGCGGCCTGGGGGGGGCGGGAGGGGGAGGGGGCGGAAGGGGAGGAGGAAGAGGGAAGCAAGAGCCGTGCTTCGCGTGAGCCAGGTGGAAGGAGCAAAGACAGGACGTTGGTTTCTGTGGAGCCTGTCATGTTGCTATTTCCTCTTTAATCCATACACACATACACATACACATACACCCCCCACCCACCTGCACCTCCGCCGTGTGCGCCCGCCCCCGCCAGTGCCGCGGCAGGTAGTGGGTGTACGACACCACGTCAGCCAGCGCCCGCTCGGGGTCGTACGCAACCGGCTCCTCCGAAACCAGCGTCCTGGTGGGTTTCGCGGCGGCGGCGGGGGCATTTGTGGGAAACAGGCGGGCATCAAGGCAGTCAGGTGAGGTGGTGACACAGGAGAGGGAGGTGAGGGAGGGACACAGGTGCGCCACCGTCGGTGCTGCGCGGCAGCGCAAAGTAACAGCCGCAGAGCAACAAGGATAGGGACAGCAATATCGGCAAGTACCGGTGGTTATCCCCTTTTCCCTCCACCTGCATCTTTGGTTTGGTCTAATTTAAACCCCCCATTCGGAATTTCTTTTTCCCCCCGCCCCCCCACCTGCATGCCGCCAGCAGCAGCGTGAGAGTGCCCAGCCACCAAACCACCTGCCGCCCCAGCAGCGGCCGCTCCAGCAGCGACTCGTCCAGGAAGGTAACGAACAGCAGCAGCGCAACGAAGGAGCCGCTGCAGGGGGGGAGGGGGGAGAGGGGGAGGGGGAGGGGGAGGGGGGGAGGGAGGAAACGTGGGATGCTGCGGTAAACTGGCGTTAATCCCACAGTGACTCCACACCGACCCGTGGGGCTGTGCGAGCACCCCTGTCCTCCCCACCCCCTCCCCACGCACGTCACGAACACCAGGAAGCGGGCCAGTGCCGCCAGCGTGTGTGAGGGGAACTGCGCCACGTAGCGCAGCGCGGCAGGGTGGCTGGCACTCAGCCTGGGGGGGGGGGAGGGGAAGGGGTTGGGAAGGGGGAGGGGAGGGGTTGTGCAGGGGAAAACACACTACTATGGCACATGGTTAGTTTCCTCCTCCTTGTCCCCCCCTCGGCTCCTCGCAGCCCCCCCCCCCACCTGTGGTTCAGGTAGTGGTGCAGCTCATTCAGCTCCCGGATGCGCCACCGCGCCAGCCCCGACCAGCGCCGCGAGCCCAGGGCAGCCGGGTGGTGGTACAGCCGCTCCGCGTTGCGCATGAAGAAGTGCGCCAGCAGGAAGAAGAGCAGGAAGGGCGAGAGAAGCAGGTTGGCGGCGGCAACCAGGCGCAGACCTGGGTGGTGTGGGTGGGGTGGGGGGGATGTGTGGGGGTAAAGAGGAAACAGCTAACTGACCGTGTGATAAGGCATCATCATGGTTTGCAACATGTGGGGGTGGGGGCGGGTAAGAATGAGGAAACTGACGAGCTGTATGACAGGGCGGGGGCGGGGCGGTCGGACAGGATGACAGGGCAACATGACCGCAACAAAACACACACACACGCAGCAAGCACGCTGTCCTGCTTGGAGCTCCGCAGCCCCTACCACCACCACCACCACCCCACACACTCACGTCGCCTCAACGCCGCCACATCCGAGAACTCCGGTCGGATCCGAAACCGCTCGTCAAACATGTGATCCAGGATGCACCACCGCAGGTTCCATTCCAGCGTCTTCGTCAGCATGGGGGCGGTGCCGCGCTGCCGCCCTCCCCCCCGCCCCGGCCCCCCTCCTCCACCTCCCCCTCCGCCGCCCCCTCCGCCCCCCAGCACCCCCAGCAGCGCTGCCAGCAGCCGTCGAACGGGCTGCGGTGCGTCGGGCGGTGGCTGCAGGTGCAGCTGCAGCACGTTGCGGTTGATCATGGCGATCAGGTAGTTCTCCTGGGGAGACACGAACACACATGGGCGGAAGGTGAGGGAACAGGGAAGGCGTGGGGTTACAAGAGAGAGGGAGTGGAGTGGGAGGTAGAGGTGAGGTGCGCTGGTCAAAGGTAGGGTAGGGTAGGATGGAGGAAACCTCCACTACACATCATCCCGCTGTGTCATCAGCGCATCATGCCATCTGCCCACGAACCCGCAATCCCTCCTCCCCACCACCACCCCCTCCCACCCCCCTCCCTGCCCCCCCCCCCACCTTCCGCATGATCCTCGCCACGATGGCCAGCTCGTCCAGGTCCCGCGCGATGCACAGCCGGGTGGTTCGCTGCACCAGCACCAGCCGGTGCACCACCTCCGCCCACGTGAGCGCAACCACCTAGGGGGGGGGAGAGATGGGGAGGGAGGTGGGATGAGGGGGAAGAAAGGGGGATGTAAGGAGGGAGTGCAAGCCGCTTTCGCCATGTCTTCTCCTTCCCTCCAGCCACGCCTTCCTCTCCTCCCTCATGCCTGCCCGTACCTCCCCCGTGCCTCTTTCCACCCACCCCAACACTCGCACGCAGGTTCCTGTCGCTCCCGCATCCTTCCGCGCTTGCTGCCTTCCATCACACTACAACCCCACCTTGCTCCCTCCGGTGCCCCCACCCCCCACGGAGCCCCCCGACCCCCCCCCGCCCCCACCTTGCTCTCGCTGATTCCCAGCTTGTTGGCCATGAAGTGCGCCACCTCCCGCATGTCCCGCACGTCCGTCAGGAAGTGCGCAGCAGTCCAGCCCAGGTACGTCACACACACCGTGATGTACGACAACGCAAGCAGATCCGCACCCACGCCGCGACCCAGCAACGGCCGCCGGTCCAACGCAACCGCCGCTAAGTCGCAACCGCTGCTGCTGCTACCGCCGTCGCCGCTGCCACCGCCGCTGGGGCTGCCGCCGCCGCCGCCGCCGGCACGCGGAGCCAGGCATTCTGTGTGCAGTGCGTGCCAGTCGACGAAGAAGAGGAGGAAGGTGGAGAAGGCGGCGGTGAAGGCGAGGGCCAGGAGGTTCAGAGCCCCGGCGAGGAGGATGGAGCGCAGACCGCGTTCGTGCCAGTACCTGCGAGAGCGGGAAGGAAGGTGTCATGGAAGGTGTGTCACATAACGACGGTGGAACGTGTGAAGGAGGGGAGGAGAAAGGGTTAAAGGAGGCACTGCTGCACCGGTTAGAACACGGCGCAGCGGCGCCCGGCACCCGTCATGCTGGATGCTAATCCGATGATGCATCGTGCTGCACGGTTACTCGCTCGTACATGCCACGTAGGGCGCAACGCGTACTGCATCACATGGCGTGGCAATGGAAAGGCAGGAGTGTTGCAGGTGTGTCGTGCGCTCGTGCGTCGTACCCACCCCACCTGTACACCCGCGTGAAGAAGAGATCAAGGTTTGCAAGCGCCGCGAACTCGTAGCTCTCCCCGCCGACCAGTAGCGGTGTCTCCAGCGACTCCTCTCCTGTTCCCTGGTTTTGCTGCTGCTGTTGTTGTTGTTGGTAATGGTGGTAGTGCTGCTGCTGTTGCTGCTGGCGGTGTTGCTGCTGGTGGTACTGCTGCTCCTGCTGCAAGGCACAGTAGTTGTGGTGGTGGTGCTGCTGCTGATGGTGGAATTGGGCCTCATCCCCTTCCGGTTCCGCCAAGCTGGGTGGAAAGGGTGGAAAAGAGAGTCCAGGGAGGAGTGTGAAGGGAAGGTGGGGTAACGAAGGCATGCAGTGCTGTTGGAAAGCGTGGATGAGAGAAGCATGCAGGATGGAGCATGGGCATGCATGTGGATCAAAGGATTAGGGGTTTGTGGAAGGGACGTGCAGCCTGGGGTTGTGATTGGGGTGGGGAACTCTGGGAATGGCTTGGCTTAGTGTGGACCAGGGAGAGAGAGGTCTCTAACGGTTTAATGCCCCGAGCTCAAGGTGCGACCACGCAGACGCGGTGACAAATGCAACGCGAATCCTTTTATTGTCAAGTAGGAATCCAACGACCATAGCTAACCGGGTTAAGCGGGAAATGGTCACCCGGAACCCTGACAATGTCCACAACGATGTGCAACGGAAGCAGCACGTAAAAGTTTGATGACTGTCATGCACAAGCAGCTCCTTACAGCATACTAGTGACGCCGAACCAATGTTCTTACGGTTGCTGCCTGGGCACAGAGGCTTTACGCCACAATCCCCCATGCTCAAGGGTTTCACGGCAGGTGCATAGCGAACGGCCAGCAATTCTGAAGACCGAGTCAGCGCAGGAGCCTCTGCTGAGCTTCGTAGTGGCTCACCTTGGCAGAAAGGCACCATTTGCGCCCCCGAAGCCGTTGCTAGACAGCTCCTGCTCCCGGGAAAATCGCATAACACAGGTATCCTGCTAGTATAGACAACAACTATAACAAAGTAGCATTAAAGAGGTTGTCAAAAGCCACGTTGGCTTCAGGTCCTGCGTCAAACGCCAGAGTATGGCAGTATTACTTCTTCTTTATGCTTCCTTCTAGTTGTTTGACTGTGCCAAATCGCTAAATGAGTAGATTTTTACTATGCAAAGCGAGCGACATCAGCGAGTCTCTTGACGGGCCCAACGGTTAGTTGCCATTCTCCCGACTCGTCGCCCAGGCGCCACGAATGCATTGCATGTCGGAATCAATGTTGAGAACTTCCAAACGTCCCCGTCAACACCCCCAATTTCATGCCGTGCACTCCGCCAAAGGGGCGAGGTATCGTTTTTTGCGTATACACGTGATTGGCATACACAGGAGCGCAACCATACCACATTTACCGTGCCCTTACCGTGCCGCCCAAAAGGGCGCTGCAGACCAGGGCTTTAAATGCCGCAGCTTGGATGTGCAAGATGTTATCCCGGTTGTCTTTTTACAGCTGCTACTACAACTGTACGGTTTGCACGGCGTGCAGAAGTCTCGGCGGATGCCCGGGTTTGTCTCGTACCATCATTACCCCATGCCCGTACCGCTTTCAGTATGCTGTTAGAACCAGATTCGCTAGTTCCATTTCTAGGGCTAAGGGAAGGCCAGCAGGACTGCCCGTGCCCTGCGGAAACATGCGCTATCCACGCCATAATGGTTACAAAAAAGGGTACATTAGCCCCAAGAAACCGCCACATGGGTGACAATCATCACCCATACAAACCTTTCAGTCCGAATGCCACCATAGTCACCATCGTTCCTATCCCCCAGTACAAGCACCTGTTTTTTGTCACCGTTGTACATACACATCTATATACCGTACCTTAATGTCTATCTAATATGCCAGCAGCGATTCGTTTAGACCCTATCTCGTGCGTTTCCTCCATATACTCCAGCTAGCTTTAACAGATATAGCTAAGAACCATGGCACCACACGGTTCAGTTGACGTCACACGTTGCTACTAAACTACGGACTCCATCATCGTCCCGAGCATGCTGCCGAGCCAGGCCTAAACCCACCAGCTCCCCTCCTGTCGCTGCACTTCAGCACATGCAACGGAGCCGCACGATGACTTCCTGTTGGTAGGTCCAGCCTACATGGCCATGCTAGCTACCCCTCCCCTTCTCCATTCCTTATCCACTCCACCGCTAGGAACCTGCCACCCCGGCAAGCCCAGCCCTAAGCCCCCTATGCACGTGTGCCGCGCAGCAAAGCCCCTGCCCTGTCTATCAATATGGTACCTCCAAGCGCAACCTGCAATTGTCGGCCCTTCCTTACACCGACTAGCAGACGCACTTCAGCCTAACACGCGGCGTCTACAGCCCCGTTTCTTAACCCTGACCCGGTTCCATGCTTAGCAAGCATCGCCAAACGCTGCTGCTGCGACCGCCGCTTCAGTCCCCTGGCTGCTCAGGCCGCTCTCGACGCCTCCTCCACACACACCTCGCCGCCGCCGCCGCTTTAGTCCTCCACCACCAGCACCACCTCGCCGCGCTCCAGTGTCCGAATGTCGCGCTCGATCTCCGCCAGCTCCCGCTCCATGGCCTCCTTGCGGATCTTCTTCATGGCCGTGTCCACCGTGAGGGACAGCCCCTGGTAGGCGGTGTTGATGCTGTCCCACTTGATCTTGAGGTGCCGGATGAGCTGGCTGCGGTCGTCGGGCGACAGCTGGCTCACGTTGGCGTTGGATTCCTGGAGGAGGGAAGAGGGAGGAGGAAGTGGAGGAGGAGGAGCAGCGGGAGAGTTCAGGAAAGGAGGAAGGGGGCGGAGAGGCAAGGGACACGGAGCGCTTAAGCCGCTGTCATGAGCTCATTACGTGCGCAAACACCAGCATGGAAGCGATAGAATCACCCCGTTGCCGGGATCCATTTGGGGACTGCGGGTGCGGCTGTAAACCATGTCTTCCTGTGCTTCTGGCGCCACAGCAAGGACCACCACACAGCATGGTCTTCACCATCCAAACCCATGCTTGGTCGGCAACTTACTGGTGCTTCTCGTACGCGGATGTACTGCGAGAACTGCTCCTTCTCCTTTGCTATCCGCTGCTTGTTGCGCTTTAGGTACAGCGGCACTTTCCCGTAGTCTGGCTTCATGGTCCACTGGAACTCCGGCTGCGGCACCTTGCCCGGTTTAGCAAGCATGACCTCCACGGCGTTCGTGGTAATGAAGTTCTTGTTGCTCGTAAGTCCCATCTTCGGCGGATCGTCCTTGCTAGGCACCGGGGGTCGGATCTTGGTCTTCGGATTGGTTGGGGGCCCAGCTGCATAGTCAGCAAAGGTAGGGGCCGGGTAAGGTAAGGTCCTAGCGCGGATACCAAGGGTTCCTGATTGACCCCATTATAACATACAACCCGTTAAGCAGTAAGAAAGTACTTACGTGCTGGAAGTCTGGGCTCCTTCTCATGTGCGCTTAGCTTAGTGGGTCCGTTCAGGCCATCTGGTCGCCCCATGGTGGCATGGCCCTGGACTTTATTTTGCCCGAACTCAAACTGAACCGGATGTGTCTTTCCAGGAAACTGTGTGCAATAATTTGGAAGCGAAAGAAAAACAAGCAGGTGAGCGAACATGCTGCTTCGGGTGACACAGCCCAACCCCCGAACGCCACAAACAAAGCCCTCCAAGAATCCAAGGGGCTAAGATCACTATCAGCGACGTTTGTTCCCAGGCTAAGGCCCTTTGCTCTCACCTTAGAGGTGTGCATCGGCGGCCGCGTGGGCACCTCTTGCGGGTTCGGGATTAAGGCATAAACGCTCTCCTCCTGCATCTTTCCTCCCGGTAAGAAACACCTGTTACCCAAGTGGGTCAGAGTAAATTCGCTAGGTACTGTTGCAACCTGGGTCTTAACGTCAGACTTTGTTATGCAATCGTAGCTGGAGAATACGAGAATACTTGGAAGTTGACAAACCATTAATTATATATGAACTAATTGGCTGTTTGCCGCCAGGACTTCGAGCTGCCGTACCTCAAGGCCCAGATGTAGATGTCACAGAGCTCATATCTGCTTTGTTCTGGTCGCCAAACATGTAACAGAAGTTGAAAGCTATAAGCATACATCGTTTACTGGCCTGAATTCCCATGGCATAGGTAAACAGCAACTAGTCATTCGTGACATCCTTGAAAGTGTGTAGGAAACAGAGTCAAGCTATGTTGCCAAGCGAGCTTTAATTATCAATCGAGGGACCATAACACAGGGTGCTCGGAGCATCTTACTTCATTGTTGGATGGGATACGGGATGTTGCACATGGATGTTACCTCAACAGCCGCCTAGGCGCTAGGGCGACAGTCATACAAGCCGTCCACATTCTTACTCATTACCCACAGTCCACACACTGATTCTTAGCAGCGAGGCACAGCGAAGGCGTTGCGATCCTAAACAGGTCTAACCCAACTATTTCCGCATATCAACGGCCGGGGCTTAGCGACCCAAATGACAGATTACTGCTTAACACCCCTTGGCCAACCTGTCCTAACAGTAGCAGTCAGCGCCATGTGGTGGTATCTCAGTATGGGGATGAATGTCCATCCGGAAGCCATAACCGCCAGCTATAACCTATGCAGAGGCCTAGGCACGGATTAAGCGTCTTTACTAAGGATTTCGACCAACGCCTACGCATACCGCGGTACACCCGGGATCACGAACTATCGCCGTGGCAGGCAAACTAACGACAACCAGCCCAAAGCAGCATCTTTAGGCGCAACAAGGCGCCAGAGCCAACCAGATTCCCTATACGATATGCCTACACAGACACACGGCCATAACGACATCAACTTCCGACAATCCAGTACCTTCATACTCGCGGCCAGTTTGTTTAACATACGGCCAGTTTTAATAACACGCGACTCTTGCTGATGCACCGCACAGTACTAGCTGCCCACGTTTCACGGCAACGACGCTGTCCTTAGCTCGAACCCAACCCAACACATCACGTCACCTCAATCTGCACACATCACTTCACTTACTCCTGCGCCCTGCCCTGCCCCGCCCTGCATCCGCGTCTCCTGGCTGCCTACTCCACATCTGCCTGGCTGCCCCGCACAAGCTAGCTGGACCCTACCGCGTTACCACATTGCCTAACACAATGCCTGGCTTTCCCCACTAACCCGCCAGTCTACCAACCGCCATGCAAAGCTATATCGCTTCCACCGCTCCCTTAGCCGACTACAGCTCTATCGCTGCCACCCTCTCCATCCCTACCCAGCGCCTCCGGTGCCATCGTGCCTGCCTGTTTCCCCAGCAAACCCCTCCCAACCATACCCAACCGCCCCTCTCTCCGCCCATCTACTGTTTCCGAAACGCCCTCAGCACCCGCCGCCGCAGCTCAGCTCGCTCCCCAAACACGCCCCGCACCGCCACCGTGGTGGTGCTGCCGCTGTGGTTCTCCACGCCGCGAGCCACCATGCACATGTGCGCCGCGTCACATACCACCATCACACCCCAGCGCCGCCCATGCACATGCACATGCACATGCGCTGCCTCCACTTCCTCCTTGGCCCCGGCCCCGACGCCGGCCGCCATCCCAGCCCCAGCCAAAAGGTGACAGCAAGAACTGCCGGCCGGCTGTGTAGCACCGCAAGTCAAGGAGCCCTCCTGCAGAGAGCCCCCCTGGCATGCGGCCGGCAACCGCTGCAGCTGGTGCAGCAGCAGCGCCGCCACCGCATCCGCCACTTGGTGCGTGATGCGCTCCTGCACCTGCAGCCGCTGCGTGTACATGGATACGATCCGCTGTACGGCAGCAGCCGGCAGTAGCTGCTGCTGTACGGCAGTAGCAGCTGGAGAGATGTACGACACCAGCAGGGTGCCGTAGAAGGGCAGCATGTGGTGTTCGCACTGGGAGGTGAAGGGCAGCCGCAGCATTGTCATTGCGGCGTCACTGCCGAGCGGTAGCCGCAGCTGGGGAGCTTCCACGGAGACGGAAGCCTCCGGGGTTGCCCCTACCTCTGTTGCTGCAGGATCGGAGGCTGTGCCAACTAAGGGACAGCACGCGCTATGGCGCGCGCGACTGCAGCTGATGAAGACCGGGCTGCCGCAGACATGCAAGGTCCCGACACCCCCTTGCGACAGCCCGCACCCCGCACCCGCTACCGCACCGCCACAGTCGCCATCACATGTCCGAGGGCCCTCGCTGCTGCTAATAGTACCTGCTCTAGACACCGACGTCTGGCACTTAGGTTCCCCGCATGACAACGATGACGTCCCGTTCGCGTTCGCACCCAGCCTAGCTGCCTGCTCCTGCCGGCAGCCGGCAGCACGCCCTTCCTCCCTAGCGCCCGACGTCCCCATGCCGTCACCCTCCACCGCACCCGAGCCGCATGTGCCGTTGCCAACAACCTCACAGCAGCCACACCCAGGTAGGGAGCCCGCAAAGGGAGCCTCAGCCGCAGCCCCAACTTCGGTCTTGCTCCCTGCACCGCCATTCACCAGGCGTGCCTGGTGCTGCCGTTGCTGCAGCTCAGCTCTAGACCCAAGCCCACACTCCCCACCACCGCTCCCAGCAAGCTCCTCCGATGCTGCTCCGCTGCATCCCTGCCCCCGATCTCGTCCTTGATCCTGCTGCTGCTGCAGCAGCTCCTGCTGCTGCCCCTGCCGCTCCTGCTGCGGATGACGTTGCTGCCCGTTACAACAGCCTCCCTGGTGCTGCTGGCTTTGTTGGCCCTGCTGCTGCTCATGCAGCCCGGTGCCTCCCGCCTCCAGCCCCAGCCCCAGCTGCTGCTGGTAGCCGGCAGTGGACCGCAGCAGCGCCGCCACGTAACGCCGCGCTGAGCCCGCCAGGCCCCGCCTGTGAGGGTCCTCACCCACCTCCTCCAGCAGCACCGTCGCCGCTGCCTCCATGGCATCACAGCAGCCGCAACCCATGCCCCCGACATCCTCACAGCTTGTGATGGGGGCTGGGTTGCTGCAGCAGCCGCCCATGCTGCTGGCTTCCACTGCGTCAGCCGGCCGTGTAACGCATGCGCCGCCGTCATCGCCGTCGCCGCTGCTGCTGCAGCAGACAGCGAGGGCAACGCCAATGGTGCTGCTGCTGCCGCCGCCACCGCAGGGGATGGAGGGCTCCAGGCCCAAACCCAGATCATCGCTGTCGCCGTCCGTGTCCTTTTCACTGGGGTCGGGCGTGCCGGGGGCTGGTACTCCGCCGTCGACCATATGGGGGTGCTGCCCGCTACCGCTGCTGCTGCTGACGGTAACGCTGGAGCTGCCGCAGAGGGCAGCGCCGCTGCCGGCGATGATGGGTGCGTTGCTGGAGGCCGCCGGCTGCAGCGTTGCTGGCAGCTGTTCAAGTTGAAGGATGGATGTGGCGGGAAGGTCGTCCAAGGATAGCAGCGTGAGGAGCTCCTGCGGGGAGAGTCAGGGCAGCAGCGGGTTGCATATTGGGTTTGTCAAGAGGATTTAGGTCGCGGCAACAAGGGTCACTTGTTGGAGCGGTGTTGCACGAGGTGCATGGTCAACAGGATGAATGCGAGGGAGGAACCTCACAGCAGCAAGAGGGCGGCCCTACCTCCAGCTGCGCTGAGTTTTTGGTGGCAAACACGCCAGACACGCAGGCGTTGCTGTGCTCCTCTGGTCGCGTTGCGCTGCAAAGGTGCCGTGCTTGCAGTACGACAGCCACGCCATGGCATTCCAAGGATTGCTGCAACGCCAGGGCTACCTCCACAGCTAGCCGCTCCTGAGACTGAAGTCGCTTTGCGTACTGCTTTGTTAGCCGTGCTAGCTTGCTGAGCCCCAGCACGACACCGGCCTTGGGGCGATAAGCCACGTGGCAGCGGCCGTGGAATGGCAGGAGTGTCTCCTCATTAGTCGAGGCAAAGTCGATATCGCGCACCAGCACGATGCCTTCACCACCGTAGTGGACTATGGGCTCGTGAAAGAGCGCCGTCCCAAGCGTGCTGAAGGGTATGAAAGCAAGAGAGGATTACAAATTACGCGATGACATGATGGCATCCACGCTATTCGGGCCAACGGCAGCCGCAAAGGGCCTTAATGCACAAGATATGATCAATATCACTGCACAAGGACACCGCAGATGCTGTCTTCTAAGCCAGCTGCATAGGGACGCGCCAACAACGCACCTAGACGTCTCCTGGTGGTATCCGTGCGTACAATCTAGCAGCGCCTTTGCTACCCGCTGCACAAGGAAGATGGTAAAGAGGAAATATGGTAAACGTCGAGTGCGCAGACACAAAGGCGACTGGGCCCCAGCCGCCGAGCCTCACTTTTGGAGTGTCGCGCAAACCCTCCCGTTCGAGGTCCTCGCCAAGTCCTTGAATTAGCACCCTGACAGCTTGCTCCATGCGCGCAAGCTTTTCAGGGTCGCGCACAAGCGGCGCCATCGTCCTAATCAGTATTACGTGTTCTTCGTCAAACAAGACTATATAAAGCTCATCATCGACTACTTTGAAGATGTTGCTAAGGGTCACTTTTGCTATGCAAGACCGACCCAGATTGATGTATGGAAACCGTGCAACTGTCCAACAGCAATTGGAGCTTTCAAGCAAGTCAGTAGAGGAGTCCGTGTTGCTTGTAAGGTAGCTAACTGTGCATTATAATTTTATGTTTGATATTCTGGACCATAGAAAGGACAGATGCAGTTCGTCGTCCAGTCGTCGCTAGGCATGGCACGGCCGCACACTCGTTTCAAAGGCTGCTCCTCGCACTGTTGCGGTGCACAGCACTTACTCAATTCGCCTGTACATGGATTGGTGTCTCGATCTATTCTGTGCCCCAGTGCACACCGTACTCTGGTCACCACAAGGAGCGCAGTGCTGGAACCTGATCGCCAATTCCACGCTTCCAGGCAAGTCTGCCCTGCACTGAAGGGAAGCGCATCGGCCAACGGCTTATATTTTCAGGCGCAAGCGACCTTCCCCTTGCCGCGGCATGCCCTTACATATTGCCCACAGACCCGTGTCCTCCCCTATTGCTTACGTCTGCCCCATGTCGGCTACTTGTCCCGCAACCCTTCCCACTCCGTTCCCCATAATCATTACCAGTCCACCCCATACTCCTCCGTTCCACACTCCCTGCCGGTCCCCTTACGTCCCTTTACCTTTCCGTACCCGCAGCGGCACACCTACAAACCACCGCACCCAGCCGCCACCGCCTCCGCCTCCGCCTTCACCACCACCGCCGCCACCACTCCACCACCCGCTGCTGCTGTCCGACATCCGGGTTGTGCTGGTGGCCCCCAAGCACCCAGCCAACATCGGCGCAGTGGCACGCGCATGCGCCAACTTCGAGTGCCTCGATCTCGTGCTGGTAGCCCCACGCTGCACCGACACCGGAGCCCTGCAAGGTGCAGCCGTCAACGGGGGCGGCGGCGACGGCGACACAGCCGCCACTAGCGGCAGCGGCGGCGGCGGTGTCGGAAGCGAGGCGCGCAAGGTCGCCTGCGGCGATGCCGTACTGGACCGGATGCGGGTGGTGGGAACGCTGGCGGAGGCGCTGGCGGACGTGGGTGGCAGCGTGGGTTTCACACGCCGAGCCGGAGCCACGCGGCTGACGCATGCCTCGCTGGGGCACCTGATGTGTGAGTTCCCCTGGGCTGTGCCGGCTGTGCCCGTTGTACGGCAGCCGCTGCGGCTGGATCCTACTCAGGCGCCGGTTTCGGAGCCTGCGCCTGGGCCTGGGCCCATGCATGCTGGGGTAGTGGCAGAACGACTAGTACCGCATGGGGTGAGGAGCGGAGCCGGATGTGCTGGCGGCGGCCCAGGTGGTCATGGCGGCAGGGATGGCGGAGGTACTGCCGGTCTTGCGGGCTGCCTGGGGAGCGGCACAGCGGGAGGCGCTCTCAGCACTACTGCGCTTGTGTTTGGTCGCGAGGAAAGCGGCCTGACGGAGGTTGAGCTGCGGCAGTGCAGGTGGGTGAGGGGCAAACAGTTACAAACCGGGTGCGAACACGGATACACACGGATACACGGGTAGATAGGGCAAAGGCGAGGGATAGGGGTGGCCTGAGCTGGGTGGGTACTGGTAGCTAGGCAAGGTTGGCAGCTCGATAGGGGTGGCTGCGCTGAGCATGAGCGGGTCGTGGTATCACCGTTTCAGCAACATGGGATGTCTTGGCCCTGGTCTTAAAGCAGCATTGCGCCCATGCCCATTCTCTTTACAACCAATGTTAATATGGACAAGGCGCCCAAGGCAGGTGCCACCTATGATTCTCTGCCCCTCACCCCTCTGCCCCTTACCCTGCGCCCGCGCCGCACCGCCCGCCGTACAGTCACGCCTGCGCCGTCCCCACGGGGCGCCTGCAGCCCTCCATGAACCTCTCCCACGCGGTTGCCGTGGTGCTTGGGGAGCTGTTCAGCCGCCGCTGCGGCCTGCTGCAACCCACCCCGGACACCAACCTGGATCCCCTTCAGGGGCCTGCGGACCAACGGGTGCCTGGGCGGTCCGGCTTGGAGGGGAACTCGGGTTCGAGAGCCAGCAGAACTGGGAGAAGCTGCGATGCAGGCAAGGAAGCAGCGGAGGATGAGGGTGGAGAAGGGGTTGCGGCTGCAGAAGGGTTGCTGCTGAAGCAGCAGCAGCAAGCGTCTTCCCGGCAACGCGAGGAGACGGAGGCATTTGGTAGCGCCGGTGGCAGTGGTGACGGAGCCTTGTCCGGGGGATGCAGGATTGCAGCGGAAGCGGTGGCTGAGCGGTCAGCAGCGGCGGTGACTGCTGGGCTAGCGGCAGCAGGAGCGGCACCCGTGGAGGCCGGACTGCTGCCGGCGAGTAGCCACGAGGTGGACTTGTTAGTAAGGAAGGTGGCGGCCATAGCGGAAGCGGTTGGCATGAGCGGCGAGGAAGGGCATGGAGGCGGCAATCGAGGTAGGGCGGCGCATGTGCACAGCCAACTCATGACCACCGCATTCCTTGTCCACAGGAGCCGTAAAATCCGTATTTACCGGCAATCTCCTGTATGTACGAGACAAACTGCGCACAGTCCATGTAAGGATGACCGAGCCCTAAACTTTGCATACTGGTAACCAAAGATACTTCTGCCTTAACGCACTGACGCTCCGTTAATTTCATTTTTGCCGTGTACCCCGTGCCGTGTACCGGTACCCCGTGCCCTGCATGCCAACACTGTCAGGCAACCACGGTCGGCGGCGCCTGCCCGTGGGCTACCTCCGTTCCGTGTTGTCTCGTGCCCGGCTCAACGCGGCCGAGAGCCGCTCCCTGCACGGCCTCGCCTCGGCGGTGCTGCAGCGGCTTGACCCGGATCACCCGCTCGAGGCACGCAAGCGGCAGCGCAAGCTGCTACAGAGTCAGCAGCAGCAACAACATGGGCAGCCGCGGCAGGAGGGGCAAAGTGAGGGGCAGCAGGGGCAGCAGGAGGAGCGAGATGGACAACAGCGACTGATGTAGGGCGTGCTGTTGCGTCTGCACGGAAGCGGTTGTTGGACATTCGGAATGGGCTATGCATGGAGACGAATGGGCCGACTTGTAATACAATGCCGAATTGGGAGTAAGTATGGGGTGACACCCCTTTCCCCGGCGTCTTTACGTGTTCACCATTTGTAAGCTTTTTATCACAGAAGCCATTGCGTCCTGGGCCAAATTCAATGCGACATGCCCTAGCTAGCACCATACGAATGAACACAGGCCAAAGCAGACGACCAACCACGCTGAGATGCGAGGAGGCGTGAACGGAACTGTTCCTCGCAACCCGGGCGCTGTCAAAGGAACTATCCATGTCGGAGCCTTCGCCTTGAGCCCTGCACGCACACGCGCCAATAGCACGCATGGTTTCGGGGCAAGGCATACGCCTATCATATACCTCTACCAGCACAATCTACTATGCACATGTACTGCGCCATGCTTCGACGCAGTGCATTAACCTGCATCTTCCCTTAGTATGTCGTGGAGGAACCTTATTAAACGCACTACATGAGCGTCGAAACCCTGCTCGTACACCTGTGTCACCTCCGTAAACATACGGTAATACGTAAACCTACCCAACGCTCGGCCACCCTCCCAAGTACTGCTACTGCCTGCATCAAGGTGCATCCTGTAATGCGGATGCCCTTCCAGCTCAGGAATAGCGTGTTAGCAATGTACTAACACTTGCTTGTTGTGTAGTACAGGTCACAAAAACGAAAAGCCAAGTATCCCAGGCCTAGGCCACGGCTGTACGTCGAGATCACTGCTATGATGGTGGATACGGTCAAGTACGTAGCGTCCCATAATGGCCGCCTTTTTACGAGCCACAGCACTGCATACACAAGTATAACCTAATATGACAAGCCCTACGAATACCGTATAGGAACATAACATGGCAGAACGCAGAGACATGAATACACAGGGATTACATACGGCACGACCAAAAGGAGAGATTAAAAATGCCATGGAATGAATGCTAGGTATAATGTAACGCTCACTGCTTCTGTACGCATATTGCCAGTTACACACGTCCAAGCTACACACAGGCCCGCTTTCTACGCACTAGGAGCTGTCTTCCCATGGAAATGTACAAACGGGCATTGGGCAGCCGGCATGCTGCCCAGTAGTTGCCCAAACCCAAGCACGAAGCCGGAGGAGGAGTTCCGTAAGTTCCGCCTTGCGGCTCAGTTGACATAACAAAATGCAATATGACTTCCCAACCGCCTGCAGCTTCACCCGTAACACATAGGCCTTTGGAACAGGCCACAAGGTCACTCAACTTGATCATGCACTCATAGAGCTCTTGGCCCCTACCGTCCCATCAAGTAAGTAACCCTGACTGACGTAGAAGGCACCACCTCCGCCACGAGGGTAAAGCGCCTATTTCAGAAGGCGCCGAACAGATGGCTTGCAAGTCTAATTGCGCTTGATTGCCGACGACGCGGTCTGCTTCAGGTAACGCGGCTGGTGGATGCTACCAGCTGCCCCGCTGTCGGCGTTTGAGGTGGGGCCAAGCCGGGAGACCGAAACCGACGCCGATGCAGGCCGTGCCTTGGTGCCGACCATGCTGAGGCCGGGCGTACGCGCAGAGCCCGGGCGTACGCTCTCAGCGGCTGGGTGGCGCTTCATGCAGCAGGTATCGCCGACGGCGCTGGCCTTGGGCGTCACAGCGCCGCCTCTGACGCTGCCACCCTCGCAGGGCAGCACGGAGACCAGTGAGCTGGTACGGGCGGGATGCGCCGGATTCGAGGCATTGGCGGCGTTGCTGGGCGACAGCGGCATGTGTCGTGTTGCTTGTCCAGCTGAGGCGGTAGAGCAACGGGGCGAAGTGAGGATAAGGCGGCACGGGCTAGGGGGCTTGCTGTCGTTGCTTGGCGGAAGCGGCAAGTGCGGGCTGTAGTCCTGCGGGGTTTGCCGCCCGGCAAGGACACGCCACGGAGAGCCCCGCACGGCCCTGGCGGCTGCGTGGTGCGGCGAAGACGGGGTTGTGCGGCTCGGGCTTCGGGGCGTGGCATCTTGGCTGCGAGCTGCCGAGGTGTTGAACAGCAACGCGGGCACGCGCATGCTTGGGCTGAACTCTTGGGAAAAGCGGACGACGCCGCTGGTAGCGACGCTGCTGCATGAGGCCGGAGCGACAGCAGAGCGGTGCAGCCCAGTTGACGGCGAGGCTGCACCATGCGGGCGCGGCGCATTCAGGCTTTGCAGGCGCGGGCTGGTGGCCGGCTGCGGCGCAAAGAAGTCGTCACGGCCGGGGCAGAGCGTTGGTGTTCCAAAGGCTGCCCGCGACGGACTGGGCGGAACCTTCTTCGTAGACGGCGTGGCGACATCCTTCGGTGTGGGCGGCGGCGCCATGGCCGCAAAGGTGATGTTGGCGCCGGTGTATGGCGGCTCAGGGCTGCGGTGCCTCTTGTGGCTAGTCAGGAGCTGCCCCTGCGGCTCGGGAGCAGATCCTTCGCTGCTCATGGAAAGTCGGAAGGATGCTGAGTCAGTGCTGTGCTCTTCTGACAGGGTTCTTGTCGAGCCTGGAGGGGACGCTACGTTTTCCATGGCAGCGCCGGGCATGGACATGTCGTCTTCAGGGTCAGCTTGCGCCGTAGACGAAGCGGTGATGACCGCCGCGTAACGCTTCATGTCTGAGAGGACCGAATCCGCACTGCGGGTGGTGCCAGCCAGCGCATGATGGGTCGCCGAAGGGCTGTGCCTGGGCGTTGTGGAGAGTGACATGCTGCCGATACCCCTTCTTCTGGGGCCCGCAGCGGTATCGTGGATGCTGGTGAAGGGCGCAGAGCGTCGACAGGCTTCAGCTGTGGAAAAGGGGGCGTCCTGGAAGCCGTGTCCTGTGCCAGTATCATGGTCCGAGCCAAGATCGCTGAGTCGAAGGCTCCGGGTAACCTTAGGTGAAGTCGTGGGCGTGCTGTGAGAGATGCCGACGCCAACTCTCGGCGCATCAGCTAAAGGGTTGTCTGCTGCGGTATTCGAGGGGCCCAGCAGCACGGCGCTACCCTCGTGCGTACGCCTGGCGGAGTTACAACCTATGGATGCCCTGGGCGACGATGTTGCAGCATGCAAGGAACCGCCAACGCTGATCCGAAGGGCTGGCCTATGGAATGCATGCACGGGATGGGCATCTTCCTGCTGCGTGCTGCGGCCATGGTGAGGCTCCGGCTCTTCCTGCAGCGATTGGCTGAACTTTGCCAGACCGTCCTGCATGCAGGTAGTACCTAAGGCTTGTTAACGGCCCCGCTAGCGGTGTTTGCAACGCTATACACACCCGTACCTTAAAAATCTGCAGAGGAGAAGGAACGAAGACTGATAGGCCCCAAGCTGATTGGGTATTGCGCCCACTGTTACTGCCGGTTGACATCCGGCGTCGGCCGCGTTGCTGCGCAGCAAGGCGAAAGGAATATATCTTGCAACAAGGACGACCACCTTGCAAGGACATCCAGCGATAGCCCCCTTACACGTGTCGGTTTGAACGTTCTATTGTCTATCCATTGCCGGGGTTCTGAACCGTTTGTCCCCGCCGAAGAGCTCCATCTAGATGCAAGGAAACAACGGAAGACCGTATCAGCCGTAATAAGCGGTGTCAGTTTAATAGTTGCCCGACGCTTTTGTTTGTGCGTACCCAGGTGACTCAAGAAAGCGCAGGACCGTGGTGAGGATGGATACTTGCATCAGAACCAAGTAGACGGCAGCTATCGACACGATGTGCATCCATATTCGCACAGGGAATGTCCAGAAGAGGAATAGCGGATGCAGGTAAAGACGCCAAATAAGGTGAAACATCCCCGAAGTTAGTGGCTGTCAATTTGATATTCTTCTGTCCAAAAAGGTATCTACGTGTCTCAATATTGTAAAACATCCAGGTGCAGATAATGCTGTGGCTCGTCACGTAGGGCGTATTGTGCTGGAATTGCAAGCGTTGCGGTGGATTCAAGCTAACCGCAAGCAGCCCTTCATGGGATCGGAGCTGCAACAGCTCCACGACAAGCCAGCCCCTTTCGCAGCAATACTCCTGTCTTGCCAGTAGAAGTTACGCAAATACTAACAGGTTGTCTTTGGGAAAATGCTGTCTGTGCGCTGCCCGCTAGTGCCAAAAGCTGGGGCAAGGCCTGGCCGTGCGCGGCTGGTGATCCGTAACGCAGCCTTTGGTGTCCGTCCTTACACCCTACGCAAGGGAGACACGCTAGATAGCATTGCAAAGAAGCGCAGTAAGTTACCAATGTAGAGCTGGGAGCTGAAGCGTGCACAGTCGAAGCAATCTACTTTTTCTTATATTAATAGGCCTTACTGTGGAGCAAATATTGGGCATTAACCCCGAGTTCAAGGCGGACGCTGTTGTGGAGGGCAAGACCATTCTGCTGCCTGCTAACAAGTTGTCAACTCGCGATAAGGAGATCTTGGGCGGTATCGGCACGACATACCGGATTTACCCTATCCGGGCTGGCGAGACGCTGAGCGATGTGTTGTCTAAGCGCGGGATCAGCACCGAGGAGTTCCTCGCACTCAACCCAGGCGTTGCAATTCAGGACGTTCACGGTAAGGCAATGCACTTGAGCTGCTGTTTCCTTGTGCACCAGTGCGGGAGCCTGCGTCAGATAGGACGGCATACCAAGAGGCCATTGTGTGTTAACTTCCAGGGCAAACGTGACCCATGATTTCTGCTTGCAGACAACCAGGTGGTGAAGCTGCCCATTAACAAGTTCACCGTCCGCGAACGGGAGATGTTGATAGGCTCGGGCATCCTGCCACACGAATTCTTCACCGCCGCTAAGAACCCATTCGTGATCGGCCTTGGAGGACGTGAGTACTGTTAGATAGCGATCAGGGATAGGAAGGCGCCGCTGGGGTTTCGGTTCTTTTCATAAGTCAATACAGGTGTGGTAAAAGGGGCAAAAGGACCCATGGGACATGGGCATGGGGCATGCGTCTATGCAACTGCAGTACACACCAACGACCTCTGGTTGAGGTCCCATGCGAGTTTAGGCAGGGCATGCATCGCAAGCTGCGCATACAGACGGAGACGCCTGCATGTCGCGCTTCCACTTGCGGTGCCGCCAGCCCCCGTGGCGCTTTCAGGCACTCGGGATGACGCAGGCACCTACGCCCTGCCGTTCCTCGCACAACAAGTGAGCTTTTCCAGGTTTCCCTGCCAGGAGTATTTGGCAGAGAGAAGTATTACAGGCCAAACATCCCTCTTCATGCGCATTCCATTTGCACTTCCTGTTTGGTCCCTTGGGCATAGCGAAGCAGCGCCCCACTTCCTCCTCATGGATTGCCGCAGCACAATCAAACAGCAGGGAACCATCATTGGGCGCATCCCCACCCTGCATTGCTTGTGTTCCCTCGTGCCCTCCCCCAGTCATGCTGGTCTGCGGCTTCGTCATGGCGTGGCAGCGGTTCCACTCGGACCCCGACATGCAGGCCACCGAGTAAAGCCCCAGCAACCCAGAGCGGAGCGGTACTGCATGGCGCGCCAGCGGCCTGCAGCGGAGCCTGGAACTACTGGTTGCAACCAGTAGTCCTAGCCGAAAGCTTGGGGCCCTCTAGGGGAGCAGACCGAGCAGTCCGCACGTGTCGTTGTGGGCTTTGAGGTCCGGGTGGCCTGGTTGCGTTGTTATTGGACATGTCTTGCCTAAGTCAGTTAGGAAGAGGTTTCGCATGGTCGTACAGCATTGTTATTGTAAGTTTCCAACCGCATGGTTTGGAGCTGTTGCGCGACATAGTAGCCGATATATGAAGATTCGAGTTGACGGCTGTAAATAGAGAGGCGCTGAGGCGCATGGGGGGTTCGCTCTGATTAGGGCGCCGTGTTCCGGGCATACTGGTGGGCAGCCCCTGTTGATGAAGATGGCGCATTCGGGTGGAAGAGGACGCATTTGGTTTCGGCTGCTTTTGGGTCTGAAGAAGACGTGCCAAGATTATATGTCCCCTGTACATTCCCTGTTGTTTGCAGCACGGACAGCTGCTGCTGCCCTATTCTGTGCAATATAATACGTAAAGAGCTGCATGGACGCCCTCCGTTCATGCCCGTAACAGCCGGTTACAAGTCTTACAACACCCATGCACCCACGGGGCCGATGGCGCGTCCGAATGAGTCATCTAGCGCCCAGTATACAAGCTGCGCCACATGCCAACCAACTCCGCACATCTACCGCACGGTAGGGCCGCAGGGAACGGAGTGACGCTAGAAAGCGACCTGTCCAATAAAGCAGCAGGCCGCCCACCGAACGCCCTTCGTCATGGTAGTGACATAGAACACCGCACAGAATGGTGTCCTCCCGGCAAGACCCATGTAGCTTGGCTAGAGCGCACGCACGTCAACCGCCACAACTGAGCGACGCTTCAGTCGTCCTTGGGGGCCTCGTGCGCCTTGCCGCGGTCGTGCGCCTCGCCGATGCCGTCGTCGAAGTCCTCCCCCCCGTACCCAACCTACGCGACGCAGCAGCAGCAGCCAAGACGTGGGACAGGGGCACGCGGGAAGTGCGTTTGGGAGTGATGGAGCCTGCACCTCTAGCGAACGGAGCCCGTAGCTACCAGTGCTTAGGAGTATGTCAAGCGGAGATGCAGGATACATAACCATGCTGCGAGTGTTAGCGTGCGTAGGAGTACAATCCCGAGTAGATGCTTCACAACCTGGCTGTTCTACCAAACCCACCCTGCCCGCCGCACCTTTTCGCTGTCGTCACTGCCCATCAACAGCCCGTCATCCTCCTCATCATCGCTGCTGCCCTCGCCCTCGTCCTCGTCCTCCTCATCCTCGCTGTCCTCGTCGTCGCTGCCGCTGCCCTCCTCGCTTTCCGCTGCACCCAGCCCCCGTCGCTGCTTCTTGGCAGCACGCTTGCCGCCCGACTCGGCACCCCCGCGCCGCTTCTTCCCCTCCTCCTCCGAATCCTCAGACTCCTCGGCTTCCTCCTCCTCATCGCTCTTCTCCTCCATGTCGGCGTCCTTGTCTTTCCTGCAATCATAGGCGTGGAAAAGCAATATAGGGCATTCTGTTCCAGTAAAAAGGCGGTCTCCCTAGCTTCTATCTACTCAACTACACACCAAGGGCTAGCGCCTCCGCTCCCCAATAAGTCACATCAGCTTCCAGTCGCATTTCCTTGTTAGCTAGGCGGCCCCCCCTTCTCCAAACGACCCCTGGGACTCCGTCGCTGCACTTATCTTTATGTTTCCCCCCTTCTCCAAACGACCCCTGCGCGCCCCCAACGACCCACGGGTCGCCTCTTGCTGCCACCACTCACCCTGCTGCCGGTCCGTCCCTCAGCTTGCGCATGAGCTCCACCACCGCCTTCTTGGCGAGCTGCAGCACGTCCTTTTCGCCCAGCCGCACCTGTACGACAGCATGTGATTTTTGTACGGCATTCACGATCATCAGCGGCAAGGCCACAAACCCCATACGTTAGGGATCACGGGGCACAAGCACGGTGAACGGGTGACGTACGGTAAACCGATTTGAAAACTGGCATAGCTGTGGTGGGACGTTCGTTCAGAGGCTTCGATAGAAGCGCTCCCCTCTCCCACGCCGTACCGGCACCCATCCATACAGGTGCTGGAGGTGCACTACTAGTCAGGGAGGTTCTCACCCGCACAGCCAGGCGCTGGCGTCCGGTGCAGTCCGCGCTGCGCAGCATGCGGACATCCTCCTTGGCGGCGGTGGGGTAGCGATCCAGGCTGGCCTCCAGGACCTGTGTGGCAGGAGAGCAGGGGTTAGGAAGGCGTCTGGATGGAGGGCGGCCGTGGAATGGATTCGTACGGCAGACGCGGGGATTACCAAGGCCCAAGAATGCCCCGTAAGAAGCCGCCGCGGAGTGGAGGAGCCCGCATGGCAGGGAGAGACAAAGACGGCGGCGACGATGACAATGAGAAGGCCCCAGATGCACAGCCAAGGAAGTCACCATTTGCTTGCATTGACCGCACGCACCAAAAAAGTTTCATTCCGACCTCTCCTTCGTCTTTCCTTCAACAGGAACTCTCAACCCACAAGTTCCCCGGAGCTCCCCCATAACCCCCGCCCCACCCGCTTCCTCACCTGCAATGTGGCGATGCAAACCATCTCCGCAAAGTCCTCGTCCTCCTCCAACAGCGCCGTACCCAGAGACAGCTTCGGCAGCTTCGCATCCCCGCTGCCGCCCGCCCCCGCGCCCTCCGCCTTGCCGCTTCCAGACGCTGCTGCGCCTCCCTTGCCACCTTTACCGCTCTTGGCGGCGGCTTGAGAAGCCTTCTGGCCCTTCTTGCCGGCTGCTCCTGCTGCTGCGGCGGCGGAGGTGCCCGCATCCGCACTGCCGTACTCTCGTTTGAGCTCTTGGAACTCCTCCTTGGTCATCAGCAGGACCTGGGAGCAGGACGTGAAGGAGAGTGGGCGTGGGGTATGGGCCATTGCACCGGTACCGGTAAGTGCTAACCCCACATCGACGTGTGTGCAATACCCCGACGTCACGCATGCAAAAGCTCCTTGCACAAGGTAACACCGTCAGGAGCTTTCCAACGCTCCAAATACGGTATCAGTGCGGCAATGTTCGCATACACCCATACATGGGCTCTCCCTCCCTCCCCCTGACCTTTTTGCGAGACAGGAGCCCCATTAGCATTACAGCACCCTCACCTGTACGGCAGTGGTCAGCTCGTCCGGCAGCGGCTCCCGCGCAAGCAGTACGAACTGCGTGTCCTGCGGCGCTGCGGGCTGCAGCACGCCGGCAGCAGCCAGGAAGTCCCGCTTGGCGCGCTGCAGGGAGGCAGGCGGCTTCTGCGGGGGGGGGGAGGGGAGAGGAGGGTGGGGACGGGTTAGCCCGAGGTGTTAACTGGGACGCAAGTGTGTATACGCATCAACACGCGTAATGCAGTTGCCTGGCTCCGATATGATTTCGACATCACATAAAACACGTCCCTGAGGTGCGGACGCTGATTCCGACGCCATGTTCCGTGGTGCCCTCCCTCCCCCCCTTCAGGATTCCCCTCCCGACCTCCCACCTGGTCCATGGACCGCAGCAGACCGCTGCACACCTCCTCCACCGCCGACCAGGCAACAAGCGCGGCATTGTAGAGGTTGCGGTATCCACCGCCGCCAGCAGCAGCACCCGCATCAGCACCCGCAGCTCCTGCTTTTCCAGCCGCCTTCCCCTGCTTCTTGGTGCCCTTCTTGCCCTTGCCCTTGCCCTCCTCAGCCGGCTCCTGGCTGGATCCAGTAGCAGCAGCAGTTGTTGTCGTACGGAAGTCGTCCTGGCTGTCTAGGAAGCCGTACGTTTGCAGCAGCTGCGCGTCCGACAGGTTGCCGTACGTGTGCAGCACCTCCTCGCCCGCAGCGATGGGCTTGTCTGCGGGTAGCGAGGGCGAGGTGCAAGGAGAGCGAGGTATTACCGGAAGTGGCGTAGCTAATGCGTGTCTTCAAGCAACTGAGCGAGTGGGCTGTAGAGGGTTCCTGCAGACCTCACCTTTCCCCGCCCACCCTGCCCCTCACTTGGAAGAACGCCCCACTACTACCTACCTATGTTTTTCTCCCCTATCTAACCCTGCTTACGTTATCCCGCCTCCATACGACTGCGCTTCCCACGCACACATACCCACTGACCTGCGCGCATCACGAAATAGGCCTCCACAGCAGCCCCCTTCCCCTTCTCCTTCCCCTCTGCCCCCTCCCCGCCCGGCAGGAGCTCCGCCGCGGCCGCCTGCGCCACATTCAAGCGGTCCAGCCGCGCATTACGGCGCACGGGGTTGTGCGAGTGGTTGATCATGTCAATCCCCGGCAGCAGGAACACCTGCGTGCCGCCGCCCTCCAGCTCCGAAACCACCTCCTTGGCTCCAGAAACCCAGTTCTCTGCCTCCAGGTGGAAGGCGCGGCTCTGTACCATCGCAGCGGCACGCAGGAAGGCACGCAGACCCGCACCCTGATCCTCGCCACCTGCAGCAGCCTTGACACCCTTGCCCCCCGCTGCCGCTGCCGGCTGCTGCTGTTGCGTCAGTCCCGGCCATAGGTCGGGGCGGGCGGCGAGCACGGGTGCCACATGGCGGCGGAACACGTCGGAGGCGGGGTCGGGTCCGGACTCGGAGATGGCGGTGCCTGGGAGGAGGGGTGAGCGGGGGGTTGGAGGGTGTGCTAAGGGTGCTAGCCAGGGTGAGAGGAGGTGTTATGGAGGAGTATAATCACCCATGTGGGAGTGAGGCACCCCGCCCCCCGTGGTGGCCCGTGGTGGCCCCGCCCAGCTAGCTTTCCATCCACCCCTGGGCCCAAATCGCCATCAGACTCCCATGCTTTCCGCGCCTCTGCCACCTCTCCCTCCCTCCAGCCTCACCCGCCAGCTCCTCCTTCTCCTCGCTGCTCCAGTACAGCAGGCAGTCCGGGCAGTCAGCCGGCAGCGTAGCAAGGTAGGGAGCCCACTCGGAGCCCCCCCCTGCTGCAGCTCCTGCCGCTGCTGCGCCTCCTTCCGAGCTAGCAGTGGCTGCACGAGCCAACTCGGACATGAGCACGAGGCTGGTGGCCAGGAAGGGGCTGAGGCCGGGATGCTGCTCCCGGAGGTAGTGTACGGCAGGCGGGAAGGCGGCGGGGTTCCTGTGGGGGCGATGAGGAGGGGTTGGGGAGGGGGGGTTGGGGTGGGAGGGGGTTGGGTTTGAGGGGGTGGGGGTGCGGCGGCGGTGTATGTGGGCGGGTTGCGGGGCTTGGGAGGGAGGGGTACGGTACCCAAATCGCCGTGAAGTAGGACGGAGGAGGGTTTAAGGAAGAATGGGTGTGTGTGTTTTGGTTGTTTGATTGCAGAGTACAGGGCGCGTAGTGGCCAGTTGCAAGGAACAACTGCGGGTGCCGTAAGAAACGATGGAAGTGATGACCACGGCACTAGGTCGTCTTGCGGCGCAGCGCGTGCGCTTTCCAAGCCTTACTTGGCCAGCTCCTCATTCGTCGGAATGTATAGAGCACATGTTATCGGGAGCAGAAGCAGAAGCTCGCCCTCCGCTATCTGACGGCGAGCGACGACGCCGCGATCTCCACTCTCCAGAACAGAGAACAGGTCAAGTTCTTGATTCACCTTGCCACCACGGCTTCGCAGCCACGTCGCGAAGTCCATCGTAACGCTGTCGAACGAGAAATGTCGAAGACTAGTTTGGGACAATCAATTCCCTATTTTCACGTTAACACCGATATGGGTTTCACCTGGCAGATTCTTACTTGGGAAATGGTGCCGTTGAGCTGGAGCTGTCATGTTTCCGTACATCCGATTTGGCACGCAACCAGCCAAGCTTGGTTTTGCAAGGCTTATTCTTTGCCCCATTATCCTATAACAACTGGTATAAGTTCAGCATCATACACGAAGCCCCTGGTGATCTGCGACGGTGTTTGTTGCTTATGCTGGTCCAAAAAGTCCAACAAACATGCCACGCCACAAGCGGCAAGACAGCGACCTTGATATGCAGGCGCCTTGGATAAACACAGTCAACTTAACGTCAACTGACCAGCCTATATTTTCCCCCAACGCTACCACCGTCAGCTCGTCCGGGCTTACCCGAACCGGCAAAGCAAATGAACAGCAGCGTATCGCTGTCAGCAGGGAGAGCAGCATGTAAGTTAACAGGCCATGGCGTTACCTTTAGCAACAACCGCCGATGCAGCTAGCACCTCTAGGCCCGCTGCAGTCCCTAATTCTCAATACTTCTGTTGATACAGGCCGGCTTCGAGCGCTAGCTTGCCACCTGCACCAGGTAGGGCAAATGAAACCCCCTCGGACCCTGCGACCCCTCAACTGCTTCGATGCGGGAGGCGCTGCGTTTCCTGAGCGCTTACCAATAGCCTTCCGTCCGTAATGATCCTGCTAAAGTATGGCGCGGTTGATTCACAGGCAGCGATGAGGGTCCAACCACGTTGGAGGCAATCATGCGCTTCCGCGGTACTCGCGTTAAAGTAAAGGTCACGGCCACGCACGTTTCCTGGAAGCCGCTCAATCCGGTTGGTTGCTGTGTTGACAGGCGCTCCCTTATCATTCGTGGTAAGCCCAACCCTTGGGGTACCCTTCATCCATTGCAACAGCCCCCGTGAACAACTTGTTGCTGCTTTCACTGCCTAGTTGCACACATTGCCTAGTTGCAAACGGAACTATCCTTGATCGCAGTTCCTTTCGACGAGATTCTTTCAGCAGCGCTGTCCAAATCGACAGGATGCTGTCGCCCACGGGTAGGTTCCAACAGCAACAAACGGACAGCGAGCCCCGGGGGTCTAGCTACCGTAGTGCACGTTGAATCAACGGGTTTACCGACGGCCGCGTATCAGCTGACATTGTGACCGCCTGGTGCATGAGAGGCTCCCTGTCTACCGTCGCTCCTGCCCCTCTTCACCCCTCCTCTCCCATCCACCTTGCCTTCTGACACCGCATACCCTCCCCCCTCTCGCACGCCTAATCTTGCCACCACCATCAACGCATGGTTTCCTTCCTTTCCCCCCTTTGCACGCGCGCAGGAGAACTCCTTTGCCGTCTATACCTTCTCCCGCCAGGGCCCCAGCGCGCCCAACACCTGGCGCGCTGAGGAGTATGTGCTCAGCGGCGGCTCAGCGGAGCAGGTCAAGGAGTGGGTGGCGGCGATCAACGGCAGGGTACAGCTCATACGGGACAGGTGGGGGCTGTCCTGCTCCGGCCGTGAAGGGTGCCGAGGGGACAGGCCGGACGGGGGTGCTCACGGGAAGACGGGGAAAGCCACTGAGGGAGGACACCAGCCGGCTCGGTAGTGGACGGAAAGATGTCGGGTCCATTTGGGTTGGAACGTCCTGACACGCAAACCCCACATTCCCACGCTGCTGTTTACTGATTACCGATATCGTGTCTGCAGGTGGTTACCAACCCACATCGCCGCTCACCCACCCTATCCTACCCACTCTGCCTGCCCCCTCACGTTGCCTGCTCCCACGCTGCCCCCCTGCACAGGCCGCGCAGCCTGCTGGTCTTCATCAACCCCTACGCGGGCGCCCGCCGGGCCCGCCACATCTGGGAGCGGGAGGTGCTGCCGGTCTTCCAGCGCGCGCGCATCCAGGTGCACGCGGTGGACACGACCAAGCAGGTGTGTGGCAGGGAGGAGGCGCGGGGTGTGTGGCAGAGGCCTGGAAGTCTAGGGGAGATAGGGGAGAGCAGTCTGAAGATTGTTTGCGGTCTGCTGCCTAATTCAGGCCCATATTGCGCCGAGAGACGGCAGCCTAGCTTTGCAACTTCCCCCTTGCCCCCCAAACCGCATGCACCCCAAACCGCATGCCCGCAGGACCACGCTCGTGAGCACGTGGAGTACATGAAGGCCGAGGAGCTGGCGGCGTTCCAGGGTGTGGTGGCGGTGGGCGGCGACGGGCTGTTCCAGGAGGTGGTGAGCGGGCTGCTGGCGAGGAGGGCGCGGGGCGACTCGGCGGCGTGGCGCATCCGAGTGGGACACATCCCAGCGGGCAGCACGGATGCGGTGGCGTACACGTGAGTGTGGGTGCGGTCGTGGTAAACTTGTGATGCCGTAATGGGCGTTGCGTGACCAAGGCTTGGGTTGCTACCGGTACGATTGGAAGGCGCAGCGATTTGGGTCGTGTGCAGAGTCGCGTGGCGTTGCGTTGTCAGGGCATGCACGTACCCGGGGGGAATGTGCTGTATGGATGGGTTGGATCCGTATGAATGGTGCTACGGCCCACCAAACGTGGCCCTTTGGCCGCGGCCTCTTGGCTTCCTCTCTCCGCAGCCTGCACGGCTCCCGCAGCGCCACCACCGCCGCCCTGCATATCGCCCTGGGGGACCGCATGTCACTAGACGCGGGCCGCATCGAGACCCACGGGTCGCCAGGCGGCGCAGCAGCCGGCGGCGGCGGAGGCGGCGGTGGAAGAGGTACCCCAGGCGGCGTGAGCCCTCAACGGCATTTCGTTTGCATGGCCAGCTACGGCTTCATGGGGGATGTGATGCGCGTCAGCGAGCAGCTGAGGTGCCTGGGACCTGGCAGGTGCGCGGCCGTGGAGGGGAGGGCACCTGGATTGGGTCTTGGGGTGGGGAATACCCCAGTAAGCGAGCGGGATGGGTGCGGTACACACAGGGTAACGCATTTGAGCTAATCCTACGGGACGTAGAAGACGTGCGATTATAAGCAAAACGCATGCGAGCATGACATCATGTAACGCAAGGATAACATGTGCTCTTGTTGTTGTTCGTACTGCAGGTACGACGTCACGGGCGCGCTGCAGTACCTCCGACTGGCCAGCTACCGGGTAGCTGTGTCGTACCGTGAGGCTCACTCCACCACGTCAGACGTACAGCAACTCTGTACGGCACAGTGCCAGGTCTGCCGCATGGCAGGTATCGCCATTGACAACGCCGGCACTGCCTTTGCTCGTCCAAGTGTCGCCGCAGTCGCCGCAGTAGCGCCTCCCAGCGCTAACCCTGCCGGCATCGCCTCCGCAACCGCCTCCCCTGCTGTTCCCTCGATTGCAATTCCGAACAGCAACCCTGGAAGCACCGTGGCAACGCCTCGAGGTGGCGCTGGCGGCGGCGGCGGCGGCAGTCCCGTTGGAGCGAGCGCGACACCCTCCTCCATCGCCACGCATCGCTACCACTTCCCTGCGTCCACAACGGCCGCCGCTGGGGCCTCCTTCCCCGTCTCCACCGCGTCCTCCTGCTCTAGCGGCAGCGCCGCCGTTGACTCCACGCCTGTCACGGCGCTACCCGCCACACCCGCTTCCTCCGCCGCTGCTGCTGGTGCGGCGCCCGCAGCAGCAGGCACCGGCATCGACGGAAGCCCCGGCTGCTTCTTCCGTACCTCTAGCCCCTCCAGACAAGCCTCCAGCCTGCCACAAAATCAACAGCAACAACAGTCGCCGGAGAAGATTGCAACGCAGTCACAACCAGCTGTTGGCGGCGCCGCCAATGGCGCCGCCGCAAGCAGAGCTTCAAGCATGAAGGCGGAACCCGGCGGCGGCGGTGGCAGGCCAGCGGCGCCGTTGCCCTCAGGGGCAGCTGCGGCGGCGAGTGGCGGGAGCGGCGAGGAGGGTTGGACTCGCGTGGAGGGGGAGTTTGTGTCGATTATGTGCGTCATAACCCCGTGCAGGAGTGACAAAAGCAAGCGGGGTGAGTACATGGCCACATGGATTGGCTGGGGCAGGAGTTTGGGTTTGAATAGAAAGCGCGTGGTCGGCGTGGTGTGTGGTGCGGTACGTATCAGGAAGCTGGGGAGTCCACAAGCGCTTATCTAACACGAACGCTCGAACACGCCTTGCATGTAACATGCCTATTACACTCAGACCCCTAAGACGGACCATCACAACCCAACCGCGCCCTCCCTGCCTCCCTCCCTCCCTTGCCCCTCGGCTCCTCCAGGTGTCATCCCCAACGGCCACCTCTCCGACGGGCGCATGTACCTGGTGCTGGTCTCCCGCTGCTCGCACCTCGCCTTCCTGCGCTTCCTCATCCGCATGGCCACACGCGGACTCACGGACCGCTGCCTGCCCTTCGTGAGGGTCATACCGGTCACCGGGGTGCGAGTGAGGTGAGGGCGGGGGGTGGCCGCAGGGAGGCAGAGGAGTGTAGAGTGCAGGGGCAGGAGGGGCCGGGGACGATGGCAGGGTGGGGCGACAAAGCGTGGATCGGGCTGTGAGCGGCTTCGTAAGCGCTGTTAGGGGCAAACGTTACAAAAGCACGTGAAACCAGCATCTGACGCCGTCCTTCTAAGCCAGCTGTATGAAGCACCTTCTCGCGCCTGTGCAGCTGTAGACCGCTGCTCAGCCCTCCTATGTGCTGCTCATCCGCCCACCAACCCACCTCCCCAACCCGCAGCCCGCAACCCGGGGGACACACGTTGGGCGGCTGCCTATTCGACGCCGCGGCGCCGGAGAGCAACTGGAACGTGGACGGAGAGTTGCTGTACGACAACCACGTGGCCATCAATGTCGTACGGGGCGCGGTGGAGGTGTTTGCGCGCGGCGTGGAGACACATCACGGCGGCGGCAGCAGCAGCTCGTGCGTCCCCATCATTCGCGCCAACACCGGCAGCAGCGTCGGTGGCAATGGCGGCGGTAGCGGCGGGGCGGTAGCCTGAGGGGACATACGATATGGTGACCAGCTCGCAGCGGTTGGGTGCCAGCGCCACTCGGCGGATGGGCGCGGAGCGTATGGACTACTGGTGTGTTGATTACAGCGGCGGCCTGAATAAAGTACAACTGCTGTGAGCCTGCAAGAATTGCCAAACCGTTTAGTGTAATGAGCATGGTGTGTGCGCGCGGGGGCAGTTGAGGGAGTTAGCTCGGGCTGCATGTGTGTTCATTTGCAAGGCTGCAACGAGGGCTGGGACCGTTTGTGTGTGAGGAATTAGCATGGCGAATGCCTTGTTACCATGGCGGCGGATGCGGGATGAGGGTCCTTAGGTAGGCCTCTGGGAATCGTGATGCTGCCAACGTTGTTTTGCAAACCCAACCATATCCCGTGTATAACACTTTTGCCATGTTGCCTGCCTTTAGCCGACTGCAGCTGCAACCTTCATAAACTCGCCCAAGGCAACTCGGTGTTGCTCGATATCCGTTTTTACGGTTAGTCACATTGAATGTGCTGTTAACGTTGACGTTTGCTCAAACATCTCGTAAGCTGCGGGGGTGTTGTACGGCCCTGATGTCGCCGGAACTTGTGTTGGTGTCTCTTAAGTGCTGTGCAGGTTGTGTATAGCCGCTTGTGGCAATTGCAAAGAGTGGAAGGGAAGGGATGTGGAGGGGCCCTCGTCGGCATCCATGCGGGAAATGTATCTTTGAAGGTGGCGTAAAAGACCGGTACTGGGTCAACTAGCAGCTGCTGTGAACGTTACGTCTTTGCATGGAAATAGCAAAACGGTAAATGACACGCAGGCGGCTTCTGTACATTCAGTGATATGTTAAGTGTTTTGTTGCTTTGCTTTACACGTGTATGCGAGGTGATTGTATGTCACGCTGCTTGGCTCTAATTCCGGCACGCATACTGGAATGGCTCGTCCATGTTGTACGCAGGAGAAGTTGCTCTAGTCGTATTTCCTACACGTAGGACCCTCGTGACGCGTCTCAAGCAAGCGTAGAGTATGTCGGGAGGGCTAATGTTGTTCAGGTCAGGTTCAGGTTCACGATGTTAACAGTTGTTGGCCACTTCATTGTAAGCGGTACTATGACAATCGACATCTGTCGCATGAATGAAGTTCTTTTTATACTCAAGAGGAGACAGATCGGCATATAAATTGTAATATTCCGTATAAGACTTTGCCTGTCCACGATATTCCTCTACTGCCGCATGGGCATATCTTAACGACTCGTGAATACCCTAACTACCCATTGTTGTGACCAATTCTGTAGCGGCAGCGAACATGAGCTTTGGCAACAACGAGGAAGGCGTCTAAGCTGGCTTTTGCTTGGGGTGATGAAGACATAGTAACAATGTTGGCGGAGGCAAAATGCCATGAGTATGCGGTACAATGACCCATGGGTCATTATTCACATCTATCCAACCACGTGTGTGTTTGGAGTCGAAAACACAATTGCTGACATTGCTGTACGCATGCAAAGACTGGGAAGGCCCTTTCCCCACAGGGCACAAGTTGCAATTGAAGGTGCAGCACATAATCCTCTTTTCGGTGAACACAATAAGGAGCAATTATTTGTTACATGATGGTTATTACACCATCGTAATCATTTCTATTTGCGCTAGGATGGCAGCTACGGCACAGGCTTGTATGCCCGAAGATGTTTGCCACGCTGTACATGCAGCAGGATAGTTGCCACAACGTCATCTACGACACTCCACGCGGCCAACGTCAGTTAACAATTATACACGATTTGACTGGGTCTCGAGCACGGCGATGAAAAATCGGTTATTAGATCCAGAATTCCTGACGGCGGTCATAGATGGTTACGTCAAAAGAGATTTTCGCATTCCCTTCTTAGCAGTAAATACGTGTTGGTACCTAATGTCGCTGTTATCGTGACACTACCAAGGTCGTCACCCCCTACAAATGATATCTTATGTACAGTTGCGTACAGATGACCCGACACCTGCGTCAAACCGTACTCATACAAACACCACGGCATTCGTACCCATGCAGGCGCCACAGGTCATCCTGTATATGTATCTTATTCATGCCCATGCACCATTACTGGGGCACACCCACTCCATCTATCCGGTCCAAACCATACTTCATCGACCCAAAACTGACATAGGAAGATGCTTTGTTCACATGCCATTATACTTCCCAAACCAACACATTCCCGAAATCGATATCGCCCTGCTTGCAACCTATTCATCCCCCTCCCAGCCCATGCCTTTACTTGCACTGCATCATCATCTTCATGTCGGCCGCCGGGTCCGCCACGTTGGCCGGGATGAGGTTGAACTTCTCAACCAGCACGTTGACCGCCTCGGGCGTCAGGAAGGCGGGCAGGCGGGGTCCCAGCCGGATGTTGCGCACTCCCAGGTGCAGCAGCGTGAGCAGCACCGCCACCGCCTTCTGCTCGAACCAGGAGAGGTCCAGCGAGAGGGGCAGGCTGTTGACGTCGGTCTTGAAGACCTTGGCCAGCTCGGTTGCTACTACCAGCGCACTGTAGGCATCGTTGCCTGTTTAGGCAAGGGAAAGCGAGGAGGAAAGTCAGCACGTGCTGCTGGGGGTGGTGGTTGCGTGGAGGCGATACCGATACTCCCCATTCGCAACTCCTAGTCCAGGAAGGCAAGCTGCGCGCACCATGGAACACTCGACGCTGCTGAAAGAAGCGACAGCGCCGCTCCCCTACCCAGTTCAGCCAGTCCCCAATCCATTCACTCACATTGCCCCATGTCCAGCAGGCGCGGCAGGTCTGTGCCCGGCAGCGTGCCAAAGTCCTGGTCGAAGATGCGGAACTTGCCGCAGCCCAGCGTGAGCACCATGGTGTTGCTGGGCATGTACTGGTAGAGCTTGGAGTAGTACTTGCGCTGCGGCTCGGAGCCGTCGCAGCCGCCCACCAGGAAGATATGCTCCAGCTTGCGGCTCTGAATGGCCTCGATGACCTGCGGCGCCACGCTGAGCACCGCGTTGTGGCCGAAACCCACCTGCAGCGGGAGGAGGAAGGGGGGTTGAAGCAAGTGAGAAATAAGGTGTCCGAAATTCAAACGCCAGCACCTGTGAAAACTGGCACTTCCGAAGGAAAAGATAGGAACACGGAAGGGAATGGACGAGCACAGCCCCGCAGTGTTCCCGTGTCCCACCGTGACGTTCTTCTTCTTGGGCGCCTTCTCCACCGCCTCGGGCGTGAAGCCGGGCAGCTCCAGCGCGCGCTTGATGATGGGGCTGAAGTCCTTGTGGCCCGAGGCGTCGGCGCGGATGTGCGGGATGCCCGCCAGACCCGTCTGCAGGTGTGGTTACAATGGTTGGGGAAACAGGTGCGGTGAGAAGCGGTACGGCAGGGTAGTCTGGAAACCCTATTAATCCAATGCTTTCAGCATTCGTGTCGGCGTAAACCCCTCTTGAAACCCCTCACCCCACCACAACACCCCGTCTCACCTCGTTAATGGTGAAGATGTTCTCCTTGTACGCCTGCAGCGGGTCCAGCACGCAGTTGGTGGTCACCGCGATGGCTCCAGGGAACCCGGCGAAGTCGATCTTCTGGCGGTACCAGGCGCCGCCAAAGTGGCCGACCAGGTGGGGGTACTTCTTGAGGCCGGGGTAGCCGTGTGCGGGGAGCATCTAAGGGGCAGGGAAGGAGGCAGGTGAAGAACAGGGAGGGGTTGGGGTTGGTTGGGGAAGATGCTGGGTTGGAAGTGATGTGGGTCACGAGGCACATGCGCAGGGGCAACGCAACAAGGCGCACATGGTATAGCAGGTTGATGCTGCTGAGCACACAACCCAGATCGTATCTGCAGCCCCGTACCCCGTACTACCTTCCTAGTAACAACCCGAGCGATGTACGTACATTCCACCCTCCTCCCGGTCCCAGCCTCACCTCTCCGTGCGTGTACACGTTGATGCCCTTGCCCTGCGTCTGCTCCAGCAGCAGGTGCAGGTCGTGCATGTCGTGCCCCGTCACCAGAATCGCCTTGCCGGGCAGCGGGTTGAGGGTGACGGAGGTAGGCTCGGGGTGGCCGAAGGTGGAGGTGTGCGCGACCGACAGCATCTCCATGACCCGGAAGTTGGTGGCGCCGGCGCGGAAGCAGTGGTCCAGTACGGCACCCACGTCGGCGGCGGCGGGGGTGGACAGGAAGTGCAACGACTCCTGCGGACAGTTAGGTGTGCAGGACATTGATTAGCGCAGGTTCTGGAGGTGAAGATTGTGAGGAATATGAAAGAATGAGAAATGGACGAAATGCAATGTGGGTCAGGAGCGTTATAGCCCTTGTAGGCCGTAGCCCATTTGGGTCAGTGAGATCCCGCACCAGCTAACGTTATACGGTGTGATACCCTTGCATACCGGTACAAAGTAGCCGTAACCCCCCTCACCACCTCACCTGCACGGCGGCGTACACGGCGGGGTCGTTGTGTCCCAGCGCCTCAGCGTGGTGGGCGTAGGCGCACAGCCCCTTAAGCCCGTACGTGAGCAGCTCCTGCAGGCCGGCTAGCGTCTCGCCCAGCACCTGCTGACGTGCTGTGACGCCGGTCTGCGAGTGTGAAGGAAATGGTTACAAGGTAGCAATTAATATTTTTGCGCCTGCCAAAAGACAAGGCGGAGCTAAGGCGGCCAACGGTAGCAACACTCGTAGCAGCACCTAAAGCACCTGAACTGCTATTGAACTGCGTTCACCGCAAGGGCAAGAGGCGAGTACTCACCTGCTGGCCAACCTCAATCATGTCGCCCACGCCGCCCAGAGCAACCGCAGCCGAGTTCCAGGCCAAAGGATGAGGCATGGAGCCGAACCAGGGCTGGGACTGCGTGGCCTCGGCTGGCAGCGTGACACCCGCAGCGGCGAGCTTGGCAGCGAGCTCGGCGTGCAGTTGTCGGCACTCCGTCACAAACTCGAGGAAGCGGTCGTCAGCAAAGTTGACGTTGGTGAGGGTGGAGAAGATGGCGCCGTTGATAAAGGTGTTAACTCGCGCATCCTCGATGCCGGCAGTGGTGCGAGCGATATGCGCCAAGCTTCCCAGGCCCTTGACGGAATACACCAAAAGGTCTTGCAGGGCAGCAACCTCGGGTGTCTTACCGCAAACGCCTACAGGAAGCAGAGCACAATGGTGGACGGTTTGACGTAGTTTAGTCATACTTTCAGAAAGGTGGCTGCGGTTACTGTGATGGAAGTGGCCACATAAAGGTTGCAGCTTTCACATCGCATGGCTGCCGTATTTGGGGCGTCTCCTACACGCATGCATTGCTTACCAATTTCCGTGCATCCCTTTCCGCCCTTTGTCTGCTCGCACTGGTAGCACATCATCTTGTCCTCTTTAAGGGCCTTGTTCGCGGCTTCCATACGGTCCTTGATCGAAGACACGTCGCGGAAAGCCTCGGCGGAGGCATACGGGAGGGCTGCTAGAACGCGGGGAGCTACGTCCCGCTGTAGAAGACTCAGGCACCTTGAGGCGGGAATACCACCGCTGAGGCGAGATCCCATCGTCGCAAGGCAGCGGGCGAACATTTTGTCGGGAAGGTAGTTGAAAGGGCGACGAATAGGCAGATAAGTCAACCGGCTCACGAGTATCCGTGCAAACTCAGCACCGCTATGTCAGCAATAACGAAACTTATGGACCAAAATGGAAAGCTTTGCGATTTATGTAGGAAGCTAGGGCCTGTCGTACGGTGGAAAGGGTGCTCAGCTGACAATGTCCGTCCTGTGTACCATGGCATCAAGAATTTGCATATTCATAAGACCGACTTGACCTCTTCCCTCCTGAAAAATCGTCGAAGTTGTTTAGAGACCGTTGAAGTAACCAGCAAAATCGCCGTGCATGCGCGCCACTTCGAAGTGGCTCCAGGACCATCCGGTCTGACGTGGGTACCGTAGGCAAGTATGTTCCACAGCTCCAGTTTTCTCGAATGCGCCAAAGGAATTTCCCTGATCTTGGCGCATATCACCGCATGCATTATAGATATTGATAATCCTGAAGCATCTCTCACGGTCGCGATCTGCTCGGATCACCGCTTGCATGGAGTAAGTTGTCCTAACGCTCTATGCACGCACGAACCTCGCAAGACGTATTTAGTATTGCTAGTTCCTCGTGAATCTGTTGACTCTTCATTACTGGTAACGACGAGTTACCATTGTATCGCGTCATTTCTTAAGGCATGCGTCCTTGCATCATCGGTTACTCACCGTTTGCTAGCAATTAATACAGCGTCACTAGACGATTGGTGCGCCTGATCGTCCTGATACCGGTAGGCAGCGACCATGGCAGAGGCTGCCTGTGGCTTCGTCCTTCCATTCTACGAGCCGTTGCAGCTGTTGCAAACCAAGCCATACGACTTCACACAGCTGGGAAAGCAAGTGAGCGACGCGCGATGCCCTAGAAATAGGCAGCTGACGCAGGGTCGGAGCTTCCAATGTCTTCTTCACTTTCTCCCTCCGACTCAGACCACTGTTCAGATGTCCAGTATACAGTTTCACAATTCCGTTCGTTGGCTGTCGTTGGTTGAAATTGCCTTGCGCTACCGCCGTGTCAAAAGCACCGGACTTTGCCGGGGTCCATGGGTCCTTGGCCCTCCTGGCCTGCACACTATGGCAAAGCGCAGTTTAAGAGACTGATGACTTGTAAAACTTTGCAAAAATTACGGTTGATTTATGCAAAGGCTGTACTACTCGCACTTATTCCCTGCAACGCTTCCATCCCAGATCCGCCTCCCATCGCCAACCCCTAACCTCTCTCACACCAATCCCCCAGCACGCAAACTCCCCAACTTCCGCCGCCACCGCTGCCGCCCTCGCCGCCTACGTGCGCCCCGACTTCCTCGCGGAGCTCTCCTTCCACCGCGGCGCGCTAAGCGCCTGGCTGCAGCAGCAAGCTACAACATCAGGCAGTAGCAGTGGTTCCGGTGGGGGTGGTTTCGGTGCCGGTGGTACGGCAGCAGCAGTGGTTCCGGAGGGGGTTCTGGAGGGCCTAGCAGCGCTAGCGGCGCGCTTGCATGGCCTCACGTACGCGCTAGCGGGGCCGGCGGCTGCGAGTATGGCGGCGCCGGCGGGCAGTACGGCGGCGGAGGGGCTGCCGTACGGCGAAGGAGGAGGAAACGGCGGACGAGGCGGGGGCGCTGCGATTGCGGCGGCGGCGGCGGTGACGGCTGGGATGTTGCGTACGGAGTGGACCTCCGCGCTCTCCAGCAAGTGGGTTGGTTCAATTGTGCTTCTGCGTCGTCCTGAGCAGTAACAACGGTTTCCTAGTTTGCTAGCGAAGCAAGGCATGTAAACTAGCAGCGCAGTGCACATGGGTTTGGTGAGTGCATGGTGCGTCTGGTGCCGTCCCGCATCTGGGTCTCATAATAACGATTTGGGTCGGCTGCGAGTTTGGAGCCTGTTCGGGATCCTTGTGAGAACGAAACCCAGATTGTCACCCCAATTCACCTGCCCCGCTTCCTCTCCCTCAGCCCTCACCCTGCCCTCGTTCATCCATACCCCCATTGCTCTCGCCCTCCGTTTTCCTCCTGCCCTGCCCTGCCCCTGCCCCTGCCCCTGCCACTGCAGGCCTCAGCGGATGCTAAAACTGGACTCCCTGCCGCAGGAGCTAGCCATGGTGGGCCGGGGTGGGTGGGGTTGAGGTTTGTGGGTCGGGGTGGGTTTTGTGGGTCGGTGGGTCGGTCGGCGTGGTGGGTAGTCGGTGGGTCAGTGACATGGAGCCAGCCGTGGTGGGTCGGTGGGTCGGTCGGTCTCCAGATCCCCCTCATCAACAGCACCTGGCTCCTTCACATATCACCCGTCAACTCCACCGCTCTTCTTCCGCACATGCGATACGTAACCATGCATGTGTACCCCATCTCCAACCCGTCCCCACGCACATCCCCCCCCAGGTGTACACCACCACCGCTGCAGCCATGCGCCAAGCCGCACATCAGCGGCTGGAGGACTCCCTCGCCTCCGCCACCTCCATCTCCGCCTTCGGAACCGCTGCTGGCGACACCGGTACGGCAGCCTCAACAGCCTCAGCTCCAGCCTCCCCGGGCACTGCAACTGCCGCTGACAACAGCAGCAGCGGTACGACAGCAGCGGCGGCGGCGGGGGCGCTGACGTCAGCAGTGGCCTCCCTCCGTCGCGCTGCAGGGCTGTACGGCTACCTGGCCGATGAGATGCTGCCGGAGCTGGGCACGGGGGCGGGGGCGGGGGGAGAGCGGTGAGGGGGAGAGGGGGTGGGGGGAAGGGTGTGTGTGTGTGTTTTGGTCGCATCGGGTTGGGACTGATAGGTGGCAATGTTGCCCTGCCGAGGGTGGGCCCGGACGGACCTTGGAAGCAAACATGCTTGCTGCACATCCTCCACTTTTTCTACGATACCGGTTTCTCCCCATCCACCCATTCCTCCGCCCCACCTCCCTCCTCCTCGTAGTGTTGCACTCTCATATTCAATTTTCATTCCTCCGCCCTCCTCCCTCCACTTTCCTCCCGCCTCCTCCGCCCCCAGCCCCCTGGAGTTGCTGCCGCCTGCCGCCCGGCTGATGCAGCTGCTGTGCCTGGCGGAGGGGCAGGCGCTCATGGCGGCGGCGGCGGAGGCGCGGGGGATGGCACCTGGCACCCAGCGAGCGCTGCATGCGGGTGAGGGGGGTCAATTTTTGGACCAATTAAAACCAAAGAAAAACCAAAAAAAAAGAAAAAAACAGGCATTCACAAGGCAGAGGGAGAGTTAGTGGTCCCTACCGAAACCGCGTCCGTCTTGGTGAGGTACAGTTGAGTAGCCATCGTGATGCAGGAGGCTGACTACGTAGTTGTCTACTTAGATGAGGTGATCCATCGCTCGAGACGGTCACCAAGGCCCCACAAGTGCTCGTGCATGGCAGGCAAAAAACAGGTAGAAAGGCAGAGACGAGGTGTAAGCAAATGAAAAAGAAAAAAGCAAAAAAAAGGGTGGGGGAGGGGGAGGGGAGTTGAGGGGGCTGGAGGGGTGGGCCCTTGACGAAGGACAGACACGCCACCGTGACCCCCCGCTTCTCTCTGACGCTTGCTTGCCATCACCTTTCTGCTTCTCTAAAAGCCCCTTTCCGTACGCTTCCCGTACTTGTCCCGCACGTACGAGCCCTGCCGTACCGCAGGCTGCCTCACCCTCCTGCGTCAGGCTGAGGCCGCCGCTGCCGCGCTGGCGGCCGCCTCGCCGCCCTCCCTGCCGCCCGCCTCCCGCCTGCCCCGCTTGCTGGGGGTGTCCTGCGGCCTGCATGAGGGGCGCTGCCTGCTGGCGCGGGCGGCGGAGCTGCAGAGGGACATGCAGCTGGGGGAGGCGGAGGCGGCGTGCGAGGTGAGGGAGGCAGGGGTGTAGGAGGTGCAGGGGGCGGCAGTGAAGGGTGGATGCATGAGGGATAGGAGGAGGCGGTGTGGGGTGTCGATACCGGGATGCGGTGGGAGGGTGCAGAGTACAGCTGGGAGACATGCGAGCGCACACAAGCTGGGACCTGGGAGGGGCACGTCACCGCCCGTTTAGAGAAGCCCCCAATACGAGTCAGCCCCTCTTCTCTCCCGCTCTAAGCCCTCTTGCACCCCGCACTGCGCCTCTCTTGCCCACCCCCCGCTGCCCATTGTTATGCCCTAACCTATGGTCTCCTATGGTTCGGTATGGTCTTTGACCCCCCTCGGCCCCGCTCCCGCCACGTGCTGCAGGAGTGCATGCGGGTGCTGGGGGGGGCAGCCAGGCGGCTGGAGCGGTCCGACCCGCCCGCGTGGGGGGAGGCAATCAAGGCACGTGTGAGGGGAGGGGGCAAAGACCATACCATAGGAAACTACAGGGGGGGAGCAGGATGGTGTGTGGGGGTGGGAGCAGTGCGTGCCGAGTGGCGGAGCTTAGGGGGTGGCGCAGGTAGCTTAGGAGCGCACGTAGGGGCGCTGTACGGCACAAGGTGTGGCAAGGGGGCCTGGAGTCGGCAAGACTTTGCTTTCTCAAGCAGGCAAGATTGTTTTTCCTTTCACTCCTCCCTTGATGCATGGCTGCTCCCTCATGCGGGGTTATACGCCCCGTTGCTGAACAGTTGTGGAAGCGCACACTCATCGTCGCAGTTGTCACCTTCTTCTCCTGCCTTCTGCTCCTCCCCAACCTTTACCTCTACACTTACCCCCGCCGCCCTCCAACCCACCACCCCCACCACTGCCGCCCCATCAGGCCCAGCAAGCCCGCTGCGCCCCGCTGCTAGCTGCCGTACACAAGGATCGGTTGGCGGTTACCTACCAACCGCTGCCGAAGCAACCGCCTGATGCAACCGCCAACGCCGCCGTACGAGTGACGCCGGAGCCCTTCCGACCCGTACCTGTAGCGCCGCCGGTGAGTGATGGGTGATGGATGTACGACACCGTGGACTGTGTGTACGGCAAAAAACCCAACTGATCCGCATAATTGTACTGCTGATCGCTGTCGCCTGCCTCTCCCTGTACATGTTATGTTGGGTCAGACCCACCGCGCTGCCGCCCATCATCCCCACCCATGCAACCGCCCTCCCCCCCCCCCCCCCCGCAGCTGCCGCCCCCAGATCAAGGCGCCAAGCCCGGCTGCGCCCTCATGTAGCTCCGCCCGCTGCTGTCGTACACACGTGGCACCGGTAACCCGGTGGTGTTGGTGTTGGAGCGTAGAGGTATGTAACATGATGCCCCAAGGGTAGCTAGTGGTGGCCCGGGGGGAATGTCCCCGACGAATGGCTTTGATGTTAGCCACAGCAGGAGGGATGTTACTCGTGCTAGGAAGGCAGCATAGCTACATATATACCATGCAGCCTTGCGTCCGCAGCAACCAGTATGTTGTGCAGGATTTGTGCATAAGTCAGTATTGGTCCGGTGTTGCCCGGCGGTGGGCACATGGGCGTCGTTCGCAGAGCATGCATGGTAGCATACCGTTGTACAGCAGTTGACGTACCGTACATAGGCGGGCCTATAGACGATGCCGGTTGGTCGTTGTGGGTAAACTTTTCTATGTGCGTGTCCTGCAGACCATCATTGCACGCTCGGCTAACAAATATACTCGAGAACGCTGCCACAACAGAATGAAAGCCGAAAATGTAAAACTTAAGCGTATATACCCAATATACGTGTACCTGCGACCCATGGGTCAGCAAAGACGTGCCCAGGACTACAGCGCTAGCATGCACCCGTTTCCATGCAAGAGCATGGCTCCGAACCTTCATCCCCTGGAAGGAACAGCACGCTACTGGTCATCTTGCTAGCAAGGAAGCTAAGCTGACCCGCCCCCAACAGCCAAGGGAGGCTCTCTCTATGCGCCGTACCTCCAACAGCAGCGCATGTGAGGCGCAGTGAGATGCTGTGGCACCTGCCCCTCGCGTACAGCGGCGTCCCTCTCCCGCTGTCTTCCCCCCCTAGCCCCACACACGCCCCCCCAGTTACAAACCCCCCGCCACTCGAAGTGGCATCGCAGTCACCGCAGCCAGTTCTAACTGAGATCTTGCCATCGCTCCCCCACCCATGCCACACCCTACCGATCTCCTCCATGGCGCTCAGTTTGTCCCACAACCCTATAAGCTAACGCAGTCTGCGCGCTTACACGGCGCCGCGAGCCCTTGTCCTCCTTTAGCGCCTGCAGCAACCTCCCCGCGCCCGCCCCCTTCCTACCCCCTCCCTTACCCACACCCGCCCCTCCCTCCCGCACCCGCCTCACCTACCCCGCACCCAACCCTACCTCCCGCACCCGCCCCCTTCCTATTCCTCCTTCCATACCCGCCCCCACTTAAGCCATCCCCACCCCCCTGCACCCGCCCCCACACCCGGCCCCACCTAACGCTCCCTTCCGCACCCGCCCCACCTACCCCGTACCCGCCCCCTTCCTACCCCTTCCCCCACACCCGTCCCCACCTAACCATTCTTCTGACACCCGCCCCACATAACCCGCACTCGCCCCTACCTACCCCTCCCCCACACCCGCCCCACCCTCCCACACCTACCCCTCCCCCACACCCGCCCCTCCCTCCCGCACCTACCCCCCTCTCACTCGCCCCACCTAGCCCTCCCCCACCTACCTTTCTCCGCCTTCCACCCCCACTTACCTCTTCCCGTCCTTTGTACCCCCTTCACATCTCTACATATGGCTTTCCAAACCCTCCTTCCCTCTTTCGCTCTTGGTATTGACCCCCTTATGGCATGGACTGCATCTTAAGGGCCATAGCTGTTGGCATATACTGCTACGGGGTTTCATTGTCACTAAAGGCTGCCGGTAAGACTTGTCACCGTACAAGCTGGCTGCCGCTAAAACATCAGTGTACTAGCTGGCCGCTGGTGAGGGGGTCCCTGCGTTCTGTAGCTGTAGCTGTGTGTGCTGTGCTGTGTAGGCCCTACGAGGAGGAGGGAGACATCAGGCCTGACTGGGGTGGGTCCCTGAGGCGCATGTGGCCGACCCACCCCGTCCGCCCCCAAGCCGTGTTGTACATCAGGTGCTGGGCTGCGAGCTAGCTAGCTGCGAGCTGCTGGGCGCTGCAGAGGGGTCTACCGGCCTAGGCGCAACATAGCAGGAAGTGCAATCAACCAACACAACTTACCGCCTGTCATGCTCACAACACATCAAGCCCACAGCATATCCATGGAACCCCATCAGCGGTGCTAAGACCCCACACAGCGTGACAAGCAGTAGGGCACCAGCACACACATCTGCATGCCCCCGCCTCCCGTCTTCTCAGCAGTCTCTCTTGCAGCCATTCAGCTCCCTAAAACTCCTCGCATTGCCAACTACCGCACGCTCCGTACACACACCTCCCAACAGCTTAGTGTCCTCTAAAAGTCGTTGCTGCTGCTACTAGTACCACACCAGACAAATCCACGCAACCGTCTACCTATTGCCCCAGCGTATGTCAGCATCACCATGTCGCCGGATGAGCAGCTCTTTTCGCCGCAAATCCGCCGCAAAACCCCTCGCCAACATGAAGTGGTAACAATGTCCGCACCAGGGACACATTCAGCCAAACGGAAATGCCGTCAACCCAACATCCACCCAACAGCATGCAGCCAGACGAGCACAGCAGCGACACTAGTAACCGCTGCGCCACCTACCCCGAATCCGCCGCCAACCAGACAGCGCAGCCAGGCACAACACTGGCACGCCCACTACCCAAATCGCATGGAAGCGCTTATAACAGGCCCCGAGCTTGCCCACGCATGTAGAGTGACATCTGCCATCAAGCCATCTTACTTGTGACCCGTGAGGGATAACCGCAATGACGGTTAGGCGGCGGAGGCGGGCTGGTGACGTAGGCGATGTCGGTCTTGAGGGGCCGGCGGCAACTTATCAAGGCGGGCTTGGCGTGGCGTTTATTAAAGGTGGGGTTGCCGTCCTGTCATCCGACCCCAAGTACACCAGGTCCACGAAAGCTGTGGTGGCGGCGGAGGGGTCTCGACCCATGGCATACGAAGGGGGAGGGAGAAAGGGAGGGGGGTAATGGTGAGGAGGAGGGGTAGAATGCAGTGGACATCAGCACAACATGAACGCTGCACCCCTCAAGATGACCAATCCGCAAAGCCCGATGGGTACCGGCACCTATTGATTGTACACGACCCTTGCCGTGCGTGCATGTCCTATTCAGTCCTAGCTACGCAGCGCATGCTCGGGCTTCCACTAATATGCTCATGCTCCCATCCAACCCCGAACCCTCATCCGCAATAAGTCGGGCTTTGCGGAACCTCGGCCACCCTAATAGTTCAAAGGGCGCGAACAGCCCATATGCGGATACACGAACAGCGACCAATGCGACTTACCTCTACAGGGCCCTTGGAACGCGGCAAGCTCTATCATGCATTAGGTTGGGATCCATCTCCAGCTGTTGAATCATCCGTATACTTGGGTCTCCTTGGTTGGAACCTGAAGCTGCAGTCTTGAGATGCCTAGGCGTGTTACACGCACGACGGCATTGTGCCAGGTGTCCCAAGCGATGTTACAAGCCTGTGACACAGGGGGGCGGGTAATCCACGCACAATCAAAGCGATGTCCCTATGAGAAAAGGGTCGAGGGCAAGCTGCGCAGCTTATTCGGGGACAGGGCACCAGCCAGAGCCATTAGAAATGTCCATCGGCGGGTGCCCTACGCGCAGCTAAGAAGTTTCAAGCTACATAAATTTCTTCTAATTTTATAGATGCAACTTATAAATGTAGTGTAAAAAACGTCACGGTTGAGGCTTAAAACTGCGGGCGATGTATGTCCCAACCCGTCCTAACTATTTACTGAATTCACTTACTTTGAAATACCGATTGCAGGCAGACCTGTGGATTGTGAAGAAAGTCGGTAAGTACGCTTCGTAGCGGCCAAAGCTCAGCGTCCCCAACCTTTGCAAAACGGCAGCATTTACCGAGATTTAAATGGTTTCAGCGTAAACCTTGAAATAGCTTATATGTAACATACCTTAAGACCTGACACTCGCTGCGTCGGAGTGTTGGAGACTGTCACTTGTGACCTTCACATCTCTGAAATGCCTTGAACCAAAGCCATATCCGCAATAAGTGTAAGTGAATTGGCTTTGTGGTAATAGACGTAAGGCGTAAGTGCATGGCATCGCAAGCACTGGACTTTTGTTGCCGTATCCCCAGTAGCGCCGTGGGCCCAAAACCGGGAAGCCTAATGGAAGGTTACGGCAATGGAATGATGACCAAAGCAAAATGTAAATAACGATGGCGAAAGGCCGACACCATTAAAAGCCACATAGTTTACCTTGAAACTCTAGCTAGCTAGATAGGTAAGTACCGATGGCATCATTTTGCCACATAACGAATGTGCGCACATGTCGAAAACAGTATCCCAACTATTCTGTTTATATGTGGGCAAACACGCGTTGTTCGTAAGCATGATAGCGTCACTGCCGATGTGATTCCGAACGGCGCCATCTTAGCTATGCGCCGTTCGGAATCACACACGCGGCGAACACACGCGACAACCAGCGACCCCTTGTGAGGCTTACGTCGTCAACCAGCTGCTAGCGCCCATGTCCCATGGCAACATCTCCGGCGGAAGGACGCACCATACATAAAGCCGTACACATCGCAACCATTCATACTTACGGAGGGACGAGTACGCGTTGCAACATCATCCCGTCCTGCCGCGCTGCTACCCTCCGCCCTCCGAGGGAGTTGAACTCTCAAGCCGCCAAGCCTTCAACCCTAAAATGCATACAACCCGTACCCGTGCACGCACTCATTCCGTGAAGTAGTCAGAAAGCCTCCTCACGACGGCACAAACTCCGTATTACCAGCTCTCCTGCACGCACCCGCAAACCTACCCTGCACACAAGTATGCACTCCTTGCTTGGCGCGCGTTGACAGGTAAGTTCGGCCACAGAGGCAGAACCCCACGAGTCCCATTCCCCCCCGTCCGGTGAGACCAGCGACCCCCCTCGCCCCCCTGCACCTGCATCTAAACCCTCTAAACAACGCAGCAACCTATACCGCTCACAACTCTGGACAGCATTGTTTGGGTAAAACCTCCCGCACTGCGCTTCGTCAACGCCACTAGCAACCTACCGGCATCCGCAGCCCTTCGCGTGCAGCCGTTACCCACCATCCTTTAGCGCCTGCCAACCACACCCTTCCGCGCCCCCTACCTGGCTCCACACCACCCATTTAGCTCAACCCCTACAGCTGCACAACCCACCCATCGGTGCGCTCCACTGCGCCAAATGCCGCAACCTTGTTCAAGAGTCATTCGAAGAAACGTCGCGGCCTGTAGTACTATAACCAAGCCCCGTGTCCAACCTAACGAAATGTCATGTACGGCACCTGCATGCTTGTCCGCGTGCTGCATGTCTGCATGCTGCGCGCGAGTGCGCATGCAGGTGGTGCCCCCCTAGCTCGTAACTTATACGGTATGTACAAACCCGCGGACAAACCAGACAGTGCCTAGCGCTCCTCGCCCCCTCTCCATCACCTCCCACCTCGCTCATGCCCACATCTGCCCCCGCCCCCCTCCCCGCCCCCCCCTCATGACGCCTTATCACTCAGTCACTTAGTTATTTCCTGTTTACCCTCCTCATCCTTCAACAGTTTCCCTATTTACCCCTCATCCCTCCTCCTTCCTTCCTCCTTCCTCACCCCTTGCATCACCCCTGGACCGCATCACCCCTTGATCACCGCCAGCGGCCGCAACTTCACCGCCTTCTTTGAGATGCCGGCTGCATGGCAGGTGTCCACCACCGCACTCACGTCCTTGTAGCTCTCGGGAGCCTCCTCCATCACCAGCTTGGGGGAGGCAACGCGGATGGAGATGCCCTTGGCCTGGGGGGAGGGGTGGGAGGGGTGGGAGGGGGCAGTAGGCAAGCAGGGGAGCATGAGTGGGGGCAGTAGGCAAGGGACAGTTCCGACTAGCTACCCGTCCCCCCTATCAAAACACCTCTCCCCCCCCCCATTTCCCCCCCCCCCCTCTCGCCCCCTCCCCACCTTGAGGTTGTCCAGCACCGCCTGGTAGTCCAGCTTGTTGCGACTGCTGTTGCGGCTGCGAGCCCGCCCCGCGCCGTGGCAGGTGCTGCCGAAGGTCTCTCTGAAGCCCGTCTCGGTGCCTGTGAGGACGTAGGAGGAGGTACCCATGGTGCCGCCCACCAGCACCGGCTGCCCGATCAGCTGGTAGTCTGGGGGAGGGAGAGGGGGGGAGTATAGGGCAGAGTGACCCATGGGTCATGTGGGTCAGGGAGGAAGTAGGGGGGCACAAGTGGCAGTGCCCCCACGCCAACCCTCCCTCCCCCCCGCCCTCCTCACCCCTCCCCACCCGCCCTCCTCACCCCTCCCCACCCGCCCTCCTCACCCCTCCCCACCCGCCCTCCTCACCCCTCCCCCCCTCCCCTCCTCACCCACTCCGCCACCCCCCATCCACGCATGCTTCTCCCTCCTCTCCTCCTTCCCCCCCCCACTCCCTCCCCTACCCGCTGGTATGAGCGGGTGGTGCGGCGGGAATGCGCGGGTGGCCCCCTTGCGGTGCACCAGCAGCCGCATGGGCTTGCCGTCAACCAGGTGCTGCTCAACCTGGGGGGGGGAGGGAGGAGCAGGCAGGGAGGAGGTGTGGGGGCTGCTGTGCAGGTGCGAGGGCGCAGCTGCGGAGGTCGGAACCCTTTGCCCCACCATCACTCTCCGACGCCCGTCGCCCCACGCCCGTCGCCCCATGCCGTTGTGCAAACACCCCCTCAACCCTAAGCCTTCCCCTCAAACCCCCCAGACCCCCCTTCTAACCCCAGTTTGTACGGCATGTACGGCACCCGGCATGTCGTACCTTGGCGATGTTGTGGCTCACGTCGTACACCACGTGCATGTCCAGCTCGTCCGGGGTGCTCTTGAACACCTTGGCGAAGGCCTGAGGGGTTGGGGGGGGGGGGGAGGGGGGCAGGGAGGCGTGAGGGAGGGAGAGAGGGAGAGAGGAGGTGTGGAGAAGTTGGGAGGGAGACAGCAGGAGTGGAGAGACATGGGCACACATCTCCCACACCACGCCAAGCCTTTGCCAGTGCCCCGCCGGTGATGAGTGGGGCCCCGGCACACCTCCCGCACAACGCAGGAGGGCACCCTGTCTCCACCCCTCCTCTTCCGTTCCCTCCCGTCCTCTTCACCTCCCACCCCACCCACAGGTATCTTCCCCTACCTCCGCCCCCCCCCCACCTGTCGTGCCAGGAACGTCATGCTGCTGCGGTTCACCCAGGCGTAGTTGGCGGCGCACGCCATGGCTGCCAGGTAGGCCTGACCCTCGGCGCTGCTGATGCGAGCACAGGCCAGCTGACTGTGAAGCAGGGGGGGGAGGGGAGGGGGTGTTGGTGCTGCGTCCTCGTTCTGCTTCTTGCCCTCTTTTTGGGCGGACCTTGCTCTCTCTTGGGGGCTTCGGTGGTGTTGGGGGGAGGGGGAGGAGGTTTTGGACTAGGTTGGTTTGCGGGTGGGGGTAGCTGGAAGGACTGTAGGGGGAGTCACAACGTCCCGATCACTCAGCCGCCGTCCCAAGCGTCTTCCCCCCCCCACACACACCGGTCGTTGGTCACGATGCCGTCACGCGCCATGGCCTTCTCCATTGCCACCAGGGCGTCCGTGGCTACCTGGGGAGGGAGGGGGAGGGAGGGGGGGGGGAGGGGGGGGAGGAGGGGGGAGGAGGGAGGTGGGGGGAGGTGGGGGGAGGTGGGGGGAGGTGGGGGGGTTGATATGCATGCTAGCATCATGGGGAGGGGAGGGGGGCTTCTGGAGGTGTACGGCAAGGGTAAGCATAGCGGGTTGAGAGCAGGCGAAGAAAGCTTCAGAGTCCCTCCGCTTCACGCCTCCCTCCCTATGCCACCTCTCCCCCTCTCCCCCTCCGCTCCCTCCACCCCCCTCTCCCCCTCCGCTCCCTCCACCCCACACTCCCCCCACCCACCCACCCACCTCACCTGGTGCCCCAGCCCCCTGCTGCCGCTGTGTATCATGACCACCACCTGCCCCCGCCGGTCGATACCCATGCGGCGGGCAGCAGCGGGGTCGAACACCTCGTCCACCACCTGCGCACGGGGGGGGGCGGGAGTGGGGGGGGAGGGGGAGCGGGAGAAGGACGAGGCCGGCGGCACGCGTCCTCTGGTGTGGCAAGCCCCTTTCCAATCGTAACAAACCGTAACCCCCTTCCCCCCCCCACCTGCACCTCCGCGTAGTGGTTGCCCGCCCCCAGCGTGCCCATCTGGGGCAGCCCGCGCTTCTTGGCTCGGGCACTCACGTGGCGGGGGTCTGCGGGGCGGGGGGGGAAATTTTATAATAAGTGCAACAACTAGAGCCCCAATCCCATATCCCGACTCATGCAGTGAGCGCATTCAAGGGGGGCAAGGGGAGGGGAGTGGAGGAGAGGGCAGGGGAGGGGAAGGAGGGATGCAGGAGGGAGGGAGAGGGGGAGGGCGCGGCATGCGGAAAGGAGGGAGCGGGACAACTTGTTACCACACACGCCACATACATCTCTCCATTACCGACACCCTCATAAGAGATGCCCCAAGCACCCTGCCTTGCCGTACTAATGCCGTACACCGCTTTGCCATGCCCTGCCGTACATCTCACCCGCATTCAGCATCCTGCCGTACTCCTCGCAGTGCTCCTTGTCCTCCGCCCACGCGTAGCCCTCACGCAGGGACCAGTCCATGCCCAGCTCTAGGGCGGACTGGGGGGGGGATATGAAGATAAGTGCAGCAACGAGGATGAGGTAGGGATCGGGATCGGGATCGGGAGCGGGATCGGGAGCGGGATCGGGAACGGGAGCGGGATCGGGATCGGGATCGGGATCGGGAGCGGGAGTGGGATCGGGGGCGGGGGCGGGGGCGGGGGCGGGGGCGGGGGCGGGGGCGGGGGCGGGGGCGGGGGCGGGGGCGGGGGCGGGGGCGGGGGCGGGGGCGGGGGCGGGGGCGGGGGCGGGGGCGGGGGCGGGGGGGGAGCAAGTGTGACGCAGAAAGAGGAGATCGGGCCGGAAGAAGGGAGAGATGGTGAGAAGGTTTCAGGGGTAGGAAGGCGGGGCGAGGCGGCGCCCATGCGCGTGCCCATGCCCCCTGGCCCGCCACCGGCACCCCTGCGACCAGGTGGGCTGGCTGAGGGGGAGGGGGCTAGGCTGCTATGCGGTCACATGCAAAGGGCTGCAGTCACGATGCATCAGAAGGCAACGCACACCTCCCGCCTCAACCACGCCTACTCCCGCCTCCCAACCCTCCCACCCCCACCTACCCCCACCCCCACCTCCATGTCCTTGGCTGTTGTGGGTATGATGCCCTGCGAGCCCACCCCCACGGGTATGTGGTCGAACAGCGCCTGCGCCAGCTGCTCGCGCACCGGCGCCACGTCGGCCTCGGTGAGGTTGGTGCGCAGCAGCCGCACACCGCAGTTGATGTCTGGGGGGGGAGGGGTCAAGGACCATATCAAACCATATGAGACCACAGGTTAGGGCAAAGCAATGGGGAGGGGAGGGAGGTAAAGAATATATATATGATGATGAGACACTGACAAAGCAACTGACGAGCTGTATGACAAGGCCTCACCATGGGGAGGGGAGGGAGGGGGGGGAGGGAGGGTTACGGGTTGGGCAGGCGGGCCAGCGAGGGCTAGGTGAGGGCGCCAGTCCGATTGCCCCCTTGCCATGCAAACGCGCACGCAATCACGCCGCCCTCCCTCTCCACGTCGCCTTCGCCTTCCCACGAGGAGGAGAGCCGCCCACCACCTCCCCTCCCCCACCTCCCTCACCTCCCCTGTCAGCGACGGCTCAGCAGCTGTCCCTGCAACCCCAACACCCCACTTGGTTTGGTATGGTCTTTGACCCCCCCCCCAACTCACCGAACCCCACCCCCCCGGGTGACACGATGGCCTCCGGATTGTCCATGTCGAAGGCAGCCACGTTGCCAACTGGGGGTGGCGGTTGGGGGGTGGCGGTTGGGGGGTGGCGGTTGGGAGTTAGCATGGCACGGCATGAGTCACCGGTAGTGCGGCACTCGAGGAAAGGGACATGCAAGACGTGCTTGGCGTCAGGTCAGTTTAAAATGGCGACATTCGCGCCCCCCCCCCCCTCCCATGTCCGCACCTCCACGCACCCCCCTACCATGTCCGCACCTCCACGCACCCGGCCCCCCTCACGCCGCTAACAACCCGCACCACTCACTTGCGAATCCGTACCCGGAGTGCACGTCAGGCAGGGCGATGGAGCGCTGCAGCATGCGGGGGAGGGGGTAGAATAAACCAAACCACAAAGGGTGGGTCGGGGGGGTAGGTAGTGTATGGAAACGATTGTTTAAAGCAGGGAAAAGAGAACGGGAGTTGCAGCCGCAACCCACCACAGGCTGAAAGCACAGAGGACAGCCACCAAACCCACGTACCGCATCACGCGTCCCCCACCCCCCACCCCCCCTGCCCCCAGCCCGCATGGCGCTCACCTTGACAATCCCCGGCAGCGCCGCCACGTTGGCTAGCTGCTTCACCGCCGGCAGGAAACCACCGTGCTGCCGGGGGGGGATAATTATATAATTGAAGGAGGGGGGGGGGGGAGGACCCCGGGTGGTTGGGGTGGTTGGGGAGGGTTGGGTTGGGGAGTTAGAGGGGTTCGTGCATTTGCGGGTAGTTACGTGTATACGGCACGGCACGGCACCAGCGTGTTTGCAGGACATGCGGTGCTTTTGATGATGCCAAAAGCCCCTCTCCCGCCCGCTCCTTCCCTTCGCCAGCCCCGACTTCCTCCCACATCCTCCCCCCTTCCCCCCCTCCCGCCTCACCTCCCCACGAGTCACCGCCTGCTGCAGCTCGTCGAACAGCAGCCCCTTGAGCGAGTCGTTGACGTAAAAGGTGCCCGGCACGCGCATGCCCGGCACGAAACCCTGGGCCACCTCGTACGACACGGGGCTCAACTGCCGTATGTACGACATCTCCTGGGGGGAGGTGACAGAAGGGAGAAAGGAAGGAAAGAAGGGGGGGAAGTTAACTAACCGTGTGACAGGTAGTCTTGACCATGGATTTGGGAGGTGAGAGAGAGGAAGGAGGTTGAGGTGCGGAGCGGGTCAGGGTTGGGGCTGGGCCTTGCATGACGCCGGGTCGAGCGAATACATGACATTTCCTCTCTTATCATTGCAGTGTGACTGTGCTTGTGCAGCGGGCCATGTGTGTGCCGGGTGCGTCCCCAGCCCTGGCCCATGGGTCTCATGGCAGCAGAGGACTGGGCGGCACGCGCTGTGCGTCTCGTGTAGCAGTTGGGGCCTAAGCGAGTGAGCACGGGATGCTTTCGAGCGATTAACAGGGAAGGGGGATGGGCGAATGGGCGAGGTGTGATTGAGCATTGAGGGATGACTCAGCGCGCCAGCCCCCTTCCAGCACCTATGTGGCTGTGGCGCAATGGCTTAACAGGTGTGTGTAGCTGTTGTGTAGTATTCAGGCACACAATAGCCTCATGCTGCGCGACGGAATGGAGGAGGTGGAAACCTTCAATGCGGCACTCCGCATCCAAGCAATCGCCCGCATCATAGCGCCCCTCCGCACGAACGACAAGCTCGTTCATTTACCTCAGCATATGTTCGTGGCATGATTGCTCCTTTGGGGTCCCAACAATGCTGTCACAAGGGATGGGTGTTGTCGATCGAAGAACGTAACACTAGTTCGGGATGGTTAACAATGATCAGGACCAGTTCTACACGCGCACAAGAAGAAAGAGATGCTTTCTGTTAGTCCAGCTTCGCAAGGGACTAGAAATCTTATGTTGCAAGACGCTGTGGCAAGGAGTCAGTTCAGAATAAAGCTGCGCTGTTCGTATATATTACTGCAGTACCTAAGCAAATAACACTATCTCAGGCGGTATTCGGTTTATTGCACATTTGGGGTGCCGGCCTGATGACGCATGCATACCTCCGGGCAGCAGGGCCCAAACCGTGACATAGGCCCTCAAACGCCTTAATACCGGCAGGGAAACGTTGTTGCTATTGTGCGAGTGGCTAACGATTGATATTCGCGAGGTAGAGGTTTTACAAGCGCGCAAACCCAAGCCCCCGACCGCTCGACTCACCATGGATGGGCTGAACCGCCTAGGCTGCTAGACTTGGTTTCACCCTTATCTCGACAACAAGCTATCGGCGTCAAGTCAGACATACTACATTGCATAATGAGTTGCTCTGGCTATGGGATGCGGACCCTAGCGTTCCTAGGGTTGAAAGAATGGGTTCACCACCTTGTGTATCCACAACTCCCCCCTCCAGAGGATACTGTAACATCCCGGATTCCCTGTAAAACCCGGGCTTTATCATAACATCCCGGCTTCCCGCATTACGCAAAGTTCCAAGGTCAAACGATGCCTTGAGCAACTGTTCACTTGCTTGCCGGTCAACGTGCCAGTTAACCATGCTGCCGATGCTTATACTGTAAGCGCTTTAGGCTTTTGCGTGCTACAGGCATCCGTCTTCAGGCCCAAAGTCACACCCGTCTACATCGCCTCACGCCTGGCCGGAATGTGGCTCTTCCTGGGTTGGTTCCGATGTTAATTTAATGGCCGGAAGTCTACTGGAAAGACCCATATGGCTGGCAGGGCTGTGCTCTTGAGAGCCGATACAAAAAGACCAGGGCCATACAAGAGGTGCAAAGTATGTTGTGAATACACCGTCGGCAAGAGACTAAGAGTATGAAAACATCATCTCACATGGGCAGACGAGATCGGCCTTGGTTGTTGGAGCTTCCAGTTTCGCATTGCTGACGTCGGCTATTTGTACCAACCGCCGGTGACCTGGCTTGAAGACCTGCGGCGTGGCACGCTCGTAACATATACACATACTCAAAAGGATACGTCTGTCATTATACGCGTATATCCCCTTATACTTATCACGTTATCTTGGAGCCTGTGAGACGTTAGTAATTAGCTCTGACCAGCCCGAAAGCCATGGACGACGCCACCAGACGTTTGCGCGTGGTGTCAGGACATTTCCATGTTCACAAGCCACAATCACTGCTGGAGGTGCCGTTCGACGTGAAGGAGCTTCAGCGCATTTTGGACCATGACAACCATGATCACCGCCAGGCCATGAAAGAGTTCATGAAGGATGACCTCTACGTCCCGTGAGTTATCGCAAACTACTCTAGGCCTGCCAAGGGATGATGCTTGACGTTCCCTTCCCGCGTATTACATGACGCTTCCCGGCATCGTCTCCTTCCTTTGCCTTACTCGCAGCATTTCCAAAACCCAGAAACAAGCCACCTAACTGAAATCCAATCCTCACCCGTCCACCGGCCCTTCTGATCTTACTTCAATCCAATTCAACCCTGCACCCTTCCTCGCTCCCCACCTGCCGTACACACCTTCGCAGTCAGTACGACATCAGCCTCCGCGAGGAGCGCGAGCTCGCCCTGCAGCGGCTGCAGCGCGTGTGCCGTGCGGGTTTCATCTCCGTCTCCGACTTCCGCCACAACCCGCTGCGCATCTTCGCGGCTCACGAGGTGGCGGCGCTGTGCGACCCCAGCATGGGCACCAAGATGACGGTGCAGTTCAACCTGGTGAGGTGGGGGGAAGGGTGGGGCGGGGGAAAAAGAAATGTATCCAATGTGCTGAATGTGTGAATGGGAAGGGTGGGGGATGCGGGGGGAAGGGGCAGCGGGAGCAAGGCGGGGAAAGGGGGAAGAAGGTTGGCAGCCCGGCCGGAGACGCGTTTGCGTTTCTTTTGGTTCTTGGAGGCCCTCTTGCTTCTTCCCTCTCTTCGCCTATTCCCTTCTCTTCTTCTCCCTGTACAGATCGGTACGGCTTTTGACCAACAACGTTTATTCCAGCCTTCAATTTTCTTAAATCCTCCTCTCCCTTCACTCACCATTGTCCCTGTCCTCTGCTGTGCCCCCTCCCCCCACACAGTTTGGCGGCACGGTCCTGAAGCTGGGCACGGAGCAGCACCACGGCCCCTTCCTGACCCAGATCGACTCGCTGGACGCGGTGGGCTGCTTCGCGCTCACGGAGCTGGGGTTCGGTGAGGGGGGGATGGGGGGGATGGGAGGGAGGCTGGGAAGGGGAGGAGGAGGAAAGAAGAGGAGGTGGAAAGAAGGAATTGAGATGTGAAGGGCACGGTAGTGGCAACTCGCAGTTGGCGCACATGAACCTAAGTAAATCCATGTTTCTTATTTCCATACGCTCACCAGCTCTTACCGACCCACCTACCTGCCGGTTGCACCAACCCCCCCTGCACACACCGCCCCAGGCAACAACGCGGTGGAGATGCAGACCACTGCCGAGTACGACAGCGTGCGGCAGGAGTTCATCATCCACACGCCGGGGTCGCTGGCGCAAAAGTGGGTGTGGTGTGGTGGTGGGGTGGGTTGGGTGGGGTGGAGTTAGTTTTCTCTTCGTTGGTTGGTTAGGTTGTCGTTTTGGGTTGTCGTTTTGGGTTGTCGTTTGATTTGGGTTGGTGGTGCGGTGGGAGGAGCGTGCCTCACCGCCTACCACTAGCCGACACACCTATCTCATGTCCGCCTTCCTCCATGCTGACAACACCCTAAACCCGCTGACATCACCCGCTGACGTGACCGTTACTGCCGCTGTCGCCAGGTATTGGATTACCAACAGCGCCGTACACGCGCAGTGGGCGGTTGTGTTTGCGCAGCTAACGGTCAACGGTCGGCAGGAGGGCATCCACGGCTTCTTGGTGCGCATCCGGTGAGGACAGGGGGAGGGGGGGAGGGCAGGAGGGGGGCGATGTGGGTTTTGGGGTGTTTGTTGGGGGAGGCAGTTTGGCAGGGGTTGAAGCATGGAGTTGAATGTTCAGGGGTTGGGTTGGATATTGTAGGGCTATTGTAGTGCTGGTGTTGCTCACATCCTGCTGGTGATGTAGATGCCCCGGTGCCTTGACCGGTGTGTCAGGGTTGGCCTAGGTCCCCGTTGTGTCTTCCCTCCCGCTTCCCGCCCCCCCCCCTTCTTCCCGCTCAACCCCCCCTCCCGCCTTTCCTCCTCCCATTCCCCCCTCCCCCTCCCTGCAGCAACCCTGACATGAGCGTGTGCCCCGGTGTGCGAGTGGAGGACATGGGGCACAAGATGGGCTGCAACGGGGTGGACAACGGCAAGGTAGGAGGGATGCGGATGAGGTGACGGGAAGGTGGAGGGCTACAGGGGGAAGCTCCCGCGCGGTGTGTGTGTGGCGGGGGGGCTGCAGCAAAGCCGGGGTGCAGCAGTGTGCGGATTTGGGTTACACGGGGTGTACGATGCCAGCGGATCGCCCTTTCCAAAACGCGCACAGTTCAGCCACCTTGTCCGGGTCCCTCTCTGACCCTCATCTCCCTCCCTCCCCCCCTCCCCCCCCCCCAACACAGCTCTGGTTCGACCACGTGCGTGTGCCCCGCACCGCCCTCCTCAACGCCTCCTCCCAGGTGGGTGGGCTCGGAGGGGCAGGGCGGCGGGGGCGGGAGGCAACCGCTTGGTCCGATGTGCGGCCTCCCCCCCTCTCTCCCTCCCTCCCTGCCTTGGCTCCGTGTGTTTGACTCCCCCACAGCACCTCTGCGTGCCGTGTGTATCACATCCCCCCTCCTCGCCCCACCCACCTCCGCTCCCCTCCCCGCCTGTGCTTCACTTCCCGCTTCCCACTTCCCCCCCTCCACCCCCCCCCCGCCCAGGTTTCCCCCGACGGCCGCTTCACGTCCTCCGTGTCCCGCCCGCGCGACCGCTTCCTGCGAGTGGCCGACCAGCTGCTGAGCGGGCGGCTGTGCATCGCAGCCATGATGCTGAGCGGTAGCAAGCTGGCACTGGCCATTGCGTTCAGGTGGGGGGGGCGGGGGTGGGGGGTACAGGTGGGTAAATGGTGGTGGTAAGGAGGGAAAAAAATAAAAAAGTGAAACAACGAATCCCAATCCCATATCCCGACTCATGCAGTAAGGAGGGAGGGAAGAGGCTGTGTGTGGGGGTGGAGAGATGTGTTCGTTAAACAAGCTTCGTAAACTTAACAAACGAAGCTTGTTTAATAAACTCTCTTAAACCCAAGGTGTTTTTGGGAGGAATGCAGCTTACCATTACTCCCATGCTAACTGCTCTGCTCTACATCCGCCTTTCCTTTACTACATTCTTGAGCCCCCGCTCCTGTGGATTCCTATTGTATAATACGGCCTTTGACCCCCCACACACACACACCACCCTCAGGTACGCCTCCAGCCGGCTGTGTGTCGGACCCACGGGTCGCTCCGACACCCCCATCCTGGCCTACCAGCTGCAGCAGCGGGCGCTGGTGCCGCTGCTGGCTCGCACGTTGGCTCTGGGGGTGGGGCTCAACTACGTGAAGGAGCGGTGGGCGGCGGCCAGCGGGTTCGCGCCGGGGCAGCAGGTGGATCCCACGGTGAGTGCTGGAGGGGGAGGGAGAGGCGTGGGGGGAGGGGGATGCTACCTGTGAAGAGTCCAGTGTAGGGTGTTGCGTAGGGTGTTTGTAAAGGTGTCGGGAAGTGGAATCCCAGGCCCGGGGGTTCGGACGATGTCGTGGGGGAAGATGGGGGCACACCGGGACTTGGGCAGCAGCAGAAGTCGGGCAGGAGCTGGGCAGCAGCAGGTATGGGTGCGGTGAGCTCGGACCGCCCGTCCTCGAGCCCCCTCCCCCTTCCTCCGCTCCCTTCTCTTGCCTCTGTTCATTTGCCTTCCCCTCCCAGCATATCTTCCTTCTTCACCATCTGCCCCCGACCTGTTTTAACGAGGTGACGGCCAGTGTTTCCTCGGCAGTCAGTTGGAAGGCTTCCCTCCTTCCCTCCTGCCCCCCCCCAGCCCGCCTAGAAACCAGCCTAATGCGGAAATGTATTCCTATTTACCCCCCACCCGCCCCCCAGACCGCCACCGAGGTTGTGGTGCTGTGCTGCGCCATCAAGCCGCTGTGCTCGTGGAACATCGAGCAGTGCGGCACCGTGTGCCGGGAGCGGTGCGGGGGGCAGGGCTACCTGTCGGTCAACAGGTGGGTGGGGGCGGGGAGGGGAGGGGCGGGGAGGGGATACATGACAGGGGAAGTGCGGTGGGGCATGTAGGGGTCCTCATGAAGCAAAGCAGGGATGAGACAGGGGGGGGCGGTCAGGAGAGGGCGGTCAAGGAAGGAGGGATAGGAGAGGGTGGTCAGAAGCTTGGGGGTGTCTTCACCCCCTCTCTTACTCCCTAGCCCCCAACCCTTACCCCACCACCACCCACCCTACGGCCGTGCAGGTTCGGCTCCATCATTGGCTTCGCGCACGCCGGCATGACGGCGGAGGGGGACAACAGGTGCGTGTGTGTAGGTGGGACTCCTTTTAGGACCTATGTTACAGTGTTTGGGGTTGCTGGGGGCGGCTGGTGAGGGTACTGGCGAGGTAGCCGGTGGCCCTGTTTACACCGGTATTTCCGTCGCGAGGTACTCCGCCTGTTGCTTATACGGTAGCCCAACAAAAACACTTGTCTATTTGCAATCCTTAATGCCAGACCCCCCTCCTCCCCCCCCCCCAGGGTCCTCATGCAGAAGGTGGCCAAGGAGCTGCTGGGGCTGTCCGGTCGGCTGCCGGGGCTGCGGGAGCGGGTGGCGGGGGCGGCGCTGCCCGCACTGCCGCCAAACACCCTGGCGGCGGTGGCGGCGGGGCCCACGGTAGGGGGGGGGAGGGGAGGAGGGGGTAAAAGGGGAAACTGATGAGTTGGATGATAGGGAGGGGAGAGGAGGGAGGAAAGGGAGAGGTAAGCTTCAACATGTTGCGTACCGGTACCGGTATCATTTGCCGTGTAAGGCAGGAGAAGCAAAACGGCTGTTTGCCACGTCGCGCAACCTCCTAACCTCCCACGATTTAGCCATGTTGTGTTTAGTTGCATGGCTCTCTCGCCCTCTTTCCCGCCTCTCTACATCGCCCCTTCCCCCTCCCTCCCCTCCCCCCGGCCCCAGGGCTCCGCTGCGCTCTCCCTGCTGGGCGACCTGGCGCTGCTGCGGCGGCTGCTGGCGGTGCGGGAGGGGCGCCTGATCAGGCAACTGGGGGCGGCCATGGCGGCAGCGGCAGCAGCCAGCAACGCGGGAGGCAGCGGGGCCGCCGGGGGGGCTCAGGAGGCGACGTTTGAGACCTGGATGAAGCGGGAGAGCGATCTGGTGCAGGTGGGGAGGAGGCGGGCGGGAAGGGGGAGAGGGGTTGCCATGGTTTCGCATGCCCCCAGCCCTCTATACCCCAGAGCTCATCTTTTGCTTCGCGTCCCTCCTCGCTCTTCCTTCATCTTCCCTTCCTGTTGCAGTCATGACCGCCCACTTACTCCTCCCCCCTCCTCCTCGTCCCTCCTATAGCTTGCCGTACAGCTCTTCCGTTCCCCCATCTTCTCCCTCCCTCCCTCCCTCCCTCCCTCCCTCCCCCCTTAACAGGCCACCGCGTTGGCCTTTGCCGAGCGCGAGGTGCTGGACGCCTTGATGCGACTGCTGGGCCTGCAGCCGCAACCGCAGTCCGCCCCCTCCTCCTCCTCCTGCCCCCCGCCGCTGTCTGCCGGGGTGGCGGGTGTGATGCGGAGTGTGGCGGTGCTGTTCGCGCTGCGGGCGGTGGAGGCGGACCTGGCCTGGTTCATTGCGGAGGGGGAGCTGCCCGCAAAGGTAAGGGGGATGGGGGAGGAGGGAGGGGAGGTGTTGGGTAAGTTGCCGATTTGTGCCGAAGCCGTAAGGCCGCATAGGTATGCAGCTAAGGGGATGAGCGGAACCATAAGGGAACCATAACTTGAGGAGGAGCGAAACCTGTCTTTTACACCGTCACCCCGCGGCTCCATGCTTGCATGCGCAACTTTCTCTTTACCCATCCAACAATCCGCCCATCCATGCACCCACCCAACCACACCCATGCCCCCACGCCCCCCTAGTCAGTTAGTTGTTTCCTCTTTACCCCCCCCTACCACACCACACCTTGAAATTTCATTTTTTTCCCCCCAGGCGGGTCGCTCCGTGCCCGAGGCGGTTCGCTCGGCGGTGCTGTCTCTCTCCCCGGGCGCCTGCTGGGGGCTGGTGGAGTCGTTCGGCATCCCCGACCACCTGGTGGCGGCGCCCATTGCCGGCGACTGGGCGACGTACAACCAGGTGGACAACAAGGGGGAGCTGTTCGGAGCGGATGTGTAGCGGGCGGATGTGTAGGGGTCCCGCAGCTGCTGCTGCTGCTAGGTGGGCCAGTCAGCGGTGGTGGGCTGGTGTGAGGGGCGGAGGGGAAGATGGAGTGGGGCGGGGTTGGGAGATGGGGTGAAGGGAGATGGAGGAGGGTGAGGAAAGGAGGGACAGCGGGAGCTGCCGCGGGGTTGTCTTTCATAACCGACCATCATCACGGGCTTTTGGTTTCCTTGTATCTGGCGTCACAAAAGATTCGGTTTATAGCAAAAAACAACACTGTTCGGAGCTCCTGGGTGGCATCACGGCGCAGAGTAAGATTACATGTTGGTACGCCGTGCATGTTATCGCGGTGTGCAAATCTCGTCGTAGAGATGTAGCCAAGAGTGTTTATAGGGTTATGTTTGCAGTCCACCCGTGCCGCTTCTGTCGTCATCTGGTATCATAAAAGAAGCGAGACACACGTGCACACCAGCGCATGTGGGCTGTGCAAAAAAGGATACGGGTTATGCGGTTAGATGCGCTGCTGACCCATGGGTCAGCTGGTGTGCCATCCACGTGCACTGATTGCTGCTGTGTGGATATAGCGCTACGGATTGCGCTTCGCGCAATGGAATATACCTGGCCTCGCACACCATAAATTGTATCGTACATTGAATTGTTTTGTCGTATTTGTGCTTGTTTGTCTTTCGGATGAGAGGAAAGCGTGGGCATTGCAGTGTACGTATACTGTACGAGTACGGCTTTATGTCCTTGCTTTTGTTTTTGTATGACGGTTTGTCTTTTCGCGAAATCCACTCTGCCGCCCCCCTTCGTGTACGTCGTGTACTGTGTAACTGTCCTGATGGTACCTCGGTTCGTAACTTGTTATCTGCTTGCGGCGTTTGTGTGGGCTGAGGATGTATGGTGAATGAACAAGTGTGTGCAACCAACTAAAACGCGCAGGAGCCTAAGAGCTGGACACGTCTGTTTTTATCCCTGGATTGCGGCTGTTGGTAGAGAAGTCCGGACATGTAAAAGAGGTCGAGGAGGTAGGGACCCTTGCAAGTTGGATATACCCATGAGCTTTGCAGGGAAGCTGTGAGAACACCTCATAACCGCCTGTTTACTTGCAAGCAACGGCTGCACCACAAGGATGTGTCTCATGTGCCACACATTCATCGATAACTTTACCACGTAACAGATGCCATGCCAACGTTGCAAATGAACATGCATTTGCCCGCCCTGTCTTCCAGGCCCTTGTCCTCAACCTGTGCTCCTCTGCCTAACTGCCCTCCTCTTCCGTGCATGCTTCCGTTCATGCCTCATACCGAACCGCCACACAACGCCTTCTTCCAACCCACGAGTTACAAACACTGTGATCCCGCCGGGCCCAGCTGCCCTAACCCATGCAACATTTTTGCACCTGCCGCTTTCAAACAGGCCTGGGACCGGTGGGTTTTTCCAAACGGGCCTGGGACCGGTGAAACTCCCTCCGTAACTCGAATACCGCCGTGCGTGGGCCAAATACTTATATTATTCAATGCATACCAAACTGCGTTGTCGCGTATCTCCCCCCGTCCTCAGTGCGACTTATCGACCCCCCGCAGCCCCATCATGTGCAGCACTGCAGATCGGGAGCCATCCACTGCCACCTCCTGAGGGGGGGGAATGGAGTGGCAGGGGGAAGGGTGAAGGGGAAGATTGAAAGAGAGCCAAGACGTGTTGCCGCAAGGAGAAGGATAGCAAAAAGACGCTGCAAGTACTATAGTCTATGGCACAGCCTCTTTCCATGTACCGTAGCTGCCATGCCATCTGCAATTTTGCTTGTAGCAGAAAAACGGGCAAAACTCGATCCCCTCGCCCCCTCCTCTTTCCCGCACCCACCTTGAGCAGCGCTCCCCCCGCATGCTGCTCGCCCGCCCCCGCCGCCCCCTTGCCGCCCTGCCCCGCCCCGCTCCGCCGACTGATCCACTTCATGACCTCGTCTAGCAGCACCACCGGGGCGGACAGCCAACTGACACACAGGAGGGAGGGGGGGACAAGGGGGGGGGGGGGATGGTGGGGTGAAAGGGGAGGTAGGGGAAAGGGTGAAACAGGGGCAAGTAAGGACGCACGGGAAGTTATTGCAAACAGGTCAAGGATGCCCAAATGCACACAAACACACACCCTTCCAGGGTTCCAGCCCCTTCCCTTCGTACGGTCCTTCCCTCAAGTAGCCGCGCTCTCCATTCTCCCCTCCATGGTCACCCACGGTTAGCCTTTACTCTCATCCCACCTCCCCTTGCACCCCTTGCACTCTCCTCCTTTGCCCCCCTTCCTCCCTCCCCCCTCCCCCTGCCTCCTCACATGACAGTCCACCACTCCGCTCCGCTCAGCCCCGTCACTCCGAACAGCGCCGCAGCGGGCGGCAGGTAGAGGATGGCGGCGTGCAGGGAGAGCGAGGTGGCGATGGCGCCCAGGAGCCAGCGGTTGTCCCAGGGGGGGATCACCTGGGAGGGGAGGGGGAGGGAGGGGCGGGTGGGTGGGTGGGGAGGTTGGGGGGGTGGAATGTTGGGGGAGTAACACACATCCTCTCCTTCCTCCCTCCCTCCCCGCACCCACTAACCACAGCTTGCTTAATACTATCCTGCTAATCCAGCCTGTTGCGACCCCCTTACATTAACCTTACAAACCAGCATGCGCCAACAAGTGAGAAGAGGTGAAGAGGGGTACGGTAATGTGTGCTACACGGCTCTCAGCTCAACTATCCGCTGTCTACCATATCCGCATGGCTCGATTAATCTGCATGGCCAAGTTTACCGACCCGCTCCTCCTCACCAGCAGACTAGCATTCTCGCTCAGGTTATTGAGCGCGTTAAACATCTCCACCACCACCAGCACCGACATTGCGATAGTGCGCGGGTGCCGCGACTCGAACACCGAGCAGCTGTAGCCGGCGGCCTGGGCAGCGGTCTCGGAGCACCTGACAGGGGGGGAAGAGGAGGGGATGAGGAACGACCCATGGATTATATGCGCAGGGAGAGATGCGCATGGCGAGAGATAACAGAGAATCAACAAGCCTTGTTTGTACCACAAACAGGCCGCTTGCAACAATTACACATCACCACACCGCCTTAACCCGCCGCCACCTTTGCCTCCCCCTCCCTCGAACCCTTCACCTTCTCCCCCTCTCAACAGCCCTCTCTTGTTCGCAATGAACAGTATTGTTCATTGCGAATACCCCTTATCCCCCTCCCCTTCACCTCACCACCCCTAGCCTGAGCCTCACTTTTGGAAGGCCGTCAGCTGCCCCCAGCTCAGCTGCCCGCCTGCCGGGAAGGCCAGGAACCACCAGAGGAAGCCCCCCACGGTGACAAGACCCACGTACAGTCCCACCACTAGGTAGCGAATGAACAGCCAGCCGTTCACAATGGGCTCGTCAAGCCTGGCGGAGGGGAGGCGAGGGGGGGGGGTCAACAATGAAAAGTGAAGCAACGGAGTTCACGCCGGGGGGGGGGAGGTATGCCGAGATCACAGGATAGGGCAAAGCAATGGGGATAGAGGGAAGCAGTTTGCACGGGCGTGAGGAGCGGGGTGGTGCGGGGTGGATACAGGTGTGGATACAGGTAGGGGAGAGACAGGAGGAAGGGAGGGGTGCATGACTGGAGTATGCTTATAATGAAAAGACGCGGCCCCCGTACGAATCCTCCATCGCAAATTCCATCCAGTTGTGCCGTACTACACTTCCTGCCGTACATGGGAGGAAGGGAGAGGCACCCTTTTCCCCTCTCCCCTTTGGCACCCTAGTTGGTTGTTTCTATTTTCCCCCCCAACCTCTCCCCCCTCCCCCCCCCCACCTCCTGGGTCGCACGGACATGATGTCCTTGTCCGGGCGGTTGAAGCCGAGTGCGGTGGCGGGCAGCCCGTCCGTCACCAGGTTCACCCACAGCAGCTGGGGAAAGACAAAATGAAAGGGGCAGGGAGGGGGGGGAGGGGATGGAGAGGCAGGGGGTGTAAAACGTTACCGAGCCGCGAGGAAGCAGTGTGACCGTGCCATCGTGCCCATAGGAAGACCGTGATACCATGAAGGCACACCCCGAAATCCGGAGTCCAGAGGGCGAGATGTCCAGAGGAAAGGCCATCCCCACCCACACAGACCCCTCCCCTTCCTAGTCCCTGCAACTCCCCCCCACCCGCACCCCCCCCCCCACCTGCACGGGTGTGAGCACCTCGGGTACCCCCAGCAGCGCCGCCACGAAGATGGCCACCACCTCACCGATGTTGGAGGAAATCATGTACCTTTGCAAGGGGGGGGGGGATAGGGGGGAGGAGGGGGGGAGGAACAACAACATGGGGTGGGGGGAGAGGGACCGGGTTAAGGAAAGGAACCGTGTCGCTGCCGCCGCCCCCGCATCGCCCCCAACACCGCTCCTGCCTCCCCCCAGCTGCTCCCCTCCTGGGCCTCCTCCACCTCCCCTCCCCCTGCCCTCCCCCCCCCACCTAATGAACTGCTTGGTGTTGTTGTAGATGGCCCGACCCTCGGCCACCGCAGCAACGATGGTAGCGAAGTTGTCATCTGGGGGGGGGTGTCAAAGACCATACCATACCATTGAAAGCGGGGGGGGGGCGTGCGGGAAGGGGTCAAGGACGGCGGAGGTAAAGACCAACTCACCCTCCCTCCCTCCCTCCACACCCCCTCCGAAATCCCAACCCTCACTCCCAACCCCAATCTCTCCCACCCACCCTCGCCCCCAAGCGTCAGCTACCCTGATAGGGCGACACATGGTGCAGCCTCATCACACCGCCATTCTTCCTCTTTTCCCACCCACTCCCAAACCCCCCCCCCCCAAACCCAACCCTCCCCCCCTCCCCCCCCACCTGCCAGCACCATGTCCGCTGCCCCCTTGGCCACCGCCGTACCACTGCCCATGGCCACCCCAATGTCCGCACGGGCCAGTGCGGGGGCGTCGTTCACTCCGTCGCCCGTCATGGCTACCACATGGCCCTGGGAGGGAGGGGGAGAGGAAAGGGGGGGGGGGTAAAGGAATGAGGTGAGGAGAGGTAAGGGTGGGGGTGCGATGGAGGCGGACAGGGTGGGGGGTGTCAAGGGGGTGAGCAAGGGAGGGCGTGCGGCGGGGGGTGGGTTACATGCAGTGCACAGAGGTGCGCAGAGGGGAGACGCACGCCCCGTGTTTCACCGTGTGTTTTACCCCTCCCCGCCCAGCCTGACCCGCTCCCTCAGCAGCTCCACCATCCCCGTGTCTCTCCCCTGTGTTTTACCCCTCCTCCCCCCCCTCTCTCACCCGCTCCCTCAGCAGCTCCACCAGCCTCAGCTTGTGCAGCGGCTCCACCCGGCTCAGCACCGCCAGCCGCTCCACCGCTAGGGAGCGCGAGGAGGGCGAGGGAAGCGAGTCGAACTCGGCACCTGCGGGGGGAGGGGGGGGGAGCGGGGGAGGAGGGGTAAAACACAGGCTGGGGAGGGGTCCATAAACCTTTCCTTGATTACGCCAGAGGTTGTCTGACGTCACCACAAGACAGTGTAGTACCCGTGTACGACAGCCCCAGCTGCCCCTCCTTACCCGTGTACGACAGCCCCAGCTGCCCCTCCAGCCCTTCCTCCGACTCCTCTCCCGCTCCGCCTGCTCCCTCCCGCGGCGCCATCAGGCCCACCTGGCGCGCCACCGCATCCGCAGTGGCCTTGTTGTCACCCGTCACCATCACCACCCGGATACCAGCCTGGGGGGGGGGGGGGGGGGGAAAAGAGGCGTAGCAGACCGCATAGCAGAGGTAAAGAAGAAGTGAAGGAAGGGGATGAAAACGGTGTGAAGATATTACGCATGGAGGGGGTAGGAAGAGAGAGGAGGAGGGGTAGTCCGACTGATGAGCCGCGACGAGTCACCGACCGTTACAGCGATGACATCATAACTAAGGAGTGGGGAGAGGAAGCGGAAAACAAATGGCAGTGGAATCCCTTGGGGATATGACGGATATGATGGGTCAGAGGGTGTTGAGCCGTACCTACGTGGCATCAACGGAAAACATCCGCAGCCCTCTCCCCTCCACTTCACCCCTCCCTCCCTATCCCTCCCAGTCCCCCCCGGTACCCACCTGCTTGCACATCTGCAGCGCCCGGGCGCACTCGGGGCGGGGCGGGTCGTGCATCGCCACCAGCCCCAGGAAGGTGAGGCCCGACTCGTCAGAGGGGGAGAGCTGCAGACAGGAAAAGAAAGGGGATGAGGGGCGAGATGTGTTTTACGGCAATGCGGAGTGGGGAAGAGGGGTATGGGAAACCAGGTGAATTCGGACCCAAACACTTTAAGGAAACACGAAACACACACGCGCAACCTCTCCCCCTTGATTTCCCCTCCCCACTCCCAGCACCCCGCCACCCACCGTCTTGGTCCCCGCCGGCAGCGGCTTGTACGCCAGTGCCAGGGTTCGAAGTGTACGGCTGCCAAACCGCTGTACGGCAGTAGCCAGCTGGGCCCTGGCGGCGTCGGAGAGCGGCACCACCCCCTCGCCGTTGTTTGCGAGGACGGAGGTGCAGCGGGGCAGGATGCTCTCGGGGGCACCCTGGGGGGGGGGGAGGCGGGAGAGCGAAAAGGGAGCGAAGAGGGAGAGGACTCTTAAGAATATGTGTCTCATGGGTCAACTACATGTTTCATGAGTGGTGAGTTGTGATAAGAGGATGGTATGACGGGCGGGACGGGAGGCGAGAAGGACCTAAACTCCTGGGTAGCATGACCCATGGGTCACTGGACTAACCCCCATGCAACGTCCTTCACCGGACCGCGCTTCCCCCCCTACCTTGCTCCACATGATGCACCTCGCGTCCCCCACCGCCATCACACTCATCATCTTGCGGTCGCTGAGGGGTGGGGAGCGTGGGGCGGGAGGGGGTGAGGAGGTGGCGATAGGGGAGGGGACAGGGCAGGATGGAAGGGGGGGCTCATGCGATCATGCAGCCATGCTGCATGGCAAGGGCGCTCATGCATGGAGGGGCAGGAAGTTCCTAATAAGTAGCAGCAGACGGGTGAGCGAAAGCGGTTGTAAAACTCCTTTCATTCCGCAGAACCCCCTCCCGTTTCGCCCCCACTGACCGTGTGAACTCCAGGGAGGCGTTGCGGTTGAATCGCTCCATCCAGTGTGCGTTGCAGTGCAGCTCCCGCCGCCCCACCACACCCCCCGCACCCGCACCCCCCGACACGGCGGCAGCAGCGGCACCGGGCGCCACGTAGAGGGGGCCGGGGTGGTCGGCCACGGAGGGAGGGAGGCCCACCTGGTGAGGGCAGGGCAGGGGAAAGAAGAAGAAGCATGCATTGTTTCAGTGGTGTACTTGGTCCCCATTGCTTTGCCCTAACCTCTGGCTCCCTACGGTTTGGTATGATCTACGGTTTGATCTGATCCCCGTTCCCGCCCCCCGCACCTTCTCTGCAAAAACGCGCAGCGCCAGCTCCGTCGCCTCACCGATACGCTGGTAGGTGCCTGCACGGGTGCATGCGGTCAAGGAAATGGAGGTGCGTGGGTCATACAAGGAAAACAACGACAGGACATTGGCTCCGCACTTGGTCGATTCGCGCTTGGATGGTTGGCACTTGACCGGTTGGTGGTTACCCCACGCTTGCCGTGCATGCTGGAAAGGGCTGCTCACTCATCCAGTTCGGACCCCCCGTGCGGCACTTCCCTCTCCCTCACCACTCAGCCCTCCTACCCTCCCTCCTTCACTTCCTTTCTCTTACCCTCCTCTCCCTCCCCATTGCCTTGCCCTAACCTGTGGTTTCCTATGGTCTGGCATGGTCTTTGACCTCCCCCTCCCCCCCTCACCCTTGTCTGGGCGGTACACCAGCGCCGAGTCGTTGCACAGCGCCGCCGCCATGGCCAGGTGCAGCAGGCAGGGCGAGTCGGCGGGGCGCTGCAGTACGGCACCGGAGGGACCCAGGATCATACCCTCGGGCGAGTAGGTGGTGCCTGGGGGTGGGGAGAGGGGGGGGAGGTATGGGGGTTAGGGGTTACGGGAGCAGCAGCAACAACAAGTCAGGAAGAGCACACCCAGGCCTGCATTCCCACCCCACATGCCAGCCTGCGTCACCTCTCACCTCTCATCCCTCCAACCCGCCCTCCCTCACTCACCCGTCACCTCAAACTCCGCCAGCGACGCCCCGCCCGCCCCCGGTGCACCGCTCTGCACCACCGCACAGCCCACCACACTCATCTGGTTGGTGGTGAGGGTGCCGGTCTTGTCGGAGCAGATGACGGTGGTGCAGCCCAGCGTCTCAACGGAGGGCAGCGAGCGGACGATGGCGTTCTTTTGGGGGGAGGGGAGGAAGAGGAGGAGGAGGAGGAGGAGGGGGGGGGGTGAAGAAGGGGAGGAAAAGGGGGGTGTTTGGTAAGAGGGTCCTAGTCGGGTGCCCTGGATTGTATGAAGGGAAGGGAGGGGGAGGTCACAGGCCGGCGGAGGAGGAGCATGGGGCGGTTGTCTCCACTAATCGTAACGTCATGATTGCCAGCTCACCCCCAACCTGCTCAACCTCCTCGGATCGCTCCCCACCTCCTCCCCCACCCCCCTCCCCACCTGCTTCGCCATCTTCCTGGTTCCCAGCGCCAGGCAGGTGGTCACCACCGCGGGCAGGCCCTCCGGTATCGCCGCCACCGCCAGCGCCACCGCCGTCTTGAGGTAGTACAGCGCGCCGCTCAGCCAGCCGCCCAGCGCTGGGTCGCTGAAGCGCCGGATGTTCATCAGCCACACGATCACGCAGATGGCTGTTGTGGGATGGGGAGGAGAGGGGGGAGGGTGGCAACCGGGGGGGTGCAGACCCATGAGTCAGGGGTGCGGGCAAGGGGAGTGAGGGAGGGGGAAAGTGTGCATCAGCCGCGATAAGATGACGCAGATGGCTGATGACGCATAGGGGAGGGAGTGACCCATGGGCGGGGACGAGATGAGCAATAGGAAACCCACATGAGGCTCCATGCATCGGGATGTGCACCCTACACATTGCTACTCCTGTCCCCACCCTCCACTCACCCGCAATGACCTTCGACAGCAGCGTGCCGAACTCGTCCAGTTTCTGCTTGAGCGGCGTGCGCTGCGCCGCCTCCTCGCTCTCCGCGTTGGCGGCGGCCAGGGCGTCCCGGATGCGGCCGATGGCGGTGGCGGCGCCCGTGCCCACCACCACCCCGCGAGCGCGACCCGAGGTGACCAGCGTGCCCTGGGGCGAGGGGGTAAAAATAAGGAAGGGAGGAAGAGGGAGAGGGAAGGGGAGAAATTAACGAACCGTGTGACGTATATATTCCACCATGGGGTTTGCGTTGCATGGTTGTCGAGCCATTCCGAGTGGGAGGTGAAGGGAGGTGAAGGGTTGTGGTAGCGAGGAGAGGTGGGTGAGTGCAAGTAAGGAGCATGGGAAGGGTCGGAGGAAAGGTGGGGCACTTCTTAGCTGCTGCCCTTCCTCGCCTCCCTCCCTCCTCCCCTTGACCAACGAGCCTCCTTTTCCTACCTATCTCCTCTCCCCTCTCTCCCTCGTTTTTCCTTTTTCTCTCCTCCCCCCTCCCCTCTCCTTAGTCCCTACCGAAAACAGCATGTTCGTCTTGTCCTGGTACACGGCCCCCGGCCCGCACACCGGCTCCACCTGCTTCTCAATGCTGTGGCTCTCACCCGTCAGGATGGACTGGGGGGCGAGGGGGCGGGGGGGGCGGGGGGGGGGGATAGCAGGGAAAGGGGGAACAACCCAACTGCGTGAAAGCGGAAACGAGGGCGGGTGGAAGGGTTCGACTCGGGTTGATTTGGCTAGTTATTCCAGCAGTTTGGTTTTCCTTCTACCCTTCCTTCCCACCCCCGCCCCGCCCCCCCCTCCCACCCGCCCCCCACCTGGTCCACCCGCAGCACGTTGCCCATGATGGTGCTGATGCGCACATCCGCCGGCACCTTGCCCCCCACCGCCACCTCCACCAAGTCCCCCGGCACCAGGTCGCCCGAGGGCACCAGCTGCAGCTGACCGGAGCGGAGCACCGTGGCACTCTCGGCCTGGGCAGCAGCAGGGGAGGGGAAGGGAGGGGGGAGAGGAGTACCCAATGTGTAGAGAGGAGAGGAGAGGAGAGAGAAAGGGGAGACGGAGAGGGAAAAGGCGGAGAGGGAGGAAGAGGGGAGTTACGCACATGTGAAGTGCGGACGACGAGGAACAGGGACTGGGTCCGCCCTTCCTCAACCGAAAACCGCCGGAGGGCAACCTACTCAACGGACTCCCACATGGTAAGTCGCTCATGGTAAATCGCTCATGGTATTGGGCTCGCCGTCCGCGCCCTACAGACACACAGCCAGCCTTCCGGCGCCCCCTCTGCGCTCCCCCTCCTCTTGATGCCTGCCGAGCCCCTGCTTCCCCAACCCCCCAACCCCAACCGTACCTCCCGCACCTCCACGCTCTCCCTTCCCCCCCCCCGTCGCTCGCCCCCCTCCCTCACCTCGTACGCTTTCAGCTCCTCTATGGCCTGCTCCGCATTGCGCTCCGTAACCACTCCCACAGTGGCTGGGAGGGTGGAGGGCGAGGGCGGAGGGGAGGGAGGGTAAAATATACAATAAGTGCAGCAACGGATGGGACGGGGGCAGGTGGAGGTGGGCGGTTGGGCAGCCGAGTGAGGGATCCCACCCCGCTAGTCGCGCTAGGCCCACATCATCCACCTCCATCCTGGCGCACTAAGCCCCCGACCCACATCGCCCCCGACCCACATTGCCCCCGACCCACATCACCTCTTTACCACTTCGCAAAGCCCCCGATTCAGATTGCATGCACGCCGTCGCACAGCCCGCTAAGCCCCCGACCCACATCGCCCTGCCAAATCCTATCCCACCCCGTGTAGCCTCCAACCCACATCGCCCCCGACCCAGATGCCCAACTCCATACCATCCCTCTAAACCTCTGACCCACATCGCCCTGCCCACCCCTCCCTACGCCTCTTCCTCCTGTCCCCCCCACCATTGGCCACCAGAATGAGTACGATGACAAATGGCTCCACAAGCGCACTGGAGGGGGGAGAAGAGGAGGGGACGGGGAGGGAAGGGCAGGGGTTAAAAAGGGGTAAAGAAATACCAGTATAGGGGAGGGAGAAGCTGCGGGGAGGTTCGGGGAGTGAGAGCACAGCGCGGGCCCTTCCCCCCCTTCCGGCTTCTACATCCGAGCCCCGCCCCAGCTCCGCTCACCCCAGCACCCCCTCTCCGTCGCTCATGGCAATCACGAAATCCGCCACCGCAGCCGCCAACAGAATCTGTAAGTGGGTGGGTGGGTGAGTGTGAGCGGGAGGCCGTGACCAAGGGGCGAAGCAAGCGGTGGGTAATGCCATTGTGTGGAGGAAACTGGCCCAGCGGGTGGTGGAGAAGTAAGTGCGTACTTGGCACGACTGGTGGGGGAAAGTGCTGATGTCTCCGTCCGCGGCCTGTCTCACCCACCTTGACCAAGAGGTCATCGAACTGCTTTAGGATGAGCTTCCAGAGCGGCGTGGCTGCGGAGGGGGAGGCGAGTGGACGGGTTATGAGATTCATTGGAAGAGGATCGGAAGAAGAAGAAGCTCGGGAGAACGGGCGTAAGTGCGTGGGTGGAAGCCCAAGGATGTATGGGACGAGGGAGAGGGGCGTGAATTGCAACATGGATTAGATACGCGAGAAGAGCGCTGTGTAGATCTAGCATATGCTTCGACCGCGGGGAAAGTCCGGGGCAAGTAACTATCCTCTAGCCTCGCCAGGGTGAGGAAGCAACCTGTACATCGGCTGGGCAACCTATGTACTCACTCTACTGCGTTTATGGCACGATCCGCGAACCCCTCATACCTTCTTCCGGAGCAAGCTCGTTCCGGCCATAGCGTGAACGTGCCTTGAAGACGTCAGTATCAGAAAGGCCAACATTAAGGTCGACGTTGAAGTACGCTGCGACCTGCAGGGTCGATCAGGTTTGTGTATCCCAAACCCAAGCATACAACAGGTTTCATACCTGCAACAGACTGCTTAGCTTTGGCGCCTCGTTGCACCCGCTAACCATAATCCCTAACCCGGTAATCCACACATAGCAGCAGCCCAACCGGTGATGCCCTGAGGAGCATTGATGCCCATTTCAGATCCGAAGTGCATAGAAGAACTCACCTGAGTCGCCTCGACCTCGTGGGCGTTGTTCATTTTCCTGTACGCTATTCCCCAGCCTTTACCAGACCAGACTAGCGCAACGAATAAAGTATATATTACCTCATAGCAATGTTCCCAAGAAGGTCATGCCGATGAACCCTTCAAACCTGGCCTGCGCTCAGCGCAAGGGTGCCCAAACCCTTGCTTGAGTCAAGGATCTGGCGGCAAGGCACCTAAATACTGCCCGGGGGAGTCTAGTCAAACACAAAGGCTCAGCCCTGCGGCAGCAGAGTACATGTATGTGCTCCGAAACCGTTTGGGCCCGACTTCACACTTCGCACGCTCGCAGGTACCCACAGTATAGCTAGTACAGCTTGCGTGATGTTGCCGAAGCTTGTGTCAGCAAGACCTTTTGCTCTGAGAACTGGCATCCTGATCACGTACTATGCTCTTGCCTTGGAAGCCTTCTTAGCATAAAGCTTACAGCCCCTTGGTTTTTAGAGGCAAGCTAGAATGGCTAGGGTGATTACCTAATTGGACAGGACGCTGACCCTGCTCCAGCAGACCCGTCCGTAGACATGTCAGCGAGGGCTCCTCGCCTTAACTGCTACCCTGGATGCGCTCTTTATTAAACACGTTAGCGACAGCACCCCAACCGCTTGTGTACCTTGGCAGTACACCAACTCTGGATGGCTGGGGGGTTAGGCTTGCCGCGGAAACCATCTTCGGAGCTACAAGAATCGCATAAAGGAGCTGGTTTTCTAGCAGATTCTATTTTTGTAGTCGCATCCATAAACACAACACACGCTTTTTAAAACTTATCGATGCCGACGATATATTGCATAGGCGGAGTGAGCGGCTCCGGCAAGACCTATCTCCGCGAGTGTCACAACTTGCTTTCCAAGCTGCCATTCATCGATATTGCGGATGTGTATGCTGACTATCCTGGAATTGGACGAGAGGCAGCCAGAATCGAGCTGCTGGACCGGCTTGAGCAACAACTTCAGGAGGATGCGGAGAGCAGCGTATGCGTGGAGGCTTTCTTTGCACCGGGAAAGGCCCAAAGGAGATGTATAGAAGATCTGGCGGCCGAATATAACGTCAAGGTCAGGTACGCTACGAAAGTCGCTCCCATCTGAACTTGGCCGTTACTGCTTGACACGTTTGTAGGCCCAGCATCGTATGCCCCCAACAGCAGCTAACAGATAGCACGGAAACGTACGCGGTTGCTGCAACGATTCTGCTTATCGCATGTGTCTGGTCCATTCCCAACTGCCCGCTTCTGAAGTAAACAAGCTGATATGCATGTACCTGCAGGTTCATCTGGTGCGCAGCTACCCGACAGAAATGCCTACGACGCGTGTGGAGCGATGCCCAGTACGAAGATTATGACCGACACCTGGCCCGCGTGGACTTCATCAACGAGGTGCCCGACAGATATTTCCAGACCAGAATGGGCGAGGAGGAGCCCTACCTGGTGGATGGCTATTGCCAGGAGTGCCACGACTGGCCGTACGAAGTATGTCGAACCTATCCACTTTACCGTTTTCATCAGCGTCTAGCATTGTAACATTGAACAATGTGAACATTAATACTGTTGTAATAACGGCGTCCAGTGTAGTTTCTCAAAGCAAAGCAAACACATACGGTATTCTTCCGCGTCCTCCTCATCCACTGCCTTATCCTTCCTTCCTCGCTCTACGGTGCCGCTTCTTAGTCCTTAACTTGTCTTCGTATCGCATGACGCTACTTACCCAGATGCCCCATCCGCCCTACTTTTACCACCCATCCAATGTCCCCCCGCCAGCCCCCGGCCTGCTGCGTCTGCGGTTGCGACATGGAGGCGCCCGTGTGCTTCACCTGCGCTGTCAACTCTAACCTGCGCTTCAACTGCAGCGCCCGCACGTGTCGCCAGGCCATGTCGGGACGCCGGCCCAGGCGGCACCGCCCGCACTATAGCGGCTACTACTGAAGACGCTGAAAGGACGTGAGGAAGGCTCGTGGGTACGTTGATGTGGGCTGCGCCCGTTGGTTATGGCTTGCTTCTCATTTGGTTGCTGCTGCGCGTGTGATTGGTAAGGTATAGTGATGAAGAGAGATACAGAGCATTTTGCATGTATGGCAGTCTGCCATGAAGATTCGTGAGGTCGGTTATTACCAATAGTTAGACAGCAAGCGTAAGCGCTTAGGCGTTGGTCTAGTAGTTGACAGCACTGCAGACTGGGCATTGCCATTGTTTGCACAGCATTCTTTCTCGTGTGGTGGGCTGCCGTGAGCAGTGTGTGCGTGCATGCATGTGCGCAGTGTACGGGTGTATGCAGTTGTGATGCAAGTGTAGTTAAGATGCAGTTTAGCTGGCTGGTTTTTTCGTAGGCGCGTGTCATTAGGTATGTTGCAAGTTCGGATAGCAGCGTGTGAGTACGGTAGGCGCGTGTGTGTGTGTGTGTTTGTGTGGTGCATGTGTCTGTGTTCTAAGCCGTGACTGAGAAATGGTCGTGCAATCAATGAACGCCTGGCTTAGGAAAAAGCACTTCATGACAGCCCCTGGCTCCCACACATTATTCCTGGCTGGCAACCAAGTAGGGCTTTCTGATGACTTTCTGGACGAAAGATGGGACCCGTCAACATGCGGTGTGATGAACTCAAGAAACAAGAAGCGGGTGGTGGTTAACGGTTGTTGAGGTAAAGAAGTAGGCTTATTGTACGGCAGTAGAGAGCTGAGGGAATGGTGGGCTTTGTACAGTTGTTTGTGAGCAGCTGCCGTTGACGCATACCCTAGATACAATAGGATACCTTGTGTGTTAGCAATATGAGACAAAGCAACATGACATATGCCGGTTGGTGCGTATGCTTCGTATAATGGCGTGCTAAGCTATTCTTCTAGGCTGCGTTCCCCCGCCCTTTTTAGATTTCGACCGCCATGACTTACGGAAATGCTCCTGGTTAGAGCTTCGTAGGCGTGTATGTGCATACGCAAAGTAGCCTTGAATGTAGTTTGGCGCGTGGGTAATGTTGGCATTGCTGCCTGAGCGGCCGTACGGGCGCAGGTTCTTGTTAGATGTCAGCAGGTCCCTCGTATGTTGTGTGAGCATTCAGCAATTGAGTTCAGCAGTTGAGGTAGAAGACCGCTTGTTGCTACATCTATGGGCTGTACATGCAAACTAGGCATATACGGTATTATGCGTACTTTTGCTCTGTTTAGAAGACGTACGTTTCCGCAAAAGGGTTTTTTTCCCGAACTTCTGCAATGTGCTCCTAGCTAGCAGGGTTGCGGTTGTACACCCACCTGTCGCCAGTGGTGTGCCCCTGCATCCCCAGGCTGCACGGAGGCTGTAGTAGGGGGCTGGTCGATTGCATTGTGTATTGCAAAGGCGCATGAAGGCATGATTACCATGTTGCATGTGCCACACTCGCTCCCGTGCACACCTCCTGGGGAATCAACAACCAACAAGGCAGCGGGTTGACCAGTAGTTGAACCCGGTGCTAGCGCAGTAGAGCCACGATGGATCCTCCTCCAAGCGCCGAGCCTTTTACCCCTTCATAAATCACAATCTTGCCGCCTGCTCCCATGGGCCCTTTACACTCCCTTCAAACCACTTTATAACCCCCCCTTCTACGCTTGGACAAGTATCCCATATGCATGTACTTACCGAAACTACTAAAATGCAGTCACATCCTGCCAGTGCATGCATTGCTATTCCTTGTACTCTTTTGGAAGCGTTACTTTCCCGGGCAGTCACGAACTACACTACTGAGCGCATCACCGAGCACACCGCTCCTCTGTGGTTACTCTGGTGCACGCCACATGCTGCTGCCTACACCGTTACGAATACCGGTAACGGATCCACAGCTTCCAGAGCCGTCCACCTTTATGCCCATGTCCTCCTCCGCCTCCCTGCCTGCCACCGCCACCACCGCTTGCAACGGCAGCCCCTCCACTACCCTTCTCTTCCTCCTCCTTCTCCTCAACACCATCAGTCTCTGACCCAGACAGACTACACTCCCTCCATTCCTGGCCCCTGCCCCGCCTGCCACCCCCGTCCGTCGAGCCCATCAGCGCTTTCCTATGCTGTCACGTTGGGGATGTGGGTCGACATCAGCTGCAGCTCCCCAGGCCGAACTGTTGCCCGGTACAGCTGATCTTGGCAAACATTTGGATATCATGTGCATTATAGTACGGCAGCAGCAAACAGAGTAGGCAATCACCTGAACTGCTTCCACCCTCCAGTGAAGCTGACGAGGACACAATTGGCTCTGTGTCCTCAAGCAACGTCCTGATCATTGGCACGTGTGGCAGCAAGGTTATCCAGGAGTGAGGCAACTTGATGACGTTATGCATGTCCACGAACACCTAGGGCATTTCCTCTATCTGCAGGCATGCCCCCTATTCCAGCCGTAATCCAAAGCTAGGTGGGATAACAGCAGCAAGCTACCTTTCAGCCATCCATACACCCAACCGCTGGTCTAGTGTGAGCATGCACAATCAAGGCTCATGACGCATCAACGTAATTGACTGAACCGGCCAGTGAACTCCTTACCCCGATGCGTTGTGGCATGCGCAGCTTGAAGTCCTCGTCATTAAAGAGCTCTGACAGCTCACACTGAGCGTTGTAGGCGTCCGCAAACAGCATGGGGTGGCTGGTCCCAAAGTCCTCCAGCGCCTGGGCTGCCATCCAAGCCATAGGCAGATGCTGCAGCATGTCGCCGAAGTCCATGTCCACTGCCCGCATATGTCCGGCATAAATCCTGGCGAACATTCTCGTGTTGGGGTTGTTGGTCTTATCGCCCAGCTCATCGAGAGCCAACACCGCCACGCGGGTCAGCCGGTCACCCGGTAAGTAGTCGAGGTCAACCTCAAATGGCTGCTGCTCAGCTCCACCCTTGGGAAGCTCGCATGTCGCAAACGTTGGGCAAAGCTCGGCATACTTCTTTTCAAATTCCGCTGCCTCCATTTCCTCGGCTGCATACAGCGACCAAAGCACCCCCACCTCAATCTTCCTAGTCTCACCGTCTTCAGAGATTACGGGGAGCGCTGTGGGGCCATCACAAACAAAACGAAGGCCGTCGGGAATTGACGTCTTTGGGGTAGTAGTGCCACACGTATGCTTGTCAACCCCTAAGTAAGCATGGACTTGCTTAGAAGCATTAGAGTAGAAGTCAAAGAACGATATGCCGGGGGACGTTTTAGGCTGGCCGCTTCCAGCGCGCACGTACAGGACCTGGCAGCCATCCACGTTCTTCCTTGTGATAGGACCATCGACTGGCTGCGAGGGTCCCCTTGTCCAGTTGAGGGGGCATAGGGCACGGTGCAATTCGGTATCCGGGGTCAGCCCCATGGGCGATTCTGAGCAGGCTTCCATGTGTTATGGCAGAACGGGCATACACCTCAATTTTGATATGCTAGTTACAGATTTAAAAGCCTTGTTTCATATGGTAAGCTGCCACCTGACTGTGACGTCTATGAGTGAGCTGTTACAGGCTCTACAGCTCGTAAGGCCCAATCAGCCAGGAGGCATGGAGGCTCGACCGAAAAAAGACAGGAAACGATAGTATAACGAAATAGCTATGAGTACTGCAGCAAAACTTAGTAACATAGCAAGTAAATGTACCTAGGTTTCAAACGTAGTTGCCCTGACATGCATAATCCTGTCAATGACTTTAACAACTAGCCAGTTTTTAGTGATGCGTATGACCCTTGGCATGCACTGATTCAAAGCAAGTCCATCAATCACAAGCTGCGCTCTAAACATCCAACCGATGGTGCAAGAACGCATGCCTTCAGAAATGACGCGATACAATGGTACTCGTTACCGGTAATGAAGGGTCGACAGATTCACGAAGAACTAGCAATACGAAATATGTCTTGCGAGGTTCGTGCGCGCATAAAGCGTTTCAACAACTTCATGCAAGCGGTGATCCGAGCAGATCGCGACCACTAGACATGCATGCATGCTGTGGCCCCTTGAGAGCTGCCCAAGCACACGCAAACCTCCCTAAACTGCAACCATTCTGCCCAACCCGCCTGCCAACACCTCCACCCACCTAAAAGCGTGAATCTCGTGTTGCGGTGTTGACATGTCCGTCATGTAAGGCCTCCAGCTCCCCATCAAGCGGTAGAGGTGACTGCAGGTTTGCGCTGGGCAATTGCCCAATTGCCCAGCGCAAACCTGCAGTCACCTCTACCGCTTCATGGGGAGCTGGAGGCTTTACATGACGGACATGTCAAACCTGCAACACAAGGTAACGGGAAAGGCGGACCGAGGAGCAGCTTTAGCATTTGTCATGGTAAACCAAGAACGTTATGTCGAATGTCAGGCACGACAATTATCAGTAAGGATGATGTGCGCATAGGGTCTTGCGGTTCTGAGGGTGCAATTTTAAGGAACGCGCGAGGGCGAAAGGGCCTCGGCATCAAGGGTTGCAGGGCGGGCCGGCCTTGCTAGGCCTTTGGAGCTTTGCAAGGACATAAACGGCGGTGGCGATGCCGAAACTAAAAGGAGCACCCGCAGCGTGGCTCTCGCGAAGACCCGCTGCGTGGCTCTCGCAAAGAAGACGCTGCATCAGGTTGTTAGCAATAAACCAGTCCATCTCACCAACGGATTTTGCGGCTTGGTTAGTCCTGACAAATCAGAGAAGGAAAGGTGCCAGCGAAAGCGAGGATAGCCTGTGAAAAAAGGAGCAATGGGAAGCATGAAACGTCCCGAGCTCCTGTATAGCTATTTGATGGCACACGAAACGCAGATGCGTGTCTCTCACCGGGGTTCTGCGAGCTCCTGGCTCATAGGACCTCTTGTGGAAGGGGACTCCATCGTATCGACCTAGGCGTTAACTACCGTCGAGGTCTACATACACATGAGCTGCTGTAGATTTTATATACTATACGCAAGCGTCAGCGCGTCAGTTTTGGCTTTCATCGGAATATGGAAGCCCTTAAACCTCCTTCCTCGGGCAATCGTGCATGCAGTGTGTCGTACGCATGCACAATGGCTGACGCATAATGGGCCCAGCAAGGTTACCAGGGAGCGGTCCTGTTAACGTCAAACATAGTTAAGCAATGCCTCGTGCTTTCCCCCCATAGTAGTCCTCCTTGCCACTATGCACCTGGAGTATTTGGGAGCAGCTTATGCAAAATTACCCTTTGACCGTAGCAAGCAACAGTAACATGCTCTGCAATGTAGCTCAGAGTCAACACTGGTGGCGTGCTTTAAGACCACCCACCCCATGCAGCACCCCATCACAATGCCCAAGCAACCCGGTCAACACCACACAACTTCAGACGCCAAACAGACATTATGCAACAACCATTACAGCGCAATACTTGTGCGCATAACCACATGGTCACCCAGCCAACTCTGCTTCCGGAACGCCCACCAAAAGCCACTACCGATTTTCCTTTGAAGTACGGACCACCGTTTTCCGCCAATTGTACCGACTACCGTTTTCACCCATCATTTTTCTACTACATGTTGGCAGCCATACCGGTACATCCTGCACCAGCGCTCACTGCGTTCCACTCCATGCAGACGGTCAACTGCTAGCGGCCAAACACAGAAGCCGAAACAACTTAGTGACGCATGCCTGCGTGGGTTGCATATACCGGTCGTGGCGAGAAGCAGTACCATTCACACCACTTCAGGCTGAAGGTCACAATAAGGCCGGACACTAGACCAGTCCTCATCCAAGCGGCTTTAAAGCAGCTGCGCTGGCCCCCCAACTTCCACCCGTGTAGAGGCAGCACGGTTGACCTTGCCGTAATAACGTCTGTCAACGTCCTGCTTAAATGCACGGCTTCATGTCGATGTCCGGGCCTCCTGGCTTGCCTGGGCCTTCCGAGCCTCAAGCTCGTACAGTAAGCAATATCATTACTATCATCGTCATCAAGTGTTGTGATATCCTTTTGACCCGTTGTAGTAAAGCGTACATTAGCACAACTCTAGTCTTAACGCGGCCAATCGGTGCCGGCGCAGTGCAGAGCCCTAGATCCCCCCTTAGGCTTCTTCCCCTACTCATTCTTGCCGCTGTTTCCTGAGACCTGTTTTCTGAGTACCTTTGGTTTGCCCCTTCCTCACCCCGAAACAGGGCAGCGGCAAAGCAAGCCCACACAAACCCTCCAGGAGCAGTCACTACTGGCGCATGTATCTCTTGCGCTCTGTTGTCAACATTACTTTCCATTAGGCCCAGCAGCAGTCGCTCACGAACTAAGATAATGAGCGCATTACCAAGCGCACCGCCCCTCTATATGTCACTCGGCGCTGCACACACCCGCCACATCCTGCTACACACACCGTTAAGATTAACCGACCCACAGTTTCCACAGCCGTCCCGCGTTATGGCATTGTAACCGCCATCCCTACCGCCCCCAGTACCCCGCGCGTCCTGTCAATCTACGCACGCCTATCTTCCTACCTAAGACGCTTATAACCGACTACCTAACCATCGCCAATGCAGCTAGCTAACAACAACCTACCCTGGCTTCCTGCCTACCCTTGCTTACCCCTGCCCCGGCCTCTCCCCCGGCCTCGGCCTGCCGTACCTCCCCTCCCGCCCTTCACCGCTGCAGTGCCCCCTGCACCCCCTCCGTTGGCCTTCCCCCGCCCTCTTCCTCGCCCCCGGCTCCGTCGCCCTGCTCCTCCGCCTCCCCGCCTGCCACCGCCACCACCGCTCGCAACGGCAGCCCCTCCACTACCCTCCTCCTCCTCCTCCTCCTCATCATCATCATCAATACCATCGCTCTTTGCCCCAGACAGACTGTGCTCACTCCTCCGCTTCTGTCCCCCTGCAGCTCCTCCATTCCTCGCCCCTGCCCCGTCTGCCCCCCCGTCCGTCATGCCCATCAGCGCCGCCGCCGCCACAACCGCCTCCACCGCTTCCACCGCCTCCAGCGACTTCGCCCGCGGACCCCGCTTTGCGCCGCCGCGGCTGTTCACCCCAACGGCACCGCCGGTGTCCTCGTCCTCACCCTCTACTGAGCCCTGGGTTAGCTCCCGCCCCACACGGCGCTTCTTAGACGCAGAGGGAGCAGCAGCGGGGGCTGCCGCCACCGCCTTCCCGCGGGAGTTGCGACTGCGGCTGCGACTGCGGAGGGGCTCACCATCGTCCGCGTCGTCCTCTTGCTCCTCCTCCTTCACCTCCACAGCTGCCTCCTGCCGCTGTTGCCGCAGAGCTGATGGCGAGGCAGCGGACTTACTGCGACTGGGTCGCCCCCGCCGCGAGTGCTCCCCACCGCCTCCGGTTGCCTCCGACGGCTCGGGTGCCGCCGCCACCGCGGCCGTCGTCGCTTCCGCCGCCGCAGTATCAGTCGCTGCAGATACCGTGCGACGCTGCGACCGAGCACGGCCTTGAGACTTCTGTGATGACGCGACCGGCTGGATGAGCGTTACTGGGGCAGCAGCTGCAACAGCAGCGTCAGCGGCGGTGTCAGCAGCGTCAGCGTCAGCGGCGGCCGCGGTCTTATCCTCTGACACCGCGGCGGACCCTGCACCGACGCGGCGGCGCTTCCTGGACGTGAAAACCTTCAGCCCGGCCGCCTCCGCCGGCGGCGAAACAGCGGCAGCGGCTGTGCCGTCAGCACTGGCGGCTCCGCCCGTGCTCGCCTCCTCAACAGTGGTGGCGGCGGACTGTCTTGAAATGCCTCGCCGTGTGGATCGCTGCGACTGTGGTGGCGACGGAAGAGCGGCAGCGGCGCCAGTGCGCGGGCCTCTCCCGGCGCTGACAGCTCCTGCCGCCGCCGCCGCTGATGCTGCTCCTGCCGCTGCACTGGCATCCCCTCCGTCAACCTCCTCTTCATTGCCGCCGCGGCCGCCGCCAAGTGACACCGACGCCGCTCCTCGCTGCCGCAAGCTCGTTGTCGCGGTGGCGGCAGCTGGGACCTTGCTGGCGGAGGCTGCACCCCTCTTTGGAAGAATACGCTTACCCGCCGACCCTGGCTCTGCCCCTGCTGCTGCGGCGGCGGCAGCATCCACTGCCACTGCTGCCGACGAGGATCTCGTAGGCCCTTTGCGCCCCTGCTGGCTCAGCTGCGCCTCTACCTCCTGCATCGCTACTGCTTCCGCCGCCTCCTGCTGCTGCTCCTGTGAGCCCTCTGACTCCACGCCTTCATCCTGCCGAGGTGCGGAAACCTGGAGCTCCTCCTCCTCCTCCTCCTCACCGTCACCACCACCACCAACGACTGCAGCAGCAGCGGCGTCTTCCTCGACCGCAGCAGCTGCTGCTGCAGGCGGGGAGGCAGCGGCAGCGGCGGCGGCGTCAACTCCTCCCAGAGGCCCGTTCTGAACCCCGTCAAGCTCCTCCGTGCGCTGCACGCTGCCCTCCTTGCCCTCCTCCTCCTCGCCTTCCCCAACACCATCCGACTCCTCGATCCTCTCCTCCTCCTCTCCCTCGCTTCCCTCCTCCTCCGCAGACCCCTCCAGCTCCTCCCCGCCCCGGGCCCCTGCCGGCCCCAACACTGCAGCGGCCTCTACCGAGCCCTGCGGCAACGCCGATTGCTGCGGCTGCTCCCGCTCCTCATCCTGCTGCACCTCCCGCTCCTCCTCCTCCTGCTGCTGACCCTCCTCCTGCTCCTCCTGCTGCTGCTGCGGCGGCGGCTCATGCGGCCGCAGGTCCAGGGGATGCACCGCCTCCTCCTCCTGCAGCTCTGTAGCAGGCACCATTTCCACGACCGGCTCCGGAGCCAGTGAGCTGGCCCCCGCAGGCACCGCGAGGTGCGACTGCTGCAGCAGTGGGGGCAGCGGGGCCATCTGCTGGGGCTGCAGCTGCTGCAGGTGCAGCTGGGGGTCCTGGTAGGACTCCTGCACCTCAGTCGCCGGGACCATATCCACTCGCGGCGTCCCCGGAACCTCCTCCTCCTCTTCGTCGCCCTCTCCCTCCTCCTCTTCCTCAGCTTCCTCCTCATC